CGACCCATATTCGTATTCCCTCCTCTTCCTCGGCCGGGGGGCCTTCGTCCGCGGCCACGCGAGTCGTAATCACGAGATTGTGGACCGTGATTGTGTTGCGCCATAATGAGATTACCTGGTCGATGGGGGGATGGTCGTAAACCGTCGTTCCCGGAATCGCCAGACCACGATCGATCGCCTCTTTTTCTCTTTCCTCCGGCACCTGGAGCCATGACAGGGCTGATCAAAGCTAGAGGGCTGAGGGGGAGAACAAATAAGTCCCGGACAGGTCGCAGGGCATGCGGCGAACCTAGATTGGAGACGGTCAGCTTCCTCAATGGGCTAAGAATGGGGATGATTGAAATGAAATGGTCAATTTTCGATGCATGTAGAGAAAAGGGCAACAACCTGCTGTGGAAGACTCATGCGAAGGGGTCAAAATGGATAAGCCGACACCTGGGGAGAAGTTTCAAGGTCCGTTTGCTGGGATCGGCGAAGGTGATGGCATCAGACAGGTTCGCAATGGAACAAAGCGGCGGCTGGGCGGGTATCGCGTCTCTGTCGCTTGCCGTATTCCGCGCTCCACCCCAATTGACTTTGCTAAACACATGCTTCAAATGGAACCATAACATTGTTCTTTACGTATAATCTACCACAGGTAGGTATAGAGAGTGATGGTCATTTCATTCATCATTTTACAGGACAGTCTCTGGTTTGCATTTACAACAAGCCCAACGCCTTGGCCTCAATTTCAACGATTTCAGGAATAAGCTCTTTCAGGCTAGGCTGGTGAGGAGACCATCCGAGCAGCTTCCTGCCTCTGTAAGAGTGGCCGCGGGAGTTGCTGCCCCAAGCATACAGACCGAACTGGTTCAGCTCCTTCACCTGGTCGTCGGAGATTGACTCCACGTCAGGAGACGAGATAAGCTTCTTCTCATAGGCGACCTTGGCCACCTCCCGCGAGATGTCTCCCCAGACGAAGGTGCCGTTCTCAGCCAGGTAGTAGCCCTTGTCGTTCCAGGTGGCATCGCCGCCGCCCGCCGCAGCAGCGTCTCCCAACAGCCGATACAGGTCGCTCAAGTCTTGCACGTGGATCTGGTGCCAGATGTTCTTGCCCTCGTTCACCAGGAAGCCCTTCTTCCGCTTCAAGGCAGCAGATGCCAGCCAGTAAGCCTGCACGCTCTTCTGGTTGCCTGGACCACGGCCAGGGCCGTAAATGGTAGGTGGACAGACGATGGCAATTTTGACACTGTTGGGGTCGCGCTTGCCAGCGGCAATGACGATCTCATCGACATTGCGGTGGAGAGAGTCAGAAGGCAGGTTGAGGAGCTCTTCCACGCCATCCCAGTCATCGTGTTCCTTTTCGCGGTACTGACCCCAGGTGTTGGCGCGGAAGTCCTCCACTGTGAGGATACCGGTTCCAGAGGTGTGAATCCACCACAGGGGGCGCTCCGGGGTGTGGTGGGTAGCACCCTTGGCGATAGCCTCAGCAGACGCAACGTGGTCGCAGTCGGCAGTGTCTGACTCAAGCAAGTTAGTTCGTAATCCGAGAGAAGGAGCTGCACGAAGGGGGACGTACGGAAAACAATGTCGGCTTTCTTGACCTCCTCCTCGATGATATCCGCCGAATCTAGGTCTCCCAGCACGACGCGAACCTTGGGATATTCGCTGGAGAGCTTCTCTGCCTTCTCCTTGCTGCGAACCAACACCGCGTATTCCCAGTCAGGGTGTGCTTGGTGGACATTGTAAAAGACGTCTCCACCGATGTAACCGGTGGCGCCAGTACTGTAGAAAGCAAGCAGCTAGTCAGAGGCTATCATACGCAAGTGAGAGAGTGGAGAAGGGACCTACACGAAGACCTTGAGGGGAGCCATGTTGTGCTTCAGTGAATGAAGGGTTTGCTTTTGATTGTGTTATTTGCTAGTGGTATGATGCGAGTACTTCCCGTCAATAATTGGAGACAATGAAAGAAGGATCAAGAGAACATCAGGACGGGGAGGGGGAGGTTCACTTTATATCGTGAGTAGGTGGGGGGAGAGTGGAGGGGAAACAACAGCAGACAGACAGACAGACATACAAAGATTACCCCAATTACAGCTTAAGCTCCGCGGGCAGTACGGAAGTCTATGGAGTTCCGGTGCTTGGAAATCAAGAGTGGATGGATTTGAGGTGAGCTGCTACAGCGCAATCAGCGCAATCAGCGCCTCAGCAAGAGTGGGGGTGGAAATGGGGTGCGAAGAACTCAAAAGAACGTCCCTGGACCCATTGTGGCATTGTACTGTCCTGTACCACTGTTCATAGCATTGAGTGCTGCGCTTGCTCCTTTGCGCGACCACCTTCTCAACTTGAGCTGCGTGACAGTTGTCATTTTACCGTCAGGCGACTGAGGGAGATTTGCCCCGCCCCTGAATGACGTTGTAACCGATGCAAAGGCGGGGCTGGTTGACGTGACTTTGACAGGGGAAAGCAACAACAATTATTGCAAACTCAATGGGCTCCAAAGCGGGCAGACATGAAGGCTTCAAGAACCACAGCAGAACAACCGATTGGAATTATACAGAGAAATCACAGAAATTATAAGAAGAAGAAAAGAAAAGAAAAGAAAAGAAAAGAAAGGCAAACAATGATTGCATACTCAAAACATCATATAAACATGCTGCAACAGAGGACAGGAACAGAAGAAAGTCATGGTCAAAGGGGAATCTCGCATACAAATATGCCCATAATTTACAATGAGTCACTAAAAGGTACTCGTGGCTAGGCGACTCGCCGCATTGCGCGCGTCCAACCGGTCCTCATCGTCCTCCTCAGCAATCGAACTCACCCCACTGGCCGAGCGCAGTCGACCCTTGGCACTTCCGCTGCCATTCGTTTCTTCGTCATCGTCCAGCGGAGGCGCAACAAAGCTGCCGCTCATGCTACGTCCGAGACTATCGCTGCGACGGGGGATTCCGCTCCAGGCGTCGCCCTTCGGACCTTGACTCGAACCCAAATTCGATCGTCGGGCAGTAGGATGAGATTCACGGCCCAGACGACTCAGTCCTCCAGAAGCATCAATTGCCCGAATGTCAGGTCGAACACTCTCGAGGGTAGCCAGGGTGCGGCGCTCCGATTCGATTTGACGTAGAGTATACTCGCGCAAGCTAGCGAGCAGGTCACTGGATGTTCGCTCAAACCAGCGCCGTTTCTCCAGCAGCAAATTCGATGTGACGCGCTGAGTTCTCTTGGACAAGAAGTCCTCGTGGTTTTGCGCCTCATCCAATGCGTTGATAGCCTCATCGACTTTGTCGGGGCGCACGGAGGAGCTGACCTTGAGCCGGTCGGCAGCAGCACGTTTGCTGCGAGTGGCCTGTTGAGCCTGAGTCAATTCTCTGAGCAGAATATGACGGTTCGTAAGAGTCTCTTTGACAATAAAGGCGTCCGAGGAGTGGTAGCTAAGTGGATCTCCAAGGGTGGTAGCCTCCGCGGTCGCCTGAACAGCATGGAAATCTCCGACCGTCTGAATAATCTTTCCGAGCTTGCGATAAGCATTGGCCAGTCCCGGATGCGTCTCCTGCACGTGCATCTGGCCCAGCTTGACGCCAAAGTCGGATTCAGCAAGACCCAAACCTGCACATCAATTAGCACTGGGCATTCTTCAGAATTGCATACCCTGAAAGCATACCTCTGCGGCCCTTAACCACGCGATCAACCTTGTGGCTGGCATCCATAGCACCCAGATAGAACATTTTGACAGTAGGGCGGGCATTCTGTAGTTCCGGAGTGTCGTCCGGAGGGGGCGCGAATTGCTTCAAGACCTTCCTCCGAACACCGGTGGCGGGTTGTTTCATGCGCACCACAGGGCTGTACCCAAAATCGCTCTCCACAAACAAGATCACTTCGTCATCATGAATTAATACCTCATTGCTCAGAACCACATTCAGCCATCGCTGCATTGAAGCCTTAACCCGAATTTCGTCTTCTTCGGTTCCGGCCCCGGCCGGGGTCAATGGGGATGGTACGGCAGGAACGAAGGTCTCGGGATTGGCGGAGATAAGATGATCGGCGAGCTTCACGAATTCGCTATGGGTGCGTCGAACATCACGGTATTGGGTGGTTCTAAACTTGGGGACATTGGTCTAGTTGTGGTGGTCAGTATGCGTAGGTGGAACGGGACCAAGGACCAACTCACGTGGACCTCGAAGCGCAGGATAGGATCCTTCTTGCCAGTTCGCTCTAGCCCAGTAATCTTTGCCTGTATTCTATAGGCTGGGGCCGGAGGTCTGGCATTTTGTCTGGGCCCTGTTTGGTAACGAGCGGGGATCTGGGATCGGGGGTGCTGAGCCTGGGGTTGTTGCTGTTGGGCACCATGCGGCGGTTGCTCTCCAGCAACGGGACCACTGAGGTGGGTGTTCTGCAGTTGGCCAGACAAGTTCGGGGAGCCGAATCCATCTTCTCTGGCGCCCGACCCGTCGGCAGGCTGCGGCTCTCTATCGGTGCCGTAAGGGGAATGCTCTTGCGGGGGTAACGGAGACGATGGAATATCGCTCGTCGCCGCAAAAGTAGTTTGCGTTGGTCGGGGCGAGGCCCATGGTGAGGTGCCTGCAGGATGGTCGGGATCGTGCGAGATGGCGGAGTAGTCCATCGTGGCTGTCGAGGGGAGGGGGGAAGATTGATGCGACCACGTCTACACCGCGCTGTGAGCCAGGCAGACATCAATCAGCATTACACTATATTGCGAAGAGTGAACCTGCGATTGACCGGTGTAACTTACCTGTCAGGACTCCAGGGATACCGGGGAGTCGGGGAGATAACAAGAGCTGGCGAGGGCAATTGTGTCAGATAGATGTGGGGGGAGGAAGGGGAGAACGGAGGAAGCGATGGGGGTTCAATTGATTGATTGAGAGCGGGCGGCGGAGGAAGTGACAGTACGTAACTATACGGCCTGATTCGCCAGGCATCAACGGGTCACTGGATCCGCTCCGAGCTTCAATACTTGATCCATTTATCCATTTCCTTTGCTTCTCGATCAATTGCTTTGGCTTCTACATCTGCCCCTTTGCTTAGCCATTGTTGGTCTAGACAGCTCAAACTGAGCATCCTTGCTTGGCTCTCTCTATTAAATCATGGTCAACAGTCTATAATCTAAATCAGATTGACAAGCGCTCTGTGGGCAAGCACCGTCCCTGATGGTTGCAGCACTTCTGCTGCGCGCCTCTCACCCGGCGGCGCGGCCAATTGCTCTACAACAGGGTCGAGCATTGACCAGTCGCTTGGGAAACCATGTGATGCAATGCACTTGGAAATCTTTTTTTCCACAGCTCCAGAAATTCTCTAGCTCTGCCTTGCGAGGACAAGAGGAAACGCTTGACCGAACAAGAAATATCGGCATCATTGCCCACATCGACGCAGGCAAGACCACGACCACAGAGCGCATGCTCTACTACAGTGGCTTCACCCGAAGAATTGGAGACGTGGATGAGGGCTCCACGGTGACCGACTTTCTGCCCGCTGAGCGGGCGCGTGGAATCACCATTCAGTCTGCGGCTATCACTTTCCATTGGCCACCCCAAACAGCCGGGGAGGCGAGCCAGTCGGACGCGCAGGCTCCTCGCTCTGCACATTCACACATTGTAAATCTAATCGACACGCCAGGGCATGCTGACTTCACATTCGAAGTCTTGCGCTCCCTGCGTATCTTGGACGGCGCAGTGTGTATCCTCGATGGTGTGGCCGGTGTTGAGGCTCAAACGGAGAAGGTCTGGCACCAGGCCAGCACCTACCGCATTCCCAGGATTGTCTACATCAACAAGCTAGATCGAGATGGCGCAGCGTTCGGCCGGACTGTCCGGGAGGTCGCATCCCGGCTGGCAGGGTGGCCAGCTGTCTGTCAGATTCCGTGGTTTGAAGGCGGGGACGGCCGTTTTGTGGGGGTTGCCGATGTGATCAATCTTCAAGGTCTCCGGTGGGAGGACGGAGATGGCAAGTCGGTAAAGATGTTCAACCTGCAGCAGCTGGAGGCCGAGGAGGGCCGGCTGGCTCAGGAACTCAAACGGGCAAGGACTGCTCTCGTGGAGCTGCTCAGTGAGTACGATGAACTCATGGTCGAGCAATTCTTCGAGCACGAAGAAGATCACCTTGCTGTGCCTGCCAACGAGATTTTGCAAAGCTTGCGCCGATGCCTTCTCCAGGAGCAGGGCAGGAAGGTCATCCCGGTGTTCGCCGGCGCCAGTTTCCGCAATGTCGGTGTCCAACCTCTCCTCGACGCCGTCGTGAACCTCCTGCCCAGTCCGGTCGAGACCCCGGATCCCGAGGTCAGCATCGGGGGCGTCACGGGCGGCCTGCGACGCCTGCTGTCCGGCGATCTCATCGTGGAACAGAAGGTGGCAGCCTCCTCGGCCAAGGGCCAGGCGAAGAAGAAGAAGTCGGTCGTGCAGACCGAATCCCAGAACGCCATCGAGAAGCTCCAAGGCTGTGCCCTGGCCTTCAAGGTGGTCAACGACGCCAAGCGCGGAGTGCTGGTCTACGTGCGTGTCTACTCGGGACGCCTCGATCGCAGCTGCGCTCTGTACAACACCAACCTGAAGGTCACCGAGCGCGCCCCCCGCCTTCTGAAGATGTACGCCAACGACGCCGTGGAGGTCGACTCCATCCCCGAGGGCCACATCGGCGTGGTCGTGGGGCTCAAACACGCCCGGACGGGCGACACGCTGGTCTCCTACGCCACCAACCGACAGACACCCCCGGAACCGCTCGACACGCTTCAACTGCGGCCCATTAAGGTCCCTCCGCCCGTCTTCTTCGCCAGCGTCGAGCCCCACAGCCTCAGCGAGGAGAAGCGCATCCACGAATCCCTGGTCATGCTCCTCCGCGAAGACCCGAGCCTGCACGTCACGGTCGACGAAGACAGCGGCCAGACGCTGCTGAGCGGGATGGGCGAGCTGCACCTCGAGATCGCGCGGGACCGGCTGATCAACGAGCTCAAAGCCAAGGCCACCGTCGGCCGCATCGAGATCGGCTACCGGGAGTGCCCCATCGGCGACTCCTCACCCGTCACCAAGATCTTCGACAAGGAAGTCGCCGGCCGCAAGGGCAAAGCCGGATGCACAGCATCAGTCTCCGCCTTCGACCCGGACCTGGATGGCCTGCCCGCCACAGACCAGGACACGCTCCTACTCGAGACCCAAGACGGCAACCAGATCCTCATCCAAGCTCCCGGGCTCCAGATCACGCGAAACCGCAAGGGCATCGAGGAGAGCCCGATCCTGCCCATCGGGCTGGACGTCGCCACGCTTCGAACCTCGCTGCTGAACGGCTGCATCGCCGCCCTCGCCCGGGGCCCGCAGTTCTCGTTCCCCATGCACAACACCCGCGTGCACCTCACCCTGGACGCGACCGCCCACCTCTTCGGCACCGAGAGTACCCCGTCGGCCGTCGCCTCCGCCGCGCGCCTAGCCACCACCACCGCCCTCCGCTCCCTCCTAACCACCAACCCTGGCACCGGCACCGGCACCGGCACGTCCCTCATGGAACCGGTGATGAACGTAATCATCAGCATCGACGAAGCCAGCCTCGGCGCCGTCGTGCACGACATCTCCTCCGCGCGGGGCGGCCACATCATCTCCCTGGACGAGGACATCCCCCTCCCATCCACGGACGCCGCCTCCTCCACCAATTCCTCACCAATAATCCCCTACGAAGACCTCCCGCCCATCGACCCAAGCAAAGTCTACGCCCCGCCCGACCCCTTCGAGACCCCGTCCATCGCTCTCGGCGCGAACGCCAGCTCCGCCGCCGCCGCCGGCCTACCGGATACCGCCAACCGGCCGCGCACCATCACCGCCAAGGTGCCCCTCAAGGAGATGGTGGGGTACCTCAAGCACCTCCGCAGTCTGAGTGCTGGCCGTGGCACGTTCGTCATGAGCGTCGATCGGTTCGAGAAGATGAGTGCTCCGCGTCAGAAGGCGGTGGTGTCCGAGTTGAGGGGGGGGTATTAGTTCTCTCTCTCTCTCTTTCTCCTTGTATTAATCTTTCACGGATATCTACTGTGGTCCTATAGAGTGAAAAAGAAAACCTGTATCATAATTGCGGCAATTTAGGGGGTCGGTTCATGAGCCCTAGACATAGGAAGGCTTTTGTACCTGTGAATAGCTGAATTGGCGTTCGAGATCACATACTCATACATGGACGGCCGGGAACTCCTTAAAATCTCCAAAAAGAATGTATGAAACAAAAAGAAGAGAGAATCGAATCATCAACAAAAATCAGCGCAAGTCACCAAATTAAGGCATCAATTCACCATCAAAGAGCCAACCAATCAATAGTGACAATTTAGGGAAACAACAAAACACAAACCATGGTATCTGTAGACATAACTTCATCTCATCGGATCACATTACTGGGGGGGAAAAAAACAATTTCATAGGAGCAGCCCATACGACTCAAGTTGCACAAATCATTCCATCGCATTCTCCAAAAACTCCAGCAACGTGGGATCCAAACTGAACGGCCGAATCGCCTGCTCCTCGACGTCCGGCTCCGAGTAGGTGAAGTCCGCGCCCCACCACTGCGCCTCCCGCAGGGGGTCCGAATAGGCCGACTCCGAATGCTGCGCGCTGCCGTGCGGGGCGTAATAGTGCTGAAGACCGCCGTTGGCGGTGCGGTCGGCCAAGGTGGATGTCTGGGGGATACCCTCCAGATCGAAGCCGTGGATGGCGGCGATGCGGTGCAGGAGGCGCTCGCAGCTGATGAACGCCCGGCGGGAGCTGGGGCTCCGGCTGGCGATCGCGTGGAGCCAGCGCAGGCATTTCTTCGCCCGCTCGAGGATCACCCCGGGCTCCTCGGCCGTGCCAACGGATCCTTGACCTTCCTCAGTCATAGTCCCCCGCTGCACGTCCACGGGGCCCACGGCTAGCTGGAGCAGCAGGATGATGAGGGCTTGCATGATATAGTGCAGGACGGCCCACCAGGGTGTCATCTCGCACAGCCAGTCCATGTTAGGGAGATCGGGGAGGATGGCAGTCAAATCGATTGCAGATTGGAGGCAGATCAGGGCCGTGGCGTCGGCAAATGGAGAGCGCGGGTACCTGGTCCGAGTGCCTTCCTTCATATCAGGACGGGTGAGGCAAGGTCGGTTCAGGATGATCTGAGAGCTGTAGAAGGCCAGAGCCAGAGCGATCCGTTCTGGGCACGGCGTCGTCATTTTCAACCGACCGTTGCTGTCACAGAACTGGAAGCAAGGCTGAAGGCTAGACAGCCAGTCTCTCAACATTTGTTGGAAATGGGTGATTTTGTCACTGGCACATTTCGGCAAGCCGAAGGACTGGAGACCATAGACCGCCTTGACGGCGGCATGGCTGATTACAGCGAGGTCGGCCAAGTAGAAGAAATAGAGAGAACGATTAGGTTCGACAGCTTGGAGCGCCTGGTTTCTTGCGTCAATCTGGAATTTGGGGGTGTTACCGGTAAAGACAAACGTTCGCTCCCGCAAAGCAGGATCGGAAATAAATTCTGCGGCTTGAGGGCAATGGAACTGTGCTTCGTCGAAGGGGATGGGAGCCGGGATACTAAAGGACCGCCATTCAATGCATGAGGTACGGCCTGTCATCACGGAGAGGAGTTGCTCCAGGACGAACAGTGACCACCAAAGACGAGTACGGGACTCCCTCGATGTAGCGTCTACATTGAGACCGACCCCACGGAGGTTGAGCCCCAATGCTATTGCACAGCGGACAGCACGTCCAGCCATATGCCACGCTCTAGTCAAGTCAGTTGCCCGTTGGTTCACATGGCAGAGGCCCGCAACAAAGCAAGACACACCTGTTCACCTGAGCGGAAGCCAGAAGGTAGATGGAATAAAGCACCCAGATCTGGACTTGCTGGAGATCCGCATGCTCCCCAAGCAGGCTTGAGTCGGCATTGAGAGCTATGGCTCGGGACAGAAAAGTACGATCATCGATGGCATCGGTCCAGTTCTTCTCGGATAGCTGCATATACTTGGCGCCGATAGCATAGATCAAATTCAGGATTATAAGCCACTTTCGACGCGGGGGCTCCGACTTGGTGAACGCATGTTGGCACTGTGATAAAAAGAGGGTCCTGTTGAGCAGTGGGAACGATGGGTCGACTCTCGCAAGGTAGATGCTGATGAGTTGGTCGCTGCATGCTCGGGTTGGGAGAGCTTGCGGATCCCCAGGAGAGAGATTCGGAAAACTGAAGTGGTCGAGATGATAACTAAGCGAAGTCATATCATCTTCGAAAATGGTCTCCTGCTGTGGCTGTGGGCTCTCGGACGAGAAGCTAAGTTTGTTCAACTCCTCACTGAGCTTCTGCATCCAGGCAATCTCCGAGCCCCTGCCGATGTAGCCGGTCGCCCTACTGCGCTCGTCCCGGTTGATGTCTTCATTCAAGGTCGCGAAATCGTGAAGAGAGGCCGCCGACGAGGAAGCTGTGGTGGAATGCGATGTGGATACGTCGGAAAGATCCTTCTGTTCCACCGAGGACGGACCTTGAGTGCGCAGGAAGCCCCCTTTGATCATGGTGGAGAGCCGGTCGAGTTCAGCGCTATCTTTATTATCCGAGGCCACGACCATCTGGCCCAGAAGCTCATAAGCTGTGCGCAGTTCTTGCTCAGCCTGCCTCAGAGCCAGTTTCTTCCGGCGGTCGAGCTCTTCGGCAAAGACACATTGTGATTCGGCTTGGATGCATTTCTCGCATGGCTGGGTGCCTTGACACTGTGTTTTCATGTTCAGGACTTGGTTGGTCGCAAGTTATAAAAGATACTGGGATACTGGGATACTGGGATACTGGGATACAGTAGTGACGCACTTTAGTCTTCCGTTTCTTACAGGCTTCACAAGCATTGGAACGTTTCTTGATGCGCGGAAGATCGGGCGGGCTGAGTCGGGAGGAGAGGGTGTTATAGGCAGGAGCAAGGGTTTTAAGATCTCCTGTCCCTGCCCCTGTTTGACCTGTCTGCATGATTGGTGAAGGGGGAGGGGGGGTGGGGGGGGTTCAAAGGGTGATAGAGTTGGATGCTGTCATAGGAGATGACCAGACATAGTACTTCCGTAGTTTGAACCCTGCAGTTGGTGGGGGGAGAAGGCCGGTGGGATGAGTTCGAAAGCCGGAAAGAGATGAGATGACGTGAGAGAGAGAGGAGCTTTGGGTAAGTACGGAGGAGTTACGAGTCAGAGAGACAGGATAGTGAGAGGCTGGATGTTTTTGCCTACGTATGGTTCATGGCTTAGTGGGTCGCCGCCCGCCCCGCCCCCGCTTTTTTGGCGACAAGCTCTTCACCTACGCATAAAGGTTATACCTAACCCCGTGACTATACCGAGTACTGGATGCTTGTACGTACCTCTCACCAAGCATTGATGGCTCTCGGACTTCTGTCCCAAGTCTCGAGCTTTTTGCTTGACGGAAGAAAAGTCCGATTATGCATACAAACCTGGTTCCCGGTACTCAAGTGCAAGCCAAACAAGGAATATATATATATATGTATAATGTTTAAAACGGTGCCAATAAACTAAATACAACGATAGTTCCCCTTCCACTCCCTCCACTCCCGCCACTATCCAAACTGGAACTCACCAGTTGTCATCCCATCCACTATTATCCTCGAGGCTCTTTCTTCCCGTGCCTGTCCCAGACGCAGCAGAGGAGGCAGACGTAGTCGCTGTTGATCCAGCAACCTTAGTCCCAGCACCCGCAGCAGCAGCAGCAGCACCACCACCAGGCTTCATCGCAGCCGTGCCAATCGCACTCGATCTGGATGCAGTCCGGCGATGACTATCCTGTTCTCCGAGTGCAGAGAACGAGTCCCAAAAGTCCTTTCTTTCCGGCTCGGCTCCAGTCCGGCCCCGTTCCCGACGGGCAGCTGCCGCCACCGCCGCTTCATCCTGCCCTTCCACAAACCGGTGAAAGTGATCTGCTGCGCCACGGGCCCCGGTCTGTAGGTTTTGACCTAGTTGAGAAGCCTGGAGACGAGCCTGCGCTGCAAATTCCGATTCCGCTATCTGTAGTTGCCCTCAGAGGTTAGCCCCATCGTACCACCATAATTCAACGCCACATACCGTTTTGGCCGTTGGCTGAATATAGCTATCGTTCACCGTCTTCGCCCCCTTCCCCACCGTGGTCGTAAACCATCCGAATCCCTTCGTCAACGCTGCCATGGGGTCTTTCTGGAAATCATCAAACCCCGGCAGGGCCCCAGAGCCTCCCGTGCGCTCTGTTCCCGTCGAAGCAGAGGGCGGCATCCCGCCCCCAAAACCCGTGAATTTGCCGCCCTGCGATGGTGGTAGGGACTCACTGCGGGTGGCATTCGCCGATCCCAGTGTGGCGAAATATGCCTCGTTGCGCTCCTTCTTGGTCGCGCCGGCACCGCCGTCAACCAGTCCGTCATGGGACGCGGGGGTGCCACCCCGCGCGAGAGGGGTGCTCGACCGTGACGACAAGTCCGGCTGTCTCTTCGGTGGTTGTGATGGTTGAGTTGTTTGGCCGGGCACATACTCCCTCCCCTCGATCTTCGCGGATAACCGCTCCTTCCATTCCTCTCCGACTTCGCCCTCGTAACGCTCCTTGATCGTTGAGTCCTCAAAGGTGCGGCCCTCGGATTGAGTGATGACGTGGGCGTCGAAGAAGGATTTCCAGGGCTCATTACCGCCTTGTTCCATGCGCATAATTTCCGCGGTCTTGAAGGCGTCCATGGTGATGGAGCGTACGAAGGAGATGTGCACTCCTAGGCCGCGGTGGGTACCGGCGCAGTTAAGGCAGATGAAGGTTCCGAATTTGGGAGATGCCTGGGTACGGCAAGCGGGTTAGCATGTGGAATATCTCTGGCGGAGCAGGGCGTGATGTCGAAGGAGCATGGGAATGGGATGGTGTCGTGACGTAGGAAGATGGATATGCAGCAAGGGAAAGTCAGTCATTAACCCACCCATTGGGGCGATGGGGCGCCGCAATCGCAACATTTGTCGTTTCCGTTGGTTTTGGAGATTAGGAGAAGCTGTTAACAGAGACCGGTCAGTAATGTGCCAAGACGTAGGGTGACGATAATTGAGTACAGTTGAGGGAGGTGAAGGACGGGGACATCGAGGGGTAACGGAGATGGTGAGAGTAGCAGTAACAACAAGCAAACAAGTGGCTCACCTTGGCCCTCGTCTCCGGATCAACCTCCCACATGCGAGACATGGCAGCTCAGGAACTCACTGATCAAGGAACAAACTAAGCACCGAAGGGGTTGCGGGACAGGAGGGCGATTGACTGCTTCTGCTTTGTTTATCGTGGTGGAAGAAAGAAGTGGTGGTTTCAGGCCAAGTGCAGCCGCGACAGGCGGGCAGCGGGCAGCGAGCAGCGGGAGCCGATCGGCGGCGCTGCCTCTGTTGCAGCCGCGGGCTGCGCTTGCTACTTCTCGTCCTATTCACCCACCACAATTGACGTAATATACAATAGTTAACCACTAAGTACCTGTATCTATCATGGATGGTCTAAGGGAACATTTGCTCAGCACCTCTTTCTAATGCAAGCATCTCGTCGTCTGATAATTCTACCGTCCTCGGTGGTATCGATGTCATACATATTAACAACCAATTTACTCAACTACAAGAAGCAAGCAGAGACACCAGATCATCATTACAAGGCCAGCCTTGCGGCTAATCATCAGTTCGATAAATGGGGGCTAAGATACAGGAGCACAAGAGAGCAAGATTCGTGAACAAAAGCCAGGTTCTTCCGTCACCACCACACATTACGGGGTTTTCGTCTCCCGCCTCACCGCACGGAGCCTTTTCGGGTATCCGTATATAGCAAGACATAAGATGGGTTATTGGAAAGAAAAGATGAAAAAAAAAAACCCCCTCCTCCCGCGTAGACCAACTCAATCAGGATGAAATCGTCCACAACTTTTTCAGTAGAACGTTTTCGGTGGCGGTCTTGTCATCTGTCCAGCCCCCGACTAGAAGAATGACAACACTCGCCGCCTGACGAACGACCACGACTAAGTACCGCTTCCAGATGACGGGTCCCGACTCTGTCGTCACCTCGGTCCCTCCCTGATTATTCCATCAGGGATCACTCGTTCAGGTGGGGAACGGACTTGTCCTTTACTCAGCAGCAGCAGCAGCAGCCGCTGGAGCAGCATTCTCCTGAGCCGGAGCCTCGGTGGCCTCGGTGGCCTCGGTGGCCTCGGTGGCCTCCTCGGTCTTCTCGGTCTTTTCAGTCTCCGGGACGGCATCATCTTCCTTGCCAGGACTGTCGATGGCAACCTTGACAGCAATCTCACGGCCCTCAATCTCCTTGCCGTTCATCTCGTTCACGGCCTTCTCCTGGAGCTCTTCGGAACCGAGAGTGACAAAGCCAAAGCCACGACCCTTGCGGCGCTCGTTGCGAGCCTGAAGCTTCTTGATCATAAAGCGGGGGATGGGGCGGAGAGCGATCTTGGCGGAAACGGGCTGGTAGTCGGCGAAGATCTCCTTGAGCTATAGGATTGGTTAGTCATGCACAGTGCCAGTAAACGTCGACTAGATCATACCTTGTCCTCGCTCAGGTCATAGGGAAGGTTGGCCACCATAACCTTGGTCTTAGAAGGGATTCCATCCTCAGGAGGGCCACGCTGTTTCTGGGCACGGGGAGCACGGGGCTTGCCGGCCTGCTTGGCAGCATCAGGGGCGGCAACAGTCTCGTTCTGGTTGGTGACCTCAGTCAAGGGGGCGACCTGACCAGGAACGTTGATGGGCTCCGTAGGGGCCTGCTCAGCTTGGGCCGGGGGCTGGAAACCGCGAGCATGTGTTAGCCTAAAGGGTGCTGCGAAATCACGACAAGCTGCAGATGAAACCTACCGAGCGTCCTCCACGGGGCAGGCGGCCACCACGACCGCGGCCACGGCCACGGCCACGGGCACGACCACCAGATCTCTTGCGACCTTCAGCACCGCTGGCGCCCTCACCGCCACTTGCGACACCCTCAGCCTTGGCCTCAGCAGGCTCAGGCTTGCGGGCGAGCTGCACAGAGACCTTGCGCTGAAGGATCTCCTTTCCAGACAGCTCCTCGATAGCAGCGGTCGCCTCGTGAGCGGTGGCCAAGTCCACGAAGGCATAGCCAACGGGACGGTTGGTACGGGGGTTCACAGGAATGGAGACGCTCTCACTAGGTGATGACAGTTGATTAGTATGGCGGTAAACTAGAGACCATTTATCTGTCGAGACGGATCAGGCAGAAGGAGGTAACAGAAGCGCCCGAGGCACAAGTCCCACTAAAGGGGCTACAAATTCAGAGACGACCACAGCTAAAGCGAAACCCGGTGTGCGCACGAGGGATCGAATTATTCTCAATTCTGCGCGATCATTCCCAGCTACTTGTGGATTGTGGATTGAACGCCGCTCAGACCAAGGGAAAGAAGAGGCCAGGTGGACGGAAGCACGAGCAACAGGAAGGAGCAACACTTACATCTTGTAGTTCTGGAAGAACTCCTTGAGCTCCCCCTCAGTGGTCGCATAAGCGAGGTTCCCAATGTACAACCGACGTCCTTCATCGGCACTGGCAGCGGCCGCGTCCGTAGACTGGGCAGGAGCAGGAGCAGTGCCGTTGGTGGTAGCCTCCGGGGCGGTGGCGGCGGGGGTAGCGGCGACGTTATCGGTGGTGTTTTCAACGGCAGTAGACATCTTGAAGGCTGAGGACACACAAAAGGTCGAGGGAGGTGATTCAAGGTGGTAAGGTGGTGGGGGGGGGGGGGGGGGGGGGGGGGGGGGGGGGGGTGGGGGGGGGGGGGGGGGGGGGGGGGGGGGGGGGGGGGGTTGCGCGCGCGGATTGACTTGACCGGGGGATGTGTGCAGGTGTGTCGGGGATGCAACAAAGGACTCAGGAGAGCTTGAGGCTGCCTTGTGCTTGAGGATTGAACGTGGGAATTAACTTGAAGAGGGGGGGAAGATGGAGAAGAAGAAGAGGGAGGAAGGAAAAGGGTAGCTTGGTGCCCTAGATACGAAAGTTGACGGAGAGAGAGGGGGGGAAAGTGAAATTGAGTTGCAGAGGAAGAGGAAGAAGATTTGTCTTGAGGAAGGATGAGGTCGACTGGGGGGTGGGAGGGCGGCGAGACAAGGAGAAGGTGAGAGAAAAGGGCAGGCGACGAGGGAGGTGGTGAAACTAAACCTAAGGAGGTATTCTGATGCCTGAAGCTGCCTGAAAAGGCCCTTGATGCCTGGAGGGACTAACAGACTAAACCCGAAATAGACGCCCGACGTGGACTTTCCGGTCGGGCGGTCTAGGCGGTGGACGTCTGACATCACTGCTGCCCTCTTGCTTTGACTCACTTTCTCATCATCGACCTTCAGGCAGGAACAAGTCTCCTTCCCTCTCAATCAAGGATGCTCTTCCTCTCCTCCTCTCCCCCTCTCGTTTTATCTTCTACGTATTATTGTTCCATGTTGACACTTGAATAACTGAGACATCAATTGCGATTCCTGACTCCTTCCTCCCCCCCCCCCCCATCCTTTGAAATGGTTCTTTCCATTAGTCAGGCGTCCCCCCTCTCGATCGCTCCACTACTTCACCTGTCCCACTATGACTTTCTGGCTGCCCTGCTTTCCCGTGGTGGAGTCTCGCTCTATCGCGAACCTTCCTCAAATTGCGCATTACCCCTCAGTACCCCTCCTCCTCCGATCTCGCCAATTCCCTAGTATGACTGTCACTTGAGACAGCTTCGCATTGATGCATTTCAGGAGCTTTATGCACGAATTAAGTAGACTTAAGTACCATTAAGCTCTCGGGACCAGCCCGGGGGATCCTCGCTGCAATCAACCAATAGCCAAGCACATCTTTAGACTATGGGGGGGAGCCGCCAACTCGCCTGATGAGGCTGTATTGACAGGCTCAACAGATATGTAGTTGTGTCACGACGTGATTGCGAGACCAACTTTTGAACCCTTCATTCGCTCTTGCAGATCCTGCTCGCTGAAGACAGCCGTGTTTATCGCATCTTCCGCAAATGGGGAGAGTCTTCTGCGAGCATTGCGTGTGGCATGCTTTTTGCTGGCTGCCTCTCGTCGTTGCTCACTGGGTGTGTGCTTGGTCCCAGGTAAGAGATTTTTCTGTCCCTTCTCAACGGCCATAGGCAATGTGCTGCTGTTCCCGCCTCTCTCTCCGTCTTGACTAACGACGGGATCTGGACGCAATGTCGTTGGTGTGCTGCCAGCCTCAACAGAAACAGCTTCCATGAAGTCCTCCGGTCCCTGCTGAGGCGGATACCTCTCTGAGGAAGGGCCAATCTTTCGACGCTTTGAGCTACTTATATCGTCATCTTCAGATGAGGTTGGCATTGTTGGGACGGTTGCATGAGTGTCTTCGCTCATGTCGCTTAACTTATCGTGTTGACGCTTCAGGCCTGTGGTGTTAGTCTTCTGGCCTGCTGACGAGCCCGACTTGGGAGCAGACATGTCATGAGGAGATCTTTCAGAGTCTTCGCTGGTGCTTGTTGGCTTCCCCTCCGCAACATCCTTGACCGATAGCAAAGGTACATCGGATGATCGGGGCGGGGCATCAGGCGGAGAGGGGACAGTGCTAGCAGATGGCCTCAATCGTGACCGCTTCTTTGCTTTCCCAGAGGTAGTCAGCAAGACCTGCTCAAAATGAGCGGCCCACATTGCTATCATGTGCTGCCCGTATTGTGCTATGCTTATGTTGCGGTCTCTATGCTGTGTGAAGGTTGGATCCGAGAGAGGCGCGAGGACTAGGGCACTCATAGCCCCGGCGAGATGGCTCTGGCTGCAACCATGACAAGCTGCGAATTCCTCGTACGGAAACGTGACTGCAATCTTGGTGGCCATGTCGGCAAAGAACTGGTCAGTGTATGGCGAATGGGTGTCTTCGTCGCGGCAAGTCGGGCTCAAAGGAGTCTGCACTGTCTTGGAGATAGTCTTTTTGGCCTTTCCTGCCATGTTAGCGCCGCCGATTGAAGCAGAGTCAGAATTAGAATTAGAACTAGAATCAGTTATGGCTGATTGTAGATCGCTGGTGAAGAATGGTCACCACGATGATATGCGATTCGAATTGCTAGTGCTTACGCAGGAAGGGAAGAAATCGAGACAAACCAGAGGATGCAAATTGAGATGTCCTGATGATGGTTAGGAAGAAGAGAATGTTTATGAAGGCACTGCTGCACGTTGTTACTTTGAGAGTATCATTGTCTGGCACCATTCACAGGGAAACATGCAGAGGTTGGAAGACTGAAAGCTTGGATGATTGAATGAAGCAGTGAATCAATCAGTGAATGAATGAATGAATGAATGATCTGACTTGCATCTAGTATCTTTGAAGTGAATTGTATACGAAGGTTGCAAGAATCGGAGTGTGCCACCACCCGCGGTCTGGGCCGGGTCCAATAATAATGGATAAATTAAGCTTTGGTCCCTTCCAACGCCCACTTGCTCACTTGCCCGTGGCTTTCGCTCGTCTTCCTGCTTTTCCTCTTCCTTATTCTCTCTTTTTTGCCTCCCTCAGAACATCCCCTCCATCCCCTTTCGTGCCTGGTGAATACCCTTTTGTTACTATCTTTTAACCCTTATCCCATCAGGTCTCTGTTGGCCTGCAATGGATTCTATTGAGCCTGTCTCTGGTGCCTCTAATTCTCCTCCACCCGACCACCTCCGACCGACGTCATACCCGGCACGACCACGGGCGCCTTCGCTGCGCTCGCGACGGCCCTCTATCAGACTCCAGCGCCTCCCTTCCTTTGACAGTTCTGGTGTACAGTCCCAACGCAATGCACCGACTTCCAATCGACCGTTAGCCTCACAAGTCGATCTTACCCTATCCAGGCCCGATCCGGACGATGAAGACGATGATGCCTGGCAGGGAAACCGTCGCCGCAGCAGCTCCGAGCCCCGACCGGGACGATGGTCAACTGCCCCCAATCCGGTCCTCCTCACTCGGTTCGCGACAGGAGAGCAGATGCACACTCTTCACGAAGAAGCCTCTCCACAGAGTCCCGGAGTAGCCGCTGATTCTGTACCACCGTTGCCACAGCAGAATCCTGAATCACTGCAAATTCCACGACGGGGGAGTCGCGGCTTCATGCGCTGGTCGAGTGGGGTGCCCGCCAACCGCTTTACGAGGAATCGCGCGTCAACCGTGAGTGGGAGTGCACCGACTCAGACGGCGGACTCAGGCGACGAATATCGGTCTCATATTGTGGATGTCCTGGATGTGATCGGTAAGTCGCCGTCCTTGTCGCACGACTCAACCCCGCAGGCCCCACTGATATCAGTATCCCGCAGATCCCGAGGTGTCGGCACTTTCCACCCTCACCAATGTCCAAAACTCACTCTTCGTTCCTAATCTGGGGCCTCTCTTGAACCGTAATCAGACCTATACTCTTTCACCACCGCCTGCACCTCTCAGAAACATTGAATCGTCGACAAGTGATGAGGGCGAAGATGAGGGCTACGGAAAGGGCCAGGAGCCCGCCGTTCGTCCTTCCATCGAGCACACCCTCACTTCCGTGGTTGATGAAGGTGGCGGGCCTCGATTTGCTGTCCTGCCTGAAGGTAGCGATCTTGCCGGTTGGTCTCCCGAGGAGATCGAAGAACTGAACGACCATGTCCGGCATATGTTGCACTCGCGGAGATCCAAGTTCAAGCGTGCCATGAAAGGTTTCGGGAAATATGTCTCTAAGCGTATGTCTGAATATCACTACGGGACGAGCAGGTCACTAACGCACTGGTTTCATAGCGTTGGGATTCTTGGTCACATTATATGCCACGTTGATTACGCTTTTCGGTCTGGCGTGGGTGTTGTTCTTGATCGGTGTGTATTCCGTCCCATTCCGCTGCAAACATGCTGACCGTTCAACAAGGTTGGATCAACGTCGGAGGCCGGCAGTCGTATCTCATCAATGTCATCGACAATGTTCTCGTGGCCCTGTTTGCCGTCATGGGTGATGGTTTGGCTCCGTTTCGCGCCATTGACACATATCACATGATTTTTATCGCACGCTATACCTTCCTGACATGGAAGATCCGCCGAAAGCGCCGACTCCCCGACCTCAAGAACAAGAACGATCTGCCTTCACGCCGAGAAGAGGACGTGGACGTTGAATTCGGCGACACTCCCAAGGAGGAGGAACACGAGTTCAGCGTGCTCGGACCGGCGCAGCAGGCTAAATTGATCCACCATCAAACCAAGCTTGCTAATTCGCACACCTTCTACAAACCACACGAGACTTTCACCCACCATGCCTTCCCGCTGCGCATGCTCATTGCTATCGTGGTCCTGCTAGACTGTCACTCGCTGTTCCAAATTGCCCTAGGCGCCTGCACTTGGGGGATCAGCTACCACGTGCGCCCATTTGCGTTGACCACTGTCATCCTCTGCTGCTCGATCTGCTGCAACATCTCCGGCGGTGTTCTGATTATGATCGGCGATCGGAGGACTCGCAAGAAGGACGTCGTTGAGCGCCTCTTCCGACAGGAGCTCACGCAAGAAGCCATGAAGAAGATGCGGAAGAAGAGACGCAAGGAGGAACAGAGCAAATCCGAGCACCAATCCCCCTTGACTCGTTCTCATTCGACCTCGTCGCGGACTGAAGACACGGAACCGTTCCCGACGGTGTCTTGATCTGCGTCGTTCGACTGATAACTGCTTTCCCACGCGAGGGATAATGCACGCTATCTCTACGAAGCCACGACCGCTACACCAGACCTATACTTTGCTGGACACTACGAATAATAAACCTACACCCAGCGGCATCATCCGTTTTAATCCGTTCCATAGAACCTATCCACCCCAGGAACAACGATGGTATACTAAAAAGACACGTCGTCCTAGATGGGTCGTGGCTTTTCACTAGGAGCTCGCTGTTTGCTTTTCTGCTATTTACTTGTCAATATCTTGATTTTGATGATATCACTTTGGTTGATCAACGCATATATATATATCGATATCCCGTTTGCTGTTTTCAAAACTAGCTTATTTTGATTTACTCGCCTCCGGCACCTTGATACCAAGAGCAAGTTACTTTCTTCTACCTCTCCATTTCTCTCGTTTTCCTCTAGACGATGTAGTCCAGCGGATGTAGAGTCCAGCATAGGAATTGACGACACCAATCATGAATCCAAACAGTCCTTCTTCCTCCCCAGATAAAGCTACGCAACCACCCCAAAGCCTTACAATCTCACACCACGCAAATAACCCACACTTAATACTCCAGCCCAGAACCAAGACAAAACAAAGGAAATCACTCCCAGCTTCAACAAAGAGAAGCCCAGCGGCACCACCCACTTAGAGCCACCACACCCGAAGTATAGAACTGAAGCTTGATACTCACTCAAAGCTCGTCTCGTGCACGGGTGCTGTCCTGTACTGTTCTGTGCAGTAACTTACACCAAGCAAACAGTCAAGAAGTAAAGCCCCAACCGTATCTGAACCAACCACGCTTCTCCCATTCCTCTTTGGATGTACTCCATACGGTACAGTACCATCCTTATCCCCACACAATCTAGACTAAACAAGACAGTAAAACCAACCAACCAACCAACCAACCTTCCTTCATCCCTCACCCCACAAAGCCAAACCTCCCCACCCACCACCCATCCCCAAAGAAAAGTCCCGACATTTCCCCATCATCGACAAAGCAGACGCATCGCCATAAGCTTGACTCTATCAAACCAAACGACCCTAACCCCCACGAGAACGACCCCATGCAAGTGTGCTGAACCAGACAAAGTGCCATGCAAAGAAGGGATTCCTGATCTAGGCGCATGCATATATAAACCCTCACGCACGCACATGGACTCCCCCAGCGTCCTTCCTACACTCCCCTATCCCAAGCCATCCCAACCCAACCCAACCAGACAAACTCACCAGCTAACAGCTAGCCAACAGCTAGCCGAACTAACCAGCCAAACTAACTACATACTCAAAGCACAGCCAGCCAGCCAGCCAGCCAGCCATCACCACTCACTCACCCACACCCAAAGGACCTACCTTTAACCAAAATGTGCGAGCAAGTCTACAGCCACTACGCGGGGTGCAACCACCTCTACCGCACCGACATCCAGTGGTGCGAGGTGGCTAGGGCGCGGTCACGGCCGCGCGAGCCGTGCCGGCCGGCCAAGGATCTGCCGATGGTGCTGTCCAAGTGGGAGCGCGACAACGTGGGGCTGTGTGACCGGTGTCTGGACCTGAAGCTGTACGGGGTGCATAATGCGCGGACGACGCGGATGGGGTGGTACTGAATTCCTCAATATCCTGTCTATCCCCTTAGGGATTGAAGGAAAAAGCGGAGTTTCAGGATGGAAGGATAGAATAGGCCGAAAGGCAGGGTGGTGTTGCGTTAAGGGGGGGTAGGGTGGTTTCTCTAGTTTTCCCTACTTCTCCTCGGTAGATGAGACGCGGTTTAATTTAGATTATTTATCTTATTTTCAGACGTCAAAATTCCCAGGTATGGCATCAAATGAGTAGAGTTAGATAAAGAAACGATTCCAGCTAGTTAGGGCTGGGGTCTAGCCTGGTATCGGCCGCTGTATAGACATATAGTGAAGGAGCGAGTGAGGGTTGGGTTCATATACAAACAAAAAGAAAAGCTCACGCTAGACACTGATTATCAGAGCGGAGATAAAGTTTTCAACGATAGACCAGGAAGTAACTGAAAAAAAAAATGATAAGAAACAAACAAATAGCCAGCATCAAGCATGCAAATCCCAGATTGTTGATGCTCAGAGGGCAACTGCTGGATTCGACTCAGATCAGAAATTAAATCAAGTGTGCCGACCACACAAAAACTCGCTCAACAAACATGAAGTGTAAAAAAAGCCACGAGAGACTAGGTCCAACTACCAGCCAAGCAAGGACTGGACCTGTACAAAGTCATATAGTACTGTAGTTGTCGCTTTTGTCTGAGGGAGAACCAGACATTATTTACAACTCCCGGTGGATGGGTTCTTGCTCCACTGGTTTGTCGTCGGATCGGCGGCTAGAAAGAATCTTCTCTAGCGTGTCGAGCCGCTCGCGCGTGGACCGGATGGCATGGTCCATCTCGAGATCAGACATTCTCTCTTCGTTCACTCTGCCTGCGAGCGCACGCTCTCCTTGCATCTTTCTCGACAGATGGTGCGTCCGCGAACCGGCCGGCTGGCTGACCGTCGGAAAAGCAAGGCCATCCATGCCAACCCGATCTTCCAGCCAGCTCCAGAGCTCACTTTCCTCTCGGCGCCACATCTCTTCATAGGCAGCGAGACGCTGAGGCAAGGAGTAGCCCGGACACCCGATATCGTGAGACATCGTCGACGACTGGGAAGGACTTCGGAAGAAGAGCATGAAGAGTAGGACGCCGATGATCAGAATGGTGACATTGCCGCTCAACAAGGGCGTGACCATGTCCAATATAGGTCCCAGGACCCCATGTAGCGGTTCCAAGGGCCCCCACGATTTTGCTTTCTCAGCAGCAGCCTTCTCTGTTACCTTTGTCTCCGCCGCAGAGTCTTCCTGAGCAGACTCGCCCCTCTTGCGGCGGCCTTTGCCTTTACCGGACTTGGCACCACCAGCGCGACCACGAGGTGCAACTGCAGCCTTGAGAGCGTTTACAAGTTCGGTTCCGAACGAGGTTTGGCCATCAATGGCGCCCTTTTCAATAGGACCTAGTCACTATCAGCACACCTGCTACCAGTCTTAGGTCACTTTCAAAGAACATACCTTTCAGCCAGCTTTTTCCGGACCACTCGATAGTACAGGTCATCAGGAACCGGGTTTGGTTGTTCGCCGCCCAGGTGAAAAGGTATTTGGTCTTCGTACAGAAGACATTACCGCTCGGAACATCGGGCGTTTGGGTACTCAAAGTGACCAGCACTGCCTTCTCCAGATCCAAAAAGTCCAAGTTCTCGGTGCTGATGCATTTGGTCTGCTTGGGTCCAATGGATCCATTGAGTGGCTTGATATACGAGTATTTCCGGGTTTTACTCTCGTTGGTGAGACCTTTGTTCCCACTCTCAAACTGGAGCTCGCCAGACTTCTGGTTCTCGACCAGAAACTTGGGTACGAATGCGCCTGATGCGGGGCCGAAAATGTAGGAGTATACTTTGCCGAGAGGAGCAGGGATAATTTCGTCCTTGATCACCTTATCATACTGGCCCGAGGGATCAGTGAACTCAGTAGGCGCGTGGGTAGCGGGTCCCGGGAAATCCGTATCACCGTCGCTGGGGGAGCTCGCCTTGCTACCTTTGGCCTCACCGTTCGAAGCCGACTGCCCGTTATTGGCACCTTGGAGGAGACCTGAAGCTTGGCGACTGATTGTCTTTGAGGGGACTGACTTCTCACTGCCTTGAACACTGGTGGCTCCTTCGAAGATGCTGTCGGCATTGTCGCCTTCCTCATCCTCGTCGTAAATCTCATCTTCCTCGTCACTTTCCACATCGCTTTCAACGGCCTTCTCCGTCTTGTCTCCGGTGCCGTCGGTGACCCTGGTTCCGTTTGCCGAGCTCTTGAGGGCAGGATGGTTGATCTTCCAGATATTGACCATAAGATCATAAGTGGACTCTCGACTCAGAAGACTACGGAAGGTGTGTCGTGCATGAAGCGTCTGGATCGCAATCGCATTTGGAAAGACCATCGCAGTTGATTCCTTCTCAACCGCCACAATTTCATCGAAGCTGATAACGAGAGTTGTTACCCATCCCAGAATGTTGCTGGAGAAACAGATATGCCCCTCCGAGATGTAGATGCGACCAGCCAGGATGATTTCTCGCTGCAGGGCGCAGCTATAGTCCTCAATCAAGTAGTCATCCTCGGGGACACTGCGGAACAATTGATGGAAGTCCCGGTTACGCTTTTTGCTAGCAACAGCGAACCCGGTGAGCCGCGGCACACTAGCATTAGCCCCAGGAGCCCCTAGGGCTATTGCGCTGGCACCAATTGCGCCGATAGTCGATGTGGTTGCTCCAGATGAGCCACGATTTCTCCGATGGGCCATTCGGCTTCGAATGCTACCACTTCGATATGGCCGGGTCCCTCCCAACTCGCCCTCTACAACACTGCCACTGGGCGTCGTCTGGTTCCCGGTCCCTTCCCTGGTGAGCGATGTGCTGGATTGGCCATCAACACCATCATCCATGGGCGGAGCGAGAGACGGGGTGGCCGGTTGCTCGTAGGCCATGGTGACTGCTCGAGCAGCGCGGCTATCTTCCAGTCTAGCAGCTTCCTCATCACGCTGCAGAACGCCAGGGCCTTTGCGCCTATCTGATGGTAGCTCAGGCTTTGTGATCACCACCCCGTCTGGAGTCGAGACTGATCCACCAGGAGGAATTGCTATGTCCAAGTGGCTAAAATCCAGGTTACCCGATCCCAGGGTATCAACAGCCATGGGCTTCTTATCGTCTGACTTTCTGCTTTCCACCGCCTGAGTTGAAATTTCCTGTTTCTCGGCGATAGCACGATTGTCGTGCTCTCCCGTCCCTGCTTGACTGACGCTGCGACCTTTGGATTGCGCATTGAGACTGCTGCTGAGGGACGATGCGGCATTCTGTGCGGCAGAAAAGACCGACGAAAAAAAGCTCGACTGCTGGGCACTTGGGGGAGGTTTCGATGTCGCCTTCGTCTCCTCTGCGGTGGGGCCCATAGCAGATATCGAATTCGACAGCTTGCTCGGTTTGTGGCTTGCAGCGGAGGCAGACCGCACACGACGATGGGAGATCATGTTGCCAGACGGGCTGATTACGACACCGTCCTTCGAGTGCATCGAGTCGGGCGAGGCCGCCACTTCCGGAGAGGCGAAGAACTTGGGGAATTCTGTTGTCCGCGGAGTCGGAGGGGTTATCGTGGTCGAGGGTTGCGGGATCGCTGTGTGGGGAGGCGTCCTTGGAGCAGGAACCTCCAAGGAGGAGAGTGGTTTGTCCTCCTTTAAATCCGTCAAAATCGGGGCCGGGATTTTGGGAACAGGCTCGTCTTCAACTATGACAGGGGCCTTCTTTGCCGACACACTACCACTTCTGCTTTTCGTGCTTTTCGTGCTTTTCGTGCTTTTCGTGCTTTCTGCGGATGTTGAGTTTGTTCGATCTCGATTGGGCTTCTTCTCCGAGTTCGACGTGAAGGGATTCTTGAATCGTCGACCAGGAGAGGTGCCCCTCTTCTTTCCAGATGAAGGTACACTCAAAGTATGACCGTGTTGGCTAGTGGGCCTTGAGCGTTCCGAGTCTGGAATCGATTCTGGACCGGCACTTGGACCGCTGACGACCGACTCAAGATCTCCCGGGGTACCATCATCGGTTGCTTCCACGGAGGTTGTTTTGATCAAAGGGGAGGACGAGGTATAGAAGCCACTGTGGGAGTTGTGCGAGGTGAGTGGTGGCGTCCTAAGCAGAGAACAGTCAGTCAATCCGGGTTTCATTGTTGTGAGTCGGCTACACTCACCGATCCGGTTCGGAGTCATCTGTGAGGAGGTTGATAGCGTCGTTGTCCGGAGGGGGCGGCAGCTCGTTGATCAGAGACGGATTCCCATTCCACGATTCGTTTGAGCGACTGTCCTGTATGTGCTGGTCATCCTCCAACTCATACTGAGTTGGCAGCTCGTCTGGTTGCTTCTGGGTGTCCTTCCTCTTTTTCTTGTTGCGACGCGCGGCTAGTAGCTTGGAGAATCCGCTGGAGCCTGCCTTGGCGGAGTCCGCATCGCCGGACTGTGATTTCGGTCTGTCGGAGGTAGAGTCGATGGACGAGGAGCGGCCATTGCTGCGACCGGAGCTGGCCATGGTCTCGAGATCTATGGGAGTCGTCTTGGTCCGACCGGACGAGCTCAGACTTCGTAGGTCGGACGAGGGGGGCGGAACGGGGTCGGAGAGGAGAGATTCGTCCATGGCGGCAGGAAGTATGAGGGCGTAAGCGGAAAGGGGGAAGGTGGCTTGTTGATAGTGATATACAGAGGGGAAAAAAGGGAACTTGAAGGACTGGATCAAACTATGAACATTGAATGAAGCATGATCGAGTGTAGAACCGGTCTATCTCTCTAACCAATTGTCGCTATAGTAGGATCGCAGGCGAAGATCACTGAAGGAGAAGATGAGGGGAAACGGAAAGACAAAGTTGCTGGAGAGGTTCGCAGAACCGCAACAATGAATTGTCCTTCTTGGGATTAGGAAATGGATTTCTTCAAGAGCTTTGAAGAGATGTAACCCAAGAGAAGGAAGCGACGCGAAAGGAGGGGGAGGTGGAATTGAGAACCGGATCAGGGGAAAATGTGGATTGGGGGGGGGGGGAAGAGAGAGGGGGAAGAAGTGCGGAAGAGATGGAGGCGGCAATGACGACGAGTAGCAGCAACAGGAGGAAGAGAGAGAGTAGAGGTTCAGCCTTAAGGTTGAGGCCGACACATTGAATCAATAAGCTAATGAATAATAAATGCTTCTAGCCGCCTCTCCACAAACCAAACAGTACGAATACGATCCATCTATCTTCAGCTGTAGTGGAGCACCCCCCCCCCCCCCCCCGATCGACAAACCAACGATTTGACACATTCGGTGTAGCCGGAAATAATTTGGGACTCTTGGAGGTCTATTGTTAGCCTGAGACGGTCGGAGGTCTTTCTGGCAAGACTTCTAGACTCTCCTATCTACGGAGGAATTCAATACTGATTGAATCTATAAAATCTCCTGTCGGGAATTTTTAAAATAGCAGGGAATAACGTACGCAGTACTTATACAATACACCGCTCTGTCACATCCATACGGTACCTGTCTCTTCTGCTCTACCGGATTGGGAGGCCAACAGAGAGCGACAGTCAAGCTCACCTCCCGAAACGGGTAATGTTACCGTCACATTTAGTCGTTGCGGTGAATCTTCCCATTTTCCCCTCGTCAATCATGGCGTCACTCCAACCATCCAGGATATCTCCTCATCTTGCTCTTATCAGTACCTCAATAAACCTTCCCTAGGTTTTCCCGGTGCCTTGAATCATCCCAGTATTTTAATTCCTGGCCAATAATATCCGATTGTTCGATCAGGAGATACAAAGTCCCCTAACTAATCTACAGCCATGGAGTCCGCTCCTCTTACTTTGGTGAGCCCCCCCCCTGGTTTACTTCTCCATGCCAACTCAGCCTCGGAAAGAGCCTAGCCTGACCAACCTTTCGCTCGGATCTAGGCTCATACCCACGCTCGCAACGCGGTCCTCGAAACTCGCAAGTCGAATCCCGTGGCAGCAAGCGAGGAACACGATCTTGCCGCAGGCGAATTTGCAACTGCAGCCCAGCACAGCTCGGACCGTGAGGTGCGTTTCCGTAGAGTCGTCCATACATAGGGGGGCGCTTCAACTCACTCTGGTCTCCGTCAACATAGGCTCTTCGAACCCTCCATCTGCTGGAACAACACCACAAGAAACTCGCGCAGATTCTCCGGTTTCAGCATGAGAACCCTTCCAGCCCTGCCTCGACTGGGGGGAATCCCCTGGCTGTGTCCGCGGAGGCTGGCACCACCAGGAATTTGGCAGTAGGAGCAGATGCACAGCAGCAACCTCCTCGACTGTCAGGACACCCACGGCTACCGTCAAGGGAGTCTTCTTCGATCGTCAGCAACCTAGCGTCGGCCCGTGGCATCCCGTCACAGCCCCGTCGCTCGTCTCCGGCCTCCCCTACCCTCACGTCCCAGCAAGCGGGGGCGAAAATGACCGATGGCCCCGCCAAGATCCGGACGAGCGAGTCGAGACTGCGCGGCATGCAGGCCCATGGAATGAAGGAACGGGGCAGTCGTGCATCGACATCGAAACAGCCGCGGACGCCACCCCTGGCCAGTCCCACCGATATCACCTCGCAGCAGTTTGCGCCGCCGAATCCTTCCGAGTCCGCTCCGCAGAAGAGCCGGTCCTCTGTGACCGAAGAGCCATTCCAGAAATTTTATTCGACCTTCGAGGGTTTGATCTCCAAAATCTCGGCCCCCCTTGCGTTTGCCGGCCTGCCGCTTGGGTCGGAGGCATCGGAATCATCCGCCCACCGCAAGGCCGCCCCGGATACCCGGACTGACCGGTACAATGCCATGTCCGACCGGCCTCACCACCATGCGGACCCAGATATCAACAAGATCTTCTCCAAGGCTGCCCTGCAGGCGATCCGCGATACGACTGGAGGCGGAACGACGGGGAATCCCGCGGAGTCATTCTACGTGGTGCCTACCACCGGTGGGACCGTGTCATACGCGGGGATTCTCACTCGAGCGGAGAAGGAAGCCCGCAGAAACAGCATGGATGAAGGGGATGAGGACTTCGTGGATGCGCGAGAGACCCCGTCCTCGCCCGAACTCCGCCAGAGCTTGTCTGGAATCCAGGGCAGCAGCCGAGCCGGACGAGGGAACGACAAGCTCAACAGCCTCCAGAACCCGAAGACCATGGAGGAGCTGCAGATGGAAAACCAAGCGTTGCGACAGCTGTCGGATACGCTGTCCAAGCGGTTGCACATGTGGAAGGTTAATGCGCAATCGTCGTCGATGGCGTTGCAGCAGTCCCTGAAGGCAATGCATCACCCGAACACCCACTCGCCGGACCAGCCCGCTCCAGGCTCGTCGGCTGCTATGTCGCCCGTGGGAGACTCGGTGTTGCCCGCAGCTGAACAGGACCACCGCATCAAAGAACTGGAGGAGGCCATGCGACGCAGTGAGAAGGAGATGAGTCAAATGGGGCGGGAGAATGAGAAGTTGCGCGACGTACTGGGGCGGTACCGAGAACGGTGGGAGAAGCTGAAAGAAGGCGCCAAAACCCGGCGGGCCGCGGAGAGCAAGGCTGCTGCTGGGGGAAATGGGGGAGCAGCCGCCGCGCCAGCTGCACGAAATCCCAGCTCACAGGGGGACGAAGCCACTCCAGCCAAGGATGGTGACACTGAGAACGACCCAGCTAGCAATGATGCCGAGACCAAGGTTGAGGGGTCTGATTAGTGATCAGTGATAGTGACCCGGGTGAAAAGTGTTTCATTCGTCTACTAGCGGTCTTAAGCCCACTTGATATGTTAATACTTATGCTACAATTCTGGTGCATGTCCACAATGGACTCCAGTGAAAAGTGAATTCCAGCTATATTCAGAACTCAACACATCTCATAACCCCAGTCCATCACCATCACTGACACTCAATCGCTTTTCTCTCCGCCTGCCTCCGACACCACTCCGCCGCGCCCCGATACGAGCAATTATAGTCCATAAACTCAGCCGGATTCATCGCCACGCGGATGGAGTCCGCATCCGTCGCCGGCCTCGCGACCTGCCGACTGTACGCCTGGATCGTGGAGGCGCGCTCGAACCGACACTCAAACACCCTGCGCAGCACCGCGCCCACCTCCTCCGCACTCAAATGCTTGCCGGCCACCTCCAACTCCTCGAAAAAGGCGCCCAGCGCCTCCGCATCCTCAACCGCCTGACTAGCTCCCTGGCCCTGCGTCGGCAGCATCGCATGCGCCGCATCGCCCACCAGAATCACCCGTCCCCGGCACCACGTGCGCAACGGATCCAGATCGCGGAGCTGCCACAGCCCGACCTCCTCCGCCAGCCGGAGGGGCGTCTGCGCCCACGCCGGGAAATCCTGGAAGGTCAGCATCATCTTCGCATGATCGCCCTCCGTCGTCCAACTCGTATCCCGGGACGACTCATTCATGCGCTCATCCGGCACGAGCGCCACAACGCCGTAGATCGAGCCGCTCCGCGCCGGGCCCATGATCAGCCGACGGTCATCCCCGACAACCATCGTCGTTTGCGGGGCGCGGGGATCCACGACCCCCGCGAAGACAGGCTCCTGCATCAACTTCTCCGTCGGGATCATCATGCGATACGCACAGAGGCCCGTCGGCCGCGCCTCACCCTCCCTTTCCTCGGCACCAGCATCGGGGCCCAACACCGCCCGCCGCACCAGACTCTTGATCCCATCCGCCCCCACCACCACATGCCCCGCCACCACCTCCCCAGTCTCCAACTGCACCGCGCCGCGCTCGCAATCCACCGCCCGCACCCGACAGCCTGTGCGGATCTGCACAGCGTCCCCCGGGTACCCGGGATCAGTAGCGCGCTGCTTCAGGGCCTCGTGCAGGTCCGCGCGGTGGTAGATCATGCGCTCGGCGCCGTAGCGGTCGCGCGTGCGCAGCGGGACGCGGTTCTGGAGCTGGCCGGTGAGGTCGTAGACCTCGAAGGCGGAGTCGATCATCGCGCCGCGGGCGCGCAGGGCGGCGGCCAGATCCCACTGCGTCTCGACGATGCGGGAGGCGTTGGGCTGCAGCGAGATGGTGGCGCCGATTTCCCGGTGCAGGGGGGATTGCTCTAGGATTAGGATTTCGCGGCCAGGGGCGCGGAGGGCGATTGCCTGTACGTCATTTGATCAACACTGTATATAGGGATGTAGGTAGTAAGGGGAGTGTGGGCAGTAGGGGAAGGTCAAGGGCTGAGGAGTAGGGGCACGGTGGACGTACAGCTGCGAGGCCGGCGATGCCGCCGCCGACGATGATGATTTTGAAGGGCTCCATTTTGTCGCTGTCGCTGTCGCTGTCGCTGTCAGTCTCCCGGGGAATCCTGAATGCAAATGAAAGCGAAAGCACTTTATGCGAATTACCTTTGACCTCGAACGGGGAATTCCCAAGTGTAGGTACCGTAAGGTCCGCTGACCTGACCTCGGCGCCCGCATCCTCCCCCGAAGACCTCCCCACACCCCGGGGGAGGGGCCGAGAGTGAGAGATGGGGCGCTCGGGGCCCTCCGAGCCCTAACCTCGGCGCAGCTCGGTGCAGTCAAGCCTCACCAGCACGCATCTCCAGGATGAAAGGTATATACATGCCCCCAGTACCCAAATCCCACATCCATCCAACCCAGCCAAACACAGCACAAATCAATTCACTCCTGAACCAGAGTCCCAAAGAGAACCCGCCAAAATGTCCACCACAACAACCACCACCACCACCACCACCACTCTCCCGCCCCCCGAACCCACCCCCCAGAAATCCAAGCTCTGCGGCACCAACCGCATGCCCTTCGACGGCCAACCCACCGCCTACAACGACTTCCGCGACGCCCTCTCACGCGACGGCTACGCGGTGATCAAGGGCGCCATTCCGCGGGAGCGGGCGGATAAATACGCGGATGCGTTTCTGAGTTATCTGGAGGGATTGTATGCCTTCATCCCCCTCCCCTATCCCCTCCCCTATCCCCCCCCCCTGTATAACCAAAGCAGCTAACTCGACGACAAGCGGACTGGGCTACGACCGCCACGACCCGAGCACCGTCCGGCGCGCCAACCTGCCCGTGCTGAACGAGAAGGGGATGATCCAGGCGTATGGGGTGACGCACGAGCAGTGGGTGTGGGACATCCGGGGGGAGGCGGGGGTGATCGATGCGTTTGCCAAGGTGTACGATGACGAGGAGTTGATTGTGTCGTTTGATGTGGTGAATGTTGGGTTTGTGAAGTAGGTCCCTCCCTTGTCCTTGAAGTTGGGTTTGGGTTTGGGTTCGAGGAAGTGGGGAAGTGTATGATGGTGATGGCTAACCTGTGGCAGTCGCGAGGATTTGCCCGAGAAGTATATCCCCCCTTCCTTTGCCTTTGCCTTCCAGGGTACAGAATACTGATAGAAGATAACAGCAAGCCCTGGCCGCACCAGGACCAAGACCCCGCGAAGCCCGGGTTCCGCTGTACGTTGCCCCTCCCCCCCCCCAATTCCCCCACCCTCTTCCCCCATACTCTAACAAAAAAGGCAGGCCTCCAAGGCCTCATCAACCTGCACCCCAGCGGCCCCAACGACGGCGGCCTAATCGTGTGCAAAGGCGGCCACAACGTCTCGGCCGAGTTCCACGCCGCCATGGCCGCGCGCAACGAACCCCGGATCCCCGCGTGGACGCCGGAGTGGTTCGGGTTCACGGAGGGCGGCATGGCGTGGCTGGCGGAGCGGGGGCTGCAGTGGGAGAAGGTGTGCTGCGAGCCGGGGGACTTGATTGTGTGGGACTCGCGCACGCCGCATTACAACGTGCCCCCGACGGGGAAGATTGATCGGCTGGCGGTGTATACGTGCTACACGCCGGTGTGTGAGGCGAGTAAGGAGGATTTGGTGCGGAAGAGGGGGGCTTTTGAGCGTATGTTTCCCCTTCGGTTTCCTTGGGGGGGTTTGGGGGTGGGGCTAATTCTTTGGGGTTGGCAGAGCGGCTGGGGACGACGCACTGGCCGAATGCGGTGCATGTTGCGCCGACGAACGTGGCGATGCGCGATGGGGAGGTGTGTCCGGTTGCGCGGGAGAGGCCGGTGCAGGAGCCTGTGCTGGGGGAGCGGGCGTACAAGTTGACGGGGATTCCGTATTTGGAGGCTATGGCTTGAAACATCCCAGGGGCGAGGGGGGGGATCTGGGGGTTGTCTTTTGCGTGTTCGATGTACTCAGTTAGGGTTTATTTCGGATTGGTTTGTTGATTGTGTTAATTGAGTGAGTTGTGCTGTTTGGAATTGTGGCATGGATTTGAGATGAGGATTAGAGGAAGTAGAGGTAGAGGGGTTGCTGTTATTGGCATCGTCAACCGAAGGTTTTTTTTTTTTTAAAAAAAAAAAAAAAAAAAAAAAAAAAAAAAAAAAAAAAGGACGGGGGTCTGGGGGGAACCCCCAGGGACGTTATACAACCCAAGATTGGGATTGTCGTTAATAGCTATATTAGAAAAGGCGGGGGTCTGGGGGAACCCCAAGGAACATCTATTCCCCCAGTATTCTTATTATCAGGTCTATCCCCCGGTCTCAGGCGAGCCCCCATACAACATCCAATTCCACAGCTCATCCACGTTATACCCCGCGAACGGATAGTACTGGTCCTCAAACCCGTCCACCAACGACACGCCCCCCATGAACCCGGGCGACAGCTGCCCTGGTAGTCGCTCCGGCGGCCCCAAGGACACCTCCGGCCGCTCCTCGCCCCCCCGCAACCCGCTACCTGGGGCTAGTGTGTCCGACCGCCGCAGGTCGTCTTCGAGCTGATGCCAGGTGGTCGGGGTGATATCTTCGAACGCCGAGGGGGTCGGGAGCGACGTCACGGGCTTTGCGGGTCGTGGATGTGGATGCGGGTTGGGGGTCAGGGCGGAGTAGGGCGGGGGTTTGTGTATGCAAGGACTTTGTAAAGTGGGTTTGGTGTATGAATGGAGGTATGATGATATTTGGTCGTACATGATGTGTAGGCCTGCTCGGCGGGCGTGGTTAGTCAAAGACAAGATAGCAAGAGAAGCTGCTAACAAAACGATGAGGGAAGGTGCCAACAAGACAGCAAGAAAGATGTTGATAAGACAACGAGGAAGCTGCTAACACAACAACAAGTTGGTAACAAAACAATGAGGGGAGGTGCTAGTCAACCAGCAATGGACGGAAGGTACTAGCAAGGCAACAAAAGATGCTAACAACAGACGGTGCATGCATACCCTCACTGAACCGCGGATCAGCGTCGTACTTCGACATCTGCACGCTCGTGTATCCGAGACACGCTTTCAGCAACTGCAACTCATCAGCTTCGTGATCCCAAACAAACCAACCAAAATAAATCACCTGAAGGTCCATCGCCCGCAGCTTCGACCCGGGGTGTTTCATCAGGAAGATCCCCAAGACAATGCAGGCCAGAATCGACGGTCCCGCCGTGATAATCTGCGAGTCCGCCTCGCGTTCGGACAGCTCGATGCTCAACTTGGCAATCGCCCGCGCGCTGTTGACACAGATCGACTCCCCGTTGCGCAGACGATGCTGCGACGGCTCATCGGAGCAATACCGCGTGACCTCCTCATCGAAGGTCGTTGTCGGGGCGATCAGCGCGGCGCGATGCAACGAGATCATTGCCTCGTGGTACTGAATGGCCAAGAAGGTGACGTGGTGGAACTCCTCCCGCGGACAGAAGATATCATTGCCCGGCCGCAGATCGGAGGGGATCTGGTTCGCCCACGACAGCAGCTCCTGGTCGAGGCGCGCCGTGTCCAACAGGATCTGTCGGGCCGTGCGCGTCGTGCCTGGGTGGTGGTTGTAGATGTGATGGCTGATGTTCCCCTGGGAGTCGGCGAGCTGGACATGCCACCTCAGGAACCGGTCCTCGGGGCGGAAGTCCTCCTCGGCGGGCTGGCACGCCTCGACGGTGATGGCCATCGGCCGCTCGGACTCCAGATGCATCATCTTCTCGAGCGACCAGCAGATCAGCCACACCCGCCGGTGGATGTACTGCCGCCGAGCCGCCAGCCCGCTGAGCCGATGCAAGCCCAGGGTATACGCCACGCGGATCGCCATGCCCAGCGTCTGCCACGCCAGCCCCTCTTTATTGCGGCCGCGGTAGGTGACCGTGAACAGCAGAAGCGTCTGCACCGCGGGCAGATAGGGGATCGTGATAACGTGCGCGAGCAGCCCCGCCGCCGCGAGCAGGTATCGATCCCCATCCTCCGTCTGTCCCTGCGCGATCTCATCCGCTCCCAGGCTCATGATCAGGTACGCGGTCACGAGTCGAGGGATGCGTTCATGCGGCAGATGTCGAAAGTCCGCTAACGTGGCCAGTTGCTCGACGCCCGCTTCCAGCCGCTCCACATGGAAGATCGGGTACAGCGGGTGGATGCGGGCGAGGAAGGCCGTCATGTACCGTTGTCGATTCTCTGGACTTGGAAGTTCTGGCAGCGATACACACAGTGGCAGCTCCAGCTCCTCGGCGAACCGCATTCCGTGGCGAAAGAACCCGGTGACGGGCTTCAGCCGCGCCGCCGTGAAGTATACGTCTAGAGACTTGGCGAGACATTGAGAGCTACTGGCCCCGAGCACTTTGGTGCGGTCACACCCATCCTCAACGCTGACAGTGTCGAACGGGTGGTGAACCGGGGACACCTCGTTTACAGCTGCAGCTGGTTGCTGCCCCGTGGCTAGGAAGCTTTCTTCTTTATGCGATAAGGGAGTGGCTTCATGTGGATGCGCAGCACTACTTCGACGCATTAGGTCTTCCTGCTGGTGCTGGTGTTGTTGCAGGTGGTCTTTTTCGTTCGCAGTGCCCCCATTGCTCATCAGGGGTAGGTCCAACCACTCTCTGAAGCCCGTCACCCCCGGACGCTGCGGATCGGTCGTCACGCAGACCTGATTCCGGACGCGACAGTTGCGACATTTGGGGTATTCGGCATCACATTTGACCTTGCGCTGTCGACAGATGTTGCAGGCCATGGACAGTCGAGGCCGCTTGGACGGGGGAGGTTTGTCCATGGTGGCAGATGATATACTGGAGACGGGTGAAGAGACAAGGCAGAGTATGGCATGATTTGGTGGAGTCGTTGATATGGCAGTGCCGTGTAGTGTCTGTAGGGAGTATCCCCAGTGCATGGATCCAGAATGCGGGGTATGCACCGGGCAGCCTGGGGGATCGTCGATTTGCCCCAGGGTAAACAGGGTAAACAGGATACGTACACGGTCCAACTGTCACGGCAATTCCTCGCTCGCTGACTGGGCCCGAGCCAGAACCCCCCTCGGGTCCAATCGGGGCAGTGGAGGTGGGGCCGAACCGAGGTAGACAGACGAGAGTCATTCATGATGAAGATACATACTCCGCTGTACATATCATGGATCTACCCAACCCAGAAACCAGACAGCAAGAAATCCCCCTCCATAAGCCTCAATGGGCGACTAGCAGCAGTTACGCCCTCAATGCTCTCCAAACTGGTCATCCGCACCTCATTGACAGCAGGCATCTGTCTCCCTTTCCACTTCCCCTACACCCGGTCGAGACAGATAGACCCCCAGAAGAACATGGCCGTGAAGCCCGAGAGGTACGCCCCAACATATCCCTTGATCGCTGGGTGCTAAGTCCAATACAGGCAGTACCCCGCCATCGGGCCATTCTTTCATCTCTACTGAATAGAAAAGAACCCTTCCCGAGTTGATTGGCCTTGAGTGCGACAGGCCCGCCCTTGTTAAGCACCTGCATCGAACTAGAGATACAAAGAGAGCCAGAGATTATTCCAGGCTTCAGAGGGTCGATGGTATCAATTGGCTGGGGAAACTGTCTACCGGACCGGATTATGCTTAGCGCTAGATTGCGGGTAAAGTGGTGCAGTCGAGTCGATTTCGGGGTCCCGAGGCGGGCTCAGAGGAAAGAGGTCTACGACTCGGGAAGACAACGGGAGTGTTTCGACATGCCAGTACCCTCGGGACAAGCAGATCTGGGGATTTTGACCGGGGCTAATGCGCCTGATTCCGATCTTGTGAGGTGGAAGTATGGAGCAACTGGACATGTCTAAAGCATTTGTCCCGAATGCACATAAGGATAACTCTATTTGAGATACCCAAACAAATCTCACTCGTCACAACTTGAATAGCATGCACTATATCTGGAAATGCAGCTATAGCATCACAAACCACACGTCCATCCCCCCTACTCAACATAGAAGGTCGCATTCCCCCGGATATCCGACGAGCTGCTCCCGACCACCACCGTGAACGCCCCCGGCTCAACGACGTACTGCATCGACCGGTTCCACAGGCCCAGATCCTCGACCTTCAGATCGATCTCCACCGTCGTGGTCTTGCCCGCGGGGATGAGCACCTTCTCGAAGCCCTTCAGCGCGCGATTCGGCACCACCACCGACGCGATCACATCCGAGACGTACACCTGCACGACCTCGGTGCCGTCGCGGGCGGCGTCGGTGTTGGTCACGTCCACGCTAACCGTCACCGTGTCCGCCGCGGTGACGTTGGTCTTGCTCAGCGTGACCGTGCCGTACTCGAAATCGACGTAGCTCTTGCCGTACCCGAACTCGTAGATGGCGGTGGGATCGCCCAGGACGTACTGGGACTCGAAGTCCAGCGTGCCGTTGGGGTAGGCGTGGCCGGCGGGGCCGATGTTACGCGCCGAGTTGAGGAAGTCGTAGTAGATGGGCAGGTCGCCGACGAAGCGCGGGAAGCTGACGGACAGCTTGCCGGAGGGGTTGTAGTCGCCGAAGAGCACGTCGGCCAGCGCGTTGCCGCCCTGCTCGGAGGGGTAGAACTGTTGGACGAGCGCCGAGGTCGAGTTGGCGATCCAGGTCACGTCGGTGATGGGCTTCCCGCTGGAGAGAACGACGATCGTGGGCACGCCGGTGTCGAGGATGGCCTTGACGAGCGGGCCTTGCGCGCCGACGAGGTCGAGATTGTCGAGGTCAATGTGCTCACCGGTGCTGTTGGATGGGTCAGTGGCTGGGGTCATTTGTGATTGATGGGCAACGGCCGGACTTACGTGGCGTTGTAACCGGACCACAGCTCGGTCTGGTCGCGAGACCAGGTACCCACGACGACGACTGCGACGTCGGACTTCTTGGCAGCCGCGATGGCTTCATCGAAGCCGGATTGATCGTTGCTCCACCGCTCGCAGCCTTGCGCGTAGTTGACCGTGGCCTTGTCGCCGACAGCGGCCTTAATGCCGTCCAGAGGGGTCACGCCGCGGTACTGGCTCTTGTAGATGACATAGTCTCCGTACTATAGGCCGTTAGCCGATGTCTTGTTTTCCAATGTAGGTTAAGCCACTCACGTTCATGAAGCCGTGGGCCATGGGTCCAATAACCGCAATGCTGCCGCTCTTCTTCAAGGGAAGGGTCTTGTTATGGTTCTCCAATAGGACGATGGACTCCTTGTCCAAGGTCCTGGCAAGCTCGACCGCTTCCGAGCTGTGAATCAGCTTGTGCCACTGCGACTCGGGAGCAGCAGGAAAGGGGTTCTCGAAGAGACCCATCTCGAACTTGGCGCGGAGAATACGCGAGACAGCGGTGTTGACGGTATCGATGTCCAGCTTTCCAGACTCCACGAGCTCGGGAATCTTTTGGAAGTTGCTGTACGGGATCAGTATACTAGCCTGCCACCGCAATCAAGCCACTTACAAAGAACCACCACCCATCTCAACGTCATTGCCAGCAGGGAGTGCCTGCAGGGTGACTGATTCCATGTCAATCGGCGAGGCCTGGCAGAGCTTGAAAGCCGTGCATAGTCGATCGGTAGCACCGGCATCGCTAAAGACCCAGTGCTTGAAGCCCCATTCGCCTCTCAGAATCTTTGTCAAGGTGAGGTAATCGGCCACAGCCGGGATGCCGTCGTAGCTAAGCACCAGTAAGTCGAGGCCCTAAACCAGGAAGAAACAACACTCACGAGTGGTATGCGCTCATGACACTCCATGCACCTGCATCGATGATGGCCCGCTTGAAGGAGTGAAGCCAGCTTTAGCGCCGTTAGCATGGCCTCATCCGACAGATGGGCATACTCACGTGGTACGAAGGTATCTTTCTCCTCCCTGGACGGGCGCGGTGTTCAACCCCTGCTCGGGGGCACTGAAGCCGGCAAAATGCTTAACGGTGGCCGAAACATTGAGACTCTGCAGGCCTTTTACGTAGTTGTAGCCAATCTCGCCAGCAAGGTACGGGTCCTCTGAGAACGTCTCTTCGACCTGGATGACAACGTCAGCCTGTGAGCCGGGAAGAATGCCAATAAGGCGGACATACCCGACCATAGCGCAGCTCACGGGCCAGATCAACGACGGGAGCAAACAATTGATTGACACCAAGAGTAAGAGTCTCTTGGCTGATGATCTTAGCCATTTTGTAGACCAACTATCACCAATTGGTTAGACTGCAGCCCCCGGGGTGTTCTCGATGCACCACACTAACCTCACGGTTGAACGAGCAACCATATGCAATAGGCGAGTTGAAGATGGTGGCATTCTGAACCAAGAATCCATGAATACCTGCCACTGTTAGCGTCTTCCTCCAGTGACCATCACATCAAGAGTTACCTTCCGTCTGAACCAGCGCAGGAATTCCAAGCGTCGTGTTGTGAACCAGGTAATCCTGCGCATGCTTAATGTTCGTGACCATCCAGTCCCACGGGACCGCATATCCAACTAAACACCAGTCAGCCTTTGGGTTCACCGCACAATCCTCCGCACAGCAAAAAGCTCCTACCGTAGAACCCTCCAGCCTTCAACTCCATATTCGCAACGAGGCCTGAGTAGTTGAACGCTCCAGTCGTGGTGTTCATCCAGTTCGAGAGGTCACCTATACCACTTGATACTCAGATTATCCGAGGACACAACGCAGACCACCGAGGAACAGTCCGTACCTTGCAGCAATTGCGCCGTCTTGTCGTGGATCGTCATGCGACCCAGGAGATCCGTGACGCGATCGTCAACCGAAGCATGCGGATCCTTGTAGAGTGGTGTTGAGCCATTGCTTGCAGCCGTTAAACCGACGCAGAGGTGGAGGAGCGCAAGCCCCTTGGTTAGCAAACTGGCACCCATCTTGGTGAGACTGAGCGAAGGAGGCTGGCTAGATTAAGAAGCCGGACCTCGATCTGTTCTCACTGTGCTTGAAAGAGAGAGAAGAAAAAAGAGGAATTCGTCAATTCTGGAGATCGACCCACGGACCAGCAGCGAGGAGCAAGGGTAGTGGTATTTAACCTCCTCATCACGCAGTCGGGGCTTCAGGATTCCATTGAAGCGGAGGCCCGACAGAACAGGGAAGCCAGAGCAAACGTCACTGGAAATCCCACACGGCCGCAGAGATGAACTAGTTTAGGCTGCTCAGACAATCGGTTCGGAGATGAGAGCCAGCTACAATGCATCACTAGCCTAGACCAGGACCGTGGAGGCGAGAAGGAGAAGACGAATCAATGCCGCAGGCACAATGGAGCAGAGGCATTCCTGATTGATGAATGGTGCGGCCCGACGAGCCAGAATAGATTGAAGATGGAGATGTCAAATTTCCCATGGCGATGTTCACGGCTAAATTGTCGGGTGGGGTGAGGAGAAGGAATGAAGAGATGAGGGGTTGTTGACAGGATAGATTAGTGAGTTGCCTGAGTTAGTCTAAAGCCGGGGAATTTGCCAGGGTCTGCCCAGTCATTCCGCCTATCGAGAGTCTCCCTCTGCTGCAGCCTCCCTGCACTGCTCCCTGCTAGTCCCTCGGTCCAACTATGGCAATTACACTAATGATATTCGAGGTTGGTCGTATGAGTTGTCAATCATTCAGTCAATCCACTGTACATGTGGGCAGAGCTCGTCTCTTCCATTTTCACTGCATACAGTGTTATACAGAATTGAAACCTTCACTCGCCTCCCATCTCGACCGATAAATCATAACGCTAAAGTCTATTAAACCCCCATATAGTGCAAAGGGAATGCCGATGCTATCTGAGATTATCTTCCGCCCATATGTTACTCGAAAACAAGAGTATGTACTAACAAGTGGTGTGACTCAGCCACCTGAGAAACTCTCGGCCTACTACACCTGCGCGTCAGACTCGGACCCACGCTGGGTTTGGCTGCCCGGTGCCCCGGCACTGCCGTCAAATCCTTGGTCTTCTGGCAGAGGTGGATTAGCGGACCCTCTCCTCGCACCGGGTTTGTGGAGAACGCCGCCGAGCCAGGCCAGTCCTCCGCTCCACGAATCACTCAGGCTTCGAAGTCGCGACAGCGAGGCAATATCCTGTGGTTTGGGCGTTCCAGTTCCTGCATCCGATTCGAGCCCAGGAGTGGCAGCACCGACAGTCACAGGAGCTGTAGAGAGCTCACCCGTAGAGTGAAGCCGGGCATCTAACAATGGAAACCGGGAGTTAGGTCCCACTCCAGCACTTCCATCCGAGTCACGGATGGGCTCAAGTGTGTCGCCGTTTCTGGTTCGAGTGTATCCATCCAAGACTGTCGTGCTCAGCTGCTTCTTCCGGCCTATCCGTCGTCCTATCTTTCGACCCTTGTTGGGGCTGATCTCGCCACGACGAAGCGACTCAGCAACCACCGCGCTGAACCCAGATGAGATTGCGGGGAGGAAAGGGCCAGGCGAGAAGTTAGAGATGGAATTGCGCAGTCTCCGTGCCGGTGGGGTCTGCGGGACAACAACATTTCGGACATTCTGCTGAGTTCCTTCAGTGGGCGTGTCTCGCGGTTCGCCGTCTTCTGCGCCAGGAGCAGGAGGGAAGCGAAGCAGGAATGGTGATTCATGTGCGATTGATCCAGGATGTTGAGGAGGGGTGGATGGGCGATGGCTTGAGGCCGACGTTGATGCTCGAGACTCAGCCCATGGGTTTCTTAGAAGGGAGCTTGGGTGTACAGGTGAAGCGGGCTCATCGGAGCGACGTGATTCTGATTCCGCGATGAGCGAACCCGTCGGGGATGATGGGGCAGCAGACAGAGCTCCCCGAGGAGTAGGCAAATTATCATCCACATCCTCGAGGCCACGACTGATAAGTGACCCGGAGGGAGATTCCAGACTGCCATCCTGAAAGGTGTGCACAGTTCGTCCCGGCTGATGTAATTTGGCTTGCGGAGCTAGATTTGGCGACAGATCGACATGATCATGGTAGCGCTCCCCCGCCAGCAGCCCGATAGCTTCTTCCTCGTCATCAGCCGAAAAAGAGGACTCCGTGTCGCTACGGACTCTTCCACTAGTGATGAAGTACACTCCCAAGAAGGTCAAAAGACAACCGCCCACGAATTTGCTGGCACGCTTCACTGTGAAAGATTCGAAGTCTCGATAGAGAATGGCGCTGCCGATAATGACCGACAGAGTGAAAAGAACAAACTGAGTCGGGATCACCTGGGTCGAATCGAAACGCTGCAGCGCTCGGTTGATGTATCGAATCTGCATTATTGCGCTAAAGATGAGGATAAAGACGAGGAGATAAGTGACCCGGAACGTGATAACATGCCAAAAGGTGAATGTCAATAGAGAAGAGACACCTTTGGTCGACAACGCAGTATATCCACCTGAATGTAAAATATCAGAATCATGTGTAAGAACAGTATGACAATCAAACAATAGTGAACATACCGTATAATGCAACGAGCCCCACGTCGATCAAGATCGTCTTCGGCCCATACTTACGACTAGCCCACATCAGCCCGACAATCAATGCAGCCGTGAGACCCAAGTAGAGCTCAAACCCCCAGCGCGTTATCATGACCCAGATATCGTGAGGCCCGATTTTCTCCTCCGAGGACGGGGCACTAATCACAACCACCACGGCGCCCGCGATAGAGATGAGAACACCCCAAGCATCACGTTGCCGGAATTTCTCCTTGAGCATGAAGGGCGCAATGACACAGTTCGAGATCAGCGCGACCACACCCAGCGGAGACACGATAGACGCTGGGGCGAACCCGTAGGCCATGAAGTTTCCCACCTCGCCCACAGACATGAGCACGATTCCGACCCACCAGTAAGGCGAGCGCAGGTAGGATTTGCGGCCACTCCGGCGGTCGCCCTCGTTCTCCGGCCGGACAGTATTATCGGACTGCATTGAATCCCCCATGTAATCATGCGCGTCGTCATTCTCGTCGTCACGATACCGCCGGCTCCGCTCGGAGCGGTTCGGCGCGTCCTCGGGCACAAAGTCAGGGGATTCGTCACGGTAACGGCCGTGGAGAGCAGCACGGCTCCGACCTCGACCGGATTCACCATCACCCAGATCGTGGTCATGGCCCTGGTGGGTGCGTTTCCAGTCGATCTCTTTTTGTAGCTTTTCCTGCTCCCATTCCCGATCGATCCGGATGTGCGCGTAGCGTTGGATATTGAGCGCCAGGGAAATGAGCACGTTGCCAACCAGCGCAGTCACAATCCCAATCAGGGAGGACCATTCGTGCATGCCACCCGATTCTCCATCGCCATTGCCGCCATCGTATACGGGGTTCGCAGTCGGAGAAGGTAGAAGTGGGGATGACGAAGGTGAATGTTGGGCTAACACGGTGGGCGTTGGAATGGCGGAGGACAGGAGTGTGGTGAGCAGACCTGCTGCCAGGGGCGCCTCCCGCATATGATCCATATGCAACGAGTGGGCGGCGTAAGGGAGCCGGAAAGGGTGAGCGGGAATGTCGAAGAAGAGAGTTTGAGGGGAGATAAGACAAATCGGATGTCCCGATTGCTGGCTTCGCCGAGGATCCTCAAATCCTTAGATGTGCAGACTCACAACAGCTTTCTGCTGTCTGGTGGTTTGGAAGGGAATTGCAATAGCTTGGTAACGCCAGGCCAGGAATTCTAGTCAGTTCACCTAAATTGTACTGGTGATTGATTTCCTGAGCCGTCGTTCATGCTCCTGAGAACCACCGCATGCTGTATTTGGGTCCCCTAATCGTCGTCGTCGATCAAGCGCGGGCGCGGAGTATGAAAAAGGGAGTCGCCTGTGGGACGACTTGGACGCTGCAGAGAAATCAAGAAATTTGAAAGTAGGTAGCCTGTTAATGGCGAGCAGCGAGGGGTTCAGTATTGGAGTGATGAAAGTAAAATGTCGATCGAGCGAGCGATCGGGGAGGAGCAGGAATTGGCTTGGGTTGGGTTGGTTTGGTTGGAAGGAAGAGTGGATGGAAAGAAGCCGAGCGAACCGACCAGGAGTCGCGCTGGTCTAAATTAAATAATTTATCCTCCCCTTAAACCCCAACAGGATAAGACAAGACATGAGCAGTCACACGTGCAGATGCGAGCAAAAGCTACGGAGAAGATCGCAAAAGACTTAAAGATTTGTGTCCAAGCACAGCAGGTATCATTATACTTCTACTTCAGGCTATAATTCGCCTTGATTCACACCGCGATCCGAGGAATGAGGCGTCATTTTCCTTCTCCGCTTCCTCCCTGCCGGTCCAACGTCATCAGGCATGAACTAGTTAGTTCAACTTCGAAAACAAAGTCTCCGTGACTCCGGATTGACAGATCCCCGATCATCATCTTTACAGCGCTTTAAATAGATTGAATGCCCGCTGTTTACGGAATTCCCGTTGCACCCTTCAAACGCCATCTGTCATATGGGATATATACATGGGTTTTGAATTATTTCAAAGAAACTGCAATCGCAACAAAAGACTGACAATTAGAGCCTGCCGTGCTGATTACCTCTTTGCCCGCTTTTTGTCCGGCTTCGGTTCTTCATCATCGCTGAGCTCCCGATAGATAGGCGTGGGTTGTGTTTCCTTCCACGCCTTGGTGAAAATTGGATCCTTTTCAGCCTTGTCCGCATATTTCAGCAGGGCCTCCCGAGGATCTTCGTCCCGCATCGAACTGAGAGGGATGTTCTCTCGAATATGCTTTTCGTCCGGTTGCGATTTGGCAAACGGAGTAGCAGCCGGCATGTAAGGTCTGCGAGGGTCCTTGGGACGTCCCGAAGCCGTCAACCCAACGGTCGGGTGGCGGGCAGACCAAGTAGACGAGCTGTAGTGAGGAACACCGTTCGACCCCACTACAACAGAGTCTCCCGAGAGACCCTGGCTGAGATCCATGGTGAGACTAGGGTCATCGTCGATGTGGCGGCGCTTCGGCGCCTTGGACATAACCAGGGCCGCGCCCTTGGTCGACATATTCGGGTTGTAGAGAACATGCGTCTCGGCATTGGCAGAACCGGTAAGGATCTGGTTCATCTTCTCGTGCCATAGGACAGTGACGACCGGGGATCCAGGGGTAATCGGCGTTACTAGTTCTGGCCTCAGCGTAGCAGGGTTCAAGATATGCAGGTGGCCAGTCTCGGAGCCAGTAAGCACATTCGCCGAGGAGGGGGAGAAGATGATGTTCGATGTCGAGAAGCGGGTACTAGACGGATGGGATACAGTCGTAATCGGTTTCTTGAATTTTCTCGTGTCCCAGAGCTTGATGGTGTCATCGCCGCCTTTAGTGACTACCAGCCTGCCATCGGAGCTGATGTCGACGCCGCTCGTCCAGGTGTCCTTGGTATGAGCATCCCGAACCTCACCACTGGGACGGGTAAATGGTCCATCACCACCCCACATCATCAAGCTCCCATCAAGGGCAGCACCGATCAGGACATTAGGGCCTCCTTGTTTGGGCGAGCCCCACGCGACGGCTGTCATTTTGCTCCGACCAGCGGATCCAGCCATCTTGGACTTGTGTACAATCACTTCCTTTTGTGCCCTTCCTACATTCGCATCCCAGATGCGCACTGTGCTGTCCGTTCCGGCCGTCACACATAAATTCTCGTCGGTCGGGCTCCATGCTCCGCTGGTGACCTCCGAAATATGGCCCTTGGTATTGTGTAGGTCCCTCAGATACATGTCACCCTTGACAAATTCAGTAATCGTGTCACCATCGCGATTCAGAATCCTCGGCTGCGCTGTAGCAGAGACAACCATCACATAGGTCGGGGCCAGTGGGTTGAATGCGACGTAGTGTACGGAGTGTGCTTCTTGGGCGGCGGATTGTTTCTTCGCAGACGGGTCGACGGACTTGAAGGCGCGTATAGTCGACGGCGTCATAGAGGCAAAATCGTGCAGTTTGATAGTGCAGTCCGTGGAGCCGGTGATCAACCGCGAACCCGCCGGGTCAACGGTCAATGTAGTCACTGCCCGGTCATGGGTCTTGAGTAGCATCTCGTGGGAGACCGGAAACTCATCCTCATCGTCTTCTGAGTCGGAGTCGTCTGAGTCGGAATCGTCGCTTCCATTGCTAATATCAGGCCTCACCTCCCGGGCCGCTGGTTCAAGGATGGTTGCTTCCTCAGGAGTGACCTCGGTGTTCGATCGCGTCTTCTCGTCATCGCTGTCGACTTTCGCAGCTACCTCGGCGCGCTTGGTGCGATCGATCTGAGTGCTCACATCAGTTTTCTTCTCCTGCCGGCCAAAGCTTGCTGGAAAGAACTTCTTAAAGGCTTCCTCGTCGAATCCTTCCATTTTGTCTAGTTGATGGGGTGTGTCGTAGGATAAGAAGCGACGACTTCAGGCGACATCCAGAGGATGTTCCAGCTCTTTTGGCAAGTTTGTATGGTTTGTTCTGTTTGCCCTGGACCCACGTGATGATAAGACCGGTTCTCACTGATAACCACCAGTCCATAGACTAGAGACATGACGTGACGCTTAGTGCAGATGGTTTTACCTTAGCATCTCTGAAACTTTTCAAGCAGAAGATCACTGTAGAACCTATATATATCTTACTTCACATAAGTCACTATTGCTGGAAGAGTATGGACTACGCAATATAGCTTGAGGGCTCATTAGAAGATTTGTGGACCAAAGATCACTTGTCAGGCTAATATGGATCTACGTACACCATCAACATTGCGCGTCTACAAGTACAAGCCTTCAACAGGACCACCGTCCTGCTTGGTCTTCATGATGCGCTCCCTGGCAGCGCGGAAGTCGTCCATCTGCACTCTCATCCGGCGTTCTCTCAGAGCCATGAGACCGGCCTCGGTACAAATGGCCCGAATATCAGCACCAGAAAGATCATCCTTCTGGTTGATGAACTCATCCAAGTCGACGTCATCTCCCAGCGACATCTTTGATGTGTGCAGGGTGAAAATCTTCTTCTTGGTGTTTTCTAGAATACAATTAGTACTCGAGCTCGGCTGGCAATATATAGGGGGCACTCACGGTCGGGGTTCTCGAAGAGAATCTTTCGGTCAATACGTCCCGGACGGATCAAAGCGGGATCCAGAGTCTCGATCTTGTTGGTGGCCATGATCACCTTGACATCACCCCGGTCGTCGAAACCATCCAGTTGGTTAAGCAACTCCAGCATAGTACGCTGAATTTCTCGCTCACCGCCGGATGTGGAGTCGTAACGCTTGGTACCAATAGCATCGATTTCATCAATAAATACAATGGATGGGGCGTGTTCGGCCGCAACCTGGAAGATCTGTCGAACCAAGCGAGGACCATCTCCAAGATACTTCTGGATAAGCTCACTACCAACAATACGAAGGAAAGTGGCACTGGTCTGATTGGCGACAGCCTTGGCCAGCAGGGTTTTTCCGGTACCCGGGGCACCGTACAGGATAACACCTTTAGGCGGCTTGATACCCATCTCCTCGTACAACTCAGGGTGGAGCAGCGGAAGTTCGACGGATTCGCGGACCTCCTGAATCTGGGTCTCAAGACCACCAATGTCTGCGTAAGACTCCGTCGGTGCCTTGTCGAGCTTCATCACGGAGACGAGGGGATCGGACTCCTCGGTCAACACACCAACCACGGAGACCGACTTGTGGTGCAGAAGAATACTGGCACCAGGCTCAAGCAAGTCCTTATCAACGAACGACATGATTGAGACGTAGTACTCGGGGCCAGTAGCGCTGGAGACGATCGCGTGATCGTCGTCGATCAGCTCTTCCAGGTTGCCCACGCCCATGGGACTGCCTCTCATATCATCAACCCGGCTTCTCTCATCTGCGTTTCTGTCTGCGAGCTCGAGGTCGCTTCGGTTGGCGGTATCGAGTGCAGCCTGGGCCTTGGTCTTGCGCAGGCGCTCCATGTTCTCGACGTATTCTTCTTCTAGCAGCAGGTGATCGTGAACCCGCTGCATGCGGAGGTATCGTAGTTTACATCGTGACGTCGGGAAGATATCGGGGAGCTTGGAAGCCGTGCTTGGGCCTGCGGCCTTACGCTTCTTGCGACCGAGGCGAGTGGTAGGGGGAGGAGGTGGTTCGTATCTGGGCTTATCCTTCTGTGGACGGGTGTCTTGGTAAGCCGACTAATCCTGACTCTGAGCGAGAGGATCAATATACCTTCTTGTCCTTGTCATCTCGTCCATCTCCACCGGGGCCTCCGCCAATGTTGGACTGCTGGTTACCCTATTTATCGGAAAGTATTAGATAGGTGAAATCAAGAGGCGTCAAGAGCTGCGGGCGACAGCAAGGGTTGACAGCGTACCATAGTCCTAGGGGATTAAAAACACAGGGCGAGTATTAGATATGAAGTTGAACTGCCAGGCTAGGGGCGGAAAAGATTCGATGCAGAGATACTGGGGGAACGGGCGTAAGCAAGGTGGATGATGGGTGGAGGATGGGAGGCGTGAAGCTGTGATGAGATGAGCAGCAGCTGGGAAGCTGTCGTCGCCATCCGACCCGGGCTTGGCGCTGCGGCCAACAACGCATCACCGTCTCACGTGATTGGTAACTGGAGCCTGAGAGCTAAGGCCACATGCTGAGGCCATTCTAGGCTGCCTTGTCAGGCCACCAGGCCACCAATACGAATCTGGCAATTCGTTTGATCATCCCAGATCCATGATCCATGATCATCCATTCCCCTCTTCCCTCGGCTTCCTTTTAGATACAGCAACGCGGTCGACGTATCAGATTCTTTGACTGCCACTTAAACAAGAATAGACTAGTACTGTCACTATATTGGGAAGAGCAGCCCCAAATCTATTCGCAGTGCGCCATCAGGAGGCGTGCTTCCAACCACCTTGCGAGCTTTATCGTCGGCGAGCGCTTACGCCCCACCAATACTTGCGATCCCCTCATTTTCCTCGCCAGTTCCCCGCCAGATCAAGTGAGGCTGCACTGCTCGATCTTTCCTCTATCAGCGTCCATTTTTGCTTTTTCCCATTTCCTTTTTATACCTCCGCTTCGTGTCATCTTGGCTAGGACTTTCTTGTACAATCGTCATTACTTTATTTATCCTGCTCTCAGGCTGACATAACCTGATTTTCACTTATATAGCTTGCGCTCTGTATTGTTTCCCAGGACAGAATCCTCCTTGGCCTTTCAGACCGAAGTCTAAAGCACCTCTACCGCTTGCTTCTTCGCAACTACATTGTATCACCCTCAAAGCTATGGCTTCTAATCGAGCACGCCGTATCGCCAAGGAGATTGCCGACATACATGCGGACACGCACTCGCAGATCACCGCAGAGCCGGTAGGGAATGACGACGATATCACACACCTCCGCGGGACCTTCCCAGGACCGCCGGGGACTCCGTACGAAGGTGGCACATATGCAGTGGATATCAGAATCCCCACCGACTACCCATTCCGGCCCCCTGTGATGAAATTCCAAACCAAGGTCTGGCACCCGAATGTCAGCAGTCAAACGGTGAGTGCTGGAGTTATACCCTTTTCCGATGCCCGTGACGAGACTTGCTCATGTCTCTCTCCCCTCTTCTAGGGCGCGATTTGCCTGGATACCCTATCCACCGCCTGGTCGCCCGTCCTCACCATCAAATCTGCTCTCCTCTCATTGCAGTCACTGCTGAGCACGCCAGAACCCAAGGACCCGCAAGATGCGGAGGTCGCGCAGATGCTGTTGCACAACCCCAAGGAGTTCGCCCGGAAGGCCCAGGAGTGGGCGGTCATATATGCGGGGGCGCCGAGGAAACATGCGGGAGAGGGCAGTGGCGGCGCGACGGATGAGACCCTGCGCGAACTGGAGCTCAAGACCAAGGCGGAGCAGGAGAAGGAGGATCTCGCCAAGTATGGACCATCCCCGCTCGAGACCTGCGCATACATCCTGGCTAACCGTTGTTGGACAGGTATGATGGCTATAACAAGGACCTGATCGACCGCTTCTGTAGCATGGGTTTCGACGTCGACCGCGTGGTAGCGGCGTTCAAATACTATGGCATCGACAAAATGGATGGCGAGGATTATGAGCTGGAGGAAGCATACATGGGGGATGTCACTGCACGGCTGCTGGGTGAGCCGTAGGCGAAACCTAGACAGACCACATTCACAGACAGCTTTTCTTTTCCCGGGATCAAGTGTTGAGGTTCGAGATTTGTTGTCCGATCGAGCGCTCTAATTTCTCGTTTGAGCTCTTTTCATATATCCAGCTATTCACCCATGTGCGTTCATTAGCATTTGATATTTTCAGTAATTAAGCCAACAAGACATGTGTATCGACAAGAAGAAATTGGTGGATTAAAGACACTATTGTATGCAATTGTATGGAAACACGCGTAACATAGTGGACAAAGGGATGCTGGAAGAGCAGCGCTATCGATAAGCACGTGGATCATCACCGGATCCTCCTCCGTCTCCGCCCATCTCCACCTCCTCCAACTTTCTCCGCCGCAAATCCCTTTCACCAGCACTAACTTTCCAAAACAAGTGCCCATCCACCTCACCATTGACCTGACACTGCACTCACCGCACCATCTAACCACAAACCAACCCTTCCACCCTACAACCCGACTGCGCAACAGACGCCCCCCTCACGGCTTGCCAAGCCGCCATCAAGCCCACCATGATCGAAGACGACTTCTACCGCACCTCCTCGCAATACCGCCTCTGGTCCTTCACGACGGCCTCCCTCCAAGCCCAGCGGGTGACCACCAATGCCGTCGCCAGCGACCGGGTACGCGCCGCCATCCGCCGCGCCCAGGAGGCGCGCCGCTCCGCCACCTCGTCCGCGACGGGCACCCCGGTCCCCGAAGTAGATGGTAGCACACCTAACACGAGCACGCCCAACCCGGCGAAAGCCGACGAGAAAGCCATCGAATGCCTCACACCCGAGGAAGAGCAGCAGACAGTGAGCTACTACTGCGAGCAGATCATCCAACTCGGCGAAGCGTACAAACCGCCATTACCGACGATAGTTCGAGTGAGTGAGCCAGCCAACCCATCCACCCCCACCCCAATAACTCCAACCCCATCCCCCCAAAACCACACTGACCAGAAAAAAAAAAAAAAGGCAACAGCAATCCAATACCTCCGCCGCTTCTACCTAACCAACAGCCCAATGACCTACCACCCCAAACAAATCATGCCGTGCGCGCTCTTCCTCGCCACCAAAACCGACAACTATTACATGTCCCTCCGACACTTCGCCGACGGGGTGCCCGGCGACACGACGGCGGAAGACATCATCGCCCCGGAGTTTTTGGTGATGCAGAGCCTGCGCTTCACCTTCGACGTGCGGCACCCGTTCCGCGGGCTGGAGGGCGGGATCATGGAACTCCAGGCCCTGGCGGCGGGCCAGGGCCAGCCGGCGCCGCACCTCGCCGCGACACAGACACCAGAATCCCTCCAGCGGGCCTTTCTCGCCCTGCCTCCTCCCCCCAATGCCACCTCCACCTCATCTGCCACCAATGTCACAGACCGCATCGCCCGCGCCCACCACAACACCCGCGAGATCCTCAAATCCGCCGCCCAGATCACGGACGTGTATTTCCTGTTCACGCCGGCGCAGATCTGGCTCGCCGCGCTGCGGCTGGCCGATCCGCCGCTGGCCGAGTATTACCTGGACACGAAACTCGGGAGCCCCGCGCAACCTTCCGGTGAAGAAACACCGGATAATATCCTACAAACCCTCCGACCCAAACTCCTCCGCACCCTCACCGACTGCGCCGCCATGCTGCAGGCTTACAAGCCCCTCGCGTCGGATCCGGATCAGATGAAGACCCTCCGCCGCATCATCGGGAAGAAGCTGTATCACTGCCAGAACCCCGAGAAGGTAAACTTAGGAGGTGGCGCGCAGAAAAGGATCCCCGCGGCGGCGCTCGCTGCCTCAGCAGCTGCGGCAGCAACCCCCGGGGGGGTCGATTCTGGGGCGTCGGAGAGTGAGATGGAGCGGTTGGCGAAGAAGCGGAAATTGGAGAACGCTGCGGAACATTCTGGCAGTAAAGATATCTTCGGGGGGGAGTTGGTTATGCAGAGGACTAAGGAGCGCTAGGCGGTGGGGATGGATGTGTTGTAGTAGAATGGTAGAGAGGGGGGCGTATAAAATTGAGGGTGGAACCAAAAGTCTACATATAGCAATGGTTGGGATTAGCAGCGGCAACGGAGTCACGGACGAGGAAATATATCAAGCTCCCTACATATACAATCTTCCACAAGACTTGAAACTAGGATTTGAGAAGCGCAACTACAATTCAGATTCGAGTCAATATCCCAAAACAATCCATTCTCAAAGAGACACCTGTGTCCCAAAGGATGATGAACAGTCTATACCGTGTACGAGAATCCAAGAAAGAAAAGTATCAGATTTCACCCTCTCAAACGCTCAAGTCTAAGTTAGGGGGATGAATTTGAAATGGTATGAACGACGATGATGGAAATAAACACGGCCATCTAAGAAACACAACATAAAAGATAAAAAGAAAAAAACAAAGAACACCCAAATACTGAGCAGGTGATATCTCCAGGTGGTATTTAAGCAAAACGGGATAAACACAAATGTATCCCCCTTAAAACAGGGACCTCTCATTCAGGATGGTTCATCTCTCCTGCGGCTGAGAAAATTGATAAACTTTTTCTCTCACTCCTTTCGGTAAAGTTTTGCTAAAAGCCCGCATCTTCGTGTAGACTTTTTTCTTTCCTGTCTTGATACTTTGTTCGTTTCTGAGCATTCCATTCGTAACAGAGAGAAGCACCTCATGAGGAAAATGCTTCAAGCTTTTTAGACAGCACCCTGGTCGATCATCTTCTTGCGGAGGTAGTTCTTGTACTGTCCAATGGTGCCATCCCAGCGGGTGACGGTCTTGTGCTCGCAGACCATGATGTCCTTGGCGATCTTGTCGAGGAGACGGAAATCGTGGGAGACGACCACGACACCTCCGCTGTAGGCGTTGATGGCATCGGCCAAACTGTCGATGGTGGGGATATCGAGACCGTTGGTAGGCTCATCCAGGAGAATCATGTTGGGCGACTCGATAGCCAACAGAGCGAAAACGATACGACTCTTCTGGCCCTCGGACAGAGTGCCCATAAGAGCAGTCTGGGACTCACCGCTCAGACCGTAGCGGCCGAGCTGCTGGCGCCAGTACTGGTAGTCCTGGGACTTCTCGGGGAACTTGTCACGGACGAACTCCAGGGAAGACTTGGTCAGGTCCAGCTGTTCAGCGGAGTGCTGGCTGTACATGCCGAGCTTCAAGTGGGTGTGACGGCTGACACTACCACCGATGGGGCTGAGCTTGCCGGTCATCAGACGGAGCAGAGTGGACTTGCCGACACCGTTGGGTCCGACCAGAGCAGTACGGGAGTCCATGTCGACACCGAAGTCAAGGTGCTCGTACAGAGTGTCGTCCCAGTTGCCAGAGTAGGAGAAAGAGACATCATCGAAGGACAAAACGGGAGGGGGGAGCTTCTCGACATCAGCGAAGCGGAAGCTGAAGACACGGTCGGGGATAACGGGCTGGATGAAACCGTCGGCCTCCATCTTGTCGAGAATCTTCTGACGGGACTTGGCCTGACGGACCAAGTTGGCGTAGGTACCAGCGGAGGCGATGAACTTCTTGATGTGGGCAATTTCTTCCTGCTGCTTGTGGTAGGCCTTCATCTGGTTCGTCTCCTGTTCGGCACGGGTCTTGTGGTAGGAATCGTAGTTACCACCATAGTAGAGGAGCTGCTTCATGCGCATATCGATCATGTTGGTGCAGACACCGTTCAAGAAATCCATGGAGTGAGAGACCAGGATCAGGGTGCGCTCCCACTTCTTCAAGTATTCTTCCAACCACACACAGGCCTCGAGATCCAAGTGAGCAGTGGGGTCGTCCAGCAGGAGGAGCGAAGGCTTGACGAAGAGGGCCTTAGCAAGGGCCACACGCATACGCCAACCACCAGACATGTCCTTGGTCTTCTTGTGGATGGTCTGCTTGTTGAAACCCAGACCCGTCAGGATCAAGGAGGCACGGGTGTGAAAGGTCGAGGGATCCATCTTGTCCATACGCTGATGATGAAGTTAGACAAATGTTGCTCGTCAGAGAGGTCAAAAATACTTACGTCGTAAAGGTCCTCGAGAATAGGGCTGTCAGGGCCATCCTTCTCCAAGATCTCCTCGGCCTGCTTCTCCATGCGGTCGAGCTGGTTCTGAGCCTCAGTAACAACCCACTCAAGGGCACCGAGGTCGGTGGGAGGAGCACCCTCGTTGAGCAGGTAGATATCAATGTGCTCGGGGATGGGGAACTCGCGAGTGGCGATGGATTTGAGAAGGGTGGACTTTCCGCAACCGTTCTCACCCAAGAGACCGTAACGGCGACTGAAGTTCAGTTCGAGGGTGGAGTCGGTAATGAGGACCTTGCCGTGGAACACCAGGGAGGCGGAAGTGATCTTGACGTCGCGGGAGGATTCGAGAGAGGAGAGGACACCAGTGGTGACACGGTCAGAGAGACCGTGCTTGTCCATCTGTGCGGTCAGCTTCTCAACCTCCTTCAGCTTCTCAGCGGAGGTGGCAGGCTGATCCTCGACGGGCAAAGGGTTGCCATCGCCGTCGAGCATGGGGGTCTCGTCACCGGGGGTCGAGGTACCCTTCTTGGACTTGAGGGTCTTCTTCTTGCCGTCATCGCCACGCTTGGCCATACGAGCAGCTTTGGAAGCAGACACCATTTTGACGGTTGTGAGGGTGTTATGGGAGGGGAGATGGGGGAAGGGGAAAGAGGGGAAGAAGGTAAGAGGAGGCGAGGCGGGAAGAAAGAGACGAAACCAGTCCGTGAAGAGGAGGAGGAAAAGGGAAAAAAAGAACTTGACAAAGGTGGAGCACTTTCCAGCGGCGGGGTGAAAGAGAGAGGGAAAGAGGGAGAGAGAGGGAGAGAGAAAGAGTAAGAGAGGGGCGACCGAAAGCCTTTTGAGTGGGGGGGAAGGTGGGAGGTTCCTTGGATAGCCCTTATCGATAGTAAGAGTTTCAACTATGAAGCACGGGCAATGCTTGTTACGATTGCCTCAAAACACAGAGAATACAGAAGGATAAAGATCAAATTTGGTATATACGAGATCCAAAAAACCTACCCCCTTGAGACAGAAGTAGGAACAATCAACCGAAGAACAATAAGCAGACGATGGAGGAAGCAGAGGATGAAAGACGAAACTGCGACCTCAATTTGAGTTGCCTCGAAAATTCCTTCAGTGGGTTCGGCCCAGGCGCGCTTTCATTGGCCTGTCGACGTCACCGCACGGGTGCGTGGCGCAGCCTTGCCTGATTGGGCATTGACGGTCACGTGCCATGCACAAGGCATTTGCCTTATGCCCAAGGCATTTTCTGGCAATGGTCAGCAACCGCTGCGGACGCCTGAGGCCGAAATCTGACCAGTGTGCTACTGTACCTTGATAGGAAAGAAAGAGCATCCGCGGGCGGCACCGCAACACCCTACTCCTTATCATCATCAAAGCAACTTCAGCATACTACTGAGAGTTACACCTCATTTTGGATGTCATCTATGCTCGCAACCACATCGCAACCACAAACATCCTCTTGTGGTTAGCTTGGTAATCAGAGTACCCCTGTTGGACAGAATCTCAATCACGATGAGCAGCGTATTTCCAACCTCAATGGACAATGATATGGACAATGACAGAACTTCACTATGTACAAGCAGCAGAATGCCTCGATGCTAAGCCACCTCTTCCTAATGCGAGTTGGTGCAATTCATGGTAGTCGTTCACTAATACTCCGCAAGACCTTCATCTCCGCTTCCGAAATAGAGAATTGATTCGGCAATAGGATCTTGCCCGGCGCAATGAGGACCTGCCTCGGTTCACCCGGGAACACTTCTTGTGTGCTGTCCGTATCAAAACTGGCTCGGTTGATTCCATCCCCGCTTTCGGTGTCACTGGGTTTCGGCCGCGCCAGAGAGACTGGAGTCCACCAGTAAACCGGAAACCGACGCTGGATGTTGTTGATCAACAAGGCCACGGCCTGCATCAGCACGCTTCCGAGGAGCATGACGAGAATCAAAGCCCAGCCCACATCGGCCGACTGCGTCACTGAAAGCAGCGCGGTTGCTCCTGCGGGCGGATGCACGGTATTCGTGAGGACCATGATGCACGTGGTGATGGCACAGGCCAGAGCGCCACCTATTTGGGGCAATGATTCGGCATGGACGTTCAGGGCGAAAAGCTTGGAGATTCCAATCCCCACCGTACTCGCAATGACCTGACTGATGACCGCGTTCCGTGGCTGGGCAAAGGGCGATTCAATGGCTGAGAACTCCAGCACTGCAGCAGCACCCTAAGGGACATTTAGTCTTAAAGCTTGGTCACAGGTGTAGACCTGAGGGAAGACGTACGAAACTCGCCACGATGATCGGGGCATTATGGTGCTCAAAAAGGGGCACGTGCATCGAAGCCTCCGATACGATGAGCACACCGCAGAACACCCCTATCAGGGTCCAGAAGGCCACAACGACATTGCCGAGAGGTTTTGGAGACGGGGGTTCTCGGTAACCAAAGAAGCGCGAGACCGGCCGAGGTAGGTATCGCCAAGGCGGGGGTGGAAGAAAGGGATTTATATAGGCATCGATATCCACATGGAGTCGGGAGAAGTCGATGCGCTCAAGCATCGACGGAGGCCGGGAGGGCTGAGCGAACGTCTGCTGAACTGTCATGATGGCCACCCTTGGCCAAGACAAACACGCTTATTCCTGTGTCGGTTAGTACAAGGTCCAGTTCAACAAGTGCTGATCTAAAGAGGAGTGTTGCAAGTGGTTCTGAGCATCAAAAAGAAACCCGGACAAGCGGATGCTTGTGTATGCCAGGTCAGTCATGAGTCTGCGGATGGAGAGCAACTTGCCCACTGACACAGAAAACAAATCTGACAGACAGGCAGATACTCCATCCTGCCAAAAAGCAGGCTGATGGGTCCAGGTCAGGGGGTACAAGGGGGGAAGGTGGGAATACTTGCCTGGCCTACGTGGTGAGCAGCAACTAAGTATAAGCGGGCGAGCCCATTGAAACCGCCGTGCATCAAGTGGACACCGCAATTTGGAGTCGCTGGGTCCGTGGAGGGAATGCTGAGCCCATATTAATAGGCATCAGAGCTGGAGGAGATCGGGAGAAGGGAGAACACGCAAGAACAAGAAGATCTTTCGCACGTATTTTGGGCTGGTCATCAGCATCTCCGCGGAAGAGATGTATTCGGCCGTGGTAGCAGAGCAGTCATGGAAGCGGAATTACAGTGCCAACTGACCCAAGTGACAGAATGGAGTTTGAAGTTCAGAGTTCCTGGTCTGTCCTTCCACTCACAGCATTTGAGTTGGGTAATGGAAACTCCGGGTAGGGTTTAGCGTCGGGGACGGTGGGAGATGAGGTCAGCCGGTGGGTTTCTTACCGCAAATTACCATTTTTACCATTAATTACCGTATCTCCCCCATCGTCTAACTGAGTAGCCCGTATTGCCCATCCGCCGCCCTTCCCGCAAAAGCAGGGCTGTCGATCAATCCGGGGTAGAGGAACACGATCGAAGGAACTCCTTATGACACGCTCAATACAGCCATCATGCTGTCAGGAGTCTAGACTACCGTAGTGGAACCGTAGGAGGGGGTTCGTGCCTTAAATAGTGTAACGCGCTCTGTTTACACCCGACCACTAGTGAGTCACTCTTTCCTACTTGTGCTATTTAAGGTACAGTACAAGTACAGTACATGCAAGTCCTGAGCATCATGTGTGCAATTCAGTTCTCATCCTGTCATTGTATCATAATCTCTAAATATCCTATACACAAACACACTACCCACCGCTTAGAAGTCCAGCGTCTTGCCAAGCTTGGAGCTCTCCTGGGCCAACTCGATCAACCGGATAACCTCGCTGGCTTCCGCGCCACTGGCCGGGAGGTCGGACTCGCCGGCAAGAGCCCGCGCCAGCTTTCTATAGTACTCGGTCCAGGTCGGGGGCTCGACGGTAGGGAAGACCTCTCGGGTAGGCTGTCCGTCCTGAATAGTGGTGAGAGTGCCTGATTGCGGATATTTGTTAGAATGGTGTTTAGAAAAGTGTACCAGTGTGCATCATCGACATACCATATCTGTCACTGGGCTCGCGGCCGTATCCGTTGTCACCGGCGCTCAGTCCGGCCTTGATGTGCTCTTCCTGGATATCGAGATGGAACTAATTGTCTCAAGTCAGCAAAACGCAGTCTTCGAAATCTGCGGAGTCAGATCGGACGGGACTGACCTTCCTGTAGCTACCCTTGTCTCCGCGGACCCAGAAGCGCAGCTGCTCGACTTCGGGACTGACAACCGCAGCCTTGGCCGTGACTAGAGGACCGTTCTTATAGTGAAGCAGGACGGTGAAGGAGTCCTCGTAGCCGGAGGAGTTCACCTCGCGCTGAGAGCCGAGGAAACCCGTCACCCGCTCAGGCTTGCCGAGCAGGTGGACAGCCTGATCCAGGAGGTGAGAGCCCAGGTCGTAGATGGCGCTACCTCCGGGGACAACCTTGTTCTTCCACTTCGAAGCATCTGCAGAAGGCTCTTCGGGGCGGTGGCGATCGAAGTGAGTCTCGAATTCGACGAGGCGGCCCAGGGAGCCGCTCTTCACCAACTTGGACACGGTCTGGAAATCGGCGTCGTAGCGACGGTCTAAACACCCACCCATTAGGAACCAACACTCACAGAATTCAAAATATAGGTAGGGGGTCGACTTTGGGAATACGGACTCTGGTAAACAGCCAGGTGCTTGTTCTGCTTCTTGGCCAGGGCAACGAGCTCTTGAGCTTCCTTGGACGTGGGGGTAAAAGGCTTCTCGACGACGACTGCAGCAACAATTAGCGTCAGTAAATCGCTTGTGCACCTGCAAAATAAGACCTACCGTGCTTTCCGTGCTCGAGAGCCAGCTTGGTCAACTCGAAATGCGTTTCAGGAACGGTAGTGATGACGACCAGGTCGACGCCCTCATCCTTGACTAGATCTTCGGTGCTGCGGTAAGACTTGATGCCGGGGAAGTCCTTCTCCGCATCGTCCTCCGGCTTAGGGTTGCGCTGCACAATAGCAGAGATCTTGAATTGAGGAACTTCCTTAATGAAAGGAATGTGGAAGACTTTGGCGCTCAGGCCGTATCCCACAATTCCGACGTTCCAGGTTTTCGAAGACATGGTGGGGGTGGTTATCGTGGGGGTGGTGATTTTGTGGGAGACGAGGGGCAGAGAAATGAGGGGGACAATTGAGGAGGTTGGAGATGATTGATTTCCGGGGGGATAGCGCTCGGTTATATACGGTGTAAACAAGGTCCACTCTGACTATGTCTCTGAACAGTGATTACACGATCTCCAGCGTGGGAAGAGGGAAGAAATTGGACTCAAGTCATCAACTAGTGCGGGGGAAGGTCCTGGCGACGGCGACCACTGGGCCGGGCGGGGCAATGCGGCAAAGGCCGATGTTGCAGCAAAACACTCGGAATTCATTTCAGTGCTGTTGCCGATGATGACACCATCGGCTCAGTCCGGACCGTGTCTCACCTGTAGGACTTCACACTTTACACGGAAAACCATGACCGGGTCACGGGTCTTTTCGCCCTGCACTTGGTTTGATTGATGCACTATTCCCTAAACAGCACTAGCTCTGGAGAAGTCTGCTATAGTTGCCCTGTCAGGTCAACAATTCAACATAAACATAATTCAGGGAGCATTCCATCATCTTCCTTCAAGTCAATTTCCTGTCTTAAGGTCATTTCTGCGACGTTGGCCCGGTCGTTATCCGACGTCAAAGTCTTTGTAAAGATCTCAAGAAGGTGGAGTTAACCGAATGTTCGTGATCGCGTGATTTCCATTCCCAAGCACGGTGACCTGGACACTACGCTGTAGCCAGCGCCGGCGGCAACTTCAGACTATCTCCGTCTGCTGGTCACACGCAAGAAGTGAAGGCGGGGTGCTCAAACATGGCGACTCCTGTTGGAAGTAAAGTCCTACGTACAGTAGCATTGACTACAAATCGTCGTAGGCAGGAACACCTCCCAAAATTAAAAAATCCCTCTCTTCCCGGACCCTCCAATGTACTATCCGGCTCCAACAGCTAAGCTAACGTCTAGCGTAGACTTACCGCGGCGGCCACAGGGCAATGGTCACCGTCGGTCACGGTCCATACCTCCCTCGCCATATATGCAGATCATGTACGTCTCGTCGAACTCGTACTCGTCGTAGTATTCTGGTTTCGGGAGACGGGTGGACGATCCACTGGCCTGTTCTGGGTGGTCATGATTTCCAGTGTGCATTACAAGTAGGGTCTGGGATAGCGCGTACCTGATGGGATTCTGGGTGGCATCAAGCTTAACTCCACGGTCAATACAGCGTACAGCTGGGAGTGATATTGTTAGTGTCCCATCCCTTTCTAAAAGGACGCCCGGTAGACAGGCACAGCCTCGGTTCGCCCATTCTGAAAATCGAACATGAATTTGCCCGCATCCTCGTCTTTCCAAATATTTGGTTCGAGGCCATCAGAACGGCCGTAGACCGTCAATTTCACATGGAGCCGAAGCCCAGCGTCCCAGTCGGCCAATGTCTCAAAGAGATCAAAGGACACCCGACTGAATGGCTCGGTCGTTTTCATGCCGAGTTGGATTCTCGGGGCTATGACCTTGCCTCTTGCGTGAGTGCCAGTCGGGCAAGCCCACTGGGACAATGATCTGATAATGAACCGTACAGATCCAGGACCGTTGAGCAAGCCCTAAGCCAGTGGTGATCTGCTGTAAGGTAGACAGCGATATTCGGAGGTTGTTCCCTGAGATCTCTGGGAAATTCGCCGCGGCGCTGGTCACGACCAGGTTCTGATAGAGTAACGGTCCAAATGCCGTTCGCCACCGACGGCAGACAGCCATACATGGGGTTAAAGAGCCGCCGTCCGCTTGTAGATCGTCCGCAACGATCAAAAGGAGCTCCAGGGGAAGAAAGGCAGCCATATTGGTATGTCTGTGGTTCTGTGTGTTACGCCGCGATAAGGAACAACTCTAGGCCCTAACGGTGGGCTATGTAAGCTAGACTCCGTCGGAACTAACCTTGTATAAGTCTTACGGTTCCTGAACGGGAAGGTCTTTGACTGACAGACAAACTTCGTATGCCCCGGACTGTACTATTCTTGCACTATTATTCACAAGAAAGCCTCTCTTCGGTATTAGATGGACTAGCTGCGAGAAACGGGCCAGCGGCCGACCGTGACTTCAGACTCCGGCCTCATTAATGAAAAGTTCGAGAAATTGTCCCGAAGACCCTTTTACCAAAACTGGTAAGGCTAGGGACCCATCCGACTAGCCCTCTTTCCTCAACCTACTGTGTAAACACAGATCCCCGGAAAAGAACCGCCCCCTTCTACTCTTGTACCCCCACACATAGGGTGACCTCGATAGCGTCCTAAAGCACACAATTCGCGTTAGAAGCTCATTTCCCACTTCATTGCGTCACAAACATCAACTTACCCTGATGGTTTCCGGTTTCACGAGTTTGCTCTCGTAGACGAGGTTCGGGTTGCCGATTATGTCGAATTGGGGGGTCGCATCTGCACCGAGAAAGGACTGCACGGTCCTGTCCGGAATACCCTCTTTGTTGTACGTTCGTTCGGGGCCCTTCTTAGCCGCCTCGCGCTTCTGCTCCACCGTACTGCGAACATATTCCAAATAAGGCGGGTTGCCGGGGTACAGCACGTTGTCCGCGATCACGACCGACACCTCTGGCACAATCTTCCCCAGCTGCTCACAGAGCTTCAAATCGGTAGTGTAGGCAGGCTTGTAGTGGTCAATGAACAAAACATCCACCTGCTTGACCTCCCCGCTGTTGAACAGCTTGTGCAGGGACAGATCACTGCGACCGACTATAATGCGCACAAAGTCGCGCAGACCGGCAAGATCCAGTAGCATGTTCGCAATGGCGGCATACTCCGGGTTCAGTTCGAGACTATAGTATCGCTTTCCACCGGCCCGGCGCACGGCATCGCCGAAGAGAATGGCAGAGTACCCGACATAACCACCGAGCTCAATCATGACCTCGGGCTTGCGCTCGGCGATAATCTCTGTGATAAACTTGCCCTTGTCCGGTCCGATGTTCATGAAGTGATATGTCTGCGCAAACTCGTCGATAAGATCTAAGACTTTCTGGGGGTTGCCCTGGATTTCGTCTCGGTTGGGCTGATCATAGATGAAGTGCAGCAACTTGAACTCACGACCATCCTCGCGCTACAATGAAGCTTGGAGTCAGTTCAAACGACGTCTCAAAGGGCCTTGAAGCCTTGGAGGGGCTTACCGATCCCCCGGGACGAGGATGAAGCGGCGCTACGTAGGTGTTGTCGCTCATGGTCAGTGATGGATGTCGCGAGGTTGAAAGAAATCTAATCAATGGGTATTTTGCGGTGGTAACAAGATTAGGATGCAAGCTTGGAGATTCAAACCGAGGGTATCCAGCGAATTTAAGGGCACGAGAACCCCCGCGCCTTATCGCACTCGGGATTAGGCTCGGTCTTATCCTCGGTCTTATACTCGACATTTTGTATGGCAGAAGATAAATCCGACAAAGTCACAGCAGCTGAAAGCTCGGAGGTCGATAGGGACCACGTAATCCTCAGCATGAGCCTTTTAAGCAGAATATGACAACATGGGCGACTCTCTAGGGGCAAAAGTCCCCCCACTATGATGCCGTCCCAAATGCCGCTCACTCGGAGATGCTTACTCCATCGGTGCCCCTCGTGGCTCTCGGATCCCGGATAATCCGAGGCAGCGTGAGGATGGTTCATCATCATCAGAGATTGATAAGCAAGTCGGAAATGCATTTCCTCACTGTGACTCAGTGCTCAGGTGATAGTCGGCCATTGTTCGCCACAAGAGGGATCACTGGCGTTTGAATTGGGTGTGCTTCTCATCTAGAAGCCCAAACATGCCATCGACACCCGCTGTGGGGGTAGGATGAATAGTAGTAAACAAGGGCGCAAGCGGTGAGTGCCGCTGGCCATGGAAGCTCCGAGTACGGAGTATCAAGGCTGCAGTGGTGCTGTGTCAGGCTGGCTGTACTGTACTTTTCGTACTTTCGTACTGTACCTTAAGTAGCAGCCACGCCACGCTGCCACCTACACCTTAGTGCTTTTAGTGTTGATTGCGTTGCTCCACCCTGAAGTGATCGGATAACCGAGACGAACCATCGATCGAGTATCACTACTGGCACTAGTTCAAAGACCTCACTATACGTGGGAAATGAAGGTTCTAGGCTCTTACGAGTGAGTTACTTGAGGAATGGGTCATGCACATTCCTTTGTCTTGAATTTGGCTGCAGGTGGCCGGCCATATTTCGGCTCATCAGGCAGGGTGGCCTCACTCTGCTTCCCGCCGCATATACTTTGCACGGACGTGTGCTTCAGCCTGCATGGTTGTTTCAATTGAAGGCAGTTAAATTTCACCTCCAAGCCTTGTCGCACGTCAACGGAGATCTCCTCTTGCTTTACGCGATCCTTGACTGTTGCCTCGAGTTTATCAGCCAATGACCGCCATCCTGATACTTATAACGCATCATTCTGCTTGACCCTGCCCTTTAGCCTGGGCAACACGCCGAAGGATCGTGATTCGTGCGATAGCCGCCAATCCTTGTCAAAAGCAAAGCTGAAATCCAGCCCCTCGGCCATTGTCAGAATGAGGGGTCATCATCCGGTCTGCCGACGAAAATCATACGGTTGTAATCTTGTGGGAGGTCTTAAATGTCTTTCAGTTTGACGTGTGGTTTAAATCGACGATGCTCGTTCTCTTTGTCGGCCCAGCCACCTCACCCAACTCAAACAACGCAGCAGTTGATTTCACCTTCAGGTACGCATCACCCACTGAGCTGCATCGCTGACGTGGTCTCCTTGCAGCAGCATTCCCAAGCTGCTGGTCGTGCTGCCCGCCACCCCCTCCTACCATGAGACAATAAATAATCATTGCCCGGCATGGATTGTGTGCAACAATGTTTACTGCGAATCATCATCTGACAGTATGATGGCTATACATACAGTACGACGAGCATTTAGCTCGATCTCTCAAGAAAGCACTTTGCAATTCGCTCGCGATATGCTGCAGATCCATGTAATTTTCCATCTGGTGCGGATTGCGGTCTCGATCGTCCTGCTGCCGTTGGACAACACCATTCTTTTGGCCTCCTACGCTGCCGGGTATGTCCCCGGCGACATTTCACAGTCCTCCAGCCACGAACGCCGACGACAGAAAATCCTACGAGATGAGCACTTCCGTCCGAAAACAGTCCTCGTTACTGGGGTCAATACCCCGCATGGGCTAGCGGTGGCCCGGGGTTGGTACTACGCGGGCCACCGGGTGGTCGGGGCCAACATCACGGAGGGCGCCATCGCCCCTGGCGAAGGCATGTCCAAGACGCTGGCGGCCTTCTACCACGTGCCCAAGACCAAGTACAGCGCACGGCTGCTCGACATTATCCAGAAAGAGAAAGTGGAGATCTGGATCCCGTGCGCCAACGAGGCCTCGGCCCTCGACGATGCATCGGCCAAACAGGTGATCGAGAGCCGGACCCATTGCAAATGCATCACCCTGGACACTGGCCTGGCCGAAATCTTCGGCAACCAAGACACTTTCACCCACTACCTCATTGAGAAGCGGCTCCCCGTGGTGGAGAAACACCAGGTTCTGTCTCGAGACGCGATTCACAAGATCTTGCATCGGTCGCCGTCCAAAGTTTATCAGATGCGGAGGCCCTCTCCCACTCCAGGGGACGACAAGGTCGTCGTGCTGCCGAAGCGAACCCTCAGCCTGACCTATTCCGAGGTCAGCGAGATCCAGATCTCTAAGGAACGGCCATGGATACTACAACAACAGACGCGGCTGGGCCGGTTTGTGGCAGAGGTCATGGTCATCTACGGCCATGTCAAAGCCATCAAGATCTATCCCGGCGACAAGGAGTCCGATTGGGGCCACTCGCGTTTGGACAAAGGGCTGGCGAGGGCGACGCATGCGCTCATGGAACGCTTCGCACTTCAAGGTGGACCCCGACTGACCGGTCACCTACGCCTCCAACTGACGGTGGACGAGGAATTTACCGACAATATTCTCCGCTATGCAATTCATATCGAGGGCTGCGAGCAAGGCGCGGCGGCTGTGAGATTCCTTCTGCAAGATAAGCACGACTCGCTGGTTGCGGAGTACTTGGATGTGCTCGCGCCACACATCAATGGCGTTTCCAGTGAAGTGCCCGCTATAGACATCGCATCCATCGATACGGAAATTTCGACCCCGCCTCCTGAGAATTTCAGTCTCTGCCAGGTGGTCCGCGGTTGCGATGTTCGGAGGGTGCTTCCGGCACTCTACCCTGCCATCGAGCAGATCGATCGCAGTCTTCACGAAGGCAGCAGGCTGCTTCTGTTTTGGAAGAATTGGCGGTTCTCCGCAATTGACCCATTGCCGTGGTGGTGGCATACGCATATCTACCAGCCCCTGAAAGAGATCGAAATGATCATGAACACGACCAATGGCAAGTCGGCATAATGTGCTTGCCTCGTTGGCGATTTAATGACTCTCCTTTGTTTGCCAATCATTTTCCTGTGTATTTTCATCCACTCTCTTTTTTTTTGTACTCCTCTCCTTCCCCCTTTTCCAAGTTAGCGAATGAAGTTATGACGGATCATAGCACATGAGACGATGCTGTTGTATAGGGAGCATCGAGTGGCGTCTTTTGAATATATTAGCTGTTTGCAGATCGGCCACTTTCGAGACGACCGAGGTAATGGACCAATTTGAGTTGAGACATTCTAATTCAAGCGTGATGTCGCGGGTGCTTGAAACAATAAAGACTGTAGATTGATCTTCGACGGTGGAGTCGGCCAAGCGTGGATGCGTGGTGGCCGTGTCTCCATGAATGGCAACCCCTGTTTCCATGAGAACAGGCTACTTGGCGCTATCATGAAACGGCTAGCGACTAGGGTCAATGTACAGAGCAGAAGGATGATATAGTTTCACCACCAAGAATCGCCTTTGGTCGGCTATAAAGCTCCCAAGCCAGGCTCACCCGTCCCTGTCAGTATGATAGAGCATAAAATCGGACCTGCAAATGAGCGACGGGCAGACTTGATGGTCTGCGAGCACCTGACATGTTGACACATCATACGTGTGCAGAGGCACAGCCAGCTGCCGAGGGTCCGCCTACCCACTTACGCAATGAACATTGCAGTGCTCGATCTTCAGGATCGTTGGTTCCGGTCTACCCTTTAATTATCGCTGAACAAGTGGTCATCATCACTTAAATTGGGCTGTGTCGGGTAAGTTGAGGATGAGGATACGTCAGCTTTGGGTGCAGGGTCTCCGATTGGGCCACAAAACTAGTATTTTGGAACTTGGGAATCGATACGGGCAAGACACAATGCTGTAACAACATCTCGAGTGACATTGAACATCGCCAATGTACTGACTGTACTGTACGAGTAAGCAACCTTGATCTTGATCTTGCTTTTGATTGTGCATTTCACCAGGCCATGTGCTTTGGGAAATCTATTTTGGGCCGAGATCACGGGCAGGCTAAACCCGGAAGGGTAGGACTACGGTACGGTACGGTACGGTACCGCCGATGAATGAAATGAATTCCATGAATGAAGTGTATTATTATTGTTATAACAGCCACATTCACGAGCTTCCACCCCTCTCCCCTCCCGCTCTCAATCCAGAGACTCCTTCTCCTCTATCCTAGTTCTATTCATTCCTCCCTCATATCTCTAAATCGTAGGCTTTTCTGGGTTATTTTCGTGCTTTATTTCCTGTTGCCGGTTGAAGATTATTCCCCCGGGGGTGATTGCGTCGCTGGTTTCCCCTCCCACCATTCTGCCTGCCTGCGCCTCTACTTTAGCGTCCGCGCGGCACGATCGGGTTGCCCCGTTCACCTTCGCCGTCGGTTTTTCGACTGCTGCTGCCACTGCAACAAACAATCGCATTGCATTCCGCACTCTCGTCCCCCTCGTCGTTGACGGTTTGTGCCTATCTTTTGCCATTCTACTCGGAATTCGGTTCCTGGCGCTTGGAACTCCTTGAATCTCCTTCGATCAATCCGCCAGCTCCATTGTATTGCGGTTTCGTTTCCTAGCGTAGAGGAAAAGCGCCTTTCATCGTCATCAGGCACCACTTCTCCGTCATCGATCACCTCACCTTCAGAAACATGAAAGTCGCACGACCTTCCTTCAGCCCGGGGCGGACGAAAAACATCATCCATGGCTTCCAGGGGTTTATCATCTTCCTGGCGTGGGCCTTGACCATCGCCGTGTTCACCAAGGGCGGTGGCATTGACGGGAGATCCGCCTGGTACTGGGCCTTGGTGAGTGCCATTCATCTGTTTGTGCATGTCGCGAGAATTGGAGTCTAATTGGGCCTTTTAATAGTGCTGGTTCAGTATCCCCGGTCTCATCTACTTAGTGGCCGTCCCCATGTGGCCGCGCGCACGTCGGTTCGGAAACGTTTACGCCTTCGCGACCGTGGACTGCCTGTACGCCATCTTATGGTTCAGCGCCTGGGTCTGTGTCGCCAGCTATGTGGCGCAGGGGAAGAGCGAGGGCAAGAGCGACAGCTCGACAGACAGCGACAGCAAGTCCAGCAAGCGGGCCAGCGACAGCAAGAAGAGCGGCTGCGACAACTGGGCCTACGGCAACGCCAGCAAGTGCAAGATCAGCACCGCCACCGTGATCTTGGGTGTCATCGTATTGTGAGTCTATGTCTACCTGTCTTCTGCAGGGCGCTAACATGTGATCTTCTACCAGCTTACTCTTCGTGGTCACCGCGTTCATGTCCTTCCGCAACGTTATGCACTTCCGCCGCACCGGCACCCTGCCCGACGCCGTCTCCGACCCGACCTTCGCCGCCCACACCAAGGCCGCATTCTCGTCCAACCCGGCGCACGACTTCGAGGAGGAGGAGGACGACTTCCGGTCGCGCGCGGGAATGGGGTCGTCGGTCCGCGGCGATCGCGATGAGGACTACGCCCTGCTGCATCAGAGCGAGGCGGATGATTTCGGTAGCACCACGCACGGCCGCTCTGCGGCGTCGGGCGCCTACGACCCGACCGTCTCGACGGGCAGCGTGCTGCACGACTACAGCACCAGCTACGGCGGTGCGCACGGTCAGCACTACGGCGGACCGTCGGAGTACGAGCCGAGTCATAGCGGCTACGGCCACTAGAGGTGGTGACGGAGAGGAGATGCGGTGAAAAGAAAAACCAAGACCAACCTTCGAAACGAACCATGGGGCGGTGTTTGCGGGCGCACATTTTGATTGTCATTTTGGACCGATTGTATCTCTGGCTTGTGACTTGTTGACTTGTAAAACTGACGACTGTATGCTGTGATGGTGATTTGGCTGGGGAACGGCCTGTGTAATGGCCGCGCGGGCATACCTGACGACTTATTGGATGACGAATGTATTTTGGTTCTACATAGATGGAATTACATACTTACCTGCAGTGGAGTGAATTAGGCCAATGTAATCAGAGTTAACTAGTTAAGAGTGAATAGGATGACACATCTGATCCGAAGGATTCCCCGATGGCAGGGATTCTGCCACCGCCTTTGCTTGGAAGGCTCACTCACCATCAGCGATCAGGACAGCTCATCTTTTGTTTATCTGTTAAGTCTCTCCTCACCCAGGACGTCCAGCTGGAGCGCACTCTTTTGCCTTGATCTTACTTGTTGTGTCCGTCAATCGGCCTCGTGAGTTCGCGTCGAAATCCTATCTTAAAACCTCAACCACTGACCTCTCCGCACAGACCATTTATCCAGCGCCCAGCTACAGCAGCTACACTGACTGTACGAACGGATTCCAAGACCAACGAATCGAACGATAATATACCCAAACACACACTAATCCACACACTCAACGCCACCCAGCGAACAACATCCACCTTTGCCATAACACCATCTCCAAACCACCACACCTACCACCTGCACCACCACCACCACCACCACCACCACAACAACAACAGCCTCCAAAATGTCCAGCATAGACATCTACAATCCCCTCCCCCTGCACCTCGACCCAACCTCCAAAGCCATCACCCTCAGCCACCCGTCCACTCAACCCAGCACCTCCACCACCGCCCTGGCCTCCGAACTAACAGCCCTCAATACCCTCCACCGCGCCCTCCTCGAAACCCCCAACCAAATCCCCCCGCCCCCACTCCCCATCAACCCCAAGCGCAGCGCCCAGATCACCAAGCTCCGGGACAGCGCCAACGCCGCATACCGCAAGAACCACTTCGGCGACGCCGCCCGGCTGTACGGGTACGCGATCGACATGGCGCTCGGCCGTCCGGGGTGGGAGCCCGTGACGCTGGCGCGCGACGAGCTGGCGGCGCTGTACGCGAACCGCGCGCAGGCGTGGATGAGCCAGCGGCTGTGGGTTGAGGGCTTGGTGGATGCGAGGTGTAGTGTCGAGAGTAAGGCTGTCGGGAATGTGAAGGCCTGGTGGCGCGGGGGCAAGTGTTTGGTTGAGATGGGGAGGTGGGAGGAGGCGGGTCGGTTTGTGGAACGGGGGTTGGAGATTGAGGGGCGGGAGAGTGAGGGGGGGAAGGAGTTGGTCGGGTTGCTGGGGGAAGTGAGGGAGGGGTTGGAGAGGAAGAAGAGGGGTTCAGCCTAGGTCTGGATGGTTTGTGGTGATGGGCAGGCGAGGAAAGAGTTACGTTTTATGTTTGGGGTTGGACGAGGTTGGTCGTTGTCTGGTCTGGGCTGAGGGTGGGCCGATGATGCATGGATGGATGATCCTTATGGTCTGGTCATTGGATGATGTCGCTTGCGCTTACGCTGGTAATCTCATGGCATGGTTATGTGTGATGTACTACTCTGCTTGCTGTGTTTTTGTGGTTCGGTTCTGTTGCGTTACGTTGCCCCAGGCGTTTAGGGTTGATAGTGTGGGAATCACTACATGGTACAGTACATCCGTGTCTTGATGGACGCTGTCTTGTTTGCAGCCTGCCCTTCGTTCCGGTTCTCGAGGGCAGTATTTTGTGGAATGGCATCGATGCAGTAGCGGTAGCTCTGGGTAAGTGTAAATTGCGAAAGCTTACTTACTCTAAATGATGTAGGCCGGGGCCGGACATCAATCCAGAAAACGGAACCACCGGTGCTCTGGCACAACACAGCTAGGCCTATATAAGCATGGCGGACCCGTTATTATCAATCAATGTCGCTACTCCACAAAAAATGGAGATACGTGCCGAGCAGCAAGCCAAAAATATCAAAAGGTTACTCCGATGCGGGGAATCGAACCCCGAGCTGCTGTGTGAGAGACAGCGATGTTAGCCATTACACCACATCGGACCTTGTTGAAAAGACCCGTTTGTTCTCAAAATAAGTCGTCAGTGTGCTGTCAGAATGTGGTTTCAGATCAACTATCAACTCTAACATCCCGGCGCCATGGTTCGGTTTGAGACCCGAACCTACCTGCTTCATGCTTTGGTCAGTGGAGTACAGTGATGGGTGGAAGGGGTGAACAATACGTATCGATATTGTACTGCACATAGACATCTATTTATGACCTGCGAACATGTGGGTTGAGTATGGCGGATACGTATTTCTATGCTGCGCGGGAAGTCTAGATGCTAGGATATAATATGTGTGTACACTTTCGATGTCACCTAGCCCTAATTCTAGAAGGGATCGACCATCTAATTCGAAGTACATACAGTCCTGTTCAAGCAATCGGAGACCACATGCAATTGCGAATCAAGCGTGGTGACGTATTTCTTTCCTCGCTCCAAAAAGGCCAGAAGCAGGAAGAGTGAGCCCGGAGCTTCGGTTTTCACCTGAGAAGGTGCATCCAGAGTTGTTGGACGTACCACAGCACAGTTTTCGTCCCGCGCCCACTCGCGCCACAGCTCCGGATCCTTGGCCTGAGCTTGGATCTCTTTTCCCATAAACTTGTTCCACTGACGGGGCTTGCCGGTGTCAGGGTCTCAGGATTCCAGAATGTCCTTGATGCCGAACCACTTTTCCAAATGGAGGAGCTAGTCCCGCATGAGCACCATGAAGCATTCATTTCTGTACTCCTGGTAAGAGGTCACAACCGAAAGTATGAGGTGAAAGTGATGAAAGAAGTCAAAGTACACTAAGGTAGCAAGGGTTGAATACTCTGCAATCGTTGGTAAGGAGAAAGAACTGAGGTCTCGGCAAGGTCTTCGTCGGATAACCTGAGGGCTTCACGAATGTGAGAAGTTTTTGTCGGCTGACAGCTCACTTAAAAACATCTTCGTGGAACGCTCGCCTCTGATAAACAGGTGTAATTAATAACATGATAGAAGGGACAGATCTGTGTACTGGAGTGTTTCGCTACGAGATACTTAGACCTCATATGAGTGGAAATTTTGATATGGGCCTCTTCGGTGTCGGGATGATGGGCTATGACGATTACACAGCGTCTCCGATTTTTGCGATCACGCGGGCGAGTACGGCACGACGCAGGAGTCGGTTCTACTGACGTCTTTCGTTCCACTGAAGGCCTTCGTGAAGAACGGTAGACTTGACTCCATTGCTTCAACATGATCTCGGCTTTCTCTCATCATAGCGCAGATTGCAAGATCCCAGGCGCCCGCGGTTTCTATAGCTTCCACGCTAGCTGCGGGATTCACAATATCACAGCACATGGGCGCTGCCCTCCACGGGGAAGACCCGGGTCCTCTGACTCTCCCTCATCGTCTCTCGAGAAGCTGGAGCCAAGGAACAGCCCACTCGCGAGAGCTGAAGTCTAGCAGAAGCGATGATCAATTGGCTAGGTAGGCCTCATTCCTATCCCGTTCACTATTCCTCCGGCTGGTAGTCCTCTTGTAGTTAATCCCTTCTTGGGGTACTTGTGTATTGTCGTGGTGCTCCTATGGCTACCGCATACTCTACCAATCAACACACCCAAGTCTTTATCGCGTTTCAAAGGAGTCGACTGTGGAGGTTTGGCTTCGATAAACTCTGATGTCCTCTCCATCCTCGAGTTTGGCTTGAATGATATTGTCAGGATAACGTCTGTTAATATACCCGAAAGTCTTTTATGAACTGCTCGAGCTTTCTTAGCCAAGTATCTACCAGTAATAATGAAGTCCAGGGTCATGATTTCAAAGTAGCCTGGCACACGCAGGGATGGCTGCGATTGTCCGTACCGACGACACTTGCGAACCGTTTCCGTTTGATCCTTGATAAAGGAGTCCAAATTATGGAGTCGTTTGGGATAATAGCGACCTCGGGATCAGTACTCCTTGACCCCCGTGGGCAAAGACCAAGAACGGCCGCCTTGCCGGGGTGACAGAGACGTCAGCAGTGAGACTCTAGTCAGCATCTTGACACTGACACAGTCATCATTGTGCGTAGGCACACAAACTCGCTTAAGTGGAAGCTCGCGCTTCGGGATGGATACTGGCTGGTCATTGCCAAAAAAGCTGAATTGGACACTCGGTATGAGAGGCATTGTCTCTCAAAATGGGTCACTGTGAAGGCTCTGTTGTTGGAATCGACTCTGACTCCTCCTCGCGGTAGTAGTCAAGCGGGAAAGCAACTTCAAGTTTAGCATGAAGCGGAGGATCATCTGCGACAAATGTGCAGCAGGCATTGGGGAGGCAGAGGAGGGGGCAAACTATGGTAAAAGTTGGGCAATCAGGGGTAAGGTAGAAAGTCGACAGTTGAGGGGCACTGCAAAAACAGAGTGCGAGGACCTTATACTTCCTTTGCAAGGCTTTCCATAAGCGCCCTCCAACTGCATCGAAGCAGCAGTCCGCCTCGAACTGCACACCAGAGCCCGCAACATAGTTTTTGACCGAGGTCCTCAAACATTTGAGGCAAAACATAACCTCCGGACGGAAGGGGGTTTCCGCCAAGGGGCGGCGAGTCAGTGCTTTTGTTGCACATCTTCTTCACAGCAGTAAAGCTTTGCGTGAACAGAGGTAAGGTCGGATCACTGCAACAGAAGCGTTTGGCTCGGTGACGAGATGTTGTGAAGCTGCCGCAGCCGCAGCCGCAGAGTCAAAAGACAGCGCGACTGAGTACAACTTTGTAGTATAGTTGCGAGCCGTTTGGGTCAATATCTGTTCAAGAAATCACCTTGCACCATGTGCAGCCTTGCGTATGCAGACAGTGCAGACTGCGAGATAAGCACATCGAATCAGTGCTATAAAGAAGGTTATAGGTGTCAAGCTGGCAAAGCAAGGCTGACCGTGGGTCTTTGCGTTGAGCTGCCACATCTCTTCTGTAGTCAGATCTTGTGTGACACTTCGACTAACAAGCGGGGGGTACTTTGTCCAAAATATGTCAAGGAGTAACAATATCGAGACAACACCAACCAGCAGTTCATGCGAAGGTCGAACTCTTATCTCCACAAGACCTCAGAGTTTGCAAGGTGTCAGAAAACGATTTAAGTATGCCGTATCGTGTCAGCAAAGTCTATATGACGGATGCATATGCAAGCAGCCGTCAAGCCGGACATCTGCATAATCAACCTTGAGCAGAACATAGGGTATTAAAGTTCGAGATGGTGGATCACTTCGGATATTCAGTAGACTCTTGACCTCCCGCCTCGCTCTGCCGAGGTGCCCATTTGGGTCTTCAGAACGTGCAGTTTTCGATGGAAGCCTAGTACAACCTGAGCGACTACCCGCGAGGTGCTAAACGCGCAGAATACCTCTTAATAGTGGTATAATGCAGCCGCAATTGGTCTTCCGCGTCTGTGTATCTGGTCCTGTACTGAGCACGTCAACGGCTCCTCAAACAAGCCCTGGCTACCCTTCCTGAGCAGTCTCATGATCATCTAGACGATGGTGTGTTGAGTTGCCGAAGGCATGTCCCCGAAGATGGTCCCGCGGGAGAACTTCACGAGGTTCGATACTGATGCTGTTTAGTCACTCTTCTCTGTTGGGACCATAATCTGCATCTTGCACAAGGTACCGTACTCGATTGCTCTCGTGCCATCCTTCCTGGCATGACCACTTACCGGACCGCTGGCTATGCTAGCACCCACATTTTACTTCACATTGTTAGACGACGTGGCCGTAAGCAAGGATCTCTCCGTCTTTGACTTTATAGATGATCACTTCGTCCGGCAACAAGTTGACTGCAATCCCGCATCTTCCAAGGCGTATGGTGCCAAGCAGTTTGACCTTCAACGTCGGGACGTATAGCACATCGGTGAGCGTCACCGTGCGAAAGCGTCCTTTTAAGTACTGCACTTCCACTTCAATTTTGCCTTTCAGCGTGGAATGCGTAAGTCCTTGAAGGATGACAAGGACAGGAATCTCATCACCTTGGCTTTTCTAATTGGTGTCGATTCTCCTTGCTCTTCTGCGGTCGGAGTCGAAAAAGACTTCCTTGAGGGACGGTCGGAAACAGGCTTCATTGTCAGTGTTCCAAAGACGTCGCTGGTCTTCAGAAGCTTTCTGAATTTTGTGATCCCCGCTTTCTGTTTACTGTATAACAGCATGTCGTCATCAATTCCTCCAATCCAGATAGATGTCTCAAAGCCCCATTCGGGCATCGGGTGTGGAATATGATGTTCGACTGCGGTCTTGATATTGGCAGGAGTAGTGAGGGCTGGACTCCTCCCCGTTGCTTTGACCGATAGGTTGCCCATGCTCTGATCTCCGGGTCTCGTGAGCCCTGTTGGGGGGCGATTTATGACTGAGTATATTGCATGAACCAAACAGGTTGCTTGAAGATGGTCGAAGACTGCTGATCAATGTCAGTGCCATGTCTAGTGCCATAGTTAGTACTGTATTAGGCGAATCGAGTCTTCATCACCTGTCATACGTACCGCTCTCCACGGCAGAAGAACTGATTCAGGTGGAAGAGAACCCATTACCGAGTACCCTAGTGGTGTCGGAATGATTTGATCCTCTCCATTTGTGTAATTCTCCCCACCCAGTCAGGACCCGCTGGCTGGGTGTGCCAACAGAAGGCGGGGGAGGTCCAGGCATTATAGGACCGTATACAGCGGGGGCTGCCATGATATTTGTCATAGTGAACTGAATTGCCGAGAACGACCTCCGTGGGGCGTCAGGGGCAACGGCGTCGGTGGTCGCGGTCGCGGGGACAAGAAACAATGCGGCAGCAGGCACTAGGCGCGCAAAAAGAGACATAGCCAGCTGGTCTGGCAACGGGTTCGCTGCTTATCACCTTGCGATCTTGGGAGAAGTTGGGGGGGGCTTACCGGCTGTTGATATCAAGGACCGAATGAGCAGCTTTTCTTAGGACCAGATCACTATATAGTGAGCACTGGCCGGCCGGCCGTAAAGAGCATAAGGAACTATTATATGAGCCCGGTGTAGGGTGTTCTCCCGCAACGCTTCGGTGGCAGCACGGAAGTTTTTTAAATGCTTCCCTTGTCCAAATCCTCGCCGCGCATGAACCGCGCAAAGGAGTCGCGGAACGCTTTTGGGGGTTGAGGCACTGCTCCCAAACAAGAGAATCATGCGGCAAGAAACGTCTCGAGATTGCACTGTTGGAAGCACTATCCGAGGTCAAGTTTATTAGCGTGGGTGTTGATGGCGTCGGTAATGCAACCCGTGTCTGATTCACAAGAAGTCTTCCAACTGCCTGCATCATGATCGACTGTGATGTTGCTGGAGAGAGGAGGTGAATGTACCTCCTTCATTGCCGAGGATGATAAACTCAATTCGCTCAATCAATCCAATTGAGTTCGGTTCCATTTCACCCGTTCTTTTAGGTGCAATTCAATTCAATGTCCTAGTGCCACGCTCATTCGATCAGTTGCATGTAGTCCAGGCCGAAGTATGTTTCGATGTCCTGCTTGAGCATGATCGCCATCAGACGGGTCTCCGAGGCACCTTGTCGGCGTACCGATAAAGGGCGAAAAGGACTCGACGCAACCAGGCGGCCCCACGTTTTGTGGGAACCTTTCTCCATCTTGTTCAGAGATAGGTCAATGTCTACCCCGTGTAATTGAGCTCAGGCTGACACAAACCTTGGATGTGTTGGTAGTAACCAATAAAGACGCAGAAGGCCAGCCATGATAAGCAGCACCATTTCCGCTACCCGAGCTGAAGAAGGGATGTCACGTCCCGCGAGCTGTGCAGTGAAGGTAGCACTTCTCCGATCATCACCAGATCAGCAGCCCCTAAACTCAGAAGGAACTCTCTGACCGGCTCCGGATGTTCCTTCATCAGACCGCAGAGTCGGGCGAGGTCCGCTCCGGAGCTTGAGATATTAAACTGAGCCCTGACTGGTAAGAGCCTCAATGGCCGCCCGGACTCGAAAGCATGCTTTTGAAAACATGTTCAAGATCGATTTTTCATCAGGTAAAGAGGTTGGTGATACGGTACTGGCGGTGCCGAGAATGTGGAGGCGGTGCATGCTCACAATTAACGATATGGAATCGACAACGATTGAAGCTAGAGACGTATTGCAACTCCCTTGACCCTCACCCGCTGTTGTGCTACCCTTCCACTTGGGCCCTGAAAGTAGCCATTGAGACGCCTTGAAGAAGATTTTTGGTTTCGGGAAAATGAGCTTAACAGACCCCGCAGTGTTCTTCCTGTCAAGCTGAAACTGGGTCACTCCTTCCTGCAGCTATCATTCTTTCAGAACGGTTTAAAGTGCGGGAAGCGTCGGTCGACTTTGCACCTTCCGGATGTTTTGGCAAAGAGTAATACTGGGAAAGTGATTATGTTGAACGAGGATGTAAAGAGGACGAGCAAGAGAGTGAAAGAGCGGACAAGAGAAAACAGCACAAGGAGGAGCATGAACGTTGACCCGCTCTTCCTGGACTGACTGAAGCTCATCGATGTGTATGTTAGTCAGAAGAAATGTGTGGATGGGAGCGGCAATAAGCCCCCTCCAATTCAGAGTCTTCTGTAACACTGGCAAACCAGTCTCAAAGATTGCCCTTTAGGTCACGGACCTCATGATCGGATGCATTTTTCCTGTTGAAGAATTCCTTCTTTGAAGGATAATCATACACCCCAGGTAGACGGAAAGGATGATCTTCCTGCGGGGGGTCGTACGGGCTCATATCGAGGATTTCAGCCTGTATTCGGTCACAGAGACGGCTTTCTTCAACATGTCTTCGTTGACCGCCCGCGACTGCGTGGTACATGGTTTATTGGGCTTCGTAATGCCGGAAAGACCTGTCTGAGGCTTAGAGAGATGCCGGCCGCAACTATCAGAGTTGCACGGGCTATATCGGACTTTGTATAGTTGAAAAGACTCGAAGATGGCTTAGAAAGGATCTCCATCGAAGTCGTCTGAGTGGCACGCTGAAGCCAGATACCCAATAGGAGTCAACGCCAATGGATGATTCCTTCAACCCGGCATTCTTTCGTTGCTAGAGTTTGAAGCTCGGCCTTCGCCTCTGCCATGATAGCATTGTTATTGAGTTTTATGTACCGAGAATGCTGTCTGATGTACTCAGACTGCTATTTGCTCAGCGTGAGATCTCTTGTCAAGGTGGTTTGGGCTGTATCTCCATGTTTGTCCTGGACAAGGAGTTGAATTAGAGAGAGAATGTCCGGCCATACTAGTGAAGCAGCTCAAACCGATGCTGCACGAGTGGCAAGATCGGCCCATTCTCTCTCTCTGTGATCTTCGGGTCCAACTAAAATTAGCTTGAGGATGGATAAAACACCCAAAGTCAGTCGCCAGGCCCTGAGATACCTCACGAAGGGCTTAACCACTGTCCAACGGGACAGCAACCCAAGGGCAAGCAGATTCTTATCAACCCAATTTCGTAACAGGGATGTTCCTCTACATTCCAAGAATACTTCTGCTGCAGATATGAAGAGCGTATTATCATCCTCAATAACACCTTCTAGACCAAGCTATGCATTACGGTCAGAATATTTTGCAGTTATTGAAGACATAGAACAAAAAAGATTACTTACCATCTTAAGAAAACTGCAACCTCAGCCAAGTCTTCTGTCGAGGCTACGACGTATACCAATCGAGAACAGCAGTGGGATACATTTCGAGAAAGTCCACAGGAACCGATTCCAGCTTCAGAACATTTGCTATGTAGGCAGAGTAGCCCTGTAGGTAAGCCCCATGGCTGAGAACTTCAGTGCCATAGTTTTCAAGGAAGCCAGTCCACACCGCGGTGAGTGGGAAATGGACCCGCCTACTCGTTGATAGGATCTGCCACCGAAACGCTAACAACATTCGGATTAGCCAATTATCCCCTTTAGTTCGTAGGATTGGTTACGATAGGAATTGAACTTACTGTTCGAAATCGTTGAGGCATCGCAAAAAGAGCGACCAGATATCCAGCTGTGTAGCACGCTACCAGGCGCCTGTCTTAGTCACGACTCAAAATAAGAGCCATCAGTCGGGGCAACAAACTCATTTCAGTTCGGTGGGCAACTCTAGTGGAGTTCTTGGTGCGCTAGAGTTTTCATACCCGTTCAGGCATTTGACGTCCATGGTATGTATAAATTGAGCATGGTCTTCACGCCGCCACTTGATCTCCTCGAGGGATGGATTCTTTGCCCACCCACCACGGCCTTCAATTCCTTGAGATCCAGGCTCTTTAGATGCACAATTGCAGCTTCTCAGATTGTTGAAATATATTTTACCTCGTCAAGTCGGCGCCGTCGTGGAAGAGGATGTTCTCTGCCCTGAACCAGGGAGTTTGAACCCCTCTTCGTCTTCTTCTTAGGGGTCCAGTCTGGATAGAAGGAGCAGTATCCTTTCTTCTCCTTTTCAATGCAATGAACATATGCAGCCTGTTTCGTCATACGGTTTGCTTCCAGGTGTTTTTAGCTGATTGCCACACAATCTCTCCAGTCTCCCAGCCCTTTTTGGCAGTTGAGACATGCTGCTCGACCCTTAAAGATTTCTCCTCGCCTCATAATCATGCGCGCCTCGCGCCGTGGTGGTTTCTTCTCTTCTTATGCCCGCCAGGGGTCTCAACGAGGGGCTCTTCACTAGTTCTTGGAATGACTCTCATGAGAGGTGGTCGAGGTTGATGGTGTAGGAAGTATAGAGAGGGGGTGTATGTAGATGATAGGCAAGGCAGGCTGCTGGATAGAGAGGTGATGATAGAGGAACAGTGTTCATGAATATGGAAAAGAAATGGACGAGGTTGTAGAGTTGTTGATGAAGATGGTGGAGGTTGATGTATCATGAAGTTGATGGAGGATGTGGATGGAAGATGAAGGAGATAGTGGTTGAAAATAGTGGTTGAAGATGGTTGATAAAGATGGAAGAGGAGAAGAAGGAAGAGAGGAGAAGGAGGAGGGAGAAGAGCAAGTATTTAAGCTTGAGGACGAAGTTCTGTTGAAGGCCTGGAATGGCAGGCATTCACACATTGTATGTGATTGAATATATGAATAGGACAATGAATGGTGTGAACAGCCCAGACAAAAGCCAAGAACTACCAGTATCCCCTCAAAATTCACAAGAACCAGACCATCCAAGGCTCACAGCCAGGACTCTGACGCCTAGTCCATCCACCACCTACGTAGATGAACCCAGTGAGTAGTAATTCTACGCAGTAAATACTCTACATCCAAGACTATTTCCCTCCCAGAAACCCTACAGCCATGCATCCAAACTCAAAACGAAGAAGAAATTCAATAAAGCCTAAACAATGGTATATACAAGAAAGAGTCACAATTCCGCCAAATAAAATTAAACCTGCACACTAGACCCGTCGCTCTTCTTGCATGAGCAACCACAAGAATCTGACGCAATCTGAGACGGCGTGCGCGCGTAGCTAGGCGGCACGTCGAGGGCCGGGTTGCGGGCGAAGAAGTGTCTGGGCCGGAGGAGGAGGGTCATGGGCTCGGCGGGCATGATGGGGTAATCCTCCGGCGCGGGGAAGTGGGTCAGGCCGAAGGTGTGCCACAGCACGATGTCGGTGTTGTCGATGGAGCTGTCGGCGCCGGCCTCCTCGATCCAGGCGGGGAGACCCTGGGAGGGCTCGCCGGAGGTCTGGGGGACGTGACGGCCCGCGGGGTGGATTTGGTCATCGGAGTCTATTTCAGCCCAGATTAGTTTGCAAGTCTATTAGGGAGCAGCAAAAGGAGGTGGGACTCACATTTGGTAACGTGGACGGCATGTCTAGCAAATCCAGCTCGCTTCCAGACCAGGCCACCCTCCTTGGGGAGCAAAGGAGGCACCTCGCGGCTGACCAGCTTGTAGGTGACGGGCTTCTTGCTGTAAGGGTGGAGCTTGTTGGTGTTGGCAATCTCCCAGGTGCGGCTGGTGTTACCATCGTAGTCCGACATGGCCTCGCGCGGGGTGTTGAACTTGGTCTTCTTGGCGTAGAAGGCGTTGCCGTACTTGTTCTCGGCGCTGCCGACCTCGCCGGGGCCCCGGACGGCGTCGACCTGGAAGACGGTGTTGTTGGGCCCGTCAATGTTGGCGTCCACGCGCAGACAGAACAGGTGCTGGTGGTTGTGCGCGTTGACGCCGGGGTAGACCTCGGTGCCCCAGCCGTGGGTGTCCTCGCCGGGGTTCATGGCGTAGGTGTTCAGGATACCCGTCAGCTTGATGTCCAGCTGCACAGTGCCGTCCTGGTGGAAGATCCAATACACGCAGTACTCGTAGTTGGCGGCGGTGAAGATGTGCGAGATGATCAGTTTGCGGGCACGGGTCACGATGACCGACTCGTCGCGGAAGTCGGTGTGCTTGAAGAGGATGCCATTGTCCTCCTCGTGGATGCAGATGGCGTTCTTGACGATGGTACTGGCACCGGCGCGGTTGACAAAGGCGGCGTCCATGTAGTGGATGGCACCCTTGCAGTCACAGCCCAGGGAGAGACTGTTGGTCATGTAGCCACCGCCGTATTCACCGAGGTCGAAAGCGTGCTTGCGCTGGTGGGGGTGCTCCGGGTTACCGTAGGGGACGACCATCTCCGCCAGCGAGAGACGGTAAAAGACCGGGCGAACGTTGCCCTTGTCATTGAAGGTGATGTTATTGAGCACGATCCCCTCGCGGTAGTTGAATCCGACGTGGATGTTCCAGTTTTGCCAGTCAATGTTGCGTCCGTTGACGTTGAAGGAAACACCTTCGGGCTGAGTGATGTGGATGGGCTTGATATCCGTGCGGAAGCCACCATCCTTCTCAATGGAGTTGACATCATAATTGTTCGGAGGAGCCTTGCTGATCGGTCTCCGTACCGGGGGAATGTCGATGTGAATGACCTCTTTCGTCTCAGCATTGAAGATCGGACAGAAGTCCAAGGGGTATGTGTATTGAGAATCGTCAACGTGCGGGCGGTAATACATGAGGGCTTGTTGCAGGCGAACATCGGTGCCGAAGCGCTCATCGTATCCGATGGTCCAAGCTAAATCCCGTCAGTACAGAAGCATGAAAAACAATGGCGAGGGAACTCACGATCGCAATAGACCTTGTGCATTTCTTCCTTTGGAATGCCGATGATAGCACACTGTTCGATAACCTTAGGATCCTTGCGGACGATCGACTCCACCTCCTGCAGATCCTCCATTGTGATCAGAGGCTGCACGCCAGGTGTGTGCTTCCACTCGATGACCTGCTCCTTCTCAAGATCCACGATACCATCGTAGACCTTGCCGCCGGGCGCGATGGCAACCACGTCTGCCATACGGACAGGACGAGGGGCCTTTTGAGGATCCGCCAACCAGGCCATCATCTCGATCTTGCGGGGCTCGTAGAGCGTGACCGCATTGAAGTTGACTTTGCCATGCTCCTTGCGGATCAGAGCCACCGCGGTATCTATTTCCGATGTCGAAAGAGGATCGAGGGGGTGAGGAGGAGGCGCGGTGGCCTTGACATGGTGAGCCAATTGTTGCAAACGGTCGAGAACCATTATGTGTAGAGTTGTCAAAAAAGCACGGGTGAGATCGTCAGTTGTGTCTTCGTGAGATCCGGAAGGTCGAAGAGTGTAGAACTATTAATGAGAAAGTGTGGGGTAGAGCCGGGAGATTATCACGGCGGCAGATGCTGGAGAGAGCAGACAGACACAGAAACAACCTGCACAATCCTGTGAGACTCTTTTGTTTCTCCAACATCAATGAAGGGCGGACCTAGTGGGTTTTAAAATAAACCGTGTCCAACAGCCATCTGCACGAAGGGTAGGAATGACTGAGTGACTTCGTTCCGGATGAACGATAACAGCAGCGGTGTATACGATAAGCGCATGGAGAATCATGGATGCATCGCCGATAAACCCAAGGCCCGGATCCCTTTTCCCAACTCAGTCTAGCGTCCGATATGTGGCCGAGGCAGCCGAAAGCGGAAATGAGAACCTGAGCGAGCCAGACTCAGCGTTCGCATGCTTTTACCCAATGCTTCACTGGGGGAGGGATGAGGGGTTGATAGTACCGACCTAGTAGTAATCACACATAGTAATTCCATGCGATCTGTCAAACCCCCTCCCCGCTCTCTCCACCTATCGTATCCCCTCCCCCCATAGTCCAAGTAGCCAAATGGAGGTGGCAAAGCTCCCAGGTGACGCATATCGGAATCTGTCAATTCAAAATGGAACCTATCTTTAACAATTCCAATCACCTTACGTTCAATGATAAGAAGCCGATCGGGTATCGCATCGCATTGCATCGCTCCCACAGCAGATAAGTCTCGGCAACGCCACCACAATAGTAACAAAGAAAGAAAGAAAAAAAGATGATCATATTCCAGCCGTAAGAAGAACACCATACACCCTTGCAGAAACCCCACCTCCAAGACTATACGAAGGCACTTCAGGCGATGAACTCCATGGACGAACCGAGAGAGCAAACTAGCAACACAAACGAACAAGGAACAAATGCACCAAGAAAGCACAACCGATGCCACATGCTATGTACATCCATCAAATCGTTGAGGGTTTCTTCCCATCCCTCCCACCAGGTACAGACCAGCTAAAAAGAAAATAAGGCAAGGGCAAACCAGAAAAACTCGGCTTAGACATCAGCGGTTTGCAAGCACATATGTATCCACCAAATTGAAAAAAACCCTTTGAAGTCGCGGTACAACGGATGGATGGGGATTATCGTGGGCCGCAGTGTAGGTTCCTATGGAGAAACGAGATGGAGAGAGAGTAAAATGTTCGGGCGAATTGCGAAGGCGAAAGCGTAAACCTCTGCGCACCTGGCTCGAATGCCCTGAACAGGACAGGGGGGACGATCCGGACCGCCGATCAAAGAGCACCAGAATATCCTCAAGATTTGGCAGCCTGGAACTGTGCCAATACACCGCCGGTACCACCGGGAGTCATCGCATGTGGTGTTTGGCTTCCGCCGATGTGACCAGCGTTGGGTGTGCTGGGAGTGCCCGTGGCCGAGTAGATGGTGGCCCCATTGAGGTTGGGGGTCTGGTGAGGTTGCATGTGGTACAGCAGTGCTGGCATCTGGCCGTTCAAGCCCCAGATCTGCCCGGAGTATTTTGAGTCATCGATGCTGCCGCCGAAGACCAGCTGGCGCATCTTCCAGTAGATCTCGCCGGTAACGAGGGAGTCGGACCCAGCCTGGTGGGCAATTCCCACCCGCTTGACACCCAGCTCGTCCGCAATGTCCTGAAGACCCGACTTCTGACCGAGATTCGTCAAGATCTGAGCCGCGGCCGGCGTCAAGGGAATGTCGTTGACGGCCTGATTGCGCCCGGCGTGCTTCATCAGGTACTTGATATCGTACAGCGACGGGAAGAAGATGTTCAGTAGCTTGTGGAACTCCTCCTCGTTCTCCGGCAGCGGCTTGCAGAGCATGATCTTCATCAGGTAGCCGAAATCATAGCCGGAGTGGAACGAGACCCAGTGCACGTCATCCAGCAAGACCAGCCCCGAGCTGATCAGGAGCGCGCCAAACTCGAACGGATCGATGCCATTCTTCTCGTGCATCGTGAAGTCAATCCCCGCCTTGGCCAGCATCGCCGTCGACTCCTGGGCGTACATATCCTCCTCCAACGAGAACCGGAAGTTGAACTGCCATGTGCAAGGGGCCGGAACAAGGCTGTTGCCGAGGGGCTGACCATTGGCGTCGGTGGCATTCGGGGGCGGGACCTCACCCTCGGCGGAAAACAGGGTGATGCCGAGTTGGATCATTTTGAGGAGGTCGACGTTACACCGGAGGGTTTGGTAGTGGTAGTCTGCTTTGTTGGTGAACGCTCCAATCGGGCGTGCGACGATGCCGGGAAATTCGGTGTCCTGTGACGATGGTTTTGCGTTAGCTTATACACACTAGTTGCAATGCGCGCGAGAGGACAGAAAGTGGTAAGCGCGTTGTAGGCTAGAGCGATGACTGCGCAACCGTGTGCCGTTCCGCCCACATCCACAGCCACATTTTGGGTAGAGTCATAAGCGCCTTACCATGCTGATGTACGGGTACTTCTCCACGAACTGCCGCAGGATGGCCATCTCCTGAGCCAGATTGTGGCTCCATACATCACGGATCCGCGTCTTCACGGCGCCGCCAGCCTTGGACTCGAGCGCAAGCCGCCCGTCGTGAGCCTGATGTAATTGCTGCTGTTGCATCTGCGCCCCTCGGGCGAAGCCCATCTGAGCCGCATGGCTGGCGAGCCCAGTGCCACCTGCATCCGCGGCGCCTCCGCCAAAGCCTGCCACCGAGATGCCATTTGCAATGCCGGAGCCGGACAGGGTGAATGGGTTGATGTTGGTATTGGGGTTCCCGGCGGCGAAACCCGGATGACCACCGAGGGAGGGAGGAGGGAGAGCGGTATTGGCGGATTGGGCGTGGGCGGGGTGATGTTGTTGTTGTTGTTGTTGTTGCTGCTGTTGTTGTTGTTGTTGTTGGGCCGCCGCGACCGCCGCTTGCTGGTGTTGCTGCTGAAGATGGGCCTGCTGCAAGTGGGTATATGAAGAAGCGCTCAGGCCAGCAGGCCCGTATCTGCCGACAGGAGGTGGCATTATCGATGTGAAAACACGGGGGACTGATCAACCGTCATAAATCGGTTTCGACGGTGAGGAACTAGGATAAGAGCTGTAAGGGCAAGAGTAAAAAGAGCGAGAAGAGCACGAGTGTGGCGGTGGTGGTTAGTTTAGTGAGCGAGTAGGATCGGACCTTTTTCGCAGTTTGGGGGACGAGGACGGACGGAGTGCAGTGGGAGGAGTGAGTGAGTGGAAAGGCGGACAACGGAAGCAGAAGAGAACTGCAGACCTCACCTCACCTCACTTCACCTCCAGGCTCAGACTCGGGAGCTACAGACTCGTCCCATTCCGGACTAGCGCGCCAAGACCCGGGTCTTCTCTCACTCGACTCTCTCTCTCACACTGTGCAGTTGCACGTACAGCTTCAACTTCCCTCCCCGTCTCCCTCCACTAAACAACCTCCTTCTCCTCCAATTGCCACGCCACAACCCGCAGACAATCTATAAACTCTGCGCCTCTCGATCCCGCCCACACCCAATCCTTTCATCCCACTGAGTCCACCTCCAGAATCCAACACAATGGCCCGTACCAGCCCCACCGGTTTCGACGTCAACGAATTTAAGGCCGCCGCCCACCCCCGGTCGACCTGGGCCAAGAAGGATCCCTGGGCTCGCTAGTACGAACTGCTCGCCCTTACTAGATAAACATCAACCATCCGATCACTTTTACTAACGCAACCCTTAAACAGTGAGGCTTGGAGATACACCGGCCCCTTCAGCCGCTGGAACCGCTTCAGGAACCTCTTCCCCGGGCTCGGCATCGCGACCGTCGCCTTCGCCGGCTACTGCGCCTACGAGGCCGTCTTCCTCAAGGACGACCACCACCACGGCGGTCACCACGACGAGAAGCACCACTAAAGCGTCCCCGATTCCAGCATTGTCACGATGAGCGGGTTTGGTTTGGAGTCGTTGAGTTTGGGACAGGCGGGCTAGTCGATACAAAGCGTCGCGCGGAATTCAGCAGTGGAAGTCTCGGAGTCAACCGGAACTAGCTGCGCGGGTGGTGACGTGATAGAAAAAAGGAACTGGGCAAAGGGGTCGGGGGATAGGAAACGGACACCCGAATACACCGGAGTGTCACGGAATCTGTTATTCTGGAAGGAGGGAGGACAAGCTATGCGCTGGTTTTCTTTTGCGACTGGGATGATCAATTGTGTGTCAAGTTTGAGGATTGCGTGGGCTTTTCTAGAGGGATGGAAAGCGGGACTCTTTGATATTTCTGTCTAATATCAGAACCTCTTACCTTTGGACGATAGAGATGAGTGCAATGGCTCGCAGCTCTTTTCATAGGAAAGAAAGGGCACTTGCGTTTTCGTGGGATGAGGCGGGGAGACAGGTTATGTACATAGATATCATGTTTCAAATTTTGTTTTTTTTTTGGTTTATCTGTGTTAGCAATGTGTAAGATCTGATACCTGTCCCTTCATTGTCGGTCAATGGGTTGATCGTAAAACAGTGTTTTTGAAAATAGTAAGTAGATGGTTGATACGGCTATTGTCGTCATTAAAATAAAGGAAACCCTCGGCACAGCCAATGGTTTATCAAGCATTGGTCATCAGATATCATTCATATAAAATTAAAAGAAACCCAACCATCCCCGATCCAAACACGTTGCACACGTCTATACATGACTTTTCCAGTCCAATCATATCATGCAAAGCAAAAAGGAACCCAATAGTAAGATTACTCCTCGAAAACCAAGGAGATGCCATCATCACCCGCCGTAACCACCCGCTTACCATCCGGGCTCTGCACAAACGCCATGATACCGCCCGACTGCTCGCCCTCGGAGTTTTCAATCAGGCCCAAGTGACCCTTCCATTCCTTCAGCAGACCGTGCGCAGCGGCCGCGGTACCACCACGGGCGTCCCACCGTCTCACGATGCCGTCCATGCCGACAGTCGTGAGCAGCCACGACTGGCTCTGCGGGGCCGCAGCACCGGGGCGGGGAGGCGCGGAGCCAACGCCGGGGCGGTTCTGCAGGAACTCAACCTTGACGACGGCGCCCTCGTGGGCTTCCCGGATGTGCCGGCGGACTGCGAAGCGGTGCGCGGCGTCGAAGAGGGCGATCGAGCCGTCGACCGACCCGGCCGCGAGGAGGGTCAAAGGTGGGGAGGAGAAGGACAGGGTCTCGACGCCGTCGGACTGCGCCTGTAGAGAGGCGAGAAGCGTGCCGGCCGCCGAGGCGCCGGTCTGCGCCTGCGACGCCGCCTTGCCCTTGGCCTTGCCGGCCGCGGCACCGCCCGCAGCCGCCAGACGGGGAAGACCGACGACCTTAATGTGGCCCTCGGCACCGCCGACGGCGGCGATGGCACCACCGGGGGAGATGGCGATGGAGTACAGGCCGCCGTCGACGGCGAAGCGCTGGTCTTCGGGGGTTAGGCCGACGACGGTGCTGGTGCCGGCGGCAGAGGCGACACCGGCGGCGGCGGCGACGCCAAAGACGTCGTAGACGTAGAAGCTGCCGTCCTCGGAGACGGTGCCCAGCAGGTTGCCGTCGGGGGTCCAGGCGCCCGCGGTGCAGGAGGCGGTGTGCTGAAAGAAGGTCTGAATGATGGAGATGGGCTGGGCGGTGTCGGTGTGGTCGATGCGGAAGACCCAGGCGCTGCCGTCGTTGGCACCGATGGCGACCACGTTCTTCTTCTCCTCGTCGCCGTTCACGTTGGGACACACGGCCAACCAGTTGATCTCCTCGACTTCCTGCGTCTCAGCGACCAGCTCCCACGCGACGCCCGTGAGTTGGGGTGTGGAGTCCCGGTAGGCGCGCAATTTGCCGTCCAGGCCGGCCGTCACAACGTACTCGCCCTTGGGCTCGGTGAAAGCAACAGCATTCACGGTATCGGTGTGGCCGACCAGCTGCGCCAGCGGCTGCAGGGACTCGCGCTCTTGTTTCGGTTGCGGGTTGGATTCGTAGCTCTGAGGGAGGAGGGGCCGCGCGGCATTTGGCGTGGAGTCGAAGATGTAGGCCTTGTCGTCACCGGAGCCGGTGATGACGATCTGGTTGTGGACGGGGTGCTGTGCGATGCAGAAGACCGAGTCGGTATGGCTGTCGAAGTGGGCGGCGGAGTCGTTCTCCAATGTGATCTCTTGTTCTTCATAGGTCATGGGCTGATCCTCGTCTTCGCCGTCGGACTCCATGGGCTGATCTTCATCGCGGTGGAAGATTTCCTCGGCCTCGTCGGCCTGAATGTAGGCGTCATCGGCCTCGCGGTGTTCTTGGGAGGACATGTTGTAGTATGCGCTGGGGGTATAAAGTATGAGGGTGCGCAACACAATAAAAAAAAAAACTAAGATAGAGACGAGGAAAGTAAGGTCTCTTCCGCGACGGTCAAGGGAGGTAAAGAGATAAAAGGAAATTGCAATGGGAGGGAAGAGGCAAGAAGTGAGTTGAGTAGGAACAACTTATTTTTTTCATGAATTCTCCCGGTCAACCACCCCGCTTAGAAATTCATTTGTTCCCCGCGATCCAGCCAAACACTGCAAACATCTACTGAAAGTTGCCCCGATGGTTTCTAAGCCGGCGGAGAAGGAGCCAGATCTTTCCGAATATGTAGTACAGCACAGTAGTTACCTCATGCATCAGAATTGTGAGTTGCTCAATTGTAAAATATGTATCGAAGAAATATCTACACATGACCACCGTATCTAGTGATGTCTACCTCGCAACTTTCGAGTAGCTTCAAGCGCACACGAAGCTCAAAGTCTCGAGCCAGCCTGTCTGCGGGCCTCCTTCTCCTGGTCGCGCAACAAACGGCGCAAGATCTTGCCACTGGGGCTCTTGGGGATGACTTCCAGGAAGCGAACCCCACCCTTGAGCCACTTGTGCCGGGCCTTGTGCTCCTCGACGTGCTTCTTGATTGACTGAATAACCTCCTCATCACTGCCCGTGGCGGACGGGGACCTCACTACGATCGCTTTGGGGACCTCGCCAGCGGAATCGTCGGGGATCGCGATCACAGCACAATCCGCCACGGCAGGATGCGTGAGAAGATGGGCCTCCAGCTCGGCTGGCGCGACTTGCAGACCCTGTGCAGATGCGACACGTTAGCGGCCATGGCGTATGATAGCATATGCAAGGGGCGAAAGCATTGCGCAACTTACTTTGACTTTGATCAACTCCTTGATGCGGTCTACAATGAAGATATGCTCCGTCCTCTTAGGGCTCAAGCGAATGACAGCCTCGTCGCCCGTATACATCCAGCCGTCTTTGAACGTTTCCTTGGTGGCTTTGTCGTTGTTCAGATACCCCAATACAACGCTAGGGCTGCGGACGACAAGCTCTCCGGGAGTATCGTAGCCTGTAATCTCTTCGCCTTCTGGTGTTACTATCTTGGCCTCCACCCCGGGCAGAATTGTGCCGGAGGAGCCAAACCATACATCCCAAGGATGTGTGGAGGTGACAACCGTCGATGTTTCCGTCAAACCTGTTGTAAAGTGTTAGGATGTGGTGGATTTGCAGATTGAATCCTCTTACCATATCCTTGTCTGATCGTCACTGTCGGATAAAGCTTCTGGAACTCTTCGGCGGTTTCCATGCCCAGCGGTGCGGCACCCGTGAAGACGGATTTGACAGCAGTGAGATCGTATTTGGCGCAAGTCTTCGCATTGCGGATCATGTTGATCAGAATCGGAGGGACCTATACAGCGCTGTGGTCAGCTCATGGAGTCTCGTGGTCTCATTCGCGCATCATCACTCACCACAAACAAGGAAGTGATCTTGAAATCCTGGATACAAGCCAAGAAGGAATCGAGCTCGAATCGTGGAAGCACGACCACATTATCCCCTCTCCACGGGCCAGCGTGACACATCACAACAAGGGAGTAAATATGGCTCTGCGGGAGCAAACACATCACGACATCGGTCGGTTCACTTTGCGTTCCGGGATCCTTGCGCGAGTCGCGGTAATCCTGCTCGAATGCTTTGATCTGTAGTACGTTGGCGATCACATTGCGGTGTGAGATCATGACTCCTTTCTGCAAGCCACTCAACCGTTAGCCCCCATGTCTGTTTCTGCTTCTGGGTCAATGTCTGCCAATCGCAATCACCTACCGGCAATCCGGACGTGCCACTCGAATAGCACAGAAACGCCGTCCGACGAGCCCCCTCCCCGGGGCCCCAATTCAAGGCTGCAACTTTCGGCAATGCCTTTCCTGCTTCGATCAAATGATCCACCGTCTTGAACTCGGCTGGAGCCTTGACTCCCGGGGTGAGTTGCGCAGGCACCTCGAGCAAGAAGATGCGATCCCTGGGAAGACCGGCAGCATCGGCGGCTTCCAGCGCCGTCTTCAGCAATGGCAAACATGTGAAGAGCACGGTGGCTCTGGAATCCTGCAGCTGATATTTGAGTTCAGCGGCCGAGTAGGCCGCGTTAGCGGGGCTGGCCACTCCACCCAGTCGATGCATGGCCCAGGAAAGCGTCAATGTATCGATCTAAGAAGGAGCAGCAATCAGTGTCAGCTACCTCACAAATCTCCATCCACTGGATTGACGTACGGTATTCACGCTGAAAATCGCCAAGGTCTTATCCCACTCGCTGCCTGCATTGGGCTGCCAGCTGAATCGGCTAGAGAGTGAGCGTGCCAGATATTCGACGCGATCTACCACATCCAGCCATGAATAAGATTTGCCGGTGACTCCACAAGTAAAAGGGTTCTGCGAGTAGCCGAGAGGGTTGCGGCCGTGAAGATCGGTGAGCATGAACTCAGCGAGGGAGATACTGTCGGGGATGGGCGACAATTTGCCGGCCGATTTTGGGGGACCGAAGACCATGTTTCTGGTTTCCCTCGGGGGTAGTGGCTGATGGGAAGGGAGGTGATTTGGGGGAGTTGACGAGAGAGAGAAAAGAAGATAAAAGATGAGCTACATGGACGATGGGGAGAAGGAGCAATAAGTAAATGGCCCGGGGAGGGTCTTGCGGGGAAAGCTTCTCCTCATCGGCGGGAAAGCCGAGGCTTCTGTGTAACTGGGATGGATTTGGCCCAATTCGCAAGGAACCGATTGGAGACCGGGTTATACCCATGGACGGTGATTTTATCTGATCAACAAGGCCTGTTCCAGATGATGGCATCGGCATAAATCTAGACTGGGTACAGCAATGTGCGAACAGTGAACATCCAGAAAGACTGTAGTATGCAACATACAGGAATTTAGTGTTGGTGAATTAACCGAGGCAGCCCGTTGGTGTTGCTGTTGTTGTGGAGAGCGTCTTTGCATTTCCCCGCATTTTTGGTTAGCCGGCCGAGGGGGGAGGAAAGAATAGTTGGGAAAATGGAGAGAGATCGCCGCTCCCTATTTTTGGGCCCTGCACCTTCTCAAGTCTTGGTCTTACTCTTTCTCCTCATCATGCTTCACAACCAAGCAGTTGCATACCTATTCACAACGCTGACATGAAAATTGTCCAAGCTCTACTCTCGACCTCAATAGTAATGAGCAGTCATGACATCAAGGAATGCGGATGCGAATGCGGAAATCGAGCTGTCACCGTTACATCCTCCTCCACTTGCCGGTCATACCTCCGACCGTTGCGATGATCGTCAATCATTCACTGCCCCGGGTTGATCCTTCGCTGCATGTTCGGCTCTTTCTTATTCATTTACTATACTCAATTCACCACGAGTATCAAACAAAGCGATCACATCAGCAGCAGCAGCAGACACACCTCAATGAATTCACCAAGGCCCACTGCGAACCATCAACACACACATTGCTCGGCCATATAAGGTTGCTATAAATCTCCTTGACGCGATCATCTTCATCAACCTCCATCTCTACGACGCAAGAAATTATCTACATCTCCTGTATCCCTCATCACCAGCAAACCTACCGCATCGAACAAGACAATCCCTCCATGGACCGCTGCGAAAACTGCGGCGGCGAGGGCCATCCCACCAAGGAATGCCCAGTTCCACGCTGCTACACCTGCCTGAAGCTGGGCCACATCGCGCGCGCCTGTCCCGACCAGATCTGTCGCAACTGCCATCAACGAGGCCATGAGGCGCGGGATTGTACGGAGGTGAAGCACTAAGGCATGCACCACCAGAAGCGTGTGTTCCTCTGGCAGATGGGGCTGACATGCTGATCGAAATAATGAATAGGTAAAGGCTTTGCGTTTCAGGGTGCAACCAGACTTGGGCCCGGGTTGATGGTTTTCTGCGGATCGGAATATATTGGGTAGACTGGAGTCGGGCGCATACGCTCGGTTTGACTAGCTTGAAGGCAGCAAAGTATTGGACACTCCCCGCGATGTCTGTGTGCGTTTCTCTGCGTGGGACTTGCAAAGTTTGAACCTTCTTGGATGTATTGCTATTAGGTCAATGAAGAAACATTTCTTAATAGCTGAGGCTGTCCCCTCCGCAAAGAGAGTATTGAACGTGATCCAGCAGGAGAGTGAATTTAACAATCAAGTTCTTAGACTACCTAGTAGGTTCTGCCCAGGAGGAATCAGGTTGAGATATTGTATTATCTGTCTCGAGAGGTGTACCATGAGTGATGTGCGCAAGAACTTTGCTGGAAGCCTAGGTAAAGTTCATCGAACCCTGGTAAGCACCGGAGCAGCGACAACACCAACAAAGAACCGCACCAGGCACAGGCACTAGGGGTCTATGGTCGAAGCTTCACAATGCAAAAACAATGGTTTCTTTTTTGCTGGAAAGCCGTCATCCTTCCCGACAATTAATTTGTCTAAGCACGCACCATAAAAGAGAGGAGCGCAGCAAGCACCTCGACAAGAAAAAGAAATCCATGACTTGCACCTCGCTTAACCAGCAATGCAATCATACCACCTATAAAAAACGGGATAACCTTCAGGCTAAGCCTTTATGACGCGGGGAACCTCTTTACTACAACATTCCATGCGGGGGTAAAATCGACGACCGCCTGACAGGAACAAACAACTCATTTCCCCCTCGCGTACCGGATAAAAGCCACGCCTGCAGCATCTTCCCAGCTCAGACTTGGTCGATTTTCCGCGAACCAGAAGCGATCAACATGATTGAGTTACCCGCTATTGAACTATGCTGCAGACAGTTTATAGCTGCGGGGGCGAGGCAGCTATACCGCTCCAGCACACACACATGCACACCGGATGCGGCATCCGCAGCCGGCTAAATAGGGAGGATCCCGACCATCCGCGAGCACTTTTCCCACTGTTATGATGCACACATTCGACAAAAGGCGGAGACAGAAGCTCTATGAGCGAAATGAGCTGAAATATAAATGCAGCCAGCGCTGGTGACTGAAGTTCCTGAACTCTAGTGTCCACCTCCAGCATTCCTCGATTCCTACCCCCTCCATCACAATGCGACCTGTGCTACTACTACAACTACTCTTAGGGCTAAAGGCGTCCGCCTCCTCGGCCTGGGGACCCCGGAAATTCACCACTCTAGTCACCTTCGGGGATAGCTACACCGATGACACACGGTTCTCGTACTTCTCAACACATAATGACTCCGCTCCTCCAGTAGGATGGGTCGAACCCGACGTAAGTTGGCATCCATTACCCTCCCCCCGCCCTTAATCTTCACCTCCCACACAAATTGACACCAAAGCAAGGCCAACATCTCCTCCTCCGGCGGCCCAACCTGGCCGCACTACGTCTCGACCTTCCACCCGACCACCAAGAACCGGTACAACTACGCCGTTGCCGGCGCCACCTGCTCCAACGAGATCATCGCGCGCGCCTACGACACCACGGCGGGCTACCTGTTCCCCTCCGTGCTGGACTACGAGGTGCCCGCCTTCACCGCGGACGCGGCCTACACCGACCCCACCACCAACCAACAGTTCTTGAAACTCGCTGCCGACGAAACCGTCTACGCCATCTGGATCGGCACCAATGATTTGGGGAATAATGCCTTCCTCACGGACTCGCAGCTCAACAATGCCACGCTCGTGGATTATCTGGATTGTGTGTACGCGGCGTTGGATGGGGTGTATAACGCCACCAGCAGCAGCACCTTGAAACAAAAGGATAGGGGGGGCAGCAGAGCAGCGAAGTACTTCGTGATCATGAATGTGGTGCCGCTGCAGCTGGCGCCGTTGTATGCGACGCCGGAAAATGGCGGGGTCGGGCCGAATAATTACTGGAAGGATAAGCCGGCGAATCTGACGGAGATCAGTGGCCGCATGGAGGGCCAGGTCGTGTTGGTGAATGAGGCGTTTCGGTATCGCACGCCCATCGAGGTGTTGGTTAAGAAGCGGTGGCCAGGGATGCAGGTGGCGGTTATGGATGTTTATTCTTTGGTGAGTTCTTTTCTTTTCCTGGGGTGGAGGTTGAGGGGGGAGGGGGGAGGGAGAAGATTGCTGGGGAGGAATGTGGTAGTGTAATGGGTGAAGTTGAGTGCTGATGCAGAAGTCCCAGATCTCGGAGATCTATTACAACCCCACCCAGTACCTGAACGGGACTGCGCCTGCGAATGTCACTGGGTTCGAGTATCATTGCAATATTAATGGCACAGACTGTATAAGATCGGACAGCCCGGATTCGTTCCTGTGGTTTGATCAGTTGCATCCGTCGGCGCGGACGGATCAGATCATTGCGGAGGAGTTTATCAAGGTGGTGAGCGGGGAGAGTCGGTTTGCTGAGTATTGGTCGTGAATGGGGGTGAAAGGATTGAATTCAGTTCAGCGTAGATGTGATAATGAGGAATGAGATTTGTTTTTGTTTACTTGATGCGCAGTAATGATCCTAGTTACCTAACGCAGGGGTTTGATGACCCCCGCAAGGCTTGTCTTCCTCTAGGGTAGTCAGGGAAAACAACCCTACGTTCCTCCACTCATATTCAGTCAGCAGGTTTTGCGCAGAATAGTGATATATGTCAATATTATAACGGGGGTGGGACGAAGGAAATCTACTGAGAGAGAATGCTAAACTCGACTTATATTGGTAGAGCCGACCAAATTAATTACATTCCTCGAATGTCGCAATTGCATGCAAAAGGGATGATAGATTCAATTGTTGTCTGATACTGTGCAGATCACTAAAATACCCAAGGGGAAAAGATAAATTCGAGCATCCAAGAAACAAATTGTGCAAAGCCAATGCTTCAATCACCAAGCCAGGCCAGGACTATTCAGCCACAATTGTGTACTGCGGTGACACCGTAAAGCCAAGCGTTTTCATGGTCTCAATCCACACGAGGCCTCTTCGTTGCTCTACCACTTATATCCAAGGCGGCAAAAGCGCTTGCTTCAAGCCCCGGCGCTGTGTGCTCCTTGATGATTTTACGGATCGCCTCCGCGAGGCTCCATGTGATAGGTGGCGGAACAGATGCAATGATCTGGGAGCGAAGGGTCTTGTCCGCACCGTAGAAAATGTAATCATCGGGAAACCCCTGGATGCGAGCGCATTCGCGAACCGTGAGAATATCGTGACGAGCTGTTGCCGGTTAGCAGTGAGCCATTCAAGCCGCAATGGCAACTTACTAGGGTGCAGCCAGCCGTGATCGCTGTAAAGTGTTGGCAAGATAATGTTGCTCTGGAAGTCGACGGTTTCAAAGTACGGCTTGTCAGCCACATCAGGTAGCTGGCCGGTACCATGGTTGTAGACATTGACCTGACCCGCAGGATTCAAGAATACATGTTTTCCTGCCGTAGGATGTTCATCATCCGCCCGAGGGTTTGTAGACTTGAGATCACCGATCTGTTCTTCGATACTCTTTGTGTCAAGGTGGGTCGCAGGCCAAGGGAAGTCAGCAGATGGGCGAGGCAAGCAGGACAACGTATGTCTGGCTGTTCGAGATCCCATGATCTGGTAGGCGGACGCTGAAAACATGCACTGAGAGTCGTTTCTTCAGGAGTTCGAGAACAGCCCTTGCAAACGAACTAAGATACTGTGGATGCAGGATCCCTGCTGGCTGTATACAGACCAGGGCTTATAAACACGAATTTGGATCTCACTCCGAGTATCTTTCATCTCTGGTTGAAAGTTCAAGTTGCTGAGATGGAATGAGGACAGGATGCCGTCCTTCCTATCGTCTCACACACGTGTTAGACCAAAGATAATCGGATTCTGAGGCCAGGGACTGACACCCACCAATTCTGATAGAGTTCTCGGAAAGCGTCTTCGTTGCTCCAGTTCTTGACATAATCCACACCCAAGCCCCAGGTATATGTCATGGGTCGAAGTGAGCCGTCATCTTCTTCTTGCTCAGGGTCATGGAAACTCTGACAAGGCGGAGACTCGTGTTCTGAATACATAGCTGTTGACTCATCTTCTGAATCACTGGAGCTTGAGCAGGAGTTAGAATCATCTTTTCAAGCCATGGTTGTTGATTTTTTCGAGGACTTCAAGAAGGCCCACAACGACATGGAGCTCGGAAGACTAGATTTAGAGGATAGGTTAAGAGGATCCATCAAGAGATATGGGGTTATCAAAGATGACAGAAGGATCAGGATCAGGAGAGAAGGCAGAAGGCGGAAGAAGGTGGCGCCTTAGTGGAAGGTAAGATGTTATAAGCGAAGTGAAGTGAGAGTGAATGACTTGATATCCGCTTTTGGCTACAGGCGTTGCTACTCTCCCCCTTATCAAATCTTTAGTGTTGTCAAAATCGGAGCTTCAAATGAGATGACAGAGAATTTCTGGTCGCCCTTATAATTATTACAAAAGTAGGCATCTCTTGTGTATGCTGCCTTTGTCATCCCAAGCGTCTTGAGCCGATACTAATCGTCAGGCTCATCATAGGATCTAAGTCGCAAGTGGCGTACGTCCCCTTCTATCCATTCCAACGGTGCAACAAACGCCATCTGACTCCAAGAAAACAAAGTGTTCTTTCCTCCAAAGACAAAAACTTCAAACCTGCCAGCAAATGAACCATCAATCCAAACGCGACTTCCACTAATAACATCCGTTTGGATTGTGATCAGACTTCCCAATGGCACAGTCACCGGTTCATGCGTGGAGGTCGTCGCGTTGACCCATATACGACCCGGGTACGCAGGATCAAATCCATCGGCCTCAGACACAGACCGGAGAGGATATTCCCATCCATCTGAGATGAAGGTTAGTAAACCATCGGATTCCAGCTTGAGCGTTGCATCATCAGAGGAGAGAGTAAAAGGACCCGTCACGTTCAGCTGTAGCGAATAGTTCATCCCTTTACTCCCATATCCCAAGTGAACTTTTGTCGTGTCATTCTCGTTCATTGTATCCCAGCTGACCAGTACTTCTCCATTCAGATCCACATCTCCAGAAAGCCGCCGATCCAGATTCTGCGCCACCGCATTCGCAGTCAGCACGCGTATAGACTCCGACAAGCTCGATATTATCAGCTCCTGCCCGCGGTTACCAGCCCATGCACGGGATGCGAAGGTTGGAATACCGTCATGGAGGGCATAGTATGCCTCCAGCTGCGTCGTCGCGTCAGGGCCATTGTCATTCCAGGCTGCGATGATGGCTCCCTGGACACGCCTCGGATCGGGTTGGTTCGTGAGATTGTATGGGTTGAACAACGGTGGGGTCCATTGCAGGCCGTCGCTCCCTCCGAAATTCAGTAATCTAGTATTATTGAACGATGACGGATATGGAGCGGGAGTGATAGGCATGTGGTCATTCTTCAGGGACATGTATGCCCACCAATCTTCGGAATTGATCAATCCATAGCCATCTCTTGCAAGGCTAACAGGATCCGACTGTCCATACTGCCAGTGCTGGATAATGGCATTCTTGGAGATACTGCGGGTGTTCGACGGCTCGTACGTTCCCCAGATGCGAACCTTCTTCCCGGCAGTCTCATTCATGAAGACAGCCATCTCATTCACAAAGTCGATGTAATCGTCCGCCAATGCCGAGTCATACTCATCCGCCCCAATATGGACCTCTTTGGTTTGAAACCACGGCAGAAACTCTGTCCATATCGACTTGATCAGCGGCAGTGTATCCGGGTGCGTCAAATTGAGCAGATCCTTTGGCTCTAACGCCAGCTCCGGCTTCCACTTGGTGATTGACAAAGAATGACCAGGCGCTTCGATCTCAGGAATGACGGTCACTCCGCGTTGCGCGCAATGATACTGGAAGTCCTCAAACACAGCCCGCGACAGTGTCTCATTCGATCTTTGCACCAAGCCCTGCAACTCTGTGCTTTCGGGTCTCAAGGAGAACTGCGAATAAACTTCATACCACGTTTCATTATGCCCGCGGGTCAACGGATAATTGTCACTGCTGTGATAGTGCAACTCAGACAGCTTGAAGAACGAGGCGTAGGTGCACAAGTCCTTGAGGAGCCTGGGGGAGTACCATTTCCGGCCTGCATCGAGAAGAAACCCCCGCGTGACCGACGAAGGCGCGTCAAGGGTCCGTCCGGCTGGCACGATCCCCAAGTCGTGAATCAGCAACTGCTGGAGAAATGTTCGCGTTCCCCACCACATCCCTCGAGCACCAGAACCGCGAATGTATGCCCTCTTGGCACTGAAGACGAGCTCATAGCCTTCCTCGGTCGGCTCCTGGTTCTCATAAGTCAAGTTGATCTGCTGAACATCCACACTGTCCAGAAATATTCCTGTTTCAGTATCAGGGAACGCGTCTACCGTATGCAGCACCCACGACGTGTTCGTCACTGCCTGCAGGTCCTGACAGAAGGTCTCTGCAAACTCCCCAGCGGAGGGAGGAATCAGAGTCAACCCATTGTCGTCCCGACGAGTTGCAAAACTGCTGGTGATGAAGATTTTCTTCTCCACTGCTCTGATGTCAAATCCTTCTTCCGACAATCCAGTTACATTCCACGCGACAGGAGGAAGAACCTGAAGAGCACACGCAACCGCGGCCAGGTAGGATAACGCCACGAATTTCATGACGTGAAAGAGGAGTAGTCAACCATACCGTCGATCTGGGGTTGAGTTCACTAAGAAGGGAAAATAGCAGGTTAGGTCGACAATAGACAATCTCCTGAAGAAAGCTTTGGAGTGGGGGTTGCACCACGGCCGAGGCGTTACATTTCGATGCGGGGAATAAACAATGCATCCTACGGGGCTGGCCTATTGTATCACCAGAACGGTCCCCCAAATGCCGATCGTTCATACGCCAAGAGATAAGGAATGTGGTCGCAGTGTGCTCACAACCGTGATAACAGCTGGCCAGACCACTTCTCGATGCAGCAGTGAGCTCCTTTGCTGTCGTTAGATTATCGTCCTCAGACTGTCCTATTCCCTCTAGTTGTCAAAGGGTCCGTATTTAAGGTGCGCTAGGTTTTGTTTTCGCGTCGGCTCCCACCACACTATCCCTTGCTTGACCCGAACTACCAGCCTCTCATTGAACGCTTCTATCAAATTTGGCATTACATTTTGGACTTGAGAAAAGCAAATTCAGATGCATCATTAATAAAAGGGGTAAAAAGGCCTAAGGCTGGCCCGAAGATGACGGTCACAAAACGACTCCTCGTTCTACCGAAGTCAGCGATTTGACGCCACAAGGAGGAAACTATTCAAATCTTCTCCTCGAATGAATACATTTACTACCGTTGACTCTCCCTCAGGAACATGTCATCACAGAATATAACCAAGATTCTGGAGATAACTGTCTCAATATTTTTGGAATAAATTGAGGTGCTGTCATCTTCGTTGCGAAGTCGGGCTACTGCCGCGACATCAGAACGGCTATATAACACACTAGCATCAACACTGTATAACTAGCAAGGGTTACAGGCATACCACAACAATGAACGAATCATCTGAGTATAAAACCACCACCACTAATTTTATTTCTCAACTGAAAACCGAGTTATTTATGTCTGATATGGAAGACCACATGAATCAGTCACGATTCACAGGGAATGAGCTTAGAGATTGCCAGAGATCGGAAGAAGATTAGGAAGAGATCAGTAATAAATTCAAAGCGCTAAGTCATTTAGAATAGTATTGAAATTCGAGTAGAAGTAAGCTGCCTGCCTGCCTCCTGACCTCCATGGAGGAGTACGCCTAAAACACATTTGATGAGGGGAAAAGTGCTCATTTATATGCCCAATGGATCTCCCAGAATTCTCAAAGTGCGCTCAGTAGACTCGTGGGCCATCGTGTTCGCTTCATGTAAGTAAGGAATAGTAAATGTTTTGCAGTGTAGTCACCACCAATAATGAATCTGTTGAGGTGTGCGCATTTTTCGTGTTTGTACTCACGTTTCCTGCTTTGGCTCCCTGTTGGACTGCACAGGCTCCCAAGCAAATAGAGGGCATGTCAAGCGAGAGGGAATCTCTGCGGGCTTCTAGCGCGGACTTTTCTCTGCCAGCGATGACGGTAGGAGGTTGCAATTGTTGTAGAGCATCCCGTGCCGAGTCTCGCGGTCCAAAGGGGCGCCGAAGAGGATGCTGGCCTGAAAGTGGCCTGTAGCGCGATGGCGGGGGCTTCACAGGAAACGTGAGCAATCGACGCCGGCATCGGGCCGTTTGTATTTGGCGCATGCTCCGCCGAATGCCCTATGCGGAAAAGCCGAGCTGTGTGTAGGCTCCTCTCCTCATTCTCGCAGCAGAACAGAAGTTCAATTTTTATCATTGTCCTTCTTCTGACTAGATCACCCTTCTCTCAGTCAGGTCAACATTCGACTTTCGTATAACCGAGCCCGATCCAGTAGGCCACGCTCATGTCGCATGATGTTCATGGTTACCTCGTGTGGACTTAGCGAACAGGGCGCAACTCATCTGTGTGAGCCCAAATACTACCCTCTTTCCGGGTTGTGAACATTCTGCAAGCGCCCGAATAAGTGATACCCCGCTATCCAGGAATTATGAAGAGGTTTGCTTCATGGGTGGGATGAGCATTTATGCTTCGACAAGCCATATGCGCAGTTCGCATAATACATACGGACCGATGGATGGCCCGCTCCGCTAGCCCCCACTCATAAACCTCACTCTTTTGCACATCTCTCACACATTTGAACACTGTTGTTTTGGTCTCGGGGATCATTACCGGTAAGTCTTTGCCACCTGGCATCGCAATTGCTTCTCAGAGCCGTGTAGAGTGCTGTAGGAATTTGTAATCGTGCGTACGTCGCTTTATCGCTGCGTGAAATTCTCTGTACGTAGCTGTATCGATTTGTAGAGACTTTAAGGGTCCGTATTGACTGTGTGTTTTCTACCTGCAGAGACTGACGGTTGACGTAAATTTTCTGCAGAACGGGTCGCGCGGTTCATCCAACATCGGGCTGGAACAGATGGTGTTTCTTCATGTTGTTGTTCCCGCATCGTCAATACATCTGAGGAATACTGGTGATTATCAGGGCACAACAAACACAGTGCGAATCCCAGATGCAGTCGGTTCACGTTTGGCCGAGGCGGATAAGCACTTCTGCGCGAAGGACCTCAGGCGATTTCAAGTTTTTCAAAACCGTGGACACTCTTTGTCGTAGCGGACGATGACGGAATCTCATGAGACCAAGCCACTCTCTTGCCAAAATATGATAGAGGTATGAGGTAACATTGTATGTATCCATCCCGGAACTCGAATCACCATATTGGAGTCGCAGCTGGAGGAAACACATGCTTCCGCCATCTTTGCTTCCATATCCAGGTCATGAAGGATGTCGACGACGACAGCAAACGGTTCATCGTCTACCAGTGCCGCGGTGTCGCTCCCTTTGCAGGGCTCTCGCAATCTCCTGTGCAGGCCAGTCAATATCACGGCTGGTTTCTAAGATGTTGCTCCCACTCACAAGCGTCAAATGGCACAATACACCAGTTATCTCTTAATCTTGTAGACATCTTCCTCAATCTGTATGCCGTCTGTGTTTGTTTTGAAGTTGACTGATTTTGAGACAGCGGATATTATGATTTTGTATTTATAGTACCCTCGAAAGCCCGCCAACTCTGTGCTTGTGGCGCCCCCAGTCGTTGAAGCCTTTTGTGCAGTTCGGGAGGGACTCATAGATTCGAACACGAGGGCAGATTTTGACATCTGAGCGATTTCTTCTTCGGCGCCATAGGGAACGGACAATTGAAAACTTCCTCTGAGATGCTTTGCGAATGCTCGTGTGCTAGCATTGATCCTCCGTGCCCTTTGGCCAATCAGGTGAGGTGAGACCACTATTATGAGAGACGGACATTTCGGTGTATCCTCGACAGCATTGATCGCCCCTTTGGATAAATTGTTTTATGTTTCTGTGGTGTCCATCTTGACAGCTGTCAAGGGTGACCCGTACACATTGAGAATCTTCTTGTGGAAACATCTCCTCTTCCTCATAACTTGCTGGAATGCAGCAATCTGAGTCGAGTTCTATTGCTTCCGCGGCCTTCGCTTTTGTTTCTCTTTCGGCATCTCGAGCAGAACTGTTTCTTGTTTATCTTGAGCAATTCATCGAACTCAGCGAGATCTGTCGAAGACATAAGCCGGACCCGTAGCAGACCATGTCAATCCTGCTTCAATAGACAGAGTACGGGAAAGCAACATGATGATGAAAATTGAGGGAAATGGCGCGCCATGCAAAGAACCAGGTCTGTCGTGCGAAGGCCTTGCAACCTGATGACGAGCGCGATGCTCACATGGATCCTGGTTATTGCGAGGGAAAGCTCCTGGTGCATCGGCCGGCCAGCAGTGGGCTGAAAGCTTTAGCAGCAGCCCTGATAATCCCCAATCGCCTTAGTGTCCCAGATTGAGATCGATGTTCTGGCACTCGTTCTGGACGGTCGGACTAACAGCAACATTTCGTTTGCAGATGGCGGTTGTTTGATGTTGGCTTCTCGTATGCGTATGGGCATTTCGTGCCCCGCGGACTGTTCCGAGAATTCTCCGTGTTACAACGCCAGAATGCTGATGATAAGGAAACTGAAGTCTTTTTGTTTTTTGTGCAATGAGGTTTGCGATTTCAAGTGCCGTAGCTGACAGGTTCTGAGAGGGTAAAGCAGTACAGGAGACGCTGTTCGCGATGACGTCGAACACAATCGTCACTGAATCCTTGGTGAGATTCTCCACATCAATATTCTCGGAGACGCGCTTCCGTAGCTTTCAACCTTTGCAAGCGCTCACTTGATAGTCCCATGAAGTATGGTGCTGCTCTCATCTAAGAAGGTGAAGCCAAGCTGAGTGCAGCTGAGGCTCGTGGCGTGTTGATGAAATGGTGGAGTTGTGTGTGAACTGAAGCTTTAACCGAAGCGATTCAATTGCAGTGACCACAAACCTTATGGCCAAAGTCAAGTCACCACACTGCGGCAGCCAATTACATGCTTGTCTCGCGAATCTGAGCTTCTCAGTTCTTACGGTCTTGGCTGCTTTCTGCTTGTGACCTTCTGTTTTGTCCTGGTCAGCCTCGAGGCTGGCTCGGTTTCCTTCCCGGCGTTCTATGTGTGGATTTACGTATGGAAATCCGAAGGTTCGAGTCCATCGTCAAGTTACAGGCTCTCCAGTAGGCTGCAACTAGACGAGCGCAGGTCGGGTTAATATTTCTGAGCGCAGGGCTTAGCATCTCCGTGACGAGCATACCATCAGCCGCTTTGTGCCAGTTTAGCAAGTCCGTCAGTGGGTAGGGTTATCCCGAGTAAAGAATCCAGTCAGCTCTCGTCACGATGGCTTGTGTCGCATCATGCACACTGCAGCATGCATAGAGGATCATGGCGTCCGAATCCAGACTCTAAACGCGATCGTACTGTGTCAGGGCAACGCCCGCAGCCTCGGGTCTGCCCATGTCACTGCATCTCTTGTCAGCTTCGCTCCACATCTTGATCATGGAAGCTAGTGTACTTACTATCACCGTTCAGCCCGGTCTGAACTTCGATGGGTATAAGCTCGATTCTCGCTTTACGCTTTGAGCAGCAATCTGCCTCCCGCAGAATCGCTCGCCGGGCCATATTGCAAAGGATACAGAAGCAGGCTGTCACCCTAACTGTCTCGACGGGTTGAACGTCTACCGCGCTGCGGCATCACTAAGCTCCTCCCTATCCACCATTGGGATTTTCCTCAGCCCGTGGGACAGTCTCAGCGTGCTGAAGATCTTGCTGAACCAGGGCATCAACGCCTTAGGAGGTTGATCATCCAACCTAGCACAGAGCCAGTAGCTGCCTCAGCGTTTGATCATCGTGGCTCAGTCGCCAGCTACCACAGGCCGATCAGAAAACCTGAAGAGCTTCCAACTGCACAGACAACTTTCAGCCATCGGATTGATCCGCGCGTCATTTTACAGGCCGCCACTGTGTCGTTTGAGCGGTAGTGATGCGCCATGGTAGGAGCTTCCCCTCGTGACCCGACGGAAAAATCATTCGACGGCCCAGATTTGCCGCGATAACGTCCAGATCGTCCGCATCGTAATTGTAAACAATGTTCTGGTGAGAGAGTGTAGGTCTGCCACTGGCCCACGTGAAAGTCTGTCGAGACATGCTTGACCGATCTTTGCCGATCCAGCTGCTATTATTCTCGGCACTACCGTACAGCACATACAGGACCTAGGAGACAGGTTAAATGTTAGATTCCATGTCCAGAAGACGATCGTACGTGACTTGGGATACGAACCTTTCTGACAGTTCCTCCAGCGTCGAATCGCCAGGTCAATGCTTATATTGTGGTTTCGGAAGCGAAATTCTCAATAACCATAAAAATGCATATATCGCTCAGTCGACTTTCAAATGGCAGCCACAAATTCTCCTTTCGACAGTGAGGTCCCAGGACTGTTCCACCATCGTATACTGGCGTACTTGGAGGTGCGGAGAATAACTATGGACAGATTACCGTGACTGTCCTTGTCAGCACTCTCAGCTGCGCCGTCTTCGCGATGCATCGGCCATGGTATACATAAGCCCAGAGTACAGATCAGCCTGTAGCTCTTCCTGATTCAGTTCAAGATTCGAGAGGAAATAATTGCGCTTGTTGTATACGTTTCCGAACTCTGCCCGCCCGGAAGACGAGATTGTCAGACTCCGCTGTCAAGATTTGGTTCCTTGGGGGGCTTAGCACGTACCTTGGCCATTTGAAGCTCTCGCTGAGTCTCATCACCATCGCATGGGGCTCGTATTGCAGAGCTAGACCTAGTTCCTAGCTGGGCTCACGCACTGAGCCTCACGAAAAAGACAGAGTGCAATAACGGCTGCGCTATCCAACACCTCTCGCGACCTGACAGAGACTGCCCACGTTTCAGGGGGAATCTCCTGCATCTATCGCCAACGCACACTCCGACAGATTTAGTGAGGCGTTATGCAGCTGATTGGTCCACGAGCTGGGTGTTTGCGCAGTCTGCGACCCGACAACCCCCGGGACACGACTGTCCCAGTACTCCACCCACTTTCTGGAGGAGGAGACCCGCGGGAGAGATATACTGAAAGAAGGACGCAATGGCCCTTGGATGACTGGTTCATCGACTTGTTTTTGCCTCTGAAGGATGGATATGGGAAGAAGAGGACTCCGCAGAGGACGGGCCACCGGCCTTAGATTTTGACGGTGTAGAAGCTAAATCCACCACCGCGAATGAGATTTGAAAATGCTATGGCAGTCTTTCAAACAGTGTATCAAGAAACTCATCTCTTTGGATGTTGGATTGAATCCAGGAAATCAAGGACGTTGACTGCCAGTTCTGGTTTTGTGTGGAGTGGCTAGGAGATTCTCTGAAGGGTGGTTGGGGAAGATGAGAAGAAGGTGGAAGAGAGGTGGGAGAGGGGCCTTTTATGTTTGAGGACAGGAAGTGACTGACACCCTTTCGTTTTGCTTTATTCACAATGATATCAATCTTCACTCTGATCGGCTGGCTTTCTTGTAGAAGAGAGGAGAATTGGCTTATGATTAAATACCCAGAATATTGAACAAGCGCTATGTTATGTTCACTCCGTCAAAAAAAAAGTCTGACGGTGAAAGAGACCACAGCATAGAGTAATAGATTGAAGTAATGGGGCCTAAAGGTCAAACATTTCACCAGGGCTTTCTGGTGGTTGTGAACTATGTTTGCGAAGCGCAGCTACCGCAGCATAAAATATTATCCCGCCCATTGAGGCTGTCAATCGATACATTGTCTATTGTCGCACCCACACCAACAACATCGGCACTCCGAAATCCTCCTAGCAAATCTCTTACTGCAAGAAAACCTTTCCTCCAGCTGAGCTCCCCCTCAAAGAACAGAGACATGTTTCTGCACCATGCAAGGTGTTTTCCCAGCAACCCCGCCCACGGTAAATTCCTTATCGGCGACGCGGTGGGTCTTGCGGGCTTTTTGACCAACCACCAGGCCGCGCACGATAGCAGCTAAGGCGCGGATGGGGCCCCTCCAGCCATATTTCTGCTTATCATTAAGAAATCCATCCATGTCTCCCCTCTTTTCCTTTGCACCCTCAAACTCACTCTGCTCTGCTGCTGCTGCTGTTCCGTGCGGCCAAAAGCGGCATCATGACATATACTCCCACCATGGGAGGGAAAGTATGGGGCCAGAAATGGCGCTCCTCGCCCTTGTTCATCGTGGGTGCCATGGCCATCGCATTATTCACGGGTAAGCACGCCATAAAAGAAAATTTTGACAGTGCCTGAAATTTTGAAGAGCTGACGGTTTACTCTGGGTAACTTTAGACACTTTTCTATATACGTTCCTCGTGCCCATTCTTCCCTACGTACTTGAGAATCGCCTTGGACTGGACGTCGCATTGACGCAGCGCATGAGTTTTGCCTTGTTGTCTGAAAGCGCGGTAGCGTCCCTGGTTACGAGTCCTTTTATCGGTCACTATGCGGATGGGCTATCTTCTAAGAGAGCGCTACTGGTTGGGTCTCTAGTGGCGGCTTTGATTGGGTCCATAATTTTGGCGATGGCGACTTCGAGTGAGTGACTATTACGACAACGTGGCGGATGAAGGCCAGAAGGAATACGCTGTTGAGATGTGGGGATGTGCTGACGCCTAGGCAAACAGCTTTCACGCTTTTCGCCGGTCGTCTTGTCCAGGCGATTGCAAGCTCCTTTATCTGGGTCGTAGGATACGCCACTATCGCAGATAACGTTCGGCCGGAGCATCTGGGTAAAACCTACGGCGTCATTTCCCTAATCGTTGCAGCGGGTACCTCGGGCGGACCCATGGTAGCGGGAATACTCTTTGAGCTGGGAGGCTACTGGGTCGCATGGTCGAGCGCCTTCGCAATCCTGATCGTAGACATTGTCCTGCGATTCCTCATGCTAGAAAAGTCAAAAGAGAAAAAGGGTAGGTGGCGTCTCAGCTCGCGCCCGAACGTCCAACTAATTGTGTCCCAGAAGAAGTAACGCAGCCTCCGCACAACAGCGCCTCGGTGGATCCGGAGAATGCACCGCTTCTGGGGAACACCAATGATATAAACGTACCGAATCTGGCGGGCTGGAGGTTCTATGTCGTTGTCTTGCAGCATCGCCGATTTCTGGCTGGCGTGGTCAGCTTTTTCTCCTTCGCAGTTCTGATCTCGAGCTTCGATACGACCCTTCCGCTCCATGTCCGCGACGTATTCGATTGGGGAAGTTTTCCCGCGGGGATGATGTTCTTCGCCCTACAGGGCCCTGGCATTATTCTTAGTCCGTTTTGTGGCTGGCTGAAAGACCGGGTTGGTACGAGGTGGCCGACGACGGCGGGGTTCCTTCTCCTTGCACCGATCATGTGGGTTATTGGCATGCCGGGCGACGACCGCTTCCCTTGGGTCAATGAAGGCGACAGAGCAAAAGTGATCTATACGATCTGCGTCACCCTCGTAGGATCCGTTTCATGTCTGATGAATGGGGCCGCAACCATCGAAGCCACAGGTGCGTTACTTGTATCCCACGGATAGGGGGTTAGTCTAACTGTAACTTCGGCAGTCACAATTGACGAGCTCGAAGCCGAGACGCCTGGAATCTTCGGTCCCAATGGAGGCTACTCGCGGGCCCTCTCCATGGCCAGCATGAGCTGGACCCTGGGAGCATTCATCGGGCCCGTGCTTTCTGGATACCTGGCGGAGCACGTCGGGTACTATGAAATGAGCACTGTGATTGGTAAGTCGATGTCGACTGCTTGGCATTTGCGGAGTGAAGCTGACGTTGATAGCCGTTGTGTGTGCGGTCTCCGGAGTCAATGCGTTCTGGAACCTTGACTCTCGGGTGCATTTCGACCGCGTGAGGGAGTCTCAATAGATGATGTGCGCCCGTATGATTGCTTGAAGTTTCGTTTGCATGGCGTATCCTAGAACAGTTTGCATGTGATGCCAAGGACGACGGTTATGAGACATGTCACAAAAGCTTTGAGTTTAGACGTATCCTTTGTTTGACAGATAGGAATTTTGGTTTGCCTTTTGCTGAGTGGTGGCTTTTGAGGCGTCTAGTCTCGATTAATAATGACTTATTGAGATTGTTCTCCGGACGAAGCCGGACCCTTGAGACACTTTGGGGCTCGCTTAAATCAAGGACGGTCGGCTGTTCTTGCAGTCGGATCGGCTGGCACGGTAGCACAAGTCAGATGTGACATGGCACAATTATCCGAGATGTATGTCTCCGAGGTACGAAAGCGTCGGCGGTTATTGTCTCCGTGAGCGAGGTCAGGATACCTCCAGGCTCCCACCCCCCTGCAACCTTAATGTTTGCCGGCTCCGACAGGAAATTTTAGGATGAGTGTCGATCTCTCAATAGAGTTTGATGACAGTCATACTCGATCAGAGGTTCGAGCAAACGTGCATTAGCTCGACACATGGGGCGGAGGAGCTCTGGCGCGTATCTGAGACCGATTGGAGACAATAGGAGTGTTTCGCTAGTTTGGTGATGGGGAATATGGAGCTCATCTCAAAATAGACACAAGTAACCCCGATTCATGATGTTTGAACGAGGCAGTCCAGTCAGTCTAATCCTGAGTAAGGCAGTGTGGCTGAAGGGGATGAAGATAGGAGAAAGCTTTGCAGACGGTGCTGTTTGTTTGTTCTGGAGTGGGGGGGGGGGTTAAGGCAGCCCAGGAGAAGGCCCCAGGCCCCTCTTTCCTAAACCTGCGTGGCGGCCTCGGGACTTCTTCCCATTCGGGACTTCTCTTCTACTGTGTACAACCACCAACTCCCTCAACTACACTAAATATCAACTGAACTATGAGTTATGTCGGCATATCTCCTTCGAGGCTTGTCTCTTCGACACAGAGCACACCCTGATCTAGCGCTCTATAATATCTGAGTATTAACCATTCTTCGTATTCTCAATCGTCCAGTCAAGATGGAAACTAAACTGGACGGATCACTTGCCAGGGTCGTTCTGTTATCCGATGACCGATCGTCAGGGACACGCGGTTCCCCCAACGCTCTGGACCCAAACCTGGGCAGCCTTCCCTGCAGCCACGCAGTGACAGGTTCGATCAAGCTCACTCGTCCCAAAGTTTGTATCTTTCCCGAGACACGAATCGGACCTGTCCAACCACCCCGTCTCTCTTCCAAGTTCCCCTTGGCTCTTTCCCACGGCCGTTTTTGGTTTACCGGCGAAGGATGTGACAGGTCCACTGTGTCTTGATTGACAGGCTGCGGGGAAAACATCATACTTGCCCATCAACAAGATTTCTAGATTGCTAATGCTGCAGGCTTGTGCGCTAGTGGCGCTCCCCTCCTCTCTTTTTTTTGCCTCCTGAGACTCAATTGCTCGACACTTGTCATTGTCAGCGAGACCTTCGAGCGCCAGGCAGCGCTTTCAATCCGAAGCCACCACACAGAAAGGCTACGTCAGTTATCCGCGACAGTCTGTTCGACGGTGGGGCACGGAAGGGAGGTGGGGGCCAATTACGACTTGTGACCTCGTTCGCTGGAATGGCTTCTGGCCACGGACAACTACCGTTGGAATGGAGAACGGAGACGGAGTGCGGACATAGTCTCCTGTGCTATAGTCCCAATTAGCAGTAGCGGAATGAGGGAGGGGAAGGAGGGGAGGAAGGAGGCGGAGAATACCCATCTTCGCTGGATCTCGAAGCGGAGTCGAGACCATCCTGATCATTTCGGATTGCTATCGATAACGCAGAGTGATGGACACCTCCCGAAGGAAACCACATGGTTGGGGACCACCGTTCATTGCCGTGGAACAGTATCTGCAGTGATGCGCAGAAGAAATCTTATTCGGGATCAAGGGGGCGCGCGACCGCCGACCGGGTCGCTGGACCCGGCCTGGTCGAGGAAGATTTGGCTTGAAGAATAGCAAGGATTGATCCCGGTCGGAGTCCCATGATGGGATCGGCAGATTTGTCCGGAATGTCTTATTCAGCCCTCGAGGCTGCTGAAAATTCATCAGGGCCTGCGTGTGCAGATTGCTGCAGCCAGACGCACAAGGAAAGGGAAAAAAAAAAACCCCCCTGCTTAGTCACGACTAGTGTCTTGGCCTCAAACACACTGCATAAAAAAAGAAAACAAAAATCAACAGGAGGGAAGGGGGCCAACGAAGAGCAAACCCCAGTGCAGTCTGCGTCAATCGAGTCTCTCCTGAATCCTGATCAGATGAACTCGCTTCCCCATCAATGTTAATCTCGAATAATGCCACACGGACCAAGTGCTAGGTCAAAGACCTCGGTCTGACCCAGCCATCGAGCTCCTTTCCATCTTCCTGGCAGCACAAAGAGGCTTCCGCCCAGAGTCCCAAAGTTCTTTACGAGTACCGAGCGGGCCACAACGGCTACAATGGAATGATCCAGCGTTCCTACCACGGAACTGATAAAGTTCAGTCACTGACAGCTGCTGGCTTCCAACCTATGACGTCTCGGGATGACTGCTCGTCGGGCAGTCGGGTGGAGCTGCGGATGAAGGCCTGGCGCCGGCGGAAGTCGTAGCTCATCGGATTTGGGGCAGTCCTAGCCTATGAGGCCTGTGAGGTGTGGATTCCTGCAGACAAATTTTTCCCAAGTGCCAAATTTTGGCTGTCTCGAAACTGGATGCCAGGGCCAACTTCCGAACACTCTCCATTTACCGGCCGAACATGTCCCCTCCTCAATGGCTCCCCCAAACCATCGCTGATGCACCGGTCTTATTGGTCTATATATAAATCTTTTGGTCTCCTGTGCCATTTGCCCCTAGGTATCGGTGGCCGATGTATCTCGCCCCAAAGCTTTTCTGCAAGAATTCTGTCCTTTTATCTGACTCCTGCCCTCTTCAGAAAATAATCACCTCGGTTCTGGACAATCGACTTGCATACCACACTCTTTATATAACCGCTTCCCCTGCCGCTCTATGTATACTATTTTCTACATTGTTGAAGCACTATAGGATCTTATCGAAGCTACATCACGATGGATGTCGGATATGAAGCGACCCCGCCGCCTTCCGCGGGGAAGGACTGGGCCAGTTTCTGGAATTTTGTCGACAGAGCACCCCCAACCGAAGAGAGCGACCCTGTCCCCCGCGACATCCTCGTTGTTGGCGCCGGCATTGCGGGCATTGCCGCTGCTCTGGCCCTTTCCAAAGAATTGACCCCCTTCGTCCCCGACCTCCGTATCACTGTCTATGAACGACACGATATTCTCTCCACCTCCGGTGGTGCCATCAACCTCACTCCTGTCGCCCAGCGGCATCTCGATCGTCTTGGGGTGCTAGCAGAGTTGGACCGGCTTGGACCGGAAGGTGGTACTGATGTGGATGCCATCGAACTATATTCTAGTCGGTCCGGACGTTCCCTCGGCTCGGTTGACTTTGTCGATGAACATGGCAATGGGTTCGGAGGATATAAGGGTCGCCGTGTGATGCGGATTGCTCTCTCGGTAGCCATGTTGACGGTCGTTGAACGATCCAAGAATGTGAACGTTGTGTTCGGCAAGAAGCTGGTCCGGGGAAAGGAAACGAAAGACAAGGCCATGCTTTACTTTCATGACGGCACTACAGCCACAGGGGACTTGGTCCTCGGTTGCGACGGTGTGCACTCGGCGACTCGGATGTACTGGGTTGACCCCGACAGTCCATCCGAATACACCGGTATCTCCTTCTGTCAGACTCTCCTTGACAGCAAAAAGATCAAAGCCCCTGTTCACTTCCGCTCGACCTCGATGAACATCTCTCGACATGGGTCGCTACTAGCTAGCTACTGTGACCGGGACCACGAGCAGATTTTCTTGGCCGCTATTGTTCAGTTCCGCGAGGAATTACTTCCTCACTACCGCATGGACCCTGGTCAGGACTGGCGGCGGACTGCTGCGATCAAGCAAGCTCTGCGCCAAGAGATGCAAGACCGCTTCGGTCGATCCGGAGTACCTTGCATCCGGGACTTTGTCAACAAGGCGGACGACTGGATGTTGTATCCTGTCTGGCAAGTACGGCCTAATGCCCGGTGGTACCGGAGCCGAGTGATTCTCCTGGGTGATGCAGCACATGCGGTATGTTGCCATATTGACATGACTTGTGATTCGAATACTGATTCAACTAGATGCCTCCCCGTGACGAGTCGGCGGCGTATGCGCTGGACGATGCTATCCTCTTCTCTCGGATTCTCGCCAAGCACCGGTACGAACCGTTGACCGTGGCGTTCAAAGCCTACGAGGATCTGCGTCGGGGCACGGTGAACGCGGCGTTCCAGGTGTCCCGCCGGATGTGGGAGAAGAACCGCGACATGGGGTTCCTGGAAGGCCGGCTGAAGGAGTGGACCTACCCGATGCAGGTCCGCAATGCGAAAGACTCACGCGAGGCGGCCTGGGAATTTGATGCCACCAAGGTCTCGATTCCGGGAACCCTCAGCGACCAATCTTCATCTCTCTACTCGTCGGAACGAGATTTCCTTTAGACTATTTGCATGGGCGGTGTTTCGGTTGGTTTTGGGTTCCGGGTCTATGGATGGGTTGGTTACGAGAATACGAACTGGGATACATTGCATCGATACAATTGTTGTCAAAAAGAACGCTAGGCTTGAAGTGTTGGCGGGGCTATGGGTTTTTTGTGAGCCTCGGCCGCACCATTTTGGTTTTTTTTTTTTTTTTCTTTTCTTTCTTATCTGCCTGGCATTTTCTTTATGGCTACTACTACTTTTTTTTTCTCCTTTATACTAATCTCGCTTATACACCATGACACTTTCGGGCTCTGCTTCTATGGGGATATATTCATCTATTGACCAAGGCACAATCTATTTCTTCATCTATTCTGCCAGGTTTCCGGGAAGGAAGTGGAAAGGGACTACCCACCAAATCCCGAGCGGTATCCGCAACGGTTTCCGTCACCCGACGGCCGTTCTCGGAAATTAATCTTTTTTTTTTTTTCTTTTTTTTTTTTTGATTTTCTTTTTCTTTCCCCCCCTGGTCCAGCGGATGAATCGATAGCTCCCGATAGCGCATCCGCTAACCCCTTCTTGTTCAGTGCTCGGAAGCACTAAAATTGTCTAGTTCCGGGCTGTCGTCCAGCGTCAACAGTCTTTTTTTCGCCGAACCTCCGGCTATTGAGTCTCGTGCATGCGACAGTGAGATTTGGTGTTTGCGATCGTGGGCAAAGGATGAGGATAGACTCCACTTGGGAAAGATGGCAAGGATCCCACGGGGTTCGCCGAGAGACAAACAAAAAAGGTTGAGATCGAGGATCCGATATCTGCCTTTTTTGTTCTTGTTTTTCTTGTTCTATGCATGCCACCATCCTGTAGGATTGAATCCTGGCTTTTACTTCAGTGCCTGGTAGTCTAGGGTTGGAGTCGCCGACCAGGATGCGATGCATGGCTTGCATGCATGCATGTATCGTGGTGGTTGCCCTGATCAGCATAGTTGCTGCCTAGTTCCTGGCAAGTTCGCTGGTAATATAGTTCAACCAGGGAAGCTCCGTGTATCCCTGCTCCCCGAAGCATGCATGGACCTGTCTTCCTCCAATCGGCGAGTATGTATCTCCCAGTCTGCTTACTGCGTAGGTAGACCTAGCTACTCTGCTTACGCCGTATGAGCCATGCAGTAAACTTATCGAGCGGTTTCCCGGAAATCCACGGAAAGGCTCTGCGTCAAACTCAGGCAAGAAGACTCTTTAAGCTGCGATGAACTAGCATGTCAATCTCTGCGCTGAAGTTTCGCGAACTTGCACTCAGTCCCCCGATATTTGCAAAATCGACCGCATCTAGAAGTGAATGATTCATTCTCCTTTTTCCGCCAGCTGCACCCGTCTTATTACACTTGAAGTCCTCGATACTTGTACATTCCATGAAGCAGCGGCCTGAAGTTGAGAACGAACAACACCCAATATCCTAGGCTGTAACACATACGTAGTACACCTTAGTTCGGTCTGACAGTCTTACACTTCCACTGTGAATCTCGGGGAATGAACTACAGCGCACTAAACTCCCTCCACTTACATATGGCATAAACTACGGGATTGACTTTCAATCAGTAAAGTGGGATTGGACGGTCCTGGGCAAATCTAGAGATAGCAGATCTAGAATAGCAAGTCAAAAAGCGAATCGAACAGCGAATCTAGAAACAGCAGATCTAGACAACATGACACGACCTCCAGTCCCCCCGAATCATCTCCGAGACAATCTCAGGAATAAGGTTATGAACAGCCACAAAGGATTAAGTTCGCTGGGCGGGAACGGAATTTTCGAGAAGCGTTGATCAACTGGAAGATCGACATCTCTTTTGAGTTTCTTAAGGATGGAGGATGGATCAATGGTGCGAATCCCCCTCGGATCCTTTTGTTGCTTGACGGTTGATGTACACAAATCGATTCTTAACTGGGAACTACTGAAGTGACATTTCAGTTTGATTTGCGGATGCGTGCCAGGCGACGGGAGATGATCGATCGTTTGATGTCATCCAACTCGCTAGTCAATCCGTGCTAATCCTATTTCATTGGGACTTATTCAGAGGGGATGATGGGGGTTGCATGATTGCGGTGCACGGTACGGTAGTTGTGGTTGTGGTTGTGGTTGTGGTTGTGGTGTACTTAACTTAGTAGTGATGACGTTGGGGCAATCGTGGAGTCTACCTCTTCTCTATCCATAGCACCTCAGGCTCGCTTCGATACCCGATGTATGGGAGTTTCGTTTTTTGGTTGAGGTTGGAAGTGGGGGGGAAAGGGGGGAGGTCGGGTCCACGGTCTTGTGCTCTTTTTCCTCTTTGGGGGCTGGAGCTGGGGATGGGGGTGGGGGTGGGTTGCTGTGGATTCGGTACTGTGTACAGTACAGTGACTTACTGTACTTCGGCTGTATCTCCCCTTGTTCATGTTTCCTTCACACCCATAGATACTCCATGGACCGTAACTTAGTTGATGTTGATCAGCCCATGGGTGATGCTCTTCCGGCTTAGCCCTAGCCCAGCCCAGCCCTCCGAGCTGAGCTAAAGTCCGGTTGCCGCGGGAAGGAGAAGCGAAAAGTGAGCGGAAGCCTTAGGCCGCCGCCGCCGCCGCTCGCTTACTCATCCCGGATCAGGTGACGTCCTCTCGGGATCGGGGATCGGATCTGCTCCTTCGCGGGTGGAGACGTACGTATCTTTATGAGATTTGTTTCCGGGGGCATTACGTGCTTGGCTGGCTGTTCACATGGACGTGGAAGGATCGCGAGGTGGTACTTGCTGAGGTGCTCGGAGCTGGGTGGTAGGTGGTGGGCGGTGGCATGATCGTGGGGTTAGGGCTGGGCTGGTCGAGGTTGGAAGGTTTCTGGTAGTTTGTAGTTTGAGACACCGAGGTTCGTTGCTTCTGTTCTCGTGTTAGGCTAATCGAAGTGATTGTGTAAAGTACGGAAAAGCCAGTACTCACGAGACGGGGAATCTGCAGTCCAGTGCATACAAAATTTAAGAAATCTGGGTGCCGCATTCATTCTAGATCGATCCTATTCAAGACTCTACTTCACAGAAAGACTTCTTCAAGGAAAACCCGGCACTCGATTTGAAGTAGTTTGATCCAGTCACAACACTAACCACTACAACTAGCATACTATGACCTGCCGCCATTCGGCCAAATGGTTGACAGATGCGTGTATGCTCTTTCCAAAACTACATTCAAAGGCCCTGCCTCAGCAATGAATGCACTGTTGTCTGTGGACGGGAAATGATGCCTCAAGCTGCTGTAGCTCAATACAGTAAGAGCGCTCGTGGTCTGCTTGTACCTAATTGTAGACTCACAATTACTGCAAACGATGAGGTGGGAAAGAGTGCAATAATTCGAACTGGGGAAGGCAGAGCTAAGCCCACAGTGTTTGCAAAGCCCACTTCCTCGCCATCTTAGCCATTTTGACTCCATTCATCGTTATCGTTCCAGCTACTATCTACCAGATTTTATCGATATCATAGACAGCTTTCTCCTCGTCATATTCCCTCACTTACCACCCACCGCCCTTCACACTCTACCGTACAACTACCAGCCCCACCCATCCACACACAATGTCCAGCTCCGCCACCGTCGGCTCCGGTACGACCGGCAACACGACCCCCATCAAGGTAGACGATGATATCACCACCGCAGAGGAGCACAAAGAGCACAAGGACGGGCCCTCGAATAGATACGATCATCTTGCGCAAAGCTTCTGCAAGCTGACCGCGCTTGAGAAGGAAAAGTTCCAGGAACTGGTGACAGCGGATCGCAGAGTCCATTCTATCGACAACCTTGACGACTGGCACGAATTCTACCTGGACCTGCTAGGGGTCAGCCGTACAGACGGCGATCCTACTTTTTACAGTGCGGACGCAAAGACAGAAATCCCCCCTGTGGTGCGGAAGTTGTTCAATGATCCGCCCAGCTTCTCCGGCTTCATCTACGCAAACGCGGACTGGGGGCTCTCGTGTTCGGTGTACGCTGCAGGACTCTTCACAGCCTCAACCAAGGGGCCCCTCACGGCGAGCCAGTCCGCGTACCCCACCGTCGCCACGATGGTTCATTGTATTGTGAATGAGATGAACAGAGAGAACGCAGCCGCAGCCGCAGCAGCCACAGAGTCAGAGCCCGCAACAGCAGGGCCCAGCGGGCAAAATGAGGGCCAACCACCACTACCGTTACGGACCCCACCGCCGATGCCACCACGTTCCACTGCAGGTCCAGCACACCCTCGCCTCCACATGGCACCCAACCACCACCTAAAGATAACCCACTACCGGCGCGCCGTCAACCGCCTGGATATATTCGAGGCCCGGTGCGATCTGGCCGTCTTGAGCAGCGGCCAGGAACCACACGTGCGCTGCAGCATTCTAGGGCGTGGGTGGGACGAGAACCGCGATGGCGCTCTGAAGATGATGCAGACGTTTCTGGCCCTCGCCCAAGAGGACGAGCGACGTACGGGCCGCCTGCGACCCATTCATGGGATCATCACGAGTGGGCTCAGCGTTAGCCTCTGCGAGATGAATGAGCAGCGCGAGTTTTGCCACACCGATTTCCGGGACACGCTGCCACCGTACCGCCATGTTGAAGGACACAATGGGCCCGGCGCCGTTCTATTTGCCACGACACGGCTTTACAACAATATCAGGGACATGCTCAATGTGAAGGGCTTGGATCCAGAACTGCCGGAGGGTAAGAGGCGGAGCCGGCGAGGCACGCGGCCCAGGTCGAACGCTGTGTCGAAAGGGAAAGAGCCAGCTTCCACCACTGATGAAGTTTGAAGCTAGTGAAGTGAGGGTGGTGTTGGTGTCTGCCTTGGTTGTTTCTCGTTGCGTCTGTCATTCGTTGGGCTTTTATCTATCTTTTTCTGGAGATCTGGGTGGAAAAGTGTCATAGTCATTCCTTCGTTACTTAGCAGCCTTGTGGAGTTTTAATAGGTAAGAATCGGTATTGCTGTTCAGGAGGCAAGCTTATAGTGGTTAATTGATTGAATGTTATTCATCCTCCGTGTTTTCAATAAAATCTCCTGGGTGACGACTACAGCCAGCTTGGAATACCTCATTGACAAGGAGTAATTAGGTCGATCCAAAATTCGAGTCTAGTATGATACGACCCTTACTCAACTTCAAATCTGGCTTATATCTGGATGGTTATGTGTCTACAGTACCTCTATTATCTCTTGCGTGGAATAAGCAGATATGGACCAACCAATACTCACATCCCGCACATCAGTGCAGCTGTAACTGGATACCTGCGACCATATCACATAGCATCGCTTACTCCAAGCAGAGCGTCGACGTTCCCATCCTATACGCATGGATGACTTCTCTCCCATTTCGTCTCTAATTTGCTTTTGCTTTTGTATGTTTCTGCCTTTGGCCAATGTCTCTGCATTTGTGCCATACACCACTTACGTGAGGGGGCCTTAGCCCAAAAGAAAACTGCACATGTGATATAGTGAGATCATTCGCATACCACCTTTCGGCATCATGATATTGCAACAGTCTAACATATCTACCAATGAATGCAACACAAACTTTTCCACTATACATTACATCCCCGCCCCCTTTGCCCATCCCCCTCACTCCCCTCTGCCCCTCAGCCTACGCAACCCACACCCACCCCGCAAACCGAACCCTCGCCACCGCGATCACCCCGGCCCCGAGCAATGCACTCACGCCCGCAAATACAATCGCCGCGTCGTAGCCCCCATATCGATTGATCATCGCGCCCGTGATCGGCGTGCCGGTCAAGCACGCCAGACTCAGCACCCCCAACGCCATCCCCATATACGACCCGATGACATTAGGCCGGGGGGCGGTCATCGCCACCGTCGCCGTGAACAGCCCGATCACCGCGCCGGAGAAGAACCCGAACAGCAGGGAAAAGACAATCATGCTGCCCTTCGAAGTGACGGCCAGCCAGCAGAGGATCAGCACCCCGGAGATCGCGGACGCCAGGACCAGGCCGTTGAACCGGCCGATGCGGTTGGCGAAGGCCCCGGTCAGCAGCCGGCCGGCGAACGAGCCGGCGTTCATGATGGAGACGAGGTAGTTGGACAGGTCGACGTCCAGACCCACAATCGATTGCGCGTAGTCCGGGACGTAGAAGAAGGGGGTGAAGAGCGCCCACATGATCAGGAAGAGGCCCAGGATCTGCAGCGTGTAGGCGGGGTGGTGCCAGGCTTCTTGGAGGAAGGGGGCGCCGGTTCGGCGCGGCGCGGCCGGCGAGGAGACGCACGCGCAGGCCACGAGGCTCAGCGCCAGCATGAGGAAGCCGACGATGCGCACCGTCCAGCCGAATCCCAGAGAGGTGTCGTGGAGCATGCGGTTGAGCGCGATGGGGAGGACGACGCCCGCGAAGGAGGAGCCCGAGGAGGCGATCCCCATCGCTAGCGGGCGGCGGCGCAGGAAGTATTGGTTTACTGCTGTCAGGGTCGGGGTGTAGGTTAGGCCGTTCATGAGGCCGCCGAGGATGCCTTGGGCTAGGAGGAATTGATAGTACTCTGTGCAGAGGCTGGTGAGCATGACTGAGAGGATGAAGAGGAGGGAGCATGGGAGCAGGATTATCTGGTTGGGATGAGGGGGTTAGCTGGGTTGGGGGGAGGGGGGTTAGGGTTGGAGAGGGCTGGTACTCTAGGGCCGTAGCGATCCATCAACGGCCCCGAGATGAGGCCGGCAGAGAACATGAAGAAGGCTTGCAGGGAGCCGATCCAGGCGATGTTGGAGGCGCTTTCGTTCCTGAGGAATGTGCTTTGGTAGTAGGCTTCGTAGATTCTGGGGCTCGGTTAGCTCCGAAGCAGGGTTGACATGAGGGAGGCCATGACATACCCGAATGCATTGATGTAGCCGAAGGTGTTGAACATCACACACCAGCATGCCACAACTGCTAGCCACGCTTTTACACCTCCTTCAGGGAAGCTCGGGGGTTTGGAGGGGCTCGTCTCTTCCTTCGGAGCGTTGTCCGAGGACATGCTATTCTTCTCGACGTCGGACATGATGACAACAGACTCAAGTCAGAATTCAGATGAAGAATAGATAGGTCATCAATTGCTTCGGGCTATAACAAGGTAGGAAAAGGTTTTAGGAGCTACACTAGAAATATTTGTATACATCGTCGTATCGGTGGAGTGGCTCGGGGATTTCCCGATTAGGACAATAACCCCCTGGCCCGAGTCGGGGCCGAATTGACCCTCCGAGCTTAATTTCTAATCGGTCTGCTTTGGGTTTAGGGCAATCTGATAAGCAAGCCCTGCCAGCAGTGGACTTGTATGCACCCCTTAAACTTTCTTTTTGGGACAATATCTCATGCTGACTCGGTCTCGCTCAATATCGTGAAAAACACACATGGAATTGATTTATGGAATTTGCATAAAAAGCCCACGACGTCCCAAATTCAAATCAGGTACGCTGATATGGTTCAGAATACTTAACCTCACAGTAAGCAACCCAACAGGAAGCTGCCTAATCGAGACAGCATGCTAACTCTAATATCAAGATACAAAATTCCGAGTTCGGCAGCAAGACCACTCCCTACTCCAACACAACCCTAATCATATACCCATACAACGGTCCCGCCCCCTGCGTCATGCTCCCATCGTCGTCCAACGCCACCATCACCACATCCTCCGACACATACCTCCAATAATCGATGCAGGGCTTTGTATCATAGATCAGCGCGGCCGAAACCACCTCGCGAAACTTGACTTCGCGCAGCTGTCCCAGACAGACATCAGCTCTCCTCATTTGAGAACCTACCCTCACGCAAAAGTTAAGCTGGGTTCAAGAATACAATACATACCCTCGAATTCCCCCAGGCCTCCGCCCTCGTCCAGTTTCCCTCCTCATCAAACACCATGAGGTTCACCTCGTTTATAGAAATAAAGTCCTTGCCCGCGAAGTTCATTTGCTCAATGACGGCCTGCTCGGCGGGGTGGCCGCTGTGGAAAACGTAGCCTCTCCAGCGGCTGCCGATGAGCTTCTCGGGGGCAACGGGCTGGAGTTTGTCGTATACGGTCGCGAGTTCTGCGTGGGTCACTTGGTGGGGGCGCTTGGTGAGGGCCCAGAATTGGGATTCCAGGGTGCTGGACGGGTGGGTTAGTGAATCTTTTCTGGGGGTCGTAGTGCTGAGGGGTATACGTGCCTGTTTGTAGTTTGGGTTGATTCTTTGGTCATCTTGCGTGCAGGGGTGGGGCTTTTGTGATGAAAGAACTCGTGTACAGTGCTGCAGTATAAATTTCCTAGATTGTTGACGGTTGATTGTGTTTGCTAAAGATGTTTCGAACTATTCTTGATAGTATTTATTCAGTAGTATGATGGTAGTGCATGACGTTAGAGCGTCCGACACAGTGATAAATACCCAGTATCTCTGGCACAGGATACAGGGACTTTGTACACAAGTGACGTCCATACATGCAAGGGGTAGCGCGGAATCCCGCCAAAATGGCAAATCCTTCCCGAACAACCTGCACAACTCCCCCATAGGGCTCATGGCATAACAAGGCACGCAGGTCGAACCTTAATGCTGGGCTTCTGCCGACTTTAGTAATTTTGGAGTCTTGTATGAGCAGGACTGTACAACGTGAATCAAAATATCTAAGCCTGCTTCATCGACGCCGCATACCCGCTTGTCGTGGGCGCCGTAGGTATGACATGGTGGAGTCCAGTGATCTGCAATCTCGTGTTACAACAGAAATGCTCCCAACGTCGATCACAGTCTGCAGTTTTAAATGCCCCAAAACCGGTCGGTGGCTGCGTTGGGTGAATGTATAGTATGCATTGCGATGCTGGCAGGTTTGATTCATGTGACGACTAAAAAATCCTAATCTACACGGCTATCTTGAAATCGTAAACATGTTTACTATCAGGAGCGATTACAAGCTCTTTGCTTAGACTGTTAAATATCGTAGTTACTAAGTATCTTTATTTTTACAGGAACTATACCTCTGAAAACTGAAATTAAAACTTTCTAGATCTCAATACTGTCTACTAAACATACCGCTTTTACATTGAACTTAAGGTGATATGACTTTTCATATAGATAGCTCATATGATATGCCTTGGTTGAAGATGACTACTAGAATAAGCCTATGCCTTTTCGCCTCTGACAAGGAAGAAGAAAATATAATAGGTAAATGTACTACACTTCCATGGAGACATCTGGTATCAAACAGGACAGAACATAAGAACATCCTCTCTCGCTTTCCTATTTCTAGCTTAGCATTTTCTCTCCATCTTCTACCTTTGCCCGTTCCTAATACATAACAATACCAGATAAAGTAGAAGAAAGAGCTGTACATTCAGATCGCCCCTGCAACTCAGAAAGACCCTTGCCAAGAAATCGCAATCAAGAGTACAAAGCTCAAATTCAATCAATCAATCGATCAATCAATCGACTAACCACTCTAACCCCGCAAACCAACAATCCAGCCCCCTTAATCCTCCTTCTCCCCCTTCGCGGCCTCATCATTCTCCACGAACCACCGCACACTCCTCTCCAACCCCTCCCTCACCCCAACCCTCGGCTGATACCCCAACACCCGTCTCGCCTTGCCCCCATTCAGCGTCCTAACCAACGTACTAAACCTTATCCCCTCGCGGGTCATATTCGCCTTCCTCGTGCCACCCGAGACCACCCAGGCGACCCACTCATTCACAAACCCGATCGTCAGCCCGACCCACTTGGGGATGACCACCACATCCTCTTTTCGAACCGGCTTGCCCACCAGCCGGGAGACCTCGCGCTGGAAATCCCAAAACAGCCAGGGCTCCTCGTTCGTGACGTGGAAACACTCGCCATCGACTCTCCCGTCCACAACGGCGGGTTGACCCCACGCGGCCAGCAGTTTCCGGGCCGCCAGGAGATGCGCCTCCGCCAGATTCCCCACGTACACGAAATCGTACAGATTCCGGCCATCGCCCATCTGGAAGCGCAGCTTGCCCTGGCGCGCGACGGCGTACATCTTGCCGAGGGTGCCGTGGTCGCGTTCGCCGAAGGCGAGGGCCGGGCGGATGGCGCACGTCAGGAGGCCGTTGTCATCGGCCGGTCCGGTGGCGGAGGTGCGGTTCGCGGCGGTGATGGCGTCCTCGGCGTCCGCTTTGGCGATGCAGTACAGTCGCTGCTGCGCCGGCGGGCGCAGGATGGGTGAGTCCTCGGTCGCGTCGACGAGGTCGGTGTGGTTGTCGTTGATGACGCCCGACGTGGAAGTGTTGACGAGGGCGCGCACGGTGCCCACTGCCTGCGCGGCGGCGAGGAGGTGGTGTGTGCCATCGACAACAATCCCCCGGTAGGCGGATTCGGGCTCGTCGGAGAACTCGGGCGAGGCGGTGTGGAAGATGGTCGATGGGCGCGCGAGTTGCATGATGCGCTGCACGTCGGCTGCACGAGCCATGTCGCCGTGGTGGTAGTGCACGTTGGGCGCGGCGTGGCGGTTGCGCGAGGTGTTTATGTCGATGGAGTGGATGGTGCACTCCGGTTCAGTCTCCAGGATTTTGGCGATGATGTGGTAGGCGATGAAGCCGTTGCCGCCGGTGATGAGGACGGGGCTGAGGGTGGGCATTTTGGGGGTTGCCGCGGAGTTAGGGGTTTGAGGGGAGGATGGTAAATGACGGGGGGTGGAGGGGGAAGAAGGTTTGGGTTCAGGAGTAAGGACATGAGGGGAAAGTGCTTGTTTTTAAAGGTGCAGGAGTAAGTTCAGTTTACAAAGAGACGAACGCAGTACGCTAAGCAGCTGGCGGCTTAACTGGATTGAGAGTAAGTGGCAGTACGCGGGATGCATACAGTATCCCTGCAGGAGACACACCTATCAGGAGCCTACGATACGACCCTGGTCAATTGCCTCGTCTGACTTGAATCTACTACACTTACATCCCGCCGCGGCGTTAACAGGTTCCCTGGGTTAGTCTACAGATCCGTGCTTACTCAGCCCTAATGACAGTCCCAATCAATCATTTCTAACAGTATCAGACAGACCCCGGTTGACAACAAGAGACTGCGTAGGATATTCTGAAAGTAGCAGCAGAGAGCCAATCCCACCTTCCCACCCCCTCCGCATGGACCAGCTAAACCGAATTATCCGTCAAAAACTCCAGCTCCTGCGAGTCCATCCGCCCACCCCCCTTGCCATTCTTCAGCCGTTCCCAATTCTGGCTCCCCGGCCGCCGCTTACTCGAGAGGTGGCTCCGCGGCACCCCGTCCCCCGTCTCGCTGACCTTGGGCGTCTCCCGGCTCCCGCTCTGGAGCAGGGAGACGGCCGAGTTGTAGAAGGAGGAAGTGAGGGAGCGGAGGCGCGCGAAGCACATGGGGAAGGAGGTGGCGCAGGCGACGATGATGGCGATGTTCATTTCGACGATCCTGCCACCGTAATTAGCTTACTACCACCAACCCGCTGCCGATATTGACGGATGTAGGGGGTGTGGACGTACGTAAATTGCGCATTCCGCCCCGTCGTCCAAAACACATCCGAGCTGTCGTTCAGCTGGAAATTCACCAGCCGCGCCAGACTAGCCGCGCAGGCGCTGTTCCGACCATCGAACATCAGTCAGCAATCAAAGTATAAACACATACTGGAAGAGACGACGGATGCATCTCACCCAAGACCACTCATAAACGTCACCAGCAGCCCGATCCGCCGCCGCCGACTGACCTGCAGCTTGAGCAGCCGCGGGATCGGCAGCAGGAGCACGTAGAAATCCGTCACCACGTTGATCACCGACTGGATCGTGATCATCGTCCCGGACGTAAACTTACAGTAGGGCGCCTCCAGCTGCGACAACTCCGCACACTGTACCAGGCTGCCGATGGCGACGGCGATACAAAACGTGTAGAGCACCGCGTCGGCGACGATGCCGATCCAGGTGGCGACGATCTCGCGGTGCAGCGGGAACACGCGCTTGTACAGCAGGAGGATTGAGATCTTGGCGAAGCAGACCGTCCACGGGAAGGTGATGCCGCCTGCGTCGAGGACCTGTGGTTATTTTTTGTTAGGGCTTTCGGTTCTTCTAGGGAGGTGCGGATATTGAAGACGTACGCGGGTCGAGGAGGGATCGATGAGGTTGATCGCTCGTACGTCCCACATGTGTCGTCCGATACCCAAGGGGAGGGCTGTTGTGCACGGCTGTTTAGCTTAGGGCTACGGCTTGAGGAGAGAAGGCAAATCTCACTCTGTGTGTAGAGCGTCATATGCGCGATCGAACCGCACTGTGTGAATCAGAAGCCTGCACCCGTGATAGCGACACTCTCCGGATCGACTTACTGCCGCAAGGATACAAGTTGCTACATATTTGGCATTCTTAGCAACTCCCATATCTAGACAGGTGGGGAGGAGCAGGGGCGGGGGGATACTCACTGTCTTCGGCGCCCCAGAATTTGATGATACATGTCCGCGCCCAGACGCGGGCGGACACCGCCAGTAGCGCGAGAAACAGGAAAATCGACTGCAGCACGATGATCGCCGTCCGCTGGGATGGCGGGTTGTCGAAGTTGGGGACCACCCCGGGCGGCGGTGCGACGGCTGGCGTGTTGTAATCCATGGCCAGACAACTGCAACGGTTGCTCAGCAGAGCAGGGCAGCAGACCGTACGGTCTGAAGGAAGGGTTCTTGGATTTTAAAGACCATCCCCCTTCGTCAGACCAGACATGGTGGTGACAGCTGAAGGAATCAGGAATGGGTGGGGGGCGAGCCAGATCAGCACGAGTGAAAAGCACACCAAGCTCGACGAACCGTGCGGTCGTCATGCAAGTAAGCCTCCGGCGAATCCATCATGGGCTTAACTTGTGATGATACTACACAAGAGAATCTAGGAGGCCTGATGGAGGGTAGATGCTGACCTTTGGGGTCCAAAACTTCGCCAGCCGACGGATTCAGGCTGTTTGGCGGTCTCGCAAGGCTTGGAATGAGTTGTGAGGCTTAGGCTTAATATACCGTGCAGTGCAGTTGCAGTGCTCAGCTGCATGGCGAGCGAATGACTCTTGTGCCAAGAGCGTGGCTGCAGGAAGGACCCCTCAGCGCGGCAACCCTCACCCAGCAAATCCATGCCGCGGACTACCCTAATCACTACCATCACTCATATCTCTGCACCTCGCAACGAGCGAACCAGTCAGGGAATCTCGGCCGCAGATGCCAGTTTTATTGCTTGGGTCTTCCTACAGGGCCTTCTCGCGGGGACATTACCCGTTCTGTCCCGCTTTTCACTTCCTATCGCTTCGGCAGTTGAGAGCCCCGCTTATCTTCAGCTACATACCTTATGCTGTTTCCCTAGCCCGACCTCCCCGTTGGACCGGTGATGATAATAACGAGCTCACGCAGTTCCAAGCTACACTCGAGCAACCCGCACTGAGCATCTCCGAAACTAGATCGCACCTAGGCGATTCCTCTAGTCACATGGCGTAATTTATCTATTTCCAGCAAACGCAAACAACCTCAATTCTCCTCCTACGATAAGCCGCCCCCCTCCTTCGGCGAAATCACGACCCGCACATCCCCGCCCTTCACGGGCCCACCGGGCCCCGACGAGACGGGGGTGAACCCTACCGCCGGCACGCCGTCCAGCACCCGCACGTGGAATCGATGCACCACCAGCGCAACAAACGTCAGCGACAGCCGCTTGCTCAGATACCGCCCCACACACTTGTGCTTCCCCGCGCCAAACGGGAGGAAACTCTTACTCTGGGCCAGACCCGGGTGGTCGAGGAACCGCCCCGGCTGGAAGCGATCCCAGTCCCGTCCGAGCAACGGGTGCGACATGGCGAGCTGGCGGTAGGGCACGAGCAGGTGCGCGCCGGCTTGGAAGGTCCGGCCGTGGATGGTGAGCGGCTGCTCGACGCTGCGCGCGGAGCTGGAGTTCATGGTCAGTCGCTGGGTTTCGTTGTAGAGGGCCGAGAGGAGGGGGTTTTGCTCGAGGCGCTGGGCGAGGGTGGGGAGTGGTTCGTTGGCGGCGGTGCTTTGGGTGAAGAGGGTGGTGACTTCGGTGGTGACGTTTTGGAGAAGGGTCTGGTCGGTGCAGATGTGGGCGAGGAGCCAGAAGGGGAGTTTGAAGACGTTGGCGTTGGCGCTGTGGAGGTGTTAAACTCTGTACGAGGAGGGAGGATAGCAAAATGGGTAAGTGAGACGTACCCCCAGAGCACCATCAGCAGATACGACGCCATGTCGTCCTCGCTCAGTCCACGGCGTCGCATCTCCGTGATGGAGTTTCTGACAGCCCAGGATTGATCTTGCTGGCTCGATGGCGACAGACGCATGTAGTCTACCAAGCAGCGCAGCACCCTCGCTCTGGCCACGCGAACCTCTTTCCCGCATGGCCGGGGTAGTTTGAACAGGAGGATCCACAGATCGCTCTCCAGACACACAAGGTCCTCGACGATGTATGGCGAGAGCTCCCAGATGGCATTGCCAAAGTATGCCGTCGTGACTGCGTGGATGATCGCGGTCTGCGCCCACTGGTACAGCGAGACTGTTCGCTCCCGCCCATCCTCAGATGCATGAAGCAGGGTTGGCGCTTCGAGGCGATCCCATCGCATATGGGACTCCAGAACCTGCAAGGAGCGAGCGAGGATCTCCGGGCTTAAAGACTTTTCAAGGAGCTGTTTCCTCATCAGCTCCTCTGCGACCAGAACCAATGGCGGGGCCTTGGGTTCGGAGTCGTGATCCATCTCCGAGATTCCCGATTCCGAACAGCCAAGGCCCATGAGAAGGTTCTTCAAGTGCTCCGTGTGTGTCAGCTGGGACGGTTCCCTGAGCACGGCCGTGGCATCTTGTTCAGATAGGATGAAGTAGATTTTCTGGCCGAAGACATTGATGGCAATTGGTTCCCCGCTCCCCTTGCAGTCCTTGCTATGATGCCATAATCACTTTAGATAATGCGAAGAATAATGCCAAGGTTAGGATAGACAACTCACATTGCGGATGATAGTAACGCATGGGGGCTCCTTAGCATGGAGACTGCATGGCCTACGCCGAGTCATTAGCGCCGTCAAGAAAGGGTCCGAGCGAACCAGACGCACCAACAACTATGTTACTTTGTCAGCAAGGAGGCAGCAGTCACTGTCATGCACAGTACTCACTCGGAATCCAATAGGGGACCTCTCGCGGCGAGTCAGGGTTGAGCAAGGGACGAACGGTGAACCGCCACAGGCGCCAGATCACGAGAAGTACGACACCACTTTCGACCAGGTGAAGCAGGCTCAATTGATCCTGGATAAACCCAAAATCGGTAAGTACAGACAGCATGATGTAGGTGATACTGAGACGGATATGACAGTCAAAAGGTGGGAGGGTGAGGACACCTCTCGTAAATCCCGTAAGGGTACCCTTATATTGAGCAGCAGGTTTTCCTGATAAGGATGCACGCTACTGCTGCGCTATCACATCGCAAGTTACGTCCTTGGCACGCAGACCAGGATAGGGATTTGAAAGTACGGAATACAGTATTCGACGCAACGGCGCAGCCGGTATCTCCCTCTGTCTCACGTCGAGCTGGCCGCGCACTATATTAACACGGCCCATCATAAGCGGACTATTCCGCCGCCACAGAGGGGGCGACTAGTCTTATCTCTTTGACAGATTCCTGCTTCTCATGCGGCTGAGAAAGCCCTAGGGGACAAGTCCAATTATAGTGATCACGGGCGAATGCACGTTTCTGGTGTAACATGGCTTGGCACCAATGAACCTGTTCTGCCATGTGCGTGCATCCTCCCCACGATCGCGAATGAGACCAAACCCCGAGCGGGGTAGTCCAATACTTAAATCCTGAGCCTCGTATTCTCTGCACGTTGGAATTTAGCGCAGGGTGCCTTAGCGCTTACCCAGAGTCCTTCTCAAACCCCTGCAGAACTTGCTATCCCCGTGCCCAACTTGGCATTAATCCCGGACGGGAGGATGATAGCTTGGCCCATCTGCTCCCACCACCTAGGGCTTCGCATTCATAAGCGTGGAATTCGCTACTCGTACTTTTCGTGAGCTGAAAATCGTTAGAGGCGTAGACCCCGCAGTAGAAACGGTTGTTATCAGGCCAATGTCCTGAGTATATGATAGATAGTGAGGTAGTAGTCGCGAAGAGGCGTTGCCTGCTTCCTTTGTAATCGTAAGTACTGTGCCTTTAGCGGGGTGATGCTGTCTCCCCTCCTCGTGGTTTTGTAGCTGTACACAATTGTCTCGGAGTCGGAATGCTGTTCTCGATCATTTTTTCTACGATGGGAGTTGCTTCTCTCGGGAGCGTGCTGCTTATCTTACTCTGCTGTTGGCTGTGTGTTTGCAGACTAAGAGCCAAGTCCCAAGAATCGGTACTGCACATCGGTCGCCGATAACGAGAGAGGAACATCGCTGATACCTTTTCTTAGACACGTCATAATGTTGTCCTTGTCGAGCCTTCCAGCTATATCCTCAAGGTTGTTAGCCAGCTTCAATACCTTTTGAAGGGGCCGGAGATTGTGCAGAAGGCGCACGTAAGTAGTTGAGTTCAGAGAGAGAGCAACGAGGCAGGAGATGCTGAAACTGTAATGCGCAGATTAAAGATAGTGCCTATGCCGTACGCACACCAGAAGGATATCAAGTGCAATTCTCCTCCAGGGAGCACATCAAGCAATTGGTGCAGGCGCCAGACACGTACCTGTCGCTACATGCTCTGGCAAAAGATGTACGTGCCTGTCCTACTCTCTTCCTTTTTCTCATATCAATTAAGTGCCCCCTTTCTAATCCCTATCTCGACAAGAACAGATGTTCCAGCCCAAGTATACCATGAACGGCCTCGAGTACGACGACTGCATGAGCGCGAACGGAACCGTTCATCAGCGAGCCCTGCAAGCGGAGCTGCGATCCCACCTGCCAGCCCTAACCCAGCCGTTGCACAACTGCATAGCCCAAGCGCTCACCGCAGAGATCACAGCCCACAAGCCCCAGTCCGGGGAATGGCGCGCAGTGCCCATCTTCCCGATGGCCAAGCGACTGATCACCGCCACCAACGCTCTGGTCTTCTTCGGTCCCGAGGTCTCAAGCGACCAGGTCTTCCTCGACGCCGCGCTCGAGTACCCCGAGCACCTCATGGAAACCGCCGAAGCGCTCCGCCTGCTCCCCGCGTGGGCCGCACCCTTCGCCGCGCCCTATCTAATGCGCCGCCACCGAGCGCTGAAGATCCTGCTAGATCGTCTCACCCCCGTCGTGGAGGCGCGGATCCGCAACACCACCACCACCACTGCCTCCGAACATGCCGACTGCATCCAGTTCTTCGTCAACGCAGCCGCGCGCAAGAATAAGCAGCACGAATGGCCGGCCCAGCGCATCATCCAGGTCCTGCTGGGCGTCTGGTTCGCCTCCGTCCACCAGCCCGCCATGTGCCTCTTCTACGCCCTGGACGACCTCTGCCTGCATCCCGAATTCACCTCTGCGCTGCGCGACGAGGTCCGCGCCACGATCCTCACCACCACCACTAGCATCGCCCAACAACCAGAAATCAACCCTACCCACCTCCCCCTCCTCACCAGCTTCCTCAAAGAATCCGCCCGCCTCCACCCAACGGACTCCATCTCCCTGCGCCGCAAGGTCCTCCAGCCTTTTACCTTGAACGACGGAACCACTCTCGCAAAGGACGACGTCGCCTGCATCCCGCTGCGACCCATCCTCCGGGATCCCGAGCTGTACCCGGACCCGCATACCTTCAACCCCTACCGCTTTATCATTACTACCCCCAATAATCCCGGAAAGCTCGAGGAAGACAACCCCACCCCGACGACAAGAACAACATCCTCCGAATTCACCGACGCAGACGTCACCTTCCCGATCTGGGGCCTGGGCAAACGCGCCTGTCCCGGTCGGTACTACGCGTCGTTGCTGCTGAAGCTGGTGCTCGCGCAGATCCTGCTGCGGTATGATGTAAAGATGGTGGAGGGGGCCGAGGACGAGCGGAGGTATTTCTATTGGCGGTCGGCGATTGTACCCAAGGCTGGGGCGGTGTTGTTGTTTCGGGATCGGGAGGCGCTGGCTTTGGAGGAGGTCTGCTAGTTAGGGACTTATTGGGGGGGAGGGAGGTTCGTGACTTCTGCCTGTTCGTGGTCTTTTTTTTTCGAGGGTTGCTTAGTGGGCGGATAGTAAGGCAGACGGACAAGAAGGTAAATTTCTAGAACTGGGAGAATGATATCGTTTGACGGGAGAAAGGGTCCATGGAACTTCTGTATCTTGGTCCCGGTTGGGGATTGGGGCAAAGCCTTGGGGCCGTGGAGGTTTGGTGATTTAATCTGTTGACGCTGGGTTGTAAGTCAGGACCGATAAACTGGCTAGGGGGTTGACTTCGTTGAGGGGTATGGGGAGAGGCGGTTGGGGTGGACGCACTCGTTCGTTTTCTTTGGGTGTTGTTCATTGATAGAGATATGAGAAACATGATCATAAGAGTGTCATCGGACAAAATCGAGTTTGCTTTTTGTACTCTTCGACACGAAAGAAGATAAGCAGGTATATGGCAGTGTCTCACGGCTCAGGCAGGGTCACACTCCACCAGCACTGTAGTGGACATCAGTGAAGCTGGAGAAAAAAACCTGTAGCAGGCTCCTGCAACTAATTCTGGGTAGCTTTGAAGGTAGCTCTCAACATTGCGAGCGAGATTCTGAGAGATACGTCTTCACCAACTCTCCTTTGCAATGTACGGAGCAACTGCAGTGATCCTAAACCCCATCGCCTGCTCAATATGTCTCGGAATGAGCCTACTGATAGATCGAAACCTTGAGCCCCGAACAGATAGCAGCGCTGATCCTCTTGTGGCAAAACGGAAGTTTCTCCTCCATTGCAAAGCTGAATTCAGGAACAAAAGGACGCGTATGCTTCAGATCACAGACCAGGAAGTTGGATAGCGGTCGAAGGATCAGGTGTCGAGGCACCGAAGGGAGCTGCCGGTTAGTCAGCGGCAAGAACCCTGACGCTAGATTCATATTAGGCTTGGTGTATGTCATGCAGCCAATCAGGGCACCTTCGAGCGGCCGCTGACTGATGTGAATATGACCTGGATCTAGAAACCATGGAAACTATGGAAAAGATTAACCTGGTCAAACTTGTTTGACGATCTACCGCCGTGGAGAAGGTGAATGGGTTCGTCCGGTTGAGGCTGTGTCTACAATGTTGCAGATAGACGAATGCTGGCATTCAAGAGCTCGACTCTTCAAGATTGTGCAAAGTCGAAAGTACTCAGGTTGAAGCTTCTACGATTCTGCCCTTGTTATTAGAACGAGCTGGCTCACAGAGCGAGCAGTAAAATTAAAAGCATAAACTATGGCGGCGCTACTGGCAGTGATCGCAGCGTATAGGGACCCATGGCCACCCAACGTGAGGCATTTATGACGCTTCACGAGTGCTGCTAGACATGTTCCATATCATGAAACCATATGAGTCAAATTCCAGGCGGACCGAGATCCGTTGCTCCAGCCATCCCCAAAGCACGGAGATGAAGGTACGTCTATTTGAGGCTTACAATAGAGTTTTCGATGAGTTTGCGACATGGACAAGTACTCTCCGCTACGTGTCTTGCTGTTTTCTGAGGAGTCATCATAGCGACCGGCTCCATCAATGCCAGTCAACCTTACACAACAATCACGGGAATCTTACACTCACCGCACTCAACGGACATACTGCGAGTAATAGCCCGATCATCTAGAGATAAGATGGTTGCACACTACTATATCCCCAGAAAGCCCACCAGAGTACGTGATTGAAAACTCCATCAGACACCCCTCGCCGGCAAGGCCGACCCACCTGAGGCCTCATTGGAGTGACGGCACACCGGGTACGTTTGTTCTAGCCTGCAGCTTACCACTGCCTTATTCGCAAGGTTTTTGAAAAGTGCAGTACGTGCGTAATGATGTCCCTTGACGGTCTGACGCGTCACCTTCACGACCAGGGCCGTGGAACAGCCTCGACATGGCGCCTGGACTTTCATGTAACCATCATGACGAACTCCGAAAGCTGTCTACACTCTCTTGATCCTCCATACAATCAGTTTCTCGTGTCGATGTATGCTCTGACGAGCCTGGTGTTTAGGCAGACAGGTTAATACAGGACAGCGCGCTAGAGCCGGACGGGAGCACAAGGTTCTTTCTCCCGGTGGATCTCCGGGCAAAGGACCCCCTAAAGAGGAATCCGCACACTCTATTTCGAACGTTAAGATTATCTTCTGCATAATGTTGAGATGATGATCTTCCCAGCTGCGTATCTTAGCAGCTTGGCAGGCTCACACGGTGCCCATGTTCATATCCTCGTGTCGGCGAGAGCAGCGCTACTCACTTTTTTTAAAAACCAGCTAGCCAAGACTCAATGAGTCTAAGAGGCAGACTAACGTTATAGCTCGTCATCTACGGGTTAGTACTGGCACAAGCCTACCCCTCAGATAGATGAGACAGAACTCATACACACCCATCAGTTGGGTGGACTATAGCAGAGCTGACGAAGCCACTTACTCTGCATGCATAAGCGAGATTGACTCGCAGCGTGGGAAAGCTTAGTACTGATTACCTGAAAGCCGGCGGCTGGGCTCTCCGTGATTCTCTTATGGCAATGAGAATGAAGATTTTGACATCCGAGCTGGGGATTCCACTTGTATAGCAGAACGTGGGGTAGCATTGTCACCTGGATCTTCCAGATGGCGCTCAAGGTTTACACTCCTCAATCCTTGCCGGGGGGCAAGGGATCTCGCCACAAAAACAGTACTCAGCCCGGTGGGCAACTAGGTTGCAGGATGAAGACACTTGTAAGGGCACCTGGCATACCAAATTGGCTCGGAAGACCCTAATCCAGCGCCAAGCGTGTGCCAAGCATCCCAGATCGGTTATCAGTGGGGCGTGCGGATAAGCTTATTCCCGCCCTAGCATCCTCACAAAACACCATCGAATTTGGGAGTGGCTTCGAGGGCTTGATGCAGAATTGATTCCAGAAACATTGAACACACAGTTGACTGGCCTAATTTCTATCATTTCTATATCTGGAATCGTATTGTACTTCCAGACTGTTGGGTCACATCTCAAGACCGCAAGGCCAGAAGGCAAAAAGTGCGAAATTACTCTGGCACTCTCCATCACTGCAATTACGCTAGAGGTGCCGTTCACTTGGCAGTGGACTAAGGCTGAAGCAACAGCAGACTTAACATCAGTTTTATCAGGGAACCCTTTGACCCTAAGTGCTGGGGAGGGCCACGCAAGCGGGTGACGAGGGATGAAGGGAACCGGGCAGGGACGTCAAACACAAGTGGGCCCAAACATGCTTTCCGCCTCCGTTCCAATTATGGGTCGACTATCCATGGATGCTCTTCGATCATGCAGTGCCTCATACTTGAGACTGCATTTGCTTAAATAGAAGCCATTGCCTCCTCGAGTCGATCTTTTCATCATCCAGCCTCATTCATTCTTTTCTTGAGTCTACCAACCAATCCGGTCATTTCAGCTCCTACCATGGGCAAGTATTCCCGTGCAGCTGTTGCTGCTCTGGCAGCCGCAACGGCCAATGCCACTTCGCTCTCTGATCTGTGTACTGTGTCCAACGTTCAGTCTGCTCTGCCGTCCAATGGCACCCTTCTGGGCATCAACATGATCCCCTCGTCTGTCACCGCGGGTGTCACCACCTCCAGCGGTGGCATGGGCGGCGGCATGAAGCGAGCGGACAGCTACACCTACTGTAACGTGACTGTCGCTTACACCCACACCGGCAAGGGCGACAAGGTCGTCCTTAAGTACGCCTTCCCCAGCCCGTCTGAATTCAAGAACCGCTTCTACGTTGCTGGAGGTGGTGGCTTCTCGCTCTCCAGCGACGCGACTGGCGGTCTCGAGTATGGCGCTGCATCGGGTGAGTCGTCATGAACAGCAATCCTGGTTACTAAGGCATTTTCTAACATGATGAAGGTGCCACTGATGCCGGCTACGACGCTTTCTCCTACAGCTACGATGAGGTTGTGCTGTACGGCAACGGCTCCATCAACTGGGATGCCACCTACATGTTCGGCTACCAGGCCTTGGGTGAAATGACCCAGATTGCTAAGCCCCTTGCTCGGGGTTTCTATGGTCTGGACAGCGGCAAGAAGATCTACACTTACTACGAGGGTTGCTCCGACGGTGGTCGTGAGGGTATGAGCCAGGTTCAACGCTGGGGATCCGAATATGATGGTGCCATCACTGGAGCTCCCGGTAAGCCAGACCCTTACAGACATCTACATTCTGACCGCGTCAATCCCTAACTTGTTCACAAAAGCCTTCCGTTTCGCTCAACAACAGGTCCACCACGTTTTCTCCTCGGCCGTCGAGCACACCATGGACTACTACCCCGAGCCGTGCATGCTCGACAAGATCGTCAACGCCACCATCGAGGCCTGCGACCCTCTGGACGGCCGTACCGACGGTGTTATCTCCCGTACCGACCTCTGCATGCTAAACTTTAACCTAACCTCCGTCATCGGCGAGTCTTACTACTGCGCTGAGCAGAACTACACCTCCCTGGGCTTCGGCTTCAGCAAGCGCGCCGAAGGCAGCTCAACCAGCTACCAGCCCGCTCAGAACGGCACTGTGACCGCGGAGGGCGTTAAGCTCGCCCAGGCGATCTACGACGGCCTGCACAACAGCCAGGGCGAGCGCGCCTACCTGTCGTGGCAGATCGGCTCTGAGCTGTCGGACGCGACGACCGAGTACAACTCCGACACCGGCGCGTGGGAGCTCGACATCCCCTCCACCGGCGGCGAGTACGTGACAAAGTTCGTGCAGCTCCTCAACATCGACAACCTGTCGAACCTCGACAACGTCACCTACGACACGCTGGTCGGCTGGATGAACACGGGCATGATCCGCTACATCGACAGCCTGCAGACGACGATCCCCGACCTGACCGAGTTCGAGTCCTCCGGCGGCAAGCTGCTGCACTACCACGGCGAGTCCGACCCGTCGATCCCCGCCGCCTCCTCCGTGCACTACTGGCAGGCCGTCCGCTCCATCATGTACGGCGACCTCAGCTACCAGGAGTCGCTCCAGAAGATGGCCGACTGGTACCAGTTCTACCTGGTTCCCGGCGCCGCCCACTGCGGCACCAACTCCCTCCAGCCCGGCCCCTACCCCGAGGACAACATGGAGATCATGATCAACTGGGTCGAGAACGGCGTCAAGCCCTCCCGTCTCAACGCCACCGTCTCCTCTGGCTCCTACGCCGGCGAGACCCAGATGCTCTGCCAGTGGCCCACCCGCCCGCTCTGGTCCAGCAACAGCAGCTTCTCCTGCGTCCACGACCAGAAGTCCATCGACTCGTGGACCTACGAGTTCCCCGCCTTCAAGCTTCCCGTCTACTAAGCTGGCCTTGCCGTGACCTCGTCACTTTAGTCTCTGTGACAGATGATAAGAGCCCTTTCGCTTCTCGCCATCCTGTATCCTAGTATTAGCTTTAGACTTTAGCCACCAATCACTCTTATCTGTACCATCTGACTGTATTCACATCTGAAATATCAGCCTCGCATTCTAGAGAATCCGCAACAAATACCCCAAGAACGTTGCGCACCATCATCCCACCGTGTAATAGACCTCTCGAGACTAAATGCCAAGCATGACCCATCCCCCATCAACTCCCAACCATCAAATATCGCCCCTCTCGCACCGAGACCTATCTTGGCTTTCCGTAATTCCCCCGAAGAAACGCGGAGCACACGTCACTGCCAAGAACCTCCATATCCTACCCAGCCATCTCGATTCGATTAGGTTCCCATGAAACCCTGAAACCCCAAAAAATGCTCCAGGCCCAATCAGGGTCTGACCCCCTCCTCGAATACAAGCACCTCTTCCGGCCAGCAGGGGAAAAGAAAAGAATTACAGTCTGCGATTGCCATTCAGTAGGCCCAGCCCCAACAGAATCAGAAACATAACGGAGGTCCTCCACTGCGTAACCCTCACCACTGATCGGCAGGAACCACTCCCGCCTGGGTGTGACTAGGTAGGGATCCACGTAATCCTTCGTAGACATTTAGGGATTTTTAAGGGCAGCGAGATATGGAGTGGGGCTGGGGGGCAGATGGTGATTCGTGGGCGGGAAAATAGGGTGGGACTCCACATCGGGGGTCGGGGGTTTTTGGAGCGGTGACCTCCGAGGTTGCGATACTCGGTTCGATTTCATTCCATTCTATTGTTGGAAAGGGCTTTTAGGGGTGTTGGAGCGGATGCGGCTGGGTTTCAGCGTGGGGAATATTGATATACTAGGCTGGGGATGATCGATGGTGTGATGTTTGTTTGGTGGGCTTGAAGTAAGCCGATGGGAAGTGGAGGTTGGGTACAGGTTGAAATATATATCTGGTCTTCAAGTGGGTGTCAGGCTGAAGCATGTGGTCGATGTTATCGATGTATTATCAGCCATGGTCAGTTAGTCCATGCTTGGGCTCAGGAATAGATCGGTATCAATGCAAAGAATAGAGAAAGTGCGTTTTGGAGAGGTTTTCCATTCCACGTAGAATGTGCACGCACAGCGGGCTACGGGATCATTGGTTGTGTCGAGGAGGATTATAGCGTAATTCTTTTAAACAAGAATATAGATGCAACGAATTGACTAGCATACATCAAGCACGTCTTGGTGGCGCAATTGGTTAGCGCGTACGACTGTTAATCGTGAGGTTGAGAGTTCGATCCTCTCCTAGGACGTCATATCTTTTTTACAGTTTGGTTTTTGTTCGCGCGCCTGGCGCCCAGGAGAACCTAGAAATGCGAGATAAGATGTGTCCAGCATTGGCCCATTATTCTGCGGCTCGCTGTTCTACCTGACCCGTTGTTGCGTGATGTCATGGACCGGTATACTTCCGGTCCAACTTCCCTTACAGCATTCGTTATGTCACTGTTGACACCTTAAAGAAATCCCATGTAATACAAATAACCCAAGAAGCCACGTCGTGCAAGCAAGAGCCTTCGCTGGAACAAGCCATCATGAATTACCATTACATCCGCGTGAGAATATCATAGCAATGATTGTCACCCGCTTCAAAGATCCAACCCTAAACCCCTACTATGCAACAGGTTCTTCTTTAGCCAAGAGGTCAACCTGATCCTGCAAAAAACACCAATGTAACACTCGTCGCATTCCCCTTTTCGATCATATACTTCGACACGCCCGCGCTGAACTCGATCCTCCCCAACATCAGGCGCCATGGCAATGCGCCACGCCAGCATTTACCTCGCCACATTCCAGGCCACCTCTTCCGCGACGGTGGCAAACGTGGAGGCATGGAAGTCTCCGGTCTTGTTGCATCTGCGGTCGAAGCTGTCGGTGTAGAGGTCCACCCACGCGCCGTAGTGCTCGAAGACAGAAGGAGGGTAGACGGGAGAGCAGAGAATTTCTTCCGCCTCCAGCATGCAGTCGCCTTCCCCACCCCGCAGGTTGTCGTAATCACGCCAGATGAAAACCGTGCCCCAGTCGGCGAGGATCCGGTAGTGTCGGGATGGCTCTGATACAGGGGGTTCCTCATTCGGCGTCGTCAGAGGTTCGCGAGTTGACATCTCGACGGTTATGGGGTTCGAAAGGGACGACTGATCTTCCTGTGCATTCTGGATTTTGGGACCAGGTCGAAGTTGGTTTCCACGAGTGTGAAGCTTGGTATCTAGCTCAGATAGCGGCTCGTCGGTGAGGCGATGCCATGCATCCCCTAGGTTTCTGATGGCTTTGATGCAGCGTTGCGATTGCGGCTGGCGGGCCAATACGGCCAGTGGTTTGAGGAGGTCGGAGGGCATGGTGGCGTGCAGTGCAGCTGGAGGAGGTCTTATTTCTACGAAATGAGGTGGTTGATAAGGAGGTGAGATGGATGGTGAGGTAGGACAGAACGCGTGCTTGTATTGTACTGTGCGTATTGCCCCTGTAGCAGTTCCCATGATTTAACACTCCAGAGACTATTTATATCAGAGCATATAATATATCTCGAATCTCTGCTGTGCAGACAGCGGTTGAATAATTGAAAGTCGGTGGTGTATAGTGAATAAACAGAGGCGAAAGTGACAACAAGCATGCAGCTAGGTGCGGGTTACCTTTTTTCTTCTTTAAAAGAACACGCTCTTTGATATCACACGCTCTTGTGGATCTATCGCAGTCCCTTCTGCTTCACCTTGTGGTTTTCCCTCAAGAACACCCCTAATGTCTCCTCCACAGACATTGTTTCCCCAACGCTGCTCCGCTCGGCCATCAAGTATTAGCCCGGCTACTCTTTATCAACAACGCAACTCCCAAACCTCAAAATCGTGATCATCGAAAAGCCATCCACAAGCGAGGAAAATGAGCCCCAGCCCCCCAAAAGCAGACCATCGCAGTCAACCGGGCCACGCTCATCAAAGGATGCCAGTACTTCCGGAATATGCTCGCCTGCCACCGCTGGACAGAATCTCGCCGTGACACGATCACGCTGCAGGACGACCACATCGTCGCCATGGAGATCCTGCTACGCAAGCTCCACGCGACCTTAGGCGCGATGAGCGTGAAGGAGATCTCCGTCGCGGACGTCTGGCATCTGGTGCTCGCCTGCGGCAAGTACGGCCTCAACCCGAATGAGTTTAGGGGTTGGTTTGCATCGTGGGCGAAACGCGCCGTAACTCAGATCGACAATTTTTACCGTGGCGACGAGCGGATCTACCACCGCCAGATCCTGTTCCCGAGCTGGGCGACCGACCATGCGGCCCTCTTCGCCGAGGCGACCAAGTCCCTGGTCTACAGGAGTGAGGCGCATATCGCCGAGCGCAACCCCACGAAGGTCGATCAGATGCATCTGCCGCCCCGGATTCTGCGTGCGTATCCGTTTCCTCAGACTCACCGGGCATTCTTGTTACATCCTTCCTTTTGGGATCAGAGCTAACGCCCAGACTCCCGCAGAGCAAATAAACGCCGTCCGCGGCCGCCTCCGCAACATCGCGCACAAAGGCCTCTTCGACCGGATCGCGACGACCCTAAAAGCCTCCTCCGCCCCCTGCTGCGAGCGCACCGTCTTCGAGTTCTTCCGCGAGCTGCAGCGCATCAGCGTCTGGTCGTTTGAGGACTGCATGCGGCACTGCAGCATCGACGATCTGGTCTTCCGCATGAAGCGGTTCGATGCGAGCAAGATGCGCGAATACCGGGACCCCAAGACCCAAAAGCCGATGGATGGTTTCGCCTGCGAACATGGCTGGAAAGCTGTGGTGGCCGGCGCCGCGAAGCGCGTCGAGGCGTACTTCGACGGGCTGTGTCTGGATTGCATGGATCTGACCAAGAACCTGCACAAGGGTGGGGATCGGGATCGGGATTATTGGGCGTATATGCGGCCGCGGGATCGGTACGATGAGAATTGTCGGATCAAGCATGGCGAACCGACCTGGTACTTTAGCTTCATGGGGAGGCGGGAGAAGAAGGGGTTGATTGCGGATGTTTAGGGAGGGAGTGTACCTGTCGCATGGCTACTACGGTAGTGGCTCGTCGCGACAAGACCTGCAATTCGTGGTGCTGTTTCTTTGTCGTCGGTTTCTGCAATCTGCTCGATATGACGAGGGACTTTGTTCGGGGGCTCGTGGCCTACTTCCCAGCCTTTGTATCCTGGTTTCCCGAGAACTCCATTCTCCTCCTATGCCTGTCGTGTTTTCGAGATGATCTCCTATAGTAAGGTCATAGAACTCCCGCATAAAAAGGCCCAGCGCTCAACAAGGACATACAGGGAACTGCAAGCACCACATATTAGAGATTCTCCGCCACGGCACCCCTTGGAGTGACTATAAAAGAGACCGCTGTATTTGCCAGGGCTTCTATCTCCGCATCATGTATAGCTTTCCCAGCAAGGCTCCACAGCTACCATGCCAACCTTCCACAACCGGAGGCCCAGTGAGCAAAAGCAAAAGAAACATTCCTCGACGCTGATACTAGCCCGACTCGATAAGAATCCGCCATCCCCACGCGTCGAACATGCCACCTGGAGTCAGTCAACAATGACAGAAGGCCAAAAAAGATGGAGCTGCGGGGAATCGAACCCCGGACCTCTCCCATGCTAAGGGAATATTATACCACTAAACCACAGCCCCAATTATTGAAAGCCGGATCGAAACTGCGTACCTTGTTCTTAGACCACGTGTAGCAGCCCTGCTTACAGGGATGTGAGCACACCCCTTTGCAGGAGGTGTCCTTGGACTAGAGTATATATATTAGTTATCGTCCTGACAGCTCTCAGTGAGCTTTGTAGTGCATCTGCTTGCTGGGCACAGTGAATATAGTGCCTTCTTGTCGGTCGGTTGTGATGATGGACTGGCGCTACGAAAATATATAAGCACTCAAAAGATTGTATGATATCCCGCGTAGCCCTAATTCAACCTCTCTCTCTGAGATTTCCCAAATGTGTAACATATACAACTAAGGAAAATACACTCAGACACCTCTGCGGCACAATTGACCGACCAATCCGATAAATACGGCTAGAAAAATATCTGCCACATGTAAGAGCCACAAGCCAAATTGTATTGCACTAGGTATAATGTTGCTGGGAAATCAAGATTTTCCGCAGCGAGTCATTGTGCCACATGTGGCCGGCTGGAGATGTCTCATCAATGTTACGAATCTAAAAAAAGTTCACACGAGAAGAAATAGGCTGGGAACGCCCTGGGCACGTCCATGATAATTACGAGATCACTTAGCCACGTAATGCCAATATCAGTTCAAGGGATATGTTATGGCGTCTATCTCCTATGTCCCTTTCACAGACTCAATACAAGGGGCATCTGTCTCTGGTACTCATTTCAAGCTGCACACAGGACTAAGCATGAGCTAGGATCGACCAACGACGGGCAGCTCAATTAGAGAATCGATTGTAAATGGTCTGTCTATGTGCTTATGGCCACCCCGACAAGACACAGTGTTACTGAGGACTGGCCCCTTTAGTTACAGCTTTTAAAACTCCGCCCCAATCTGCCGAAGTAGCGCCGTGTGATCCGTGCCATAAGTGTCCCCCGCTCGCGCGATCGCCTCACGCACCCACGATCCGCGCGGGATGAATCGCGCCGTGAAGGGCAGCGCGCGCATGACCAGACCGTAGGTGCATGCTTCCGGGTCGACGGGGATCGGCTCGCCCGTCTCCACGGACACACCGGCTCTGATATCAAACGACCAGAGCAGCCGCGCCACCACGATCCAGAGGACATTGCGCGCGAAGTACCGCCCGGGGCAGGTCCGTCGTCCATACCCGAACGCGGGCGCCGGAAGAGAGGAGCGTAATGCTCCGTGGTCATCTAGCCAGCGTTCCGGAATAAAGCCGTCGGTGTTGGGGCCGAACACGGCCTCCTCGCGGGCGATCGTCCAGATGTTGGCCACGACCACCGAGCCCTTGGGGATGCGGTAGCCGTGGTAGGTCGTCTCCTCGCGGTTGAGGTGCGGCGCGCCCTCCGGGCCGGCCGGCCGCCACCGGAGCACTTCCTCGACGATCGCGGTGATGTACGGCAGGTTGGGCTTGTCGTCGGGCCGCGGCAGCCGGTCCTGGCCGACCACGGCGTCGAGTTCGGCGCGGGCGCGGGCGATGAAGCCCTGGTTTTGGGTTATACACGCCACCACAAACCACACCAGGCTGTCGGTCGTGCCGTCGAGCGCTGCGTCGATCATCGTTCCCAGCTCGAAGGCGAGCTCGTCCAGCGGCATGTCACGATCATCATCCTTTTCCACGGTCTCCTTTAGATGCTTGGAGATGTTCCAGGAGTCCGAGTCTTCCAGCGCCCGCCGGAAGTTGCTGAGACGCAGGGCATACTTGGTGCGGTAGTGATTTTCCGCTTTCGCCTTCCAGGGCGCCAGAAAGCCCGGTAGGTGGTTCAGCACCGGGAACTGGTCGACAATATGCGCGCCCACCTGAATGAACTCGGAGAACTCCTCGTTGAGCTTGACCACGCTACGAAGGACGGGGTCGTTGGGATCCTGGATCCGGAAGCCGTACAGTAAGGTGTGGATGATACTCGCTGTGGTCCGCTGGAACGCCCCTTGGACATCGATTCCTGTACTCGCGCTTGTTTGCAAGAGATCGTACAGCAACTGCTGTGATTCCAGTGTTTGGATGGGGAGGTATGCGGCTGCTGGAGTCGCGTTCAGCACGGACACCTGGAGCCGCTGATGATGCCGGAATTGATCGGTGTAGTTCATCATGAGGATGTTGAGCCCCTTTAATGCTAGCTCCGTCGCCAGAAACAGTCGAGGTCGGTCGGAAAAAATCGCTCCACGCTTTGCGAGCAGGTCATGGGCTACTTCCGAGGTCGACAAAATGATGAGCGGTTGTCCAAGCATGTTGAGGTGAACGATGGGTCCATACTGCTCATTCCATTGGCGATAGGTCCTCCATCCATGGGACTTGGGAGCTTGATGGACATTGCCTATCAGAGGCAGTGGCTTGGGCCCTGGCGGTAAGGGCAAAGAAGAAGATGATGATTTTGGCCGGCGTGTGACGAAGTACACGCTAATCAGGAGGAGAAACCCTATAAGTACGGCGGAAGTTGTTGGATGCATGACGAGGTGAACGATGGTGGAATACAAAATCGAAACGAGGGCCAGGCCCTTTTAGAGGTGATGGAGGATGTATCTGTAGATTCAAGGAAAGGGAAAAGAACATCAACAGCTGTTGGAGGAGGAGAAGGTGCGAAGAAGCTATATCCCTGATTTTGGAGTCAAGGTCACATGACCATCTGTAGTCCGACAGTGGACCAGCATTCACATTACCTAGGAGAGTCTTCACAGGGATCGAAAATGCACACATTTAGGCAATAATCCGCCGCCCAAGAACTGGTTAGTTTTTATTAAACCGCCGCATGCCACAAGAGTTTCTTCGAGGCCACGTCACTACGACGGTACTGGCCAAATTGCGAAACAGAAACCAGAGCGACTGAACGATATGCTCCAGTGGGGTACGACTGGACCTGCCTACAGATAGATCAGATCTGGCATGTCCTGTGTTGCTTGTGTTGCTTATGTTGCGGGGATTTCTGGTTCGCTGTGCTGCGCCTCGATCCCGACTAGGGCCACTGTAGTTTGAGCGTTAGTGTGGTTTCTAGTGCTTACTGTTGAATCGGCGAAATATGTAGCCTTGCTTAGACACGCCTTGCTTTCCCATTGCCTGTCTTTTGTCCGACTTTCGACCGGATATAGCAAAAGCGTTTTCGCAGCTTGATGTAGACCATGTAACTCGATCCACGGGCCGCTCCCCGTAAGCACTGGCTCCGCTTGCAGCAGAGCAGCCGAAGCATCGATTTTACCATGGAATCCGTCCAACGTCAGATATACTAAGCGATTGTTTTATGCTTTTGCCGCCATTCGCTCAAATATCACATTCGCCAAAGCCCTACCTTGATCGGCTCTCATCATGTGGCGTCTGTAATTGTCCTTCGAGATGGAGTTACAAAAGGTTCATCACGCTTCACGCACGTGTAGACAATGGTTTCTGATACATAATAGGTTGAGGAGGCCCAAGGATCCCCTCTGGTGGAGTGACTCCAGCTGCCATGAGTGGCTTAAGAGATCCAAATACGTTCAAGGAGGGTCTGTTTATACTTGAGGGGTAGCAGAGTCACGTGTTATCGACAAGCTGTCAGCGGGTACAATGATACTACAGTCAAGTCGCGTTCGGAACATAGTACTTCCGGATCAGGGCTGAAAGATAAGCGGGGCGGGTGCTTTGTTCCAAATTTTAATAAATGCTGTCCATATCCAGGACTCTCCCACTCCTGTTTTCAGTTGCGCTTCACCTACGGACTATTTTTTTTCTCAAGTTTAGCTTCGTTGCTGCTTTTGTCTTCACCCCTGTCAAGCTGACACTCACTCATCTGAAGTCCCCGGATCTATCTAATCTAGACCCTGACCTTGCCGGAAAAGCGGATATATCTATCCGCCGTGGAGCCGCCCGACTAACAAATCACGTGCACAAGATCCCCTTGCTTCTAAGCCTTATTGAGGAAGCGTGAAGATGGATGGATTCAGGCTATCTCTATGGAACTAACTAAGGGCCGCCGAAGGCGTGTTACACACTCAAATACCTGCTAATACGGGTCAAACTTGGACCAAACTTCTGTCCCCTGACCGCTCCATCCCCAAGACGAGTATCCCAAATCCCTGCACCGCATGTGGCTGGACCTCTGAACGCCAGACTGCCGAGTGCCTGATGCAACTTCGCAAGCTCCAGTCTCCTAAGATGCATTCGGTCGATGGACAGCCGCTCTATTCTGCCTTTCTTTTCCTAGATGAGTAAGCAGTAGTTTTAGGAACCGGAGGGACAAGGGAAGACTCACACACTACGTACTGGAAAGAAATTGGGCCCACCTGAAGCTGCAACTAGTCCCCATGTAACTTGACACGATTCGACATAGTGACCCAAGATCTAAGCCCCAAAGGAGATTTGCCAAGCAGGGGTTCGGCCAGACTAGCCTCTCTTGGCAAGGCCTCAGCTTATGGTACCTGATAGTTTGCTCCAGCCGAGGGTCCAGCCGAGAGCTCCTCCTCCTTTCTTTCTGCTGAGAAACCTTTGTTGGTTCCTCCAAAGCATCCTTCTTTATCGCTACACCGAGTGGTTTGTTTATCCTGCAGTTAGAATGCACGTTAAGTTGGTCCTGTGTCTGGCGGCCGCCACCCTTGTCGCCGCCGAGAACATTGTCACCACCACCCTTTTCATCCCGGATACGGACGCCGAGTCATTGGCGGGCTCAGTCATGGGCGTGGTAGGTGCTGACTACCGTCGCGGGCGCTGACTTGATGCGCCGCAGACTGACAGACAGGATAGGCTGCAACTGCTACTACCTTCTTTGTCAACTGTCCGACCGCAACTGGTATCAGTGATGATGATGATGATGGTGATGATGGTGATGATGACTGCGGCATGGGGGCCGGGATGACGATTATCGCTGGTCCTCAAACCACCAGCTATCTCATGGGAGAGCCAGCAGATGATATGTATGTGGCCTTCGTCCTCCCTTTTCAGCAGTCTTGCGAGGATCATGTGCTAACTTGCACCGTTCAGCTATATGTCCATGGCTTGTTCTGTGCAAGGAATTACTTACGGGGTCTGCACGGAGATGATTTCGGGCACCGGGGCGGATTACCCGGGGACGTATACCACGACCATGGGGACTGATGACCTCTGCTGCTTTGTGCCCGTGACAATCACGGCGGGCACGCTTACCGGTGGTGCTGGAGATGCCACCTCCCCTGCGAGTGTACTAGCTACGGGAACGGCTACCGCCACCACTACCAGTGCCTCCGCTACCGGCACGGACCCTGCAATTAGCGACAAATCGGTTGCTGCCACCGCCTCCACGACCACTCACAATAGCACGACCCAGAGCACTGGAGCTGCGGCACTCCTTACCTATGATTCGACTGTGATCTTGGGAGGTGCTGCGGCGGCTGCCCTTGTGGCCGCAGCTTTATAGAATACGAGGAAGAAAAGTGTGGATCGTTTGGTGGAGACACGTCGGCTTGGCAATATCGGACCTCTTAATGGTGGTCACAAAAAGCATCAAGTTTGACAGATAAGGAAGGTGATGACACGTATATGGGCTTGTCCCAGAGCCCAAGAGGCTCCGGGCTCATAACCTGTGAGCGATTTTAGGCACTCAGGGGTAGGCAATATAGAACGATTTCTTGATTTTTCTGTGGTTCTTAGGTTGTTTCACTATCGGAGTTCTCTGCGTGTAAACAAAAGGTAAAGGCCTTTGGATCACGTGGCCGGTGTACTCCGGAACGCCGACATACTGCTTCAAACAGAACTGCGCCTAATACAGGCACGCAACCCATGACGTGTGCTGGACTTCCCATCAAGTGAAGGCTGTGCAGAAGCACTCGACCGTGGCGAAAGTTTTCTCTTTGCAGAGATATCGGATTCGATGTCGATCGCGATCTCGACTCCCCGGCCCTCAATATCCTTCATGCACCGTTGTGCTTGTTCTTCCATTTGAACCATGTATCCTTGCACCTGCTCCTCCATTTCTTTCATACAGTCATTCGCCGTGTTGCGTACCTCGATGTTACCAGTGTCGATCTCTTCTTCGAATTGTGCTTCTTTCTGGGTGCATACGTCGTAGAGCTGATCGCGACATTCGGCTACGGCGCAGTCGACGTAATGCGCGAGCCGGCGCTCAACTGTCTTATCGATGTATCGTTCGAGCCGGCGCCCAATCATCACCATGTCGGCCTCGAGAGAGCTGCCTACAGGCTCGAGCTCGCGTGCCAGACGGCGGTCGACGTCTTCCGGTATGGCTAGCAGATGTTCGCGGCCGGAACGAATTAACAGTCTACGGATCAGGTCATCAGAAACACCACGGAGCTCGTGTTCAAGATGCGCGAGTCTCTGAGACTCTGTTTGGCCGCGGGAGGAAGCACGCTGAAAGTGAGTCCGATGGATCGAGGACGGTGATCGGGACGGAGCCCGTGTACTCGGCGTGTTGACTTCAGTCGCAATATCAGTCGGAACTTCAGTTGGAGAGCCTATCGGTTCAGGGGATAGAAGGAGCAATTTTTTTCGTTCTTCAGTGTTGGGTGATATTGACCGTGGGTCTAGATACTATTACTAACTATTACACAAGGCGCTATGGTATGATGAGTAGATACCTCTGCGCCGTTTTCCTAGCACTTCTTTATATACGGGGAGATCCACCTGCTCGGAGACGGACTCCTGGCAATATGGGGGTGGATCGGGTGACAGAACAAAGACACGCCAATCTTTCTGGCAGACTCCGTGGCGAGCGGTGTTCAAAGGCACTGCTTGAAGACTTCTTTGACGCAGGGCATAGGAGAAATCATGTAGCTTATCAAGCTCGCTATTGACAAATTGTCGTCCGGTGAAGTGTAGACGGAGGAATTTGGATTGACAAATTTTGGCAAATGAGTGAAACTCCAAGTCTCCAGGTACGGCTGGTTTGAGAAAGTCCATGCCAGATGGACTAAGAACTATGCCGACCGTGTCGAGGCTAAGACTCAGTGTTGAGACGGCCGAAACTTTTGTAACAGGCGCCGGGAGCGAGGAAAGGAGACGATCTGGACAGAGTGAGTTGTTGCTTCTGCGAGCAAAACCGCACTTTCCGACTCGTTCAGGAGGGATATTCAGAGTCAGGACCTGGGATCTGCTGCTCGAGTTAGCGATGCTGATCGAGTTAGCGAGAGTTGTTGTGATCGAAAGCAAGATAGATGCTTGGTTGGCAGTTTGACCATCCGCAACAGTTCGGCCATGGACGATACGAAGGCGAGCGACACAGAAAACATCACAGTCGGGTGCGTGGACAAGGACTTTTGAGACCAATGGTCGATTCTGTGAAGTGGTAGTCGTCATTCTGCCCTTCTTAAACGATAACCCTCGAAAAATCGAGTAGCCCACCCACCCAGGCTTTGAGCGACGTGGAGCAGCCCTGACTCGCAATAGGAGGGGGGGGGAGCGCGGGGGGAAGAAATGGAATAGATGAATCGGAGGGGAGAAATGGAAGAATGAGAGTGTATGAGCTTCTGAGCCTGGTCACGAGTACATACCCAATCTGAGATCAACGAGTGAAAACAGAGAGCCCTATGAGAACACAGGAATGGCAGGACTGGATTCGAGGACGACAGAGCAAATACCAAGGAAGGAGGAAGGAGAGATGCGGTCTGGTCACGAGTACATGCCCAATCCGAGATCCACGAGAGAAAACAGAGAGTCCTATAAAAATACAGGAATGGCAGGACTGGCTTCGAGAACAGCAAGAAGATGGAGAATGAAGGATGGGGGGATGGGGGGATGGGAGATGGGAGATGATGTTGAAGATGAAGAAGAAGAAGACGAGGAGGACGAAGACGAGGATGCGAAGGAGAAGGAAGGAACGCGAAGGCGGAAGGCGCGGGCGGAAAGACGCGTGCCGTCCCGTGACCGCTGATGCTGCCTTAAAATGGCACCTTGAAATGTGGCTTATGATGATACAATAATGACTAAGCTAGTAACATATTTGGTAAGCAACTTAGGACCGCCAGTGCACTCTCCAACTCGTTGAGCTGTTCTTAGTACTGCAATCTTATTATAACAAATATTCCATTCAAAATTAAGGTAAGCTATACAAATATTGACAAGCCCGAAGATATCCTAGGTATCTGCCAGATGCCATGGGGAAGCCACCGGCCGATAACCGATCCGCCAATGATGGAAGCCAGTTGTCATTCCGTGGAAGACGTCCCGTCCCATCTCAGGAAGGTGATTCCGCGACTCGACGGAGCTATAATCAGCAGGCAGCCATTCCCGCATTTCCCGCATCTCCCGTATATCTATCTATCTGCCAGCTTCCGCATACCGTAATCTCCCCCTGTGTCTACATACCACTCAAGCTTTGTGTTTGTCTGCGAAATTTGCATGCCTGTGTCGCGAGAATGAGTCCCCAGCCAGGGTTGAAGAGGGAAATGCGGTCCCGCCGTCGGCACGCGGTGGGAGTGTGCAATGCATGCCGGCGACGGCATATCAAGTGCGACTTGGCTCGGCCAACCTGCTCGGCGTGCAAGGCAATCGGCGCGTTATGCGAGAGGTCCAACGCTCAGCTGACATGGACGTCGACCTCGGGACTCTCCTTTCAGGGCGACACCCGCGCCCACCACGGCCCCAGCACCACTACCACCACCACTACGGCCGTCCGACGACGCTATTTGTACCGGGAGCAGGACCGTGTAGCCACCAGTATCAGCCTCCTCTCTAGTCTCCATATGGCTTCGGTTGACAACAGTCTGCAGCAGATCGAGGACGAGTCCTGGCAGACCGCGCTCCACCCGGGCCAGAGCAACTTCATTGGGCCGTTTGGGGTGTTGAGTCTGCCGAATGACCCCGTTGCCCTGAGCTCTGGGAGTCAGGAAGAAGCCCGTAATAGTAGTAGTAACAGTAATCGGGACCAAACTCAATCGTTGGAGATTCCGCCCCCCCTGTTGGCGGGCTCGCTAGGCAGTCTGCCAACCGCAGAGGAATTGCTGCACTGGCCGGATCTATTGGAAATGGACATGTCCTGGCCAGGATTGTTGAATTTCAATGATCTACTCAATCCATTGCCGGAGCAGTCCGTCTCATTAGTGGCCGAGGGCGAAGAGCAAAGAAATGAGGACGCGCCACTCGATGGCTCGGTCCAAGCCCCCGGGCCGGGTTTCTCCTTGGGAGATATCCTAATCTCGGACGCCCAGATGCTTCTGAAGCGGTACCGAGATGTGGTCGTTGCCCATTCCTTTTCCTTTCCGCTCTCTGGAATGTCGCCATGGGAAAAGCTCAACGTGGATTCGGCGGTCATTACCTTGGGCCGGATCGCCTTTATGGGCACGGAGCGCATCTCACATGCTGCCATGTCCAACCTGCTCGCATTGATTGCGATTTCCGCCGTGCATAAGGCGGCCGCAGTACGGAAACAAGGGACGATGTCCAGTGAGTATTGGGAAGGAATCAGTGCGGCGAGCTATGCCAAGGGCAAAGATCATCTGCAACAGTCCCTCCGAAGTGAGATTCACAATGTGCCGCCGCCGAAATACAAGGAACAACTGATGGCCCTGTCGGCGATGCTTTCGTTTGCGGTAGGCCCTGGCTCTTTCCCTCGTCTCTCTTGCCCTTATGGTTGACCGGTCGTCTCAGATTCTCTCGAACTGCCAAGAAGAGGCCAGAGCATACTTGCTCGATTCCGAGCGCCTGTTACGTCTTCGGGGCCTAACCAAGCGCGCCTTCTCGCGCAAGGCACGATTACTACACCACGTATATACATGGAACCGGATCCTGGGAGAAAGCACGTTCGTCCTACGGGACTATAACAAGGACCCCAGTTTGACAGCACGGCCCGCCGAAGAGTCGCACGCCCGCTCAAACCCCTTCCGATCCAATCCGGATATCCACTTGGATGACTTTTTGCAACTGGACGTGAGCTCCAACAATCCCGAGCCGAAGAATCACAGAGACCAGGACGGAATACTCAATAACGTGCATATTGAAGAGTCGAGAGGGGACGCCCAGCCAATGTACCGGGAACTCTACGGAGTATCCGAGACCTGGCTTAGTCTTGTCTCGCAGACCACGCGGCTTGCCAATTTCGTCGACAAACTCACGGCCAGCAAGGGCCGGCAGGACCCAGGAATGATGGATGCGCTAGAGAATGCGAAACTGCGACTCGAGGAAAGAATCTGGAAGCTCGTCTCGCTTCATGATCCGCCCCCGCCCTTGGGGCCTCACGGACCCAATCTCGAAGGCAGTGTGGAGCATCCGAGGGCCTACATGGTCCATGCATTGAATCTGGGCCTAGTGATATTCTTCTATCGACGCATCAGAGAATCCAACCCGCGCCTGCTGCAACAGTACGTGAGCTCAATCGTCCAGGCACTGAAGGACTTTGCCGCCTCCTGCAAGGCCCTCCACCTCGAAGGGCCTGGGTCTCCCTGGCCGGCCTTTATGGCCGGCTGCGAGGCGATTACCCCCCAGGATCGGGACTATCTTCATCGCTGGATGGATGAAGCCCTAACATTGACGGGTTTTCTCAGATTCCGAACAATCAAACAATGCATGGAGGAGGTTTGGAGGCGACAGCTGGAAATAGCCGATCGGAGAGACGGGCGAGTGACGTATCATAGCTGGGTCGATACATGTCGAGAACACAACATGTATATCATGCTATCCTAAGTTGATTTGGCAACGGGGATTCTTGACGTTATAGGTCAACCGGAAATCATTTCTAGAGATGTGCAGGATCTTTCCGCTCGAGATCGTGGCCGGTCCATAATAGAAACCTGAGGTGCGGGACAGATCGACCGTTTCAACGGTCTTTGGCATTTGGACGGGGATTATGGGATGCAACCCGGGCAGGTGAGAAGAAGCGTCGGACGTCTGTGGCGGGGAGTCTTGTTTTGTTTTGTAGGGCCGCCAGTTTAGATATACTACCTTAGGGAGTCGGGACTGGTCGCTACCTTACTGCGCGCTCTGATGTGGGAATGTATAGCCTATATCGCCGAAGCACTTCCAAGCTGGGCAAAATCTCGTCAGAAGCGGATGCTGGGGATGTGGTTCCTGGGATGGATCCTGTTATCTGGTACTTAGTAGCCCTACTACGTACCCCGATCCCACGCGGTCTTACGGTCTTACGTGCAACCTATCGCGGAACCGAGACCTTGATCCGAAATTTCCTTCCTCCTGTCTTTTCGGCCCTTTTCAGCCCCTTTCAGCCGCTGAAAGTGCGTTGATAACGACTCGCGGCAACGGCATTGATCTCCTCTACGCCGTGGATACCTAGGGCACGCCAAGTCCTTGGACGGCGCCAGACCCGGAGCCATCTTCCCGAACCGGAACTGCCTTCCGTATCCCCAATATCTATCCTTGGGAGTGCGGACATGCACGCTTTTTCTGATGTTGCAGATGACCGAGCTGCGTGACGTTGATTGCCTGCTTTTCGCCAGACAGTTGAAGTTCCGCGGGATTGTATACCTAAATTGGAACAACCCTGTGACCCGAGGCCACATGTGCGCAGTCTATCCAGACCACCTGCCCCTTGTGTCAAGATTAAAAGACAAGGTTAGAAGGTAAGAGGCACCATGGCTGAGAACTTGGTATAAAATGAGACACACCGCAGCCTTATTCAAATATCACGGATCCGCCCATCAATTCAGGAAGATCAACTGTTGTCTTACACCCACCAATCCACCCCTCATCATCATGGTGCATTCCAACCGCGCCGTGCACATCGTCAGCGTCCACTCGGCGGGGGAAATCGGCGATGTGATCGTGGGCGGGGTTCTCGACGTGCCCGGTCAAACCATGTTCGACAAGATGACCTATTTCCGGACCCAAGCCGACGAGCTACGCCAGCTGCTGCTCAACGAGCCCCGCGGCCGCCCGTCGCGGAACGTGAACCTGGTCCTTCCCGCGTGCGACCCGCGCGCCGATGCTGGGTTCCTGATCATGGAGAGCCAGGAATACGCCTACATGTCCGGCTCGAACACCATCTGCACGGCCACAGCGCTGCTGGAGACGGGCATGGTGAAGATGCAGGAGCCGACCACCGTGCTCCGGCTGGACACGGCCGCCGGCCTGGTCGCGGTCACGGCGGAGTGCGAGGCCGGGAAGTGCAAGAGCGTGGCCTTCGACAATGTTCCCGCCTTCGTGTTCCACCTCGATCTAGCGGTGGACGTGCCGGGCCTGGGCACAATCCTCTGCGACGTGGCATACGGAGGCATGATGTACGCCATCGTGGACATGGCCCAGACCGACCTCACCATGGATCCGGACGAGGGCCAGCGCATTGTGGAATACGGGGAGCGCATCAAGCGGGCCGTCCAGGCCGCCGTCCACCCGGTCCACCCGGACAACCCCGGCATTCACGGGGTGACCAACTTTATCTTCACGACTGCCCTGGTGGCGGGCGATGGGGCGGATGGCGGCAAGAAGGCCCAGAACGCGGTGGTGGTCTCGCCGGGTCGCTTGGACCGCAGCCCGTGCGGAACCGGGACGTGTGCGCGCATGGCGCAGTTGCATGCGAGACAGCAGCTGGCCGTGGGCGAGCCGTTTGTGCACACGAGTATCATCGGAACCGAGTATGTCGGCTCCATCACGGGCACCGTCAAGGTGGGCGAGTACGATGCCATCCTGCCTCGTGTTAAGGGCAGTGCCTGGATCACCAGCTTCCAGCAGGTGGTCCTCGACCCCACCGATCCTTTCCCACAGGGCTTTCGGGTGGGGGATGCCTGGCATGTATCCAAAGTGCCAGTGCCCGCCGGCGCTCCGGTGAATAGTATCTAGTTCGCAATGCTGGGTAACGCATCTGCTACCTAAGTAGTCTCCTGGAAGGAGATGATCACTACCGCAGATCGATCTCCTAGAGTAGGGGTGTTTGTTTTTTTTTTTTTTTTTTTTTTTTTTTTTTTTTTTGTGGGGTCAATTCTTTAATTGCTATCAGATCTTGCGATCAACTGAATTCAAAGAAAGACATTACAAGAGTCATGCGTGTTTTCATTGCTATTTTATAATCAACGTGATACAGCTGTAGCCTCAGGCATCAATTCATCCCGCCGCGGGCGGGGCGTTTTCCATCTCACCCTAACCCAAACAGGAAATCCAGATGTTCGACCAATCAGGCAATCACGCTGTGTTAGTGATCGACACAGGCTTGTCGTCGCCTAACTACTAAGTAACTACTGCGATATCCATGATCCACAACAGACGAGGCTGAGCTGGGGGCTTTTGTCGATCTCAGCTCGGTTACTGACTGATTGAATCCTTCCATCATGCCCTGCCCATTATGTCCTTTCTGACCACAGCCCACTATCGGGATATAAATATCCCCTCAAGTAATGTACCTAAGCAGCCCAGAACTTGAATCTTCTTCCTCCAAGCCTAGGGCCCTGCACACATCCCGGCCTACCTCCCTGTGCAGTACAGCATGGTCCAAGTACCATTTCTTTTGGTAGTCCAGGCCACGTCCGCCTTCTGGGCGCTGGACCTCCTGCCCCGCGCAGCCGCGACAACCACCGTCCACAACACCAGCTCCGTGGTGGAGTACAACTGTCACGCGGGACAGTCCTGCTGGCCATCCAACGAGGAATGGACGCAGTTCAACAAAAGCCTGTCGGGGAACCTCCACCGCACTGTCCCCTTCGCCGCCAGCTGCTTCTACAGTTCGCTCTCCTACAATCCGGCCGCCTGTGCGCTCGCGGAGAAGACCTACCTCCTTAACCAGCCCCGCACCGAGGTCTACGGGGCGGCTACGGGCCTCAACTGGGAGACGTGCGGGCTGCAGAGCTGCGCGCTGAACCCGCTCGACGGATACAGCGTGCAGTCGGACGAGTGTCGATTGGGCCGCCTGTCAGCGCTGTATGTCGACGCCCACTCGGCGCAGCAGGTGGCCACAGCGGTGCGGTTCGCGCGCAAGCACCGCCTACGCGTCAGCATCAAGAACACTGGCCACGACTACTTCGGGCGGTCGACGCGCCCGGACACCCTGGCCATCTGGACGCACCACCTGAAGAACATGACCTACCACGGCAACTTCACTGCCGCGAACTGTTCCGCCACTGCCTCCAATTACGAGCATATCGGGGAGATCGGCGCAGGCGCGCAGGCGTCCGACGTGTACGCGTACTTCCAGGGGCTCGGGATGGACGTGACGGGCGGCAATGAGGGCTCCGTCGGGTTGGCGGGCGGGTTCGGGCAAGGCGGCGGCCACGGGGTGTTCGGGCCGTCGCGCGGGCTGATGGTCGACAACGCGGTCGAGTTCGAGGTCGTCACCGCCGACGGCCACCTCCGCACGATTAACGCCTGCTCCGACCCGGATCTCTTCTGGGCGATGCGCGGCGGCGGCGGCGGCACGTTCGCCATTCTGACCAGCTACAAGTTCCAGCTCTACCCCGCCGTGAAGATCAATGTCTACTCCTTGAAGGCCAGCTTCAACACGAACACGACGACGGGGGAGGACCCGAAGTACCGCGCGCTGGAGTATATGCTCACGCAGCACGCCACGGCGCAGCCCCTCTGGTCCGCGCAGAACGTCTCGGGCCACGCATACTACTGGCCCAGCCAGGTCGAGCTGTACCTGGTGTTGCCCTCCAACAACGAGACGGCGCTGCCGGCGGTGACGCGGGATTTCGTGGCCGCCGTGCGGGCCCATCCCGAGCTGATCCAGGTCTCCGAGAGCAACTACACGACGTACGCGAAGTACACCGATTTTCTCACCCTGACCGAGGCGATCGCCACAGAGCTCACGCCGGGGGGCATCTACGAAGCCGTGGCCAGCCGGCTGATTCCCCGCGATCTCTTTGCGTCGCCGGGGAACGTCACCGATCTGGTGACCGCGGTGCTCGACGGGGTCCGTCGGAGTAATACCCTGATCTCTGAGGAGTACGCCCTGACGCAGGTCATCATGACCACGCCCGTGAACGTGCAGAACGGGAACACGACCAGCGTGCATCCCGCGTGGCGCTCGGCGCTGTGGCATGTGCTGATGACGGGGGGGTGGTTTGACGTGCGCTCTTTGGCGAACCAGACCGCGCTGCAGGAACGGTGGCTGGATACCGTGCAGCCGCTGAAGGATCTGACGCCGCGGGGTGGGTGCTACTTGAACGAGGGGTCGTATCTGGAGCCCGAATGGGAGGACACCTTTTTCGGAGTGAATTATCCGGCTCTGCTCGGGGTGAAAGCCAGGTATGATCCGACGCACTTCTTCGATTGTTGGAAGTGTGTGGGGTGGGAGGGTGCCAAGTAAGTTTTCCCTATGATTGTGCAGTTGTGGGATATAGGCTGACGTTGGCGGCTATAGGGGATACCAATGTTACGATTAGTTGATTGTCTTGGGGGGGCAATCGCGGCCGGGCTATACGTCACAGATAATGAGGTTCTGTCTCATTCCTTTGGGTCCAGCTTCTTTGACTCTACTACTGGTCTGAACCGCTCTGTACATGATATCTCATCTATGCTCCGATGTACTTCTAATCCTGTTGTAGCTCTTCGAGCTACGTCTTGTCTATAATCTTGGGGATAGCCCGATTCTAGTAGCTAGTTAAGAATCAAAAGAATTAATATCACAAACCTGCAAACCTGAACAGCTATTCCTAGCACCACAGCCAGCCCGCAACTTGACAAGCTTTTAGTTTATGTTTTCTCTTCTCCCATAAACAAAAATCTTATTACCGACATGTTTGAAAAAGGATTGATTTGAAAGTTTTTCTAAGCTAATTTGCAAAATATTTTCGCTCTCGTTATTTGCCTAGTGCCTCTGGTACAATCACGAAACTCGAATCGCATAATTGTGATTCCAGATCCCAGGGTCTGGATATCGTCAGTATGGTCTAAACGCGCCCTACTGGATATCATCGCAACCGAAGTGTCAAACACGATGAGGCTGCCTTAAAACAATTGAACAAGCGTGGCTGCATATGGCCAGCGCTTACACTACTTACCGCGCACCTACACGTCTTGAGCGTCCTCCGATCTCCTTTCTCAATTCTATGTACCCTGGTTTATGGGTTTGTCGCCTTGTGGGCTAGAAGTGTTATTGCAGATGACCCGGCACAGCCGCAGAGAAGAGACCGTGTTCGAAATCTAGTAGTTTGGATCAAACTGGCCCCTCGACAACTAGATCTCGATAGGTCCGAGGCTGAGTATAAATCCAAGATAGTTTCACTATGAGTAATCCAATAGCACTGTCATTGTAAGCGCCCGCCAGGGCGAGCTGAACGTTCAGCTGAGGTGACAGAGCCCTGGAGGTCCAGAGAAAGCGGCAATCCGAGCCGAGAGGATTTCCTCCCCCTCACAATAGAGCAAGACCCGCTCAGCTGATGAGCATCGCAGGATATACTTAGGAGCTGAAAAGAGGTATAAAGGAGGTGGTTGCAGGCAACTGCCATCCGATGTCTCGAAAACATCCTGCAGTACATGTCCGGCAAACATAGCTACCTTTTTACCGCTAACGTACGGCAGTATGGGCCGCAATCATCATTTGTTGGACAGCTTTGCTTCTATTTCGAGGATCATGCTTCTTTTACCTCTTCTACTAGTTTCTGTGACTGGTATGTCGGATCCTCCCTCTTCTGCGACTACAAGCCCGTTGCTAAGTACGGCAACAGCAGGCTCCCTCTCCGCCGCACACCCCCACCCCACCGACTATGTCAACGTAACAAGCACGACCTACTACACTCAGATCGCGATCAAAAACTCGCTTCCAGTACCCCTAAAGCACATCCGATTCGCCCACATCAGCAAGCAGGAGCTGAACGTCCAGGCCTGGGATAACGTGCCGAGCGGCCAGACCCTCCCCGCCGTCTGGATCAAATATGCGACAGGTAAGTTGAAGTGGTAGCGAACCACCGTTTCTCCAAAAAAAAAAAAAAGGCACCCTAGAAATGCTGACCGTCTCAGGTATATTCACTGGCAGCGACACCTGGAACCTGGATATCACCTTCGAAGACGGTGAGACCTTCTACATCGACCGCGACAGCACCTGCAACCTGCAGGAGTCCGACAGCGGGCAAGTGTACACGTGGACCATCGAGGGATCAACGTTCCATATGCCGATGAACAGTGTATGTATGCCCTAACAGTTTTTGACATGGCATCGGTGTTTGACGGAAGAGAAATAGGACGGCATGAACACGCAGATCCACAACAACGACGACGAGGATGAGTTCAATACCTACGCGTTCGCACGGGTAGGAATACCCCGCTGCTCTGCTCTCCCCTCCGTGTGCTTGGTGTGGTAGATCCCACTCACTGACGACGTTAAAGATCAAAAACGAGTTCGACCAGACGTTCGAATGGTCTCAACTCGCGCATACGCACGAAGGGACGGGCGAGAGGCGGAGCGCGTGGACGATCTCGATCCCTCCCCAGGGTTTCTCGCCGGTAGTGCCGGTGTACTTCACCACGGGGTTTGGAAACACGGATACGGATTTCTGGGCGGTGCGCGCGAAGTACAGTGCCGATGGCGGGGCGCACTACCTCCTGCGACAGGCGGATGAGAACTACAAGTGCATGCTGAAGTCCGGGGATGCGGGGCAGTTATTTCATGTGGGCATTCGGGGCCAGCATTCGAGGAGTGGGGATTTTATTTTGGATATTCCGAGCGGGTCGTGTACGGTTGGACTGGTGCAGTCGAAGGAGGGGACTACTGGGGGTGTTAATGTTGAGTTGTAGGGGGTGCTGGGAATAGCTTCAGCTTACTGCCTCGGCTACTGTGTAGATCGTCGACGAGTCGTGGATTGCCAAATGCGGTTTGGCGCCATCTTTGCAAGCCGAGAATTTCTTGCGTCTTTTTGCTCACGCGCCCCGCGTATTTCCAATGCGGCCTCCTGGTGGACCATGGCCCTGGGGAACAATGAGGTGAAGATAGCTGACCCGTGTCATTGTGGTCCCACCGAATCTCATATGATTGAATTCAGAACTCCATCTCACTATCGATTATGTAAAAGTTTCCCCCATCCCCGGCCATGTTCATCCCTTACAATCCGCGCTCCTCCACACAAGCCAAGCACAACCGCCGGAAGATAAACACATACGTGGCCGCAGTAGCGGCCGCAAATTCCAGCGTTAAGCGGTGCTCACGGTCCCACAAGACGGCTACGACTGGCCCTGCAATCGAAAAGATAGAGAACTTCACTCAAGCCCTCCATTGGTTCCCTAATTTTAGTGACCCCACGGGGGAACCTCCCCCTGCACGTCAGGCAGACGAACAGGGATCAGCATGCGGGAAGTCCGAGGACCCTGGCGCCGGCCAGCCTCCGGCGCGTGCTTTTGCTGCAGGGAGGTTCTACCCCATCGAGGGTTCAGGCCCTAACTCTCGCGGACCGCTGGCACTGCAGGCTCTTGCCCACTGTGAGTAAAGCTTACGCGACCCGTATTTGTTCGTCTTTGATCGCAAATCTCGCTTTAAGCACGCACTGACATAGCCCCGTTCGGATACCCCTGCTGCAGTGTACGATGTCCTCCTCCCGTACGATGCGAAAGTGGTGGGCCTGGGGAAGTCAGAAACAGACAGCTATGCGAGGGATCTCCTCGCATGGACCTTCGACCACGAGGAGGTTTTTCATAGCCAGGCAGCCTTCAGCCTGTGTATCATGTACCGAATCGACGGCAGTAGGGGAGTTCACCAGGCCATCCTGTGGCATCGGCAGCATTTACTAAGGGCCGTGCGCCAACGACTATCTGCTCAGCGAGTGGACGACGTGCTGCTGCACAGTCTCTGCACGATGATCTCCGTCGATGAGTGGCTGGGCTTCCACGAGTCTCGCGCCGTCCACCTAAAAGGACTACAAAATATCATGCGCGTTCGTGAATCCAGCAACAATGCGTTGCAGCTCACACTTCCAGGGCCCAGTGTCGCTCCCGGTATGTTGCCAAAGCATTCTCCCTTGGGCAAGGTGGTCCTCGTCAACAGGATCATGGTAGAGTTTCATCTGAAAATGAACCTCGGCTTCTCGCAGGAAGTGGCTCCACTGTCAACATCATCGTCCAGTAGACCCCCTCTGCAGCTTCTGAGCCCAGGCCCCGCCACAGATCTCGCTGGCGTGGAGGACCTCCTACCGCCCGGCTTCCAAGATCTCGCTCGATCGGGCAGATTGACTCCCGCCCTGGTCGACCTCCTTTCGGACTTCTCGTTCTGGTTCTACAGCGGGATGGGCACAGACGCCACCACCCGCGAGACCTGGCGCTGTCTAACCTTCACCCCCAGCAACAGCCTGGAAAAGTGCATTGACATCGCTCTGGTCTCGCTCGCCGACGATCTCAGCGCGCTGGGCTCCCATCCGTGCGCTGTCATCTTCCGACAGGCCGAGCAGCGCGCGCGCCTCCTCCGTTCGCTCTCATCTTTATTCGATGAGCACTGGTTTCGGGAACTTGGGATCTGGATTATTACGATCATTGCAACACCAGCAAGAACGTCGCGTCTGCCCTGGCTGGTCAAGATGGAGGTGTTGGGGATGGTGATGTTGGTCCCGCCGTCCTCACAGAGTGGTGGCTCCTACTATCGATCTGTTGACCAAATTGAGGGGGTCCTCCGACGGTTCTTCTTCGACGAGAGTCGTGCGGACGATTGGCGAAGGGCTTGGAAGGAGTATCTTGAGCTTGGAGTGGGGGATCCTAATGCACTAATAGAATAGACCTCCCATGCTTCAACGTTTTTCCCGAATTAATTGTAATCGCAACATGGCCCATGGCTCGTCACTCCTCTCTCCCCAGGATAATGTTCCAAATATCCTCGCAAAATGAGGCACTCAATACGGCAATATGCGAATCACTATACGGCAGCATCTGCGCCGCAAACAGCGGGGCAACCCCCGCGCGGGCACGATTTGCCCATTCGACTCACATTCGCAATATGAAATTGGAACGGTCTGGAAAGCCATCTAGGACGGGTAATGAATCCGGAAGTAACATCAACTGCGAGTGTAGGATGGGTTCGTATCCGATTTGTAATCACAATCTACCACGGAAGACTATCACAGCCACTGAGTGAATAAGAGATGTCCTGGTAGATTCACACGCAGAGGTAGTAAATATATTTTTGTTCCGCAAATGCGCTGCTGAAAACGATAAAAATATCACATGGTCAAAGTCTCGAAGATTCCCAAGAAGAAATGTGTTCCGGATTTTGTAATAACAAAGTACCCTGGCGCGGGCAAGCGGGGAGGTTGTAAATCGGTAAGCGTTAGAATTGCTTATGCTGGGATAAATAGTACTTTTCATTCATAAGTTTGGCAGCGCCCCCCTTATCAAGCGGCAACCGCTGCGGTGAGGACACAACAGAAGAAGCTCTCCTTGCCAAATAGCCGCAATAGCCTTCCATCGTCCTCGAGTACAATTGATAGTTTTAAGAATCTCGACAAATGCATTGCTTCCCTTGGAAGTACTAAGTATCTCCTGTTTCCCACACAGACCTGTGTACCATTTATTTATCAACCACAGTAGATAGACGCAGAAGCAGACTGAAATAAGAATCCTTCGATTGACGCACGCAGCAGATCTTGCCACATAACGCTTGTCCCTTGCCAACATCTCACCCAGCATCCTCTCCAAACCACTCACAATTCCATCCACTCCCAAAGTCCAAACGAACTTAACCCTGACGAAAGACCGAGACAAATCACTGGTTCTGCATCCCATCCACCAGTAGATACGGGGCGTTGTACGCGTGCTCGCACGAGCTGGTCCACTGGGTGCTGCTGGACTTGGTGGCGGCCCACAGCAGGGCGCAGCCGCTGGAACAGCTGCTGTCCGGGCAAGCGTAGATGGGCGGCACATAGTCCTGGCCGCTAAGGTTGGACCAGCCGATGTCGACGTCGTACTCGTCCTCGCCCACGGCCAGGCACTGCGCCGTCGTCAGCACCTCCATCGTCTGCGACCCGTCCACCTCCAGGTAGTGGTAGTCCGAGGAGCCGAAGCTGTGGTCGCAGTCGTCGCCGGCGGTGGAGATGATGACGCTGAACTCGATGGCTAGGGCGCTGGTCGCCAGGAGGCCGAGCGTGCTGAGGAGGAGGGTTTGCGGGAGCATGGTTGCTGGGTTTTGGTTTTGGGTTGGTTTTCGTGGGTTGGGGTGTGGTGGATGAGTTCTGGGAAAGATATCAGAGGCCGAGTGAGAAAGAGAACTCGGGTTTGCGTTCTTGGAGGATGGGTTGGATGGATGATCAAGAAGCTGATGAGCTGGGAATGAGCAAGCTTTTTATAGAGCGCCTGCAGTGCAGAGTTCTACTCATTTCTTCAGTCCTATCCCTCTTATCGGGTATGATTCAAGCTTCGACCGTGCTTGCGCCGATCATCACTTCAACAATCATCCTGGGCTTCACCGGATTAGGAAGAAAACTCGGGTGAGAGGTCACTATCGTCATATTGTCGTTGAAATTCAAGCTTTTGCGCCCTGCAGGAATATTTAGTTTGGGGGCGGAGGAATTAGTCTGGTTTGATGAGGCTGCGGAAGCGGGTCCTCCAGGGTCCACCGACCCCTTGGTTGGAGTTCATTCGCAGCTTTGTCCAGGAGGATGAATGAATAAATGAATGAATGTCAGGCCACGGATATTTCACCTTACATGGTGCTCTTGCGATACGTAGTAGTCATCAAATTGGTAGTTACCTGTGACTCCTAAGCCTCAGCAATCAATGCCGTCTCCATCTGTCGGTTGTGTAAATACTATATGAGTAGATGAGTTTTGCAAAAAGTAGATTAAGAAAGTTAGCCTTTTTGATGAAAGGTCTACTAGTAGAGGAGTAGTGGTTGACAATAAATTTCTTAGATACCAAACTGGTCATGGTCAGTCCCCAGTAGAAGGCTTGCAGAGGATATGATTGCGCTCGACAGTTGTTTCTTGAATAGTACGAATGACCATAGCTACTAACCTAGTAGCCTATCGCGGACTCGCCCGAGTCTTTTCCTAAGGATTTTATAAGTGGGGAAAATTCCATACTCGTCGCATTTCTGACCCAGGCGTAGAAGTAAAGGAACACTAGGAGACATACTTGGGCATTCCCTGACTTAGGTGGCACTGATCAATCATTTCCCGATATTAACCGAACGTCCCCTCTCCCCCCGCCACTGCTTTGACAACCGCTAGAAAGGCGAGGAATCTATGAAAGGAGTATACTGCCGCGGGCAGGTAGTGTTCGACACTGGAACGATGCCTTGGAAGTATGCCTGAATCTTCTCAAAGTAACAGTCTGACGCCCCCTGGTCGATGACCGTATGCTAAAGCCAATGAAAACATCTCGCGAGTAAGCCTGGACTCTTGCTCGAGATGGGTGTAGGAATTCAGAATGGACGAACAACTTACACCAATAGCTTCTTGCATGAGAAGTACCGATCCGGCAAACCGAGAGGACATTTTGCGCGCCCTACGACGAGATAATGTCAGTTGGTACCATGGATAGCCAATGGCGGCCAATGGGAAGCGATTTGACCGGGACGTACGAGATTAGCGGCGTGATAGGGTCGATGGTGTTACTCGCAAAGAGGATCGGGAAGGACGTAGGCGTCTTTATTGCGCTGATATCACCTACATCACAACCTGGTTAGACTTGGATTTCAGTGCAGATGGCCACCCATTGGGTCGAAGGTGAATTCTATAGAATACTATAAAGGCAAGATAGAGAGAGAGAGAGAGAGCAAAAGAGCGTTGCATACCTTGAACTACCATGCTATCAGGCAACTGCGGTCGGAATGATCGGCATAAGATACCTTCCAGATAGATTGGGTAGATATCGCCGATGTACTTGCTCTTGGATATCGTGTACTCCGCCCAAGTCCCGAACTCTTCAATGGTAGTAAGCTTGTTTTTCCGATACGAATCGGTGCATGTAATGGCAAGACGGGCATCCGTTATCGAATTTGACTGGTCATACAAGCCCGCAAGAGCAGAAAAGTTCCCCTGCTCGGCTTGGTGTAGGATGTCCGCCATGCTGGGAAAGCTTGCGAGCGGGGTGTAAATTGTGTTGAGAAAAAGAGTCTTTAGGTCTGGATAAGTGACCATTGTTGGCAGCAAGTCTGGATTGCCAACGCGGCTCAGCGGGACTGGATGGTTCTGAAGTTGACGGATGATGCCATCCATTCTTTCCGTGATGTTGGCCGGCGTGGGACCCCAAAATGAGCACTTTGCAGGCCCTGCAGAATGGCAGAAGGTCGAGAATGTTTCCATGGCCTCGTCCATTTGATCGACATTGTCTGTCCAATAGTTGTTGTAGTATTGCTCTGCGTTTAGAACACCGTCCAGGACCATCCTTCCAACGCGGTCAGGAAACATAGAAGCGAAAGTGCTCCCGATGACCGTGCCGTAACTGAGGCTATAACACCACAATTTGGCGGCTGACGGTGATTGATCGGCCATTTGGGCCTCAGCTTCGGTAAAGGTAAGCAAATCATGTGCAACGGCGGGCGTGGTCACATAGTACGAATGGGGCGACTTGTTCTCCATGGCATTGTTGCACCAGTCTCCATAGATAGAGCTTGAATAGTACTGTTCCTCAAGCGATGTCGACGAAATATTAGTAGCGCCTGTTCTGTGTAGTCGATAGAAAGTCGATCTGGCTTCTGTGTCCTTTGAGAAACAGTCTAAATGCAAGCCACTGTTGTTCACGCCGCGAGGGTCAAAGGAGACGAAGTTGTATTGCTCTCCAAACATTTGTCCGACGATAGTCTGGTATGTGAGGAGGAGGTCAACACCAGAACCACCCGGGCCGCCTGGCGATGTGTCAGTCATGTCCAATAAAGTAAGACAATGTTGCTATGATTGACTAAATGAGTCGTACCAGGGATGAGTACAATGCTCGGAGACTTGACGGTCGCATTTTTGCCAGCCAGCTTGATGAAGGCAATCGACGTTGTACCAAGACTTCTGTTCGCATAATCCACTGGAACTTCCAGTCTTGAACAACCAAAGGCATCAAAACATGGAGTCCATGTGAGATTGGCTGATGGCTCAATCTAGATGGCTGGTTAGAACCCTGAGACCCTTGGACAATTATGGTACGGTAGAACCTCGGGCTCACGTTATCAAATCCATAGACCATGGGCCGATCATGTAAACTGTGGGCTTTCAATCCCAAGCTCATGAAAAGGATGAGCGCATTAGCAAGTATGTTCATGTTTAATCCCGAGGGTTTTTATTGATCTTTGTGTTGGCTTCATTGCAAATATCAAAACAGTTGCGATGCTTCGGAACTATTTATACTATTTATAATTCCCTAGATCGTAACATCGACTCTGACGATTTGAATAGGCAGCTGTATTCTTCCTGTCATGTTTAAACATCTCTTTCACTTTCTTTTCCGCTTGTACGAACAAGCCTATCAATCATTTTGTTCATCTCCAGCAAGTATGACCACGATTTGATTGAGATTCATGCTCTTGCCGGTAGGTTTACACTGATAGAATAATTGATTAGGCTCAGCTCAGCCTCCCTGACGACCCACCTGTACGAGCTAGCCAATCAATCACATTGCAATCTGTGCTACTAGCCCATAAAAAGTAAGGTGAGATTTATTAGATTGAGGGAATATTATACTTCTTGAACATTAGGTACATCCTATAAGTTAGTACCTAGCCTTGTCATAATGTCCCAAGTAGCCAATCATAACTTAACATGAAAGCCACCACCTAGTCACTGGACCCTAAGCTCTCTACTTAAGCAATCCTCCCTCGTTGAAAATTCCCCATTGAAGTACCTCCGCTTGTACGAACAAACCCATTAAGTGCGGTTTTCTTCCAGCTTCGGCTGTTTGTATTAGGTACCGTCCACCTTTTCTCACCCCGCCTCCCACCGCAAGGGATGTGGCGAGACGTCGCCCCGCAAGCCTTCCTTTCCAAGTCAATGCATGCGCGTGGAGGCCTCAGAATTGACCTCCGCCTGTAATAGTGCGCATTTGCATATTTTGTCTGCCTTAGAAGACCATGGTGAATGAGATGCAGAACAAGAAGCCAAGAATGAGCAATCAATCCTGGAGAAAGAAGCCTCGCAAGTTCGCTCCGAAGTCCAAACTAGGATGTAAGACGTGCAAGTATGTCTTTACCTTCACGTATTGCAACAGGGAGATCAATTAAAGACAACGAATCTGACATGCCTTAGAATAAGACGAATTAAATGCGATTTAGCTCGACCCTCGTGCGTGAAATGCTTTTCAACCGGTCGCACTTGCGATGGCTATAGTGAAATGCTCTTCACTTTCAAGATCGAGAAGACCGAGAAGGAATCAACTCATCATCACAGAGAGATCGTCGACAGAGCAGATACCTGCAACAGTTACCACCCCCGTACCGCGATCAGCATGTACGAGTCCGCGCCATGGCGCTCGAATTACCATGCTCTCAATTTGCATAATCTCGGATCTTTTATGACCTTGCCAGCGAGTGGGTCAAATGAGGGAGAGGTAATGTGCTTTTTCAGGGATGTTTCAATCAAGCATCTGAATGAATACCGCCCTTGCGAATCATGGCGAAATGCTCTCATGTTCTTCGCCCAGACAGTGCCATCAGTGCGGCATGCTGTCATCGGTCTGGCCTTGGTTCACCAGAAGTATTACCTGAATTGTCACTCGAACGATCAATTCCAGTATCAACCACATTACTTGAAAGACCGACTATCGGATCAAGCCCCTTTGCTTCACTATAACCGCGCCATCCAACTTCTGTTGAACCCGGAGAAGCGTGACAGCGCCGAAACCACAGCGATCACACTGTTGATCTGTTACCTCTTCACCTGTTTCGATCATCTGGCGGGCGACAACGTCCAAGCCGTGAAGCACCTGCGCGGAGGTGTGGCGCTCTCCCGCAGCATCATCAACAACCCTACTTCGAACCGCTATACCGATGACGATGCCCCACCCTCAGGAATTCACGCGGTTATTAACCAGGTCACACAACATATCCGCCGCCTAGACATGCAGGCCGTGATGTTCCTGGTCGACTGGACTCCCGCAGACCTACAGGAGACACTCACGATGTCCCGTCTTGCCGCCTTCGACAACAGTCCCTTCCGGTCCCTCGACCAAGCCGCCGACTACCTCCAGATCACCGTCACTCAGGTAATGCGTCTTCGCAACACCGGTAACCAAATTTCACCGACGGGTACGATGCCGCCGTTGCCTTCTTCCCTCAACCACACCGTCCGCGGGCAGCTGGAAACGTGGTTGCGTCGCTTCGAAGCCCTCCTCCTGCTGTCAGGCAGCAGCAGCCCCTCCGCATCATCAGACTCTACAACCAACCCGCTCATATCCCTCCTCCGCTTGCAACATACGATTGCATCGGTCCTTCTCGAGGGATACGGACCCGGCCGAGAAATGGACTATGATAAGTTCCTGCCCCAGTTTTGGCAATGCGTCGCACTGGCGAGCGAGGTCGCGGCGGCGCATCATCGGTATGCGGGATCGTCGTCACGCGCGACATTCACGCCTGAGATCGGATTCATCCCCGTTCTTTACATCGTCGGAGTCAAGTGCCGGCATCCGGTCGTCCGTCGTCAAGTCCTCGATATTTTGCGCCGGCAACCGATGCGGGAAGCGGCGTGGGATAGCATCTTGACTGCTCGGGTCGTGGGACGTGTCATCGAGATTGAAGAGGGTGGTGATGATGCGGCTGGGCAAGAGCCGATGGTATCAAAATGTATGGAAGAGATTCCCATATGGCAGAGGATTGAGGCATTGTCGTATACGTATATCCCGGGAGAAAGGGGGTCTGCGGCTAGGTTGGAGATTGAGTATACATTCTGCGCCCGGGAGGGAGTACACATCGAGTCACTCATATTATAATGAAGAGGGTCATTCAGTGTCAAAGGAGCTTTGCTTTGGAAGGTGCACATCTCGTCGTAGTCGTTGTTCACGCTGGTGTAGTTGGTGTAGGCCGTGCCCAGCATGTCGATCAGCACCTGCAGAGTATAGACGCCGACGCAGTCGGTGCGCAGCGAGCCGGCCTGGGCGGAGAGATGCGAAGGTCAGCGAGTACTCGCAGACCGTGAAGTCCAATTCCAGTCCGCTGGAGAGCTCATTGCCCGTCCCGTTGTTGGAATAGGTCTCGTTCAAATCCACCGCCCAGTGGGAGGTGCCGCCGAAGTTGAGCCCGTCGGTCCAGCTCTGCCGCGCGGCGTAGCTGGAGAGGCTGAGCCACGACATCCAGTTGGTCTCGTTGTAGATCAACACGTCCCCTTCGTCGTGATACTGGGTGATGCTGATGTTGCCGTACAGGTCGGGGTTTTCTGCTTGCACCAGGATCTCGTAGATCTCGTAATTGGCTAGGTATCCGGGTCTAGAGAGGTTAGGGGATCAGCTTGGCTGGCTGTTTCCTGGAAAGAAGTCAAAAAGACGAGGAGAAATCAAGAAACATACGTCTGAGTGCATTCTCCCGCGTCAGCGCCAGAGTCGGGACCGGTGAAGAGACATTCAGGCTCCGTGCAGTTTGCCTCGGCCATCTTGAAACTGCGTCCGTACATGGCTAATCCAGCAACCACTTGCTTCGCTGGCACACCTGCCTTGGTGATCATTGACAGTGCATACTCAGTCTCTGTCTTGTTGACCTGACTGCGCAGACACCCGCCGTTCGGACATCCCGGGCTTGGAAGCCGCCGTCAGCACACACGTTCCGAGCAAAATAACAAGGGGGATAGTTAGTCACTGACTCAGCATAGGTCCTGTTATAGTCCCACTGGCCGTGGAGGTCGTAGGTCATATATACGATGTAATCCTACCAAAAACAGTTAGCAAGGGGTGCTTATAGCCAGCGCGCGAAAAAAGGGGGAGGGTTGAAAGATGAATTGACCACTACGTCGGCCATTTCTTTAATTGGAAATGCCCGGAGATACCAGTATAAAGCCGGAGCGGCGATAGAAACTGATTACTCGAGGGCAGGAGGTCGCGGACAATCTTGAGGAATTCGAGGTAGTTTTGAGGCGATTCGACGGAGTCAGCAGGAACCCCAGGGATATCCTGAGCCTGTTTGGAAGACCGTCAGTGTTAAGCCTCTCGACGATGATCTGAAGCAATTGATTGCTTAAAGCTGGCGCAGTGCCACTTACTCCGGGATACTCCCAGTCAAATTCCACACCATCAAGGTTATTATCCACGATAAAGTCCACCACATTTTGGGCAAACGTCCTACCCTTCGGTGTCAGCATTTGACCTTCAGTTACAACACCCTCTCACCCAGGGGTTGAACGGGCTGCACTTACTGCTGATTGGCAGTCTGGACCCCAGTCCGAAAGATACTGTACGTGTAGCTCGTCGTGGAGAACCCCCAACCACCGAAGCTGAGAATGCGCGAGATGCCCGTCAGGTTCAGCAGGCCGTCAAACTGACCCTGATAGCCGCTGACGTCGACCGCCCAGTCGGTAGTCACATTCGCAAACGCCCAGTGAACGTGCATATAGCAGTCGCTGCCTTGGAACTTAGAGATGTCCATGTGCAGACAGGCTCGATCGGAGTTCCAGGCTTTGAAGTACCCGATGCGTCGGACCTAGCTCGGCTTGTCCTCGTTGTTGGTGATGTTCGTCCCGCAGTTTGAGATACATCCGTTCGTGCCGTTCTTTGCCGTACCGGGTGCTCTAGGAGCATAATTTATCATATTAGAAAAGAGCCCGGTCCTCATTTGTGGAGCAGCAGCACACTTACCCGGTGTCGGCAGTATCGTCGGTGCAGAGCTCGTCCGTGATTCCGCATTGGCCCCATACGTCGCAACACGCGTTCAGGGGACACGGGTTCAGGTTGGTCCAATTGCTCGCCGTCATGCTGGTGGGTTGGAGAGTGCCAGGAACCTAAGAGTGTTCGTTTATTTGAGTATTGAGGCTTGCGACCGGAATATCTGGAGATAAGGAAAGGGCATACCTGGGGTCCGCACACAGCATTGTCCATGAAAGCCGGGAAAGGAGGCGTACCCTCACTTAGACAAATATGTTGCCTGATCTGAAGACGCTGACATCCGGCCCAGCCCCACGTTTCTTTATTTTAGCTGGTGATCTTGGTTGCGTTCATCCGGTTGGCTTTGGCAATGTCGGTGCAATCGTCGCCCGAGCTGATGGTATAGGTGTAGCAGGTGCCATTGGCATAGGGCTTTGGAGAGAAGTCGAGAGGGATCCGGAGGAGCAGCAGACATACTGACCAGGTTGAAGGGCATTGCTGTTGCAGAGAGCCGTTGTTAGAGCATTGTAGCTCTCGAACTCGGCCTGTGTGATGCCGCATCGTTGCGACAGACTTCAACACCCGCCACCGGAGTCGACCTCGATGTAACTGCAGGTGTCATTGCCCAGCACTCACTCCCGTAAGGAGGGAAGAGAAGACAACCAGGGAAGAAAAGTTTTAGAAACGAATGGACATGGTTGGGATTTCTGGGATAGTAGTAGCAGTTGGTCAAGATGCATGAAGGAGAGGTAGACAACCCGTTACAACGTTTTGCTCATGCCTAGCACTCGAAAAGAGGTGTCTGTCCTGAGATTTTCATCATAGTTCGGATGCTCAAAACGAGGTGTATAAACGAGGTGTACAATAGAGTAGAGACTATACAGTAGTTCGGGTTAGTCTGCCGGGGCCCCTACTACGGAAGGCTTAGCGTGCGGACAAGGCCACAACAAGAAAGACCTCATCCACCCTGATCGGCCCTTTTCCCCTACGCAACCAACCATGAACCTAACTCCAACAAAATAATCAGAGAATACCTGGTTCCGAGAACAATCATGCTCACAACCTTCGAATCTTTTCCCCGGCTACCGGCCGAAATCCGCCTGATGATCTGGCGACTATGCCTCCCCTCCCGCATCCACGAACTCGACTACCCCTTCAACCTGATATTGTACTCACGAGACTGGGCACCCTGCGAGTTCCAAGACGGGGCGTGGATTAACGGCTTCCCCCCGCTTATCAGCGCCGTCTGCCGGGAGTCGCGCGCGGTCGTGCTCGAGAATGGCCGCTTCCCGGACGGGGAAGAAGGGCCCGGATGGTGGGCCAGCACCTCGTACGTGAGGTCGTGGCTGGATCCCGTCCGGGACCGCGTGCACCTGAATTGGACCCCGGCTTATGAGGCGGAGTTCTGCAACAACTCCGATGAGGGCTCGCCTCTGGAGCACCTCGCCTGGCGGGCGGCTCAGCTCACTTCCATTCCTCCAGAGGCCGGCTACGCGTCATTTATGGAGGACTGGCTCTACGTCTCCGATGATGCCACTCCGCCTCCGGTGCTGCGGGGCATCCTCTCGCGGTTTGCCTGCTGGCGGGTCATTGTGCGGGTGATGGTCATTCATGCGGACCGGCGGACTGGGGCTGAGTCCGGCCTGTTCGGGCTACTCGGTGATGCCCCCGTGCAGATCGTTGATGTGAGTGACCATGACCGGGTTGAGGCGTATTGGCGGCTGGCGGAGACGCAAAGGCAGCATGATCCGCACGAGCAGGATTTCGAGAGGGTCGAGGCTGAGGCTGTCGATCGGGAGGTGCAGGCGCAGGCGAAAAAGATGTTCGGGTGTGAGGCGGTCCCGTTCGTGCTGAAACCTGCCATCATGTTTCGGTGGTGCACGCAGATCCAGGGGCATTGGGGACAATTGTCGGACGGAGAGCCTGTTAAACCCCGGCGAGGGGCCGCCCTAAGAGGCCGGGGACGAGGGAGGGGGAGCGGAAGGGCGCGGAAGGGGGAGTTGGAGAGGACGTGGGGCGGAGATCGTGTGGCGGGGTTTCCCTCGATGGCCCTGAATCTGTATCTTTATGCTTTCATATCTTGTCATTGCGGCGTTCAACGAGGCGATGGGGAGGGGCGGGGTGGGGCGGAGAGGAGCTACTGCGTCTGTAGGAGCTCGCCTATGGTCATGCAACTGTGGAAATCTCTAATAGTTCTGTCGTAATCCCACCAACATGTGTACTATTTTCTTTCCCCTTCTCGGTACGTTTGAGTGGTCCTTAGATCAGGCTCTTTTCTATACAAGCTGATTGAATCAGGCGATGTCTCTTGTTTGAGTCGAAATGAAGAAGAGTGGAGAGCGGGAGATCTTAAGCTTAGAGGTTCGTGCTTCTTTACTTGTGATCGTGCTTGTGGGTGCTCGCGAGCGGTGGGAGACTTGGTCGTGGATCAATGGGAACGGCCTTCGAACCATGTAGTATGACAGCACCATCACCGTCTAATCAACCTGCAATCTTTCCCAATTGCCCCATTGTATACGATGTCCAATGTGTTGACCTATGAGAACACCGGTGATCGAATGCTTGATCTTCTTGTCGCGCAGTTGAATACGCGCTTTGCCGAGCAGAACCGAACATTCGACTTGGGCTCGTGGCTGCAATTGTTCGCTATTGAGAGTATGGCTTTCATGACCTTTCCCAGGCGGTATGGTTTTCTGGAGAAAAGAAAAGATGAAACGGGGCTTCTATATACTATCAGAACTCTCTTGAAAAAGGCATCTCCTGTGAGTTGTTTCCGCACATCCCTTATGTGGCAACGCAAACTTGGTGACTAACATGCTAGTGCTGGCACCAGATCACACAAATGCCCTGGGCGGACTTTCTGTGGAATAAGAATCCCATCGTGGCTTATCTCATGCTTACCACTGCACAGCCCATTATGGATGCGAATATGACCAGAATCCACCAACGTTAGCAGGAGGTCGAAAAGGGCGGAATGGAGGGCCAGCTGGAGACCTCCAAGGACTTCCTCTTTCAGTTCAAGGAAGTCCGCAAACGGTATGCGGATACAGTAGGCCCAGGGTAAGAGACCCAGTGCTCAGTAACTGGAAAACCTCCAATCCAGGGCCGTGACTGATTCCGATACGACGGCGGTGGCCACGAGGACACTCTGGTACAACCTACTCACACACGCAGCTCGATGACTAGTCCAGGCTGATCTCAAATCCCAAGAAGACGCTGGCAGATTGTCACAGGCACATCCTCAGTGGAGCGTTATTGACAACCTTCCTTAACCTGGATGCTTGTAAGGAAGCCTTGCGCTTGCACCCCCCCCTTCTGTCTGCCGTTCAAGCGGATCGTTCCTTCGACGGGCATGACTGTCTCGGGTCACTATCTCCCTCCCAAAACAACTGTTGGTATGAACCTATGGGTGATCAATCGGAATAGGAAGGTGTTCGGTGAGGATGTCGACACGTGATGGCCGGAACGGTGGCTGTCTGGCGATCGCAGCCATGCAGCCATGGAGAAGACTATGCTCAGCGTAAGCATTACTTCCCACGAAAGACGATATGTTGACTTAGGTATGATCCAGTTCGGCGCAGGAAGACGTGTCTGCCTGGGTAAGTATATAGCCATCTCTGAGATCGAAAAGTTGACTGCGACACTACTAGTCAAGTACCATGTAAGCTTGGGTGTTGCCGTGCATAGATGTTGATCTGACCTTGGAAGTAGATCAGAATCCAGCACCCGGAGCGTTTCATGACAGAAAACTATTTCTTCTTTCACCAGGCCGGTCTGATGGCGGAGATTGAGAAGCGGGCTTAGTCTCACTTTGTTGACAATCGGACAAATCAGGCCCCAAGCTGCATTTAAGCCCTCATCGGAATGCCGCGAAGAATCAAGTCCGACTCGTGAGTGTCTCCAGAGTGAGTGAACGAGAGTAGAGCTGTGTTAAAATCGTGCGACAAGGAAGACTAAGCGCGAGTGCGAATGAGTATAGAATAGTCAAGGGTAAGTTTTGTTCTTAATCGCGCGATACCAGGTGATACAGAGAACTTACAGGGTGATTCCGCTGCTGTCGCATGTTGTATAATACGTGCTGCCAGCCATACCCAGCCTTTCCTTTACGCCTGTGATTCGATGGCCTTTCGATTTGAGTACTGATACTTGTCACCTCTTAAAGGCTATCTATTTAGCTCCTTTCTAGGGATAATTTGTAGAGAAATTTTCTGCTTTGCGAAACCCAGCCAAGTATCAATTTGATTCAGCCACAATGGTAAAAAGAAAAGGACAACCACAGTTGTACAATTCTAGGGAGATGTCTCAGCTATCATGCCAAGACCTCTACAGTGCGAGCGAAGGTTGAATAACAGATCAACGGCACCCATATTGCCGATAAACGGCGTGGCTCACAAGGTAGGGCTGGTTCTAGACTAACCCCATGTTCAGGATGGTTGGCGGCAATCGCAAGAATGCTCACGTAGCCGGTCCCCTACGTGCACCGCAAACTGTGGCGGATTCTGCGGGGAGTTGAAACAAAGGAAGTATAATTCAGAGGCAATATCCTGACAAGGGATGTCCGTTCGGTTTTACACCTGGTATGTATTTTTCTTTGTTCTGTGTTCAGGGATCGGCTCGGAAGAAAGGATTTATTTATGCTTCCCTCCTACTTACACTCAGCAGATATGTGTAAGGAGTTGTACATTGGTATATGTGGAGTTTAATACTCATGTTTTGGTACACATATGCTGCTGCTGCTGCTGCAAGTGAACCTAATAATATGTGCCACGGGATTGTACTAATGCAGGGGCACGCCCCCAAGATCTTCTTTTGAGCTTTTTGTACACAGCCGCCCGGTCAGACTTATCTGAAGTCTTGCTTTGGCCTTTGCAATATGCATTGAAATCTATTTCAAGTAATCTTACCATCTAGGTCTAATTGATTTAATTCATACAGTACATTTCCAGTATGGGAAGATTCGTTGTACTTAACCTGAGTACGTACCGAGGGAAAGCGAAAGGGAAATGACGGTTAGTAATTCTGCATGGCTAATACAAATGCGTCGAAATTTTTGACCTCTATTAGAAGCGCATATTTGTCCTACGAATTTTGCGTAGTATTATCTCTCAGCGAGTTGTTTCACCGATCCGGCCCCTTCCGAATTCTATCAAACGCCACATTTGAACCTTAACATTCCAAGAAAAGTTTAACCTTTATCCAGAAAGAGACAAGGCAGTGCCTGGCGCTCCTTGGAATGATTCCACACGATATTATGCTTATTATGTGCTATTATATTGTTATCTTCTAAGGGTCACTGCTAGGTTCTTAAATGTAAAGCTGTATGGAATGGAAAGGTCCACCTCCCTAGTTAACCCCAATATAGATACATAGTAAACGTATTCACAATTGAATCTTACAGAAAGGTATATAACACTGGAGGCATCATTGATCCGTATCAGACCTCTGCAAATTACATTCCACCTTCTTCTTGTCATCCTCCATCAATATGAGTTACCGCCGTCTCCTCTCGGGCGAGTTTTCAGATGACAAGTCACCAGACCCAGCGAGCGGTCACCACACAAATACTCAGACAACCTTCATTGCCCATGTTCTTCTACATCCTCGCACCAAAGTCACTATTCTGCTCATGATTCTGATTCTGAGCTTGTTGAACTTGCCTATGTCAATCATACAACTGGACTCGAGGTTGTGTGCATCGAACCAAAGCACCGAGGACATAGTCCCCACGACATTCACACAAAACAAAGAGTTCCAGTCGCTTGATCGATCATTTGATCATCTGTGGGCAGAACTATCAATGAACAAGACTACGGCTGGCCTAATCTATACTGCGGAGAAAGGGAACAGGAAAGAGCAAGGAGGCATCAGCATGTGAGTCAGTGTCCAAGCCGGCAATATTGACTTACTGCTAACGCTCAACAGGTTCCATCAATTACACTGCCTAATGATGATGCGCCAAGCCCTCCAAGCTGCGAGTGAGGGCGAAGCAATAGGTAAAGATTGGCATGACGATGGTCACTGGCCGCACTGCATGGATTACTTGGTTAAGGTAGCTATATCCCACTGGTCCCCGTTCGTACTGGTTTTCCTAAATGCTAATTATATGCCCTCATAGACCATTTTATGTTTTGCTGATGGTTCAATCGAGAAACCAGTACAGGGGGAAGAAGGCATTCAGTTCATAGATGGATCCAATGTTGTTAGGCAGTGTAGACCTGCACAGCCACTGTATGACCTGTATAGAGAAAAAGCTGTATAAACTGTATGCCTTGCGATTTTCCACTGATCAGCACAGTCAAGCCAAGTTGATCTAAAAGCAAAGCTCTCGCTAGCGAGATTCGAGACTGTTTCCTCTTACGCCCCGATAAAACTTATTCCACCCCCCATTCCCAACAGAGCACAAACATTAATCAAAAAAGGAAGCTAATCAAGAGAAGGCACACTACACTCTCCTCCAATTCTGCCCACTCTATCTCCCTCCCAACAATCAAACCAGCAATTCCCCGCCCTCCGCGCCGCCACCAATCGTGGAATCCCCGGCAATTTTGGTCATCGAGGAATGCTTGTTCCTGTCAGCATCAGCGGATGGCCGTGCATGCACAAGCTGAAGGATATCCGTTCGGTGGGAGGAGGGAGCTACAAACGTGAAGATCCACTCCGCATCCACCTAGACAACCATCGTCTGAGAGGCCGGCATTTTCCCTCGGTGTCGGACACAGGTATGCACTCTGCGTATCTTGGTGCTGGTCGACTATCCTGGTTTGAGAATTGGGCATTTCAAATATGGCTAACACTATGACTATTACTAGCATTACGAGCCAACACAGTATACTATATCCGAGCTTGCCAAGTATATCTTCATATGGTATCTATTGCCCAATTTGACTGCGCGTCTTATCCACCGCCCATCAGCCAAACATTGACCCTAACTATCTACCTCAACGCCCACACTACTCCTCATAGCGCATCGACCATGCATCCATCCACCCTTCCCACTAGCAACCGCACCCACAAGCCGGACACCCTCCCCTCCCACACGCGTACGTCGCCGTCCCGCAGTCCTGCCACTTGCTGCACTTGATCCAGGCGCCCAGCCCGGCCTTTGCCGCCGTCCAGCACCACTCTCCCTTGTTCGTGTTTCCGCAGGCCTTCCAGCAATACCCGCCCGAGCAACCGTACGGCGCGTCCTTGTAGCACGACCGCTTGTCTAGGGCGTCGAGGCCGTCCGAACGCGCCTCCACGGGACTGGTGCCGGTGCTCGTGACAGTGTCCACTGTGCTGTTGTTCCAGAACGAGACATCCACCGCGTCGAGCGGCGCCAGCGATGCGCCCTTGACGTGCCGGTTCCGGCCGAGCGGGTGGTCCAGGCATTCGCGGACGTCGCTGGGGGCGACGCCCGCGGGGAGGTCGGCGGGGTCGACGGTCATGACGTCTAGATCGCCGCACTCGACGACGGGGTCGCCTTCCGTGTCGCGCGGAGTGAGGGTCAGCGCGGAGCTGAGGGCGAGCATGCTGATGATAGTGAGGGGGAGCTTCATTGTGGATGCGGTGGCTGGAGATTGTGGAAGGGTAAGTATTTTTATCGACTTGGGGGGAGAAGAAGAAGAGCAAGAGGGAGAAGAAGCACCAGAAGAAAAGGAAGATGGGCCTACCGGTTTTGTATTTGGAAAATGTGCGTTCTTGGGCAAGTGGGAGGACTGGATATGGATATCAGACTGTCTTGTAAGACGGATAGACCTACATGGATATATCCCTTGGATGGATGTGAATGGGTCTCGCCTTTTATACCTATCCTGTAAAGACAGAAGGGTCTACATCCGAGAGGCGATACTACGATCCCCAGTCCACGGGCTCTCACCTCCGGTGGACTGATCACCGTCCTTGTCCTCCCCGTCTCGATGGGCAGGATTGTGACGAGGAAGAGAAGCGCCGACGAGGTCGGTGACCGCAGGTGCAACGCATCCTCGGCCCCCCTTGACCCCTGGTTATATTGAGCCAGCACCAATCCCCCAGCCTGCTAGTCGTGGGATCCATGTAGGGTGGGACTGGCGCGATGCAGCTAGACAATGTGCGCATAGGTCCCGTAGGATGTGGATAGGCTGGAGCAGCTGCCTGTTCATTCTGGTCTTTTCCTTTGTCCTGAGCTATATCGAACCAGATCTGTTCAGTGGTATACCGGTCCTCTAAGGCCTTTTGTGCCGACATACACTGTATAAAAGGCACGGCCAGTACTCCCCAGGAGCTTTGCTCATAGGCAGGTTATCTCTCAGTCCAAGGATCTGTGGCTAGTCTTTCAAAGCGATTCTCTACCTATCTTACTACATTCTGGTTGACTCCAGATAATTCGTTAGTACGGTGGGGAAGGGTGAGAAATGCCGAGACTTGGTATTCCCTAAACCCCCATCCGGGCGTTTTTGGATCAGGTAAGCTCAAAGACAAATGGCCGGGCTCCGTTTTGTATTAGGAATTTTGGCATATTTCGAGGCCAAAGGGTTTAATACTAGGACTTCATTTGAGTAAGTATTCTTCAACAATTATTGACTTCAGATCAGCAATTGTAATTGTGGAGCAAGTTTTATAAATTCTAAGTTATTCTAACCATCGTGAAAATCACATGTTTTTGATTTTCGAATACAATCGCACTAATTTCTGACCCCCCTCAATGCTGATGGTCAATTTGGATCCTTTGGATTCTGCCGTTGCTATGGTTATTGTTACTACATATGACCATTTGATGTAATAGCGATTTGGGAAGGCTGTGCTAAATGAGAGACCTGCCACTTCAAGGGTTCATATCCCTGCACCTCCCCACTGCACTAACAGAACGACTGGAGTTGATTGTACTTTATATCGGACAGACGTCGGTGCCCGGTAGGAAGACTTTCCGCCAAGTGCTATCATGGTCACCGCCGACCAATCAACGTCCTTGTTGGCTCTTTGGTTGTCTCAGACCTTTGACAAGGCAGCGAGTCAGCCACCTCGAACTGAGACACAGGAGCAATAGCGTCCTTTTTCTCACGCTTGTTCTCAACAGGCAAGAGTCTCTTCGAGCCCTGCGTGCCTGAGCCCTGCATCACTAGAGTGTTCGACGACCGTGGCAACTTGGAAAGAGGAAACAGGCCACGAGCCTCGACACCTAGCTGTGCTGGCCTCTACGGATTCTCTGAGACTATGTATCCCCGTGGTGGCACCACGATTTGCCGTGTTAAGAACTCCTTTCGCGACCTAGTCATCTGGGATGTCAGCACCAACCCACAAGCCTCAGGGTCCCTGGACACTCAACAAACTAGTACTATCGGAAAAGAATGGATGTTTCCCCACTCCAAGATCGGGCCGGACCGTGTCTTCATAATCCTGATGTTACATCGATGGCACTCTATTCTGACCCGATGCGAATATCTCCCGTGTGTCAGCTTTCGTGGATAAGAGCGGCGACAGGCTGAGACCTCACTGAGTGCACTCCGTGACTCAAATCCTCTGGTTGAATATACCCTTGCCTGGAAGACGAGTCCCTTTGTCCATCCATCAACAAGGTTGCCTTGTGACCACATGGCAGGCAGCAAGTAAACGAAGGTACCGACCAATCGGGCTGCCTGGGGCGACTTTCGACCACGTCGCCCGTTTGCCTGACGCCGGCGGTCTTAGGGCTTACATTATGTATAAAGCAGCAGGCTCCCCACCAGCCAGAGCCAAGCGCTGAGATTCAACACCGAACGTCACCACGTTCCTACTCAGAATTGTGAGTCGTTCATCCTTGCCCGCTAGGAGCAGCCAAGATCCAGCCCGCTACTTCCCAACATATCATCATCTTCACTGCCCAGAGGATTAGGGCCTGCCACCTTCCCCTTTACACTTACCACATAGCTCTCCCGTATTTCGCTGTAAATTCAACGGTACCGAATCCCTTTCCTCACCATCTTTCTTGACCGTCTCTCTCTCTCTTTTAATCTTCATCCGTCTTCTTTCTCTTTCTCTGGGGCTAACTACACCCCTCTATAAGACCATCGCCTGATCTTCCAACGCCAACGCCAACGCCAAAGCCAAAGCCAACGCCAACATGAAACCCCTCACGTACCTCACCCTCCTCCTCGGCCTCTCCGCAACCACCGCTCTCGCTGCTCTCCGCCCCGACGCCACCCCCGAAGAGGTCGCCGCGGCGGAAGCCGAGTGTGGGTCCCTGGGCGTGATGAGGATCGACCCCGCCGAGCTACCCGAGGGCGTGACGATGGCCGACGTCCGCATGTGCGCCGACCATCCCCTCGGCGGCAGAGCGATCCCGGGTCTGGGTCCTGGGGCTTTCGCCCGATTGCGTCGGTTCTTGCCGAGTTGGGGGTTTTGAGAGGGCAGCCCTGCAATTAGGTAGTCCGGCACGAAGGCTATCTTTTGCTCACGCGCGGGCTTGGTCCTTTCGTACCCGGTCTGGCTTGCCTGCGCTGTGCTGCGGTGGAAGGGAGCAGCCGTTTAGGAGTGGAATACTTGGAGTTGCATGGGTGTCGTTTGATGTTGATTCATGGAGCGTGGTTGATTGGTACAATGTAGCTGGAGGATGATAGTCGGATATGACAGACACTGCACCGCTAATCCATAAGCATGTGAGAGAGCTGATGATTATAATCTCGTGGCACGTTGCAGCTACTCTCTTCCCACTCCTCTTTGCCGCCGGGACTTGGATCGAAGCCATACACCAATCACAATAGGACAGCAATCATCACTGCTCCTTCATGGTCTTTCTCCAATTACCCTGTCTTTAATCTCTTCATCTCTGCTTTATTCAATATATATTGACGGAGGACCTGCGGCCTCGCCCAGGCTGCCGCCACCACCCACCGCTCACCTCGGTGGCATTAGGTAATTGCTCGAGATACTGTAGCCTGGTGTAGTCAGAATTCAAGCATCTTCCACCTCTCTCGCAGGTGTTATCATATATGCGGAAAAACGGAATTTGAATTTTGTTTATAATAAACACGAAAATCCAGCTTCTTATTCTTTTCTACCCATTTATAATCAAACATTCTAATACTATTCAGCAGAGATTGCATTAAGGAGACCAGGCAAAAGGATTTTAACTGAACTGCGGCGCTGTGCCTCTCTTCCTGTGTCCCGCTATGCAGATCAGCCCTAAGCCGTGGTTCCGGGCAGCGTGCTTGCTGGGCGTTACTACAACAATATGATGTCGCTTTACCTCGTTCTTACTACGCATTCCAGTTACATGTTCATATCACCTCCAGGGTCGGTGGGTGGATAACTTTCGATCTAGAGTGAGGTGTAAAAGATCTGCAAAGGTTCGACGTACACATACCAATTCCAACCCACCGCGATCTATGCATGCCCACGCTCAATCACTGCAAGACTTTTACCCGAACTCCTGCCGTGCAGAACAAGAGATGACCCGTACCATGCGCAAGGGATGTGCTGCCGTGATGTAGATTCTCACAAGCAAGTGGTTATCCGTATGGGCTATGGTGTCTTGCTCAAGGAAACATAAAGGTACGAAGCCTTTGCTAATCAGGCACTAAGAATATAATACTGAGAATAAAACTAACTAGCACATACGACCACAGGGTGTGGAAAACAGGGCTTCCCGTCCGCTCAGCCGTACTTAAGCCACACGCCGGGAGGTTAGTAGTTGGGTGGGTGACCACCAGCGAATCCCTTCTGTTGTATGTTTTTCTTTTTTTTTAAACAAAATTCTTCTCCCAATGCTTCTACTGTGTAGTAGCAGTGATCAGCCTTCATTCAGGTGGAAAACAACTTATTCTCATTATTATTGACCGTACGCAGGTTGTACATAAAACTATGCATGCTTTGCTCCTCCTTAAAACGCGACGGCAGTGATGGCATCCCCTGGATGGTCCACAATCCACCCAACCGCCCCACAGAACCGATCTAGAATCTCCGAGACGTATGCGTCCAAGCAGGTAGAGGACCAGTATCCCGGTTCCAGCTCGATGCAGCCTGGCGACAGGACCGCGGCCAGGCACATATCGTACTGTAGATGGGAGTTAGCGTTCGCGGCACTTCAGTCGTGGTTTTAGGAAGGGGGCATGGTCCACTAACCTCGGTAGCATCATCAATCTCCAGCAAAATGAAACCAATCCCTGTGGCAGACGTGGAAGGTTCGAATTGCGGCTGCACCGTCAGCACGGTGTTGAATAGCTGCTGGTCCCCGTGGATCGCGAGCCCAGCTTGGCGAACAACCTCGGGGACCGAGTAGTGGTGGTCGTCGTTGCGCCGCTGGATGCTCATCTGGTTTGCGCGCAGCACGTCCAGGACGGTGCGTGGTGCGCCGTCGTCAACGTCGCCATCCAGCACCATTCGGCACGGAAGGATGTTGAAAAACGGGCCCACCATCTGCCAGATGTGCGGCAGGGGGATGTCACGACCCGAGACAATGCTGCCGAAGCAGACGTCCGCGGACTGGGTGTAATGCTGCAGGACCAGCGCCCACGCGAGCTGGAAGATGTTGGCGACTGTCAGGCTGTTCGCGCGCCAGAACGCATCGAGACGATCGAGGTCCTACGGATTCATAGGCTTGGGAAGTGAGCGATAAGGGAGCGAGGTGTGAGCCCGCCTCCTCAGCACTGGGTCGTCGGGGCAGCCTGCATGGGTGAGCCCCGGCCAGGGCGCCCTTCCAGTACTCAACCGTCTCCTCCTTGGGCCAGGTCTGCAGACACGCCAAGTACTCGCTATACGGGGTGGCGACGTCTGGGGGGAGCTGGCCGCGCAGGGCTAGGGCGAGGTCGTTCAGGAGGATGGGCACCGACATGGCGTCGATGAGCGCGCTGCTAGTCTCGAGCCGGAAGAGAACCTGGCCAGCGCGGTCTTGACCGACGATAAGCCGGTGAGGTGGCGAACCCTTCTCCCACGAGGTTGTTGGCAGCGCTTTGAGGACTTCGAGAGCATCCTCGCCAGGGGGGAGGAGGACGACAGTCGGCGACGCGCCCTTGAGCAGAACATGGAGGTACTGCTTCTTGCTTCAGGGACGGGGCATAATCAGCGTGCGCAGCGCGGTTTGCCGCTGAACCACGTCTCTCCAGGCGGACACGACCTGTTCTGGACCAATAATGGCTTCATCGGTGCATTCGAGAGCAAAGATCAGGTTGCCCCGATACTCCGAAGTGTAGACCTCCAGCATACCGGAATGGGCGTCGGAACAGGAGTAGATATCCTGGATGGACCCAACGGACTGCTGCCCGGCCAGACCATATACGCCTCCCCATGGTGGATTCCGCGAGGTAGCCATCCGCCAGCTCCTAACCCTAGGTATTTTTCGTCGGCGCCTACACGCGGGGGCCACCCACCCACCAGGGTTACGGATTGGATACACGCATCCTCAGATGCACACTCTGCACTCACCGACATAAGTATACGTAGTTGGTATGGTTGATTCCCGCTCCCCCTCACTTCTGCAAGGGGTGACCACAGCAGAATTATCCGGTTAATGTGCTTACTATTAGACGAAGCAAAGAGACGAGGTCGCGCGCCGTGGGGCCCCTATCCTCACTCCAGGAACCTCACTCATACATAGGATGTAGCAGTGCGGACTGTGCGTATCTCGCCTCAAGGGGCGCTGATATAAGAGACGGAGGAGCGTGCTGCGACGTACGTACAGGGTTAATTTATGATTCCAACCCCAAGTACAAGTACAACATTATAAACGACACGCCGCCCCTCCCCTCCCTTCGCCTCAACAAAGCCCAATATGACTCGCGCCGACGACCCTAACATGACCCGTGCAATAAAGATCGTCATCATCACCCCGGTGACCATGAACCTCACCTTCTACAAGCCCTAACTCGACCGCCTCTGCCGCGCCAGCGTGGACGTGACCGAAATCTCCCTGACCGTCGGCCCGGCCTCGATCAAATCGCGCATCGACGAAGCTCCTGGCCGAGAAGGCGGGCGCGCACGCGCTGGTCATCAGCTGCATGAGCGCCCTCCGCGAGGCGGTCGCGATCCCCGTCGTGGGCGTCGCGCAGGTCTCCATGGCGACGGCCGCGACCCTGGCGCACAGCTTCGGGATCGTGACCGTCCTGAGCCGCATCGCGTCGATCCTGCAGACCAACGCGGCGCACTGTGGCTACGAGCGCCAGTATGTCAGCTGCCGCGCGGTGGATATCACCGTGCTAGACGTCCACCGCCGGGTGCGCGAGGTGCAGGACGGTCTGAATCGGCTGGCGCTGGAGCTGGTGGAGCAAGAGGGCGCCGGCGCGGTCATCCTAGGCTGTGGTGCGCTGATGGGCTGCGCGGGCGAGATCCGCGGGTTTCTCGCGGAGAGAGGCATGGCTGTGCCGGTGGTTGACCCCTTGCCCACCACCGTCGCCTTTGCCATCACCTTGGTCGAGCAGGGGCTGAGCCATAGCAGCGTCAGCTACCCGCCGTGTCAGGTCAAATCGTACAAAGGGTGTGAGTTGGGAGGGGATCAGTGACAGCGCTGGAGAGGGTCGAGATCAACCTTGGTAATGCAATGGCATACTTTCTGATTTATCTCCAAGGTGCCTTGTTGGCGTATGCCCCCCTGAAGATTATTTGTGATTGCGATGGCCGATGATAGGATACAGTATATACTGACCCTGACCATGCCCAAAGCATCAGGAGCACAACCATCAGCACCAGGAAAAGAGAAGACCACGTCGGAAATAGCCTGACGAAAGGAAGACTCCAGGATATCTTCTCACCTTCAGTCGGCCGAGCAACCACCGGGATCAAAGCCATTGTTGGACTTCTGCAGAGATGGAGAAACCTACGCCCGTAAACCGCGCTGGTGGATTTCCAAAACTGCTTCAGTCTTTTTTGGAGGTATCAAAGTATTTGTCTCGAAGGCAGAGTGGGACAGTCCGCGGCTTTTGCTGGCGTGTTTCGAAACAGCTTGACAGATCGCGCCGGAGCCGGCCTTCTGATGACGCTTACAGTGAACGGACCACCCCTAGAGTTTCTGGAATCCTTAGATCGCACTTGGTGTAAATCAGTGTTGAGCTGACACATCTTGGTTTTCAGTTGCGCAAATGTGACTTCCTTCTAGCTCGGGTGTCTACGTTTACTGTAGTAATCCGGGTGGATAAACAGGGATAGCTTGCCTTGGCATGTAATGGAAAGACTACTGCAAGGATCATAGATCTGCTGGTTGTACTGATAATCGCGGAGCCACGGAGTACTCTTTCTGAAAATCTGCTTGCGATACGTTAACTGGGCGGGAATTTGGGTGTAAGGCACTCGGTCAAAAGAGTGCCGAAGAAAAAAAAAAAAAAAAAAAAAAAGCATGTCATCGACCTACATGGGGATCGAACCCACAACCTTCGGATTAGGAGTCCGACGCTCTACCATTGAGCCAATAGGCCCGAAATCTATCAATTCCACAATATAACGAGCTCCAGAGGAAAAAGATCAAACTAGCATGCTAGCTAACCAAGAAATTCACTTATTGAATAAAAGCCAAATTATAGAAACCATGGCTTGGATCACTAGGTATAGGTATAACAGCATATTGATAGATTGGGCTTTCTCAGCAAGATATTTTGTCTCACAAGTGGTTTTTTTTTTTTTTTTTTTTTTTCCTAAGCAAGTTGCAAATCAATTCACTGAGTTGTAATTTAACTGGCTGGGAAGGATAGTGTTTCGCCAACAACTTACAGCAGTGAATGCTTTGCTAACATTCACTGAAGAGGTTCAGTCATCGTCACGGGACCTTCTGACATGCAAGTTTGTCTAACTGTGGTCCATTGGCTCAATGGTAGAGTGTCGGACTCCTAATCCGAAGGTTGTGGGTTCGAGTCCCATGTGGATCGGTTGAACGCAGTCCGTGGTACTTTAGTCGCTTTGGTGAATTACCACAGACGCGACCGCCAATTTCTTTTTTTTTTTTTTTTTTCCCTTCACTTAGTCCCTGGTCATGGCAAATATCATGCACAGAATATGCACATTTAAAACTTCTCGTCTTTTGTTACGAAAGAGGGGGAGAGGAAACAAAATAAAACAAGGCGCCCAGGTCAATTGATCTTAATCTTATTGTTCGCTTCCCATGAGCGGGAACAGTAAGTGACGGTCGAGTATCCCAGTAAATAAACATAAGCTTGGAGGGAGTCCTAGCGCGCCCTGACAGCTAGCCTTGCCGGCCGGCTTCAAGAATTTATACCCATTCATTCCAGTGGTGCTGTTCCTAGTATATGATTCGTGGTTGATGGTTAGTGGTTCAACTTGGGTCGGTGACCATCGAAGCTAGTCGTCGAATAGGACGACCATCCCCATGACAAGGATGACATTCTGGATTGGGATCATTGATTTACTTTATGATGTCCAACTGGCACTCATATAAGGAAGTCACAAGTGATGACTTTGAGTCTAGATATGGGAGTTCATACAATTTCCTGATGGCGGCAGTATTTCATGCGGTACTATTTTTCAACAATGTTGGCACTAAGAAGTGAATGCCGCTCAAGTTTGTGACTATCTTAAACATCAATCCCCCTAACTACCAAACGCTTTCCTCGCTTTTCAGTGTAAGCTTAAGAAGCCTCTTTACTCCGTGACGACTGAAGCCGTTACCGGTGTGGACTCATCTGGGGTCCATTTCGGCAAACCCCTCATTTCTGTGCAAAGACCCAGAGTTTTCGACTAACTATATGGTCGATATGCTTTCTCTTGGTTATTTGCACATTTTTATCGACTTTAAGCTTGGTGGAGGTGGCCGTCTGTAATCCGACCCAGAGAGACCCCGTTGTCATGTAGCGGAACAGCCGGCATATCGAGTTGTAGAGACACGTATTTCACACATTGCAGGCCGATCTTTCGAAAATAAGCCTTGACAATAATACAGTATAAGATCTGGCCGTGCATGAAATTGACAGGTATGCCCTTGTAAACGCGTAGGGTGCGTCCGGTATCGCGGATGCCGTGGCATCTTTGATGCTCTGCCATGCCAATCAGCTAAACCCCCTCCCCTCCCTTATGGCCTAGTCACTTTTATGCATCAAGTGCCTCGTCTTCCAAGTTCTCGAATAGTTACCTACAAAAAGGGGACTCAGGGCTCAATTCGACATCATAGGTTAAATCAGAGACTGCTTTTTTCTATGACCGATTGATCTATAAGCTAGGCTGCGGCTTCTTCTTACCTAAAAAATTATCCTGCAATGTGTTCAGTGACGTAAATGTGGCTCTCCAAATCTGTCACGCAGACCCCAACAACAAGAAAAGAATTACAATATCTGTTCTTACATTTCATAGCTCTTGTTCCAGCCGTCCCTGGAGGAATGATCCCTTCTGATTCCGATGGTGATTTCTGAGGTCTCTCCCACACAAACCTATCCGCCGGTTTTCTAGCTCTAAACCTACCGCTCGTGTCTTCTGTTTGTCACCTATGTCGATTGCGTGCATCAGCTTTGCTATGTCTACTGTGCTGTCTTCTTATTCACAGTCAGTAATTCTCTATATTTCGTGTTCCTTTGCATAGGGGGGGCGGTGTCTGTCATTAGAGTCGTACCGCGGACGCGACTCGGATAGGGAAGAGCAATCGAGACTTATTGATTTAAAGTTCTACTACACGACCTTCACGGTCAGCGGCGTCAGTTGCATCAATTGCCATGTAGTAAACCAGGAGGAACCTCCTGCCCGCCCATGGCTCGGAGTCCGATCGTCGAGGAGCCATTGGCTCATACACAGATAATGACGGCAGCTGCCGCTTTGTCTGCCCACCCTTCCCCGCCTGAAGTAAAAATCACGAAGTGGAGGTTGAGCGGATTGCGATATGTTGCCGTCGATTTTCCTTCCCTTTTCTTTGATTTTCGTGTTCTGCTGTTTATTGTGTGTCAAAATCCGTCTCTTCAAGTTGTGTAAGTGAGGAGCTGTGCATGGAGCTTCACAAAGAACCTCCAATGCAAAAATGTTGAATATTAACCGGCGTACCGTCAACATGCTGCCAATGCGAGGTGTAGATTCACTCTTTCAGCCCATCCCAGAGGGGGGGTTCCATCCCCGCCTTTCATGAGATGTCATCTGATCCAGCCATTTGCCACATACTCCTGATGTCATTGGGAAAGACAAAACCGACTGCTGCTGCGGGTTGCCGGATTGTATAAAAGCCTCCATGCCGGTGTTGGTAGCGGTGCGGACAGGGCCAACTCAGCACCCTACAGCTAGCTATACACCATCGACAGTCCCACACCTTTAGTGAAACAGACACTCCCGTCACAATCTCCTGAACTAGCTAGAATCAAACAGACCAAAGCTCTAAATCATTCCAGAGCTTAACAATCATGACCACCTCCCGCAGCATTGAGCACTACAAAACCAACGTCCACGCCCACTGGGAGGGCAAACACGCCAAGGACTGGACGGAGGTCGACCTCATTGGATACGAGAACGCGACGAATCGCTTATACAACGAGCTGTGTGCGCATCCGGACGCGGCAGTCGTGCAGGTCGGCCATCGATCGACCCTGCTCAACAACCATGGCAGAGACTACCGGTTCAATGGCAAGTTCTCCAGCGAGCAGACGCAGCCGGAGCGCAGTCACCATGAGTACAACCGGTTTGGGAAGCTGATGAAGTGGGAGGGCGATCGGTGGTATGCTTATGATTTTGAGGTGGAGATTACTGATCATATGAGGGCTTAGAAGGGGGTGGGGACGTATGTCCCTAGGTTGGATGTTGCGCTGGGGTTGGTCGTGAGTGAAAACTGATTCTGTAAGGCTGGAGCTTTGCGGTTGCCCCCCCTACTGTCTAATCAAAATTATGTGATCGCCAGTTTTTTCTGACCCGCAGGAAGATAGGTGCTGGTGTAATACTTGGGGAGGGATCTGATCTCAAATCCGAATTGACTGTTTCACTTCATATTCTGACCAGGTCTTGATGCGCTCTTTCTAAACTAGGATGTGTTATTAACGCAAGCCGCCGTGGCCTTAGGCAGCAGACGCCTCAATCATAGACAAAAGGATCAGTAGACTCACACCTTGTATCTTGTGTCTACCATGTGTACTGACACACAAGCCAATAGCCTTCAATAAGTTGAAACAAAGTTGATCTTGGATAATTTAGATGTGGCTTTGTGATATATCCAGTTCGGTCGCAACTACGAACGGGGTGGATTCAGAAGAGTGCATTTGAACAGAACAGTTTCCACACCATGCGTATCCTCGATCTGGGAAACGCCCAACAGACCACCGGATCTCAGGGAAGACCCGAATATAGATAGATTATCTACTTTCCGTCTTACAGACAAAGGTGGCTGTTTCAATATCTCGCCGTTGTGGGTCAAGTTATTAGGATGTTTGCGGCAAATCCGGAGCATTCATTCATTGAACTATAGGAGAAGAGATTACCTTCGTCTGGATCTATAATCCATAATCCCGCCCTTCCTGATGGTTATATATGAACTAACCAGCGTGTTTCAATCGAGCAACAATGCACCACCTCGATCTGTTCTCGGGCCCTTCCTCCTCCCTAAACTCAGCCCAATCTCGTCTGATCTCGCCATCGCCCTCTGTCCAACTCGTGTTATGATCCCGCTCATAGATCGTGTCAACCTCCAGGCCCATCTTCACCACTGTCTTCAGAAAGTCCACAACAACCGACCGTCCCGTATGAAGTCCCGCAACGAGCCAGATTCTCCCTTCCGGGGCAAGGAACCACTTCATCGTTTGTGCCAGGTTCTTATGCTGCGACGTCATCCAGAAGCAATCGGCTGCGATGATGCGTGTGAATTGGCCTTGGTTCGCCACCGCCCAGGAGTCCGAGGCCAGAGTCCCCCATTCATGGGGCTGGATGGAGACCGCACATCCGTTCGTTGCCGGGATGTTGCGTTTCAGGTTGAACGCAATTGCACCCCTCAGAGCAGGCGACGAGGGATGGTCTGTGATGGTCACTTCTGCAGCGCCCGCAAGGATCGAGACTATCGATGGGAGTGCAGCGCCTGTTCCGGAATGTGAGTATATCGAGGGCAACCTGACACAATGGAGACAAACCAGCGCCTAATTCCAGGACTTTCTCTCCTTCTACCTTCCACATCTCGTCGACATGTTCGTGGCCAGCATGAGCATCCTCGACAGCCTCCGCAACCACCAGACCGGCACTCCACAGGAAATGAGCGAATAAACTCCTCTGTGCGCTAACTTGACCTGAGTCGGAGGTTGAGTCTATTACAATCCCGGCCGATGCGACCGAGTCACTCTCTGGCGGGCTACTACTGGATGCACTCCCACTCTTTTGATCTGGGTAGGACGGAACTTGGATGGTCAGATCACCGTAACGCGGCGAGGAGTAGAGGAGACATTGGCCCGGGTCGCCGTGGAACTGGGGTGCATCGTCGGGTAAGAGGTGGGGGAGAAAAGCCGCGAAGATGTCTTCGGCTTCATCTTCGGCGGCCGCGGCCGCGGCAGCATCATCATCGCGCGGGTCATCCGTCGATGAAAGGTGAGATAAGGCGGGGAGAGGGCGAAGACGAGACCGAAGCATTTTTTTTTTTCAAGTGACTAACTACTATATTCTCCGACCAGAAGTAAATTTGCTGCTTATCTGCCGTCGGAGAGAAAAGAGAGCTCAGAGTGAATTCGGTTCTTGAGGGGTTGTGAACTTGTGAAGGATGTACTTATCCGTCCCACTGATCCACCCAATGGAGCCCGTCGTGCCTTCGATCCGTTTCTGCGCCCGTCGGTTGCTACTTTCCCCTCTGCTGTAAGACCTCGTTATAACGATCTTCCATTACCCGATAACCGCGCTATACTTTTAAGGATAATGTACACCCCTCCTCTTCGACTTTACCATCCAAGTATCGATATAGCTTCTTAGCTTCTTAGTACGATCGTCGAAAGATATAGCTCGCTCTCCATATAACTATTGTGATAAAAGGATTTCTCTGCTGCTCAAATAAGCAATCAGACAGGGATTACAGCAGACACAGGTAAATATGGAATAAATCAATATGATGATACAAGACCATAGGTCATGTGTCGGCGTCATGGTAATGTAACAATATAACAATAAATCACTAGTCGGAACTCATGTATTTACCCCACCAGAAACAATGGTCTTGTGTGTTACTAGCTTACTGTTGTTTTCGGAACACTAAAAACCTACGCCATCCACATTCGCGCTAATTCCTTAGGGGTTAGTAACAGTAGTTCATGCTTATTATCCTTAGATATACTTGATTGGACAGCCTCAGTGACAATGTATGGAAACCTGTGTTAGCCTGATCTCAGAACACAATGAATATAAGCTAACTAAGTTAGCAACAAACCAAGAACCGGTCCAAACCTTAAAGTTCCTCTATATGAGAAAGTCTGACCTTTCAATATATTGCAGATAAAGAAACGTCGGCATGTAATTGTTTCTATAGTTTGTAGTGTCTGTCAAGAGTTTTTTGAGATTAGGGTATGATAACTGTTATGAATTATTCCGGCACATACGACCACAGGGTGTGGAAAACAGGGCTTCCCGTCCGCTCAGCCGTACTTAAGCCACACGCCGGGAGGTTAGTAGTTGGGTGGGTGACCACCAGCGAATCCCTTCTGTTGTATGTTTTTTTGACCCAGGACGTACTGACGCGACCCGGTGCGCCGCGAGATCTTGCGCCCGCAGGATCGCGTTTGGCTTCGCAACGGATGAGGGTCAGTTTATCCTGTATACGGAAGGATGTGCGTGTGATCCATCTTACACAGTGCATATGCCGCGGGCACGTTGGAGACTAAACTCATGTTACCCAGATACCATCCGATTATGGGAGTGAGATGAGGCACCCCTAGATGACAACGGCAGATGATGACTATCGTAGTCTCTATGCCCAATATGCACTGGCATGTTTGCTGACTACGTTCAAAGGCTGAGATTTCTCCACCTCATTTCGGCGGGGAGCACTCACGGTCACGATTTCTACCAATAAGAGTGGAAAGGAGTTGTATATGGCCCCCCGCTTTCTTCTTTTGTTACTCGAGGATTCCTTATGCTATATTGTAGTACCCGAGACTCAAGAGACCCTTAAAAGAGCAGTATGGTTAGCCGTATGATGTCCGAGAGATGGGGTGGAAAGCCGCTGCCAAGGATAATCTGGAGCACATCGACCTAATTGATTCTGAGTTCGGGCAAGGGTAGAGGGAGAGTGGGCATAAGTCAGGAATACATGGGGGTCGTTCTCTATTTCTAGACATTCTATGTAGTTTGTTCAATGTGTGTTTCACATCCTTCTTGACCAAGTTTTGAATGACAGCTTTTGAAGTGAAATGGACTGTAGAAGTCAAAGGGATAGATCTTCCGTCTCTGATAGATGCTACATGTAGAATCAAAACTGATTGCGCGGGATAGCAAGTAGAACTTAGACACAGAACCAGATAACAAAAGTAGATTAAAGCGATGATATGCAACTCAGCACCTCACGCATTCTCCCTCCTCACACGCTGTCATCCGCAGAAGCGCCAGCTCCGCCTGCTGTTTGACATCCATATCGAACCTGCGAATCTCCCCGGAAACAATGCGCAGAAACAGCTGCTTCCACAGACCCTACCGACCCATGCTCCACATCTGCCGCACTGGGTCGGTGACCTTGTCCCTTTTCTTGCACTCCGCGTAGACGTACTCCCCGTCTAGCAGGATCCACTGCACCCCCGCGATCCAGATCACATGCGATTGCTGTCGTTTTGGATGGGGCATAGTTCCGGCCGCCAGGGATGATATTCTCCAGGGAGCTGAGGAACCGGCACTCCACGAGACCCAGGACTGTGATGCGCGCGATCGCGGACTGGAAGTTGCGCCACCGGAAATGTTATTCGTCGCAGGTCATTCGACCGGTTCTGGCCTTTAGGTTGCGTTGTGTGCAGTTGTAACCGCAGGCTGTTGGTTGATAGCAAAGAAAAACCGTTAGCAGTCTGAGCAGAGCCAGCCGATCAATATCAAAAAAAAGGGAAGGCAAAATCAAGCAAAACCGAAGGTCGAAAAGGAAAGTAACGCACATACGCGGAATCTCTCGACGAAAGGCGTCCGCCGATCCACACCAGTTCTTGCCCAGAGGCCACAGCGGCATCTCCTCAAATGGCTCAACGTCTTTTCCCTCGTTGGAGTCGGGCCCTAGACACAGAACTTTATGTAAGGGCATTGCGCGCAGTGCCTCCATGAACATGATAATGCGGTTCTGGGCTGAGTGGCTGGGTGGGACTGCGCTACACAATACGGCAATCCACTGAAAGATCCTCTTGACTTGGCCCCAAGCTGATGACGCGAGCTCGCGGATGCTTGTCAAACCTCTTGCGATTTCCTCCGGGGTGAGCTGGTAGGGACTGGCCTGCTGCGCAGAAGGTCGCTTAATGCGTAGTGTTGGAGCAAGACTGCGTCGATTTGACGAACGGCCTCAGAGGGGGCAAGTTTCCTTCGACCAGACTGACGAGGATGTTTTTGTAAGCGAGGTCCCCTTCGTCGTCCCATTCTTCGTAGAGGTTGAGCGGGAGGCACGCGTGCCCTTTGACGGTGTCTTTGGAGTCCATGATATTCTTCTCCTTGAAAGATGCAAACTGATGCGAAGAAAGTGTGATGAGTGGGGAAGAGAAGACGATAAGATGGAGGAAGACAGAAAGATTTCCGAGATAAGGAGCAACTGTTGACGCTTGGCCCGGAAAAAAAGTCAGCTCATTCACTCCGAGCCTGTATGCAGGGGTAGTGTACTTGTCCTATTTGAGCACCCGGTTCAAAGTGAATGAATGGCTACAAAGCCAGCCCCTGTCATGTACCACATCTCATGATACACCTTTAGTTCGCCTGGTCATTTCCAGGTAAAGATCGGTTTGACATGGCAATCAGCTTATTTGTAGTGGGACTTGTCATACTTCAGAGTACCGGCTCGAAGTGAATGAACAACCATCAAAATGGCCCCAAGTTGTGTACCACATCTCTAGATGCGCCTTCATCTACCTTATAATCTCAGGTCCTTCCTCTTTCCCCTGAGCACACGACAGAACAAATCTCTCATATATCAAACAACACCTTCCCGCTGTTTCTTTTCAAGTAGCTTCTCTCTCTGCTCAAGAAGACCTCAGCTTCCGTAACCCGAATCTCTATAAAACACTTGGAACTATTCTAACATTCACTACATGAAGAAAAGAGAAATCCAAAATGCAGCTCTTTAAGCTTCTTCTGCCTTTCCTTCTTCTGATTCCGATATCTGTTGCGCTGCCTTTGGGAGGCGCGGAAGTTATCTCGTTGCCTTCGAATGCACGGAGGTTATCGCGCTGCCTTTGAAAGACAGACATGGAAGATATCGAGCATACAGTCGCTAAGGTGGCACAGGGAGTTTGTTCACACCCTTTTCTATATGCCTTTCCTAATCCTTTCTCACTTTGAGGTTAACAATGATTCTTGTAAACAGAGATGGCTCATCTGCAAGCCCAAGACAAACAAGTCTGATGTCAAAAAATTCCATGTTAATGTCGATACTGCCAAGGCTCGGGCCAACGCTGCTGGCTTCACCAAGGGCAAGAGCGGCGACCCTCACGACTTCAAGAACGCAAACAAGATTCAGTGGGGTGTGAAGGGATGCAACAAGAGCAAAGTGGACATGTATGAGTATCCAATCTATTGGGAGGGCTCAAAGATCAAGGAGTGGAAAAAGGACAAAAAGGCCGATGATCGGGATAAAACCCCTATCCGCGTCCTGTACATCCAGGCGAAGGACGAAACGCTCCAGTTCTGTGGCGTCGTGATCCATCTCAATGTCCTCATCGACTACCAGGGCTCGGGGTATTTTACCAAGTGCAATCCTTGATTTTTACCATTTACTGACGGGCTTGTGTGGCATATGCACAGGGTTGGGTCTTTTGCCTGAGACATACTGGGGAATTAGGATGAGGTGAAGTGGCCGAAGCAGTGAGTTAGCCAAAAGTGCTTGGTAGCCACCTTTAATCGCACTTCATTTGTTCTATCTATGGATTTCTTCTCTTCTCTTTGGAACCGGTTGCCTAGGCTTCTATTTGATTGAGGTTTCCTTGATATCATCGTCTTCTGCTCACCTGGTGCCAATCGTCCACCACTATCATGGGACTGATTTTGACGGTTAAGACCTCTCCTCAACAGGTTGCCTCTGCAGCCCTACAATGAATCATAGGAGCGGCAGCGTTGAGACGGTACGACAATCATCAAGCTCATCAACATACCATACACCTCCTGAGATGAAAACTCTTGACTCTCTAATTTAATCAACTGATCTCGATGTCTTAGGGTCAATCAATCGTTGGCTGACAAGACTCCGATCTTCTCCACACGGCTTGATCTCGATATCTGCCTTTGTGATTGCGCCAAATGGCGGACGTTATCTTTCCCCAGACAAACAACGGCTAATTAGCTCGGAATCTGCGACTTAAGCATCCACTACAAAGAAAACCCAGGATTATACAGCATAAACAACTTTACCAGTCGATCTACACAAGAGATTTACTCGAATATCTCTACACGCAGCCCAAAATGCCTTTGTCTACCAGAAATCTTCTTCAAGAGCTCTCCTATATGAAGACTGAAGATCACTCTGTCTTCTTTGTCTTGCCCACTCGCTACTATATTACTTACCTCAAGGACAGATCTCCCAAGCAACAATCCAGGGCCAATGACTGAGCAATGCCGACCACTGTGCCACATAGCCCCAGCCCAGCGGCTTTTCCGCTGTCGGAGCTCCCATCTCAGCAGCAAGTGGTCTCCTTTCAACCAATCCCCAGCCCAACACCCACGGGATGTGCGGTCTGCATCCTGAGCGACAAAGCCCTACTAAGCCACGAACTATACTTCTGCCCGAAATTTAGGGCCATGTACCACCGGCCCTGTCTCTACGCGCTGCAGCAGCAGAGGAGCCATCAGCCCTCCCCGGCAGCAGCGCTTTTCAGGTGCCGAACCTGTGGGATCGAGGGCGACCAGCCCCAGGAGCAGAAGATCCCAGGCCCATCCCCAATCCCGACTCCCAGCCCACCCTCGGCCCCCGTCACCCCTGAAGCCTCCCGGCCCGTTATCACCACCCCGTATCACTACATCCGCACCTCAGCAGGACTCTACATATGCACCTACATCTCCATCGCACCGGACGGGACCACCCGGTCCTGTAATCTGCAATTCAGCGCGTGGCCGAACTACCTCAGCCATCATCACCGGGCGCATGAACGGGCGGCGGATGTAGGGCATTCCTGCGAGATTTGTGGGGTAAGTGGTGGTATTAGTGGTGTCAGCACCGCGAACACGACCACGACTGCGATAGCTACCCCTGCCCCTGCCCCTGCCCCTGTCATTACTCTCACTGATTTCCTTCTGGCCGTGGAGGCGGAGTCCAACGAACCACCGCTGCATCTCCTGCCTCCGCCCCTCCTTCCCGAGTCGGAACGAGAGGTCAGCATCATGACCGGCCCAGCACCGACTAACGTTACCCCAATCCCAGCCCCAGTCCCAACCCCAAGCCCACACCCCACCACCCCCACAGACACCAAAAGACCCATCCTCGAGCCCGCATGCTACCACTACTCCAAGCGCACCGAAGAAGGCCACTTCATCTGCACCTTCCCCCTCCCCACAAGGACCGGGACCGGGACCGGGACGACCACCGCGACGGAACCCTGCGGATGGTGCATGGAGACGTCGCAGGGGTACAAGAAGCATTTTTGGCGGAAGCATCTGCGTGAAGCCGAGGCGCGGGGCTCTCGCAGTGCCATCACCAGCAGTAATCAAGGTAACAGTACCAGCACTGGTGCTAAGGCCGGTAGGGGTAAAATCACCGCCGAAGCAAGCCCGGTACTTGAACCTCGACATCTGAAGCGTCGACGGCGGTCTTCGATATCGTTTACATCGTGTGTTTCACTGACCTCACCAGTACCCCCACCCGCAAACCCAATCCAAATGGAACTGCTCCTGCAATCGCAGCAACAGTACATCCCGCGGCCGCGGCCGCAGGCGCAGCCACCGCGCATCCGCCCGCCTCAGCCGCGGTTCTGCCCGCTCTGCGCGCAGGATTTCGAGAATCTGGGCGCGCTGGTCCAGCATCTGGAGGCCGACCATACCGCGGAGATTTCGTGTCTGTCTGCTGCGTCTGGGGTGTCACCGGGATTGGTGGGGCCAGCTGCTGTATCTGGAGAAGGAGCATCCGGAGTGGGATGGGTTGTTCGCGGATCCGTTGACGCTTCGGCAGGTACTGTTTTTTTAGGGTGGGGATTGTTTTTTCTGCGCTAGGGGATCTATAGTGGAATTCTTGGCTATTATATAGTGATATATATAGAAATCCGATTACGAACAGCTGGATTTCAAAAACATGCGATAGTAGATACATACTGAAAACCACGGCTATGAGTGATCGACGTAACTACACGAGTATTGCTTGTGCATCACAATCTGTCAACAAACTAGATACGTTATGCTTGTCGATCCCCCTTTGAACCACAGTCTACCTGTTCGTAGCAGTAAACATCTCCTGATTACTTGTCCCACTGCACAGCGCATGAAACATTCCACATGAGTAAGTAAGTAATGCATCGCTCCATCCTCCGAAAAATGCAAAATAAGAAAATCCGGGCCTTTGCATCGGGAGACCCACCCGCTCGCATCTGGGCCTGCATGCAGGCGCCCCACTCTTACCGAGCCAGCACCTCCAAAAAAAAAAAAAAACAAACAAAAAGTGAAAGCCCAACGCGGGGGTTGAACCCGCAACCTTGAGATTAAGAGTCTCACGCTCTGCCGATTGAGCTAGCCGGGCTGGTTGGTTGAAGTGCTGTGCACTAGTTACGTACATACCCCACAACAAAAGTCATTATGTAGTATGTGGCTGCATCACCGCTTGCACCCCCCTTGGTCAGTTTGAGGTAGAGACAGAGGTTGCAGTAGACATAGCTGGCCTCATCCCCAAGGCTGAGCTAGCAGGTGCTTCTAGATGTCAACGAATTGCGGGATCCGTGGGTTTGCAGCAAAATGTGCGACTGTGATGCGGTGATATATATGAGCGGGAGAGCGCTGGCTCATCACCCAGATCCGGTCAGCAGTCCGCCTCCACATGCGTGTATTACATATCGTAGTATAGGCCAACTGCCTTGACCTGCAAGGCACTATGAGGACTCCCAACATATATAACAATAAGTAGGTATTCGACTGACCATCACGGTACACATCATCGCCGACGCCCACCCAGTCGACGGTAGCGGAGTGCCAAGGCGGATGACCTCCCCAGAGTGATTGGTGCCTGACCATTCAGGCAAGAAGCCACAGCGCAAGCATTCCGGCCGACTGATCGCGTCGCCCACAATAAGAGTCGTGCTGATATACATGGCGTCGCGCGGACTGAGTGACCGTGCCGAACGTAGACCTATCTGCAGACGGGCAAGTCGCGGAATAGATCGCGTGCCGAATCGCGCAAATTGCTATGCAGGAGGCAAGAACCCATGTCCAGAGGTTAACAAACAGAGCATCGGGGTAGTAATCAATACCACCAAGAAAAACGATATGGGCGGATCAATCGAAACAAGAAGTGGGTATAAGCGAGCGAGAAAGAGTGAGGTTGGGAGAAGTGTGAAAAGACAAAACGTTACCAGGTTATGTGAAGGATGAGATGATGAAAGAAAGAGGGGAGAGAAGCAAAAAGTGACAAGTACCAGGAAACCAGAGGGTGATGAACATCAAAGAAAGTAGACAGCTGAAGGCTGGTGTTCTTACAGTACTAGAGCCACCGGCGGGGTGTGTCATGACCCGAAATCGAAACACATAGCATAGTCACGAAAGACAACAGCCAACCGGACATGCACCGTAGGGTAAGTCACCCGCATACAGTGCTCCATACTGAACCGGACCACAGACCCACCTTTACTGATACAACGTCATATGAAACCATCAATTTACAAATCAATGTTCTGTTCATCATATTCACAAAAGAAGCAAAGTACAAACGTAATCATCACATATCACAAGGCCAGATTCGCGCAGCTGAACGCCGGCGAAACCGCCCCGGCATAGTCCGCAATGATCGCCTCGACGGCCGCATACAGCCCCGGGCCCAACAGAAACAACCCGCACACCATCACAAACACATGGATCACCGTCATGATGCTGCGGCCAGCGCCGGCGAACAACTTGCCCCTGTATAGTTGCCAGTACGCCACGGCAAAGAAGATGAATCCGAAGAACGAGTCAAACGCCGCACCCAGCAGAGACAGGAAGTCGCCCATGCTGGGGATGACCTCGGAGAAAATGAAGCCCAGGATCCAGATCGCCGCCATCAGGCCCAGCCACACCCCCCAGCCGATGACCGTGTTGCTGTGCGCGTGGCGGGACCGACCCATCAGATGCCCGAACACGAACTTGGCGCTGACGTTGGCGTAGATGACGGCGATGATGAGTGTGGGCGCGATGACGAACCCAAAGGAGGCCTTCTTATACGCGACCGTCCCCAGACTGCCGAATGCGGGCGCGGTGGAGTACTGGCCCAGGTAGCGGAATCCGATGGCCGGGGGGACGATGAACAAAATGACGGAGATCCCGGTGAGGACGGCGAGGGCTTTGGGGAAGTCCTGCGGACGCTCCATCTCGGCGATAAAGCTCGGGAAGAGGATCTGGGGCACCCAGAGGAAGGTGATGTTGAGGACTGCGTTCATGCAGTTGACCCAGGTCGTGCCGGGAAGGGGAAAGGCGTAGGTGCGCACGGGACCGTCGGTGGGGTAGTTCCCGTTGTACCCATACAGTGGCGCTGTCTCAATCCCCGCAAAGATAAGGAACAGAAGGATGGCAATGGCCATACAGGCCGCTACGGAGGTAGGTTAGCGCAATCCGTGGTGGGTTCAATCGTCTTTCATCCGAGAACTCACATGAGAACATGGACATGAAGGAGACATGGTGCAGCGTCCGAGGAACGGAGAGCACCACGCCCATGATCGTGCAGATCACCGAGAACACCACCGTACAGAGGGAGTGATCCGACAAGGTGTTGAGAATCTTGGCCCCGGTCAAGATGTGGAAACCGATCAGGAGGATGTTGTTCGCCATCAGCATGAACCCGGCAAATGCGTAGGCGATCCGACTCTTGCCAAACGCATAAAATCCGAAGTCGCCTGCCCATGCTATCGTTAGCATCGATTTCAAGTCGCAAGAATTACCAGAGTCCCTTACAAATATTTCGGATCTGCGGATGTTTCATGATGAACTTGTGCATGGTCGTTGAAGTGATCCAGAACAGGATCCCGGAAAGCACCATGGTGATAATCCCTGGCACCCACCCTAGGACTCTAAAAACCCAACAGCCATTAGTACCCATGGCACACAATCACGTATCAGCTCAACTCACGACAGCGACCAGGACTGCGACATGATAGCCAGACAAACCTGCTCTCCGCACAGCAGCCACGCCCCCTTCTGCCACGACATGGTCCGGAGCTGGATCTCATGTTGGTTGTCTGTTCGATGTGCACAACCGAAAATTAGCCACGATCCTCGCCATCAGAATAGTCATCTCAGCATACCCTCATTCTTGAGCGCATTCAAGATCTCCGCCGAACTGTATCCATCGGAATCGAACTCGTCGACATCAGCGGGCTGCTGCACCGGCTCCTTCTTCTCGTCATGGATCATCGCGAAACGATTGTGGTTGTTGTCGAAGTGCACGATTCCGCAGCGAAGTATGAGGAGGCCGTATTTCCGCGGAGGCTGCAGGGTTTTAAACAATCAATATGTTCTAGACGCAGCACTAGTGGTGGGCGGGTTGATTGGGGTGCTATGGCGTGATAGCGCGACCGATGTTCGCGATAAGGCCCCAGATAGCCAACCAGGAACATGCGTTCCTCTTTAGCTTGCTGATGGGCGGAGCACGATGGAGGCAAACTCAGATGCGAACCACCTATGATGAGGATATGAAAGTAAGGGAAAGAAAAAAAAGATTTCAGCAAGCTAAGCAGGCGCGCTGGGCAGTGGCAAGGAAGGATTTCAGAAAGTCAGAAAGGCGACCGTCGAGCTGACTGCAGCACCTGCAGTGTGCTCGGAGATGGCCGAATCTGGATTGGAAAGAGGCAGCCAATGTTACCCTGCCATGACCCTTACATAATCAGGGTGACCGTGGACAAAGTGGTGTCACTATTTGATGGTTGCAAATTCGCTTTGTTTTGGAGTAAATTGGTGATTTGATAAATGGTATGGATGGGCGAGATTAAGTTGACAGCCTTGTGGTTGACACTACAAATTAAGGTTGCGAAGTGTGTTCCTGGAGGGGTTGGCAGGGGTTCCACTGGCTCATGGGCTCATGGGAATTCGCACACCACGTGTGCTGCGGATGGCGTCATTTGGCGATGATGGGCAAACCATGCTAAGCTTTGCAAATTCTTCGTCAACTCAGATGTTTGGAAGGCCTCGTATTGATCATGTTACTTCCAGTGGCTTGCGTGATTCTCGAATCCTGCGATCCTTCGACCAGACCGTAACTGAGCAACGGCTAGGGCTACCGCAGTGCAACCTACCTCATCATCCGATATGATAGTTACTTTTGTATGGCCTATCAAGGCTAGCGGGTTTGACTTCTACTACGGACTATGTAGCTCCAGCTGTGTTGAACGAAAGTGGCACTTGACTTTGATGGAGTCTCGATGGTGGATAAACTATCACCCCCACAGCAGCAATCGGCAGCTCCGCAGTACGGGCTCCATTTGTGATACCCACTGACCAGCTTTACTTGAAGCTCAACTCCAAAGACCGTCCACAAAAGTTATAACTCTTGGAAACTGATTTGAACAGGCATATAACCCTGCTGTCAGCAACATAGGTAGGCTCTGAAGTTAACTTTCATAAGATCCTTCGGATGCTCAGGAGCAATGGCACAGCTCAAAACAGCACTAAGCACTGTGCTTGATTTTCCTACACAAGAATTTTCATTTGTGCTTGCAGAATCTGACCAAAGCATACAACCGCCGAAGTTGGTAGTCAATGCCTCGCCATCAACTCATGTTTAGACCGTGGGTGAATGTTAAGTCACCAAGCACAAGCAAGGACTGAGATGGGCCGTGCACACGCACACCACACGCTAGGGCTCGAAGCAAGGAGCAGATCAAGATTGGGCAGAAAAACTTCGGACGCGGAGGCGGTGAATATACGGGAGCACTATTCCATTTCCGGCCACTAGGGTTTACGCCAGAGTCCGTGATGCCAAGACCTATATTCATCCGAGTATTCCTGCCTGAGGGATGAGGCAACCAAAGCGACCAGGATTTAGCTACAACATCCAACTCTTTCTGTCGTATCCGACAATCTTCATGTGAGACTTATATATATACACCATTCCACGCTCTAAGGCTCAAACCAAATTTTGGGTCTCGATGCTATGGGTATATGTAGCATTTCCTACTGACCGAGGCATATGACTCCAAAAGAACTCAAATTTAGATCAGAGAAGTGAAAAATCAATAAAACTCGCAGAGTAAATTTGAAAGCGAAGGTGAGCCTCTCTTCGAAAATGCATATCAATTGACTAAAGCGAGAACTATCTTCATTACATCAGTGGCGTGACTCTACAACTAGTGGCACCCAGGAAGCGTAATCTTTTAAAGCTCCAACTCCAAGATGTACACTTTCAGCTCTCATAACTCAGTATCACAGCACTGAGGCAGGCGGCATCTCTAACATGATTGTTTCCCCAGAATATTGACGGTCAGCCCGTCGCGCCTACAGATCCGTCTGTGTTGTTCCGTTGGGGGTGCCTGCCGATGGTGATGATTGTGATATGCTGAAGCCTCACGAGTTGCTGCCGGACGGGGTGAAGATCTATACGCTGTGGATTCGTAAGAGGACGGATCCGAGAGTATTCTTCATCACGTAGAGATGTCTGCTCTGTGGGGGTTCGTCAAAGCTGTTGTGTTGCTCCAGTTGTGGGCTTGAGGGTACTCAATGCTGTCTTACTGGAGGGGGGAGTGCTAGGAATTCATCAAGGTTGTGACGGGTCTGCGAAATGATGGGTTGATACTGAGAATTTTCTGCGTAGAGCGATCCGACTGTATGCCCTAGCTATGATGAAAGGGAGGATGCGGATGCGGATGAGGATTTGAAAGAGCAAGAGTCGCGTCTTCTGCGAAGAAGATTACATCTTTCCTTGCCCAGGTCAGGGAGATCTGAACTGCAAACGTCTGAAGTGGCAAAGGTAATGGGCTGGTAGTGAGGCTTCGTGAGGTGAATGAGCTCTGCTTCAACATAGTCTGCCCCACTTTCCTTGCGACTCATCATAATGAACATAGAAACGGCATTGAGGAAGAAAAAAAAAAGAGGAATGGAAAAGCCTTTTCCCACGACTCTTCTGGCGCAAAGGACCTTCTACCACACTCCGTACCGACGTCTCGTATCGAGTCGAACGCTTGTGTGCTATACTGTGGACTCATCAAGCGTCCCAAACATGTAACCAATCCTCTTCCGCCTGCGAACACATGTGGAGCGGATATGGCCACCCGATCATGCATGATCCTGCTCTAATTTCGACACTCTGGTCGCCATAACACAAGAGTTAGCAATGATCAAGGTGAGAAGCTCGGCAGTCCTTGATCATTTGCAAGATGCTTGGTTGCTAGACGCTAACAATGACTTGTAAATAGAATGCTTAGCAATCGAATTCGGATGCAGACAGCATCTGCACAGTCCAATTCTCCGACGAGGTATCTGATGTGGGTGTAGGTACTCCTGCATTTCTTCATCCCATCCCGCCACAACACGGAGATCGACACCGTCAACGACACAAGAAGACCTGAAGCGTCCAATTTTCCGCCAAAGAGCCATCAATCTCGGACCAGGTCGCAGACCACGTGTACTGTAGAGCACGGAATGCGGAGCCAATTCCAACAGTTAGCATATTCTCAGGATAATTCTGTGATCAATCGTCAGGAGGTCTGCGCCAAGCAAGACGAATACCCTCGACCTACATCGGCTGGGTAAATTCACAATCCTGGACTGGGCCTCGACACAGCATCCAAGTACAAGTACATTAAAAGCATCAGATATAGCATCCGTGAAGGTGTCAAGAACCCCCAGTGGTTCCAGCCGTGCCAAGACGAGCCGACAAGCAGCGCAGCACAGCCACGATGGAGTCAAACATCCGCGCTCTTGGCAACCCCGTCCTGAAACGCCCTCCTGCTCCATTTGTGGAAGTTCTCCTGGAGCTCAGAGCTACTTGCCAGCTCAACCCCCCGGATATGCGCGCATGTAGGCTTGGCATGTGTCGAAACTCCGCTTCTTCCGCAAAACCCTAGATGAAGCGGTGTCCCCTCCGTCTCAGCCAGAATACCGACCGACAAGCTTGGCGGGGGTCACTACCGACAGTTGCCATGCAAGAGCTTGAACGCCTTAGTTGATGCTCCAGAGGAGATAGTCCTTCCACCTATGGCGATGAGGGTCCAGCCAAGTCTTGGGTCGACCTCCTGATGATGTATACCCGTTTAATGAGGGCGCTTGGAAGGTGAACATGCCACCACCAGCATCGATCCCCACAAGCTATAAAGACATTGTCTTCCATCCCAGCTGTCCTGACAATCCATCACCCAACTCACCCTTCTCACCTTCTCTTCTCTTCCTTCCATTTATTCCAACTATAGTCTTTTGCTCTCCTTCCATTCTACACAATGACTAACTTCAAGTGGATCATTGCAGTGGCCGGCCTCCTGTCTGGACAGGCCCTGGCTGCTCCTACTGCCACCACCCACGCTAAGCGTGCCACTGTCAGCGACGTATGTTGTTCCTCCCCTTCAACCTGTGCAACACTAACATGGCTACTCCCCTGTAAAGAGTGCTTTCGGCTACGCCAGCCTGAACGGCGGCACCACCGGTGGATCCGGCGGCACCACGACGACCGTCTCCTCGTACGCGGCCTTCACTTCGGCGGTCAGCAGCGACGACAAGAAGGTGGTGTATGTCAGCGGCACCATCAGCAAGACGGCCGACCAGGTCAAGGTGGGCAGCAACACCTCGATCATCGGCAAGGACGCCAACGCCATCCTGGAGGGATTCGGCCTGCTGGTCAAGAAGAAGGAGAACGTGATCATCCGCAACCTGGGTGTGAAGAAGGTGTTGGCCGACAATGGCGATGCCATCGGTGTTCGTACGTGCCTGCCCTATGCTCCCTCCAAATACAAACCTCGAAGCTGACGGCCATATGCAGAATACTCCAACAACGTCTGGATCGACCACTGCGACGTCTCCTCCGACCGCGACCACGACAAGGACTACTACGACGGTCTGATCGACGTCACCCACGGTTCCGACTACGTGACCATCTCGAACACCTTCCTCCACGACCACTGGAAGGCCTCGTTGGTGGGCCACTCGGACAGCAACTCCGACGAGGATACCGGCCACCTGACCGTGACCTTCGCCAACAACTACTGGTACAACATCAACTCGCGCGGGCCCTCCTTCCGCTTCGGCACCGGCCACATCTACAACAGCTACTACCTCGACGTCAGCGACGGCATCAACACCCGCGACGGCGCCCAGCTGCTGGTCGAGTCCAACGTCTTCAGCGGCTCCAAGAAGCCCCTCTACTCAACCGACAGCGGCTACGCCGTCGCCAACGACAACGACTTCGGCGATGGCGAGAACGCCGCCGACCAGGGCACTCTGACCTCCGTGCCGTACAGCTACACCCTGCTCGGCTCGAGCAAGGTTAAGAGCGCTGTTGTGGGTACTGCCGGGCAGACTCTTACTTTCTAAGCTTGTTAGCTTAGCTTAGCTTAGCTTAGCCTTGCCGGGATGATGATCGGGGTTAGTTTGGGGGTAGCGGATAGTGGTGGTGGTTTGTCATTCTTTAATTTCCTCACGGGTCCTGATTCTTCAGGATCTTTTTCTTTTATCCAATTGAGTTGGTATTGGTGATTCTTGGTTCCTCGTTCTCTCGTGTAGAAAGGTAGATGTAGTCGTCACCGCTGGCGCCAAGGGAGCTCGATCCGGACAATGTGAAACTGCCATGGCCTCGCCAAGGGCTTGTTCGGGCCCCACTGGCACCCCGCTCGGACCAGCTGTCCCGCATGGTTCGTCTAATCTTCGGCAATTGAGGCCCTGAGTTGGGTGTACTTGCGGTTGTGAAGATGTCGGGGTACTGTTAATGTTGGTGTGTTTCAGGTACCGCTTGCTGCAACATGCCATCCGAGTGACCTGTCATGACGGGAGATATCCTGTGACTGGATATCCAATAGACCACCCCTTGCATTGAGGTGCCTTGCATTGAGGTGAGTCCATCAGTGTATATTACCTACAAGATAATGGGCGTACCAGAGTGGTGGGTATAATAGAATAGGTACACCAGTCCCTCCAACCGATCACCACCACAACTCGTTCCTTCCCCCCTTCAAGAAAACACCGCACACCCTCCCCAAAAGCCCTATATACACCAACCCACCCTAAACCACTGGCCACCCCTAAGCCCCCTTAACCCCCCCATCCAACCTAACCCCCCAAACCCTCGTCTCCCCCATCAAAAACATCTCCCCGGCCTCCCCAAACACAAAATTGGCCACCCCACCCTCCACGCGAATCTTCCCCAACAACACCCCGCCCGCCGACCAAACATTGACCCCATCCCCACACCCGGCATACACATTGCCCCGCTGATCCACCTTGATCCCATCCGGCACGCCCTCATCCGCCATCGCAAACACCCGCCGATTCGTCAGGAACGGCTCCCCGTGGATCGTGGTGACGTCGAATGCGTATCTGCGTTAGCATCAGGGAGTTAGCATCGCCCCAATAGGGTAGATATCCACCATAACCCGCCCGGTTGCGGGTGAATAAAGTGGGGAGGGGGGAGCATACATCGTCGCCGCCCGCGTCAAATCCACCGTCCCGTTCCCCAGCGCCGACCCCGTATCAGTCACATACACCGTCCTCCCGCCCGGGGCAAAGCTAATCCCGTTGGGTTTGTCGAACCCATCCGCGACGACGCGGACCGCGTGCGTGGCAGGGTTGTACCGGTATACCTGGTTCGGGAGCTGGGGCTGGTTGGGATGCAGACCCTGGATGTAGGCGTAATCCGGGTCGGTGAACCAGATGCTCCCGTCGGCGGGGTGGATGGCTACATCGTTGGGGGAGTTGTACTCCCTTGAATAAAAAGTGGTGAGGAGGGAGCTGCTGGTGTAGTTTTCGTTGTCGAGGGAGAGGGTATAGAGGCCTGCCGGGTGGGTCGCGTCTCCCTGGCCGCAGAAGAGGATTGCGTTCTCGTTGAAAGCGGTTCCGCCGTTGGGGTTGGGGATAGCTGGGGAGGGGGTGATGAGTTGGGCGGTGAGGGGTGCAGGGTCATCGAGGGCGAGCTTGGAGATTTGGATTGTGCTGGTGTTGGTGGCTGGGTCGGTGAGGATGTTGCTTGTCATGTATAGGGTTCGGGTTTTGGAGATGTAGATGGGGGCTTCGTGGGCAAAGGCGGTGGTGGTGTTGTGGTTTGTGGTGAGGATGGACAGGGTGGGGTGGTGGCCGGTGAGGTTGAGGAAGTCCGGGTTGTGGACTTCGAAGGCTGAGGGGAGGGACCCTGTCCAGGATGGGGTGGGGGTTGGGGTGACTGCAGTGGAGGTCATTTTTGTGATTGTGGTGGTGGTGGTGTTGGTGGTTGCGGAGAGGGAGGAGGTGGTGCCAGCCCTTGCTTTATTTATCTTTGACGCGGTCCATGTGGGTGAGGCGCGATGTAAGGGGCGGGATGCGTTGGACAAGGTTATCTGCAAGTACTGTACTGTACCACCGGGGCCACGGCACCCCGCTGTGTCCTGCATTGCCTGTTTCGGGCCGCTTTGGAGCATCCGTTACGGGTCAAGATTGATTAGGGTTGGGATGCGTATGTGGCCGGCGGCCACTTCGTGGGAGGATCGCCGATCGATGGCTCGTTGTCTCACCGAGGTTTCCCCGGTGCGGGATTGTCGGCGTAACAAGATTGATCTGGATTTGGGAGTGTTTGTGATAACTTCTACCCTACGAGGAATGATCTCCTTGTGTCACCACTCTCGTCTACCTGGGAAATCTCAGAGGTACAGCGGGAGTAGAATGTCATCGGCTGACATGCATCACACAGCTCCTTGAGGGATATCTGGGGTAGCTCGGAAGTCCTATTCCGAGGGCGATAATCAGTTTCGGCCCCCATTGCACTCCCCACTGCAGAACCCGATCAACTTAGCCGTTTCACTAGCAAGAATAAGCATTGCTGTCATATTTGAACTTTCGCCTTCTGATCTCATAGTTTTCTACATACCACTCGTTCGTAATCTACATTCTGCATGTTTACCATCTACAATAGATCTCCGTACAACATTCGTGCTATATAGATCACGATGTACACACATGGCACTGAGATCCAATAGATCGTGTTCGTAACACATCAGCATCTCTGGTCAGTACATGTACTACTAGTTCGAAGCACAGGGAGAGACAGAAGAATACTTAGCCATGCCATGTACATAGTTTTGAGTCCGTTCAGAGATCCTGTCTAGCTCATAAGGACGTGTGCTGTGTCTGGAGCTCAGGTTGAAACTCTCCCCGGATGGACATATCTATATGCCCATATTTTCTAGAGTGGTGGAAAAGAAAAAATGATCAGGAAAACTGAATAGGGAAAAATGCACAGCATGTTTCCCGAGTGGGGATAGCGACGTTTACTCGCGAGCGCTCACTCTTCACTGCCTATACTTGCACTGTGACTGTAGGCTACTTCACTTCATGGCCTTGCATAGTTTTCCAAAAGTAGGTACTATCGAACGCATCCGATCTTATCAGATCACACAGGGGGGAGAACCTTGATCCACGACGCATGACATCTCCAGTCGACTGCGCAGCGGTGAATAACGGCTGGGTTATGGTGAATGATATCATCACAAAAAGAAAAGAAGAGAAAGAAAAAGAAAGAAAAAAAAAAGAAAAGCAATAAAATGCGCACCTTTCCCCTTTCGCTTCCTGTTGACAAAATAAATCGAAGAATGAGTGGAAAGAGACAGTGAGCAAAGAACCATCTAAACAAACCTCACAATACCCATTCCCATGGCCCAGAGCTCAAGTCCCGACCGTGGAGTGTATACTACCGAGCAACACCAAAAGCCCACCCATCATAACACCTATAGTCCCTCCTCAAAGAAGCGGGATAGCCCTCAAGTAGTAGCGGAGCAGAACCCCTCTCGCGCACCGCTGCACCCCCATCGCTTAGAGCAATACAAGCACTACGCCAGTGTATCAGCCAGCGACCGGCAAAGGTAGCTAGCGCATACAAGTCCTGCTCACCCCCCCTCCACGCGAGTTATCTCCCCACCATAAGCCGTGGATGCGTGGCCGGAAATTACTTTCCTTTGGGGCAATGCACCCGCATATCGTTATCATGTGATATGAGCTTAGGGCAGACTAACAAAAAAAGGTACCGTAGGTATCAAGGAGCCAGGAATGGAATTCTTGTCTAGTGCTAGGTGTCGCTTAGCGTATCCCCCCTGTCAGCTTTTAGTGGAAGTGGCGTTGTGGGTTTGGGTCTGGACACTGGACACTGGACACTGGACTGGGAAGCTGCGCTTTGGTTTTGTTTTCTGCGAAGGATGTTTGGTGCTTGAAGTGTTTGTTAGGAAGACTCTGAAAGATTTATTCTTGAGTGAGAGAATGCGATTCTTATTGCATACCACTGCGAAGGAAATGCTCGGGGGATAAGAACTGGAAGTTTCTGCTCTTGAATCTGGGTGTTTGTGCGGATGGCGAACTACGGCGAACGGCGAACGGTCCTTGCCGCTAACTCAGCTAGCTAGTGACTAGCGGGATAAGAAGCACCCCCCTTCGGCTTGAGATAGATTATGGGGGTGATTTCAAAGCAGGAGTACAGTACGTAGTTTGTTCGTTTAGTCTCGCTAAGATTAGTGATATTTAGCCATCGCCCACTCTATTTGCTGTGACTGAAACACGTAGCGTGCGGAGACTTGTTCGCACCCGAATTAGTGGTTCTAGTTCATCTATCGAATCCTTCTATCGAAATACCAAGCGTCATATATAGAATAAATTGTATAGGTAAAGGAAATGACTAAGGAGTGTGATTAACCCGGTGATTGGTCCTGTTCCGATCACGGATAAGAAAGAAAATTACATCGGCGTCGTGGTGGTCGTGACCGTCGTCTTGACGTGGGGCACGGGGAAACTGGCGGCGGCCTCGAAGTCGATGCTGCGGGCGCTGCTGCTCTCGCTCAGGCTGGGGCTGTGGCGCGTGGCCTCCTCCTCGGCCTCGTTGGTGACGTGGAACTGGCGTTGCTCCCAGATCTCCAGGCGGGTGTCGTGGATGCGCTCCCCGGACTCGGTGCGGTCGATGGTGGAGCGCAGCTGGGACTTGTCGCCGTGGTTGCGGAAGCGCGACAGGTGGATGGTGGAGCTGTCGAAGCGGCTGGTGAACTTGCTCGTCTTGCGGCTGCGCGTGCGGCTGCTGCGGTCGTACGAGGAGTGGTGCAGGAACCCCTTCAGGTTGAACATGCGTCGGAACAGCGTCCAAGTTTGGGGCAGGTTGGCCACGATTATCGCCGTGGCGGCCTCGCGCACGTACCAGTCCACCCACTCGTCGCCGTACGGCTGCGAGATCGAGTAGTACTTCGACAGGATCGAGCAGAGGATGACGAACGCCCCCAGCGAGAACACCCCCAGCAGCGTCAGCTTCTTCGTCAGGTTGAGTTTGGCCTTGATCAGCAGCGGCAGCGGGATCGCCATGATCATCAGGTCCGTGGCCACGTTGAGCGCCAGCGACAGAATGAGGTGGTTGCGGTACACCGAGCACTGCACGCTCTTCGGGGGCACGCTCCAGTACGCGGAGAACGGGTGGCACCAGCCCCCGAAGAAGAGGATCTCGATCAGCAGGAAGCACACCGCGCAGAAGAGGCTGATGCCTTTGACCCATTTGTGCTGCGTCAGGCCCTTGCTGGGATGGGGTTAGTTTGTGGCAAAAAGTAGGTTTGGGTGAGGGCGGGTCTCACGTCATGGTCGAGTACAGCAGCAGCAGACACGCCTTGCACCCCCAGATTGTCCCCAACCACATCTGTTCCACCACGATGACCATCTTGCTGCCCAGAATGCGATCGGGAATGGTGGCGGGGTCGATAGTGTCGACCTGGTTCATGGGGATTTCGTTGGTTCCATGCTGGGCGACAAGTATGAGGAAGACCGTGAGTAGTATGTAGAGAATCTAGGGTTGTCATGGTGAGTGCTTGTGCTTTATTGTTGCACGACGAGCAGATACGTACCACTGTCACCAGCATCACATAGTCCTCGATCTGCAGGTTACGGATGGAACCCACTTGCAAGGCACGGGAGACAAATCGCATGAGTGCTATCCTGTCTGTTAAAACCATTGCACAGACGCATCGGAGTATTGTAGCATACTGATCAGCAGCACCACTGCGAACCACACCCAGGTGTTCGCACTGGACGTCATCCTGGCGTCCGAGTCCGAGGGGCTGGTGGGGAGCCTGAAAGCGAAGGCGGTTTAAGTTTCGACCTCCCTCAATATCCGAGTCATCTGGCTGCTCAGTGTTCAGGAAGATTAAGTGAGTGTCAGCCAGGGACCGTAGGGCTGTCGTCTCCCTTTTGTTCCTCCCTTCGGGTCTGACACTTGGGTTCGTGGGTTGGTCTCGTTCGGGGTTGCCTCGATCCAGCGAAAATAGTCAACGGGCCTGACGCCACATCGGCGGGTCAACCAATTCTTCAGGTGGCTATCGCAAAGTTTATCATTGCGATGGATTAAACAATTGAGGGGGGGAAGGAAGAGAGAAGAGAGGCGACTGGGGACAAGCCCCCTCTAAAATGACTCGAGAGACAAGGGACCGTCTAACTGATAAGAATTGGTGGAAATTCATACGGGCGCCAATGGTGAAGCCAGACCCAGGGCTACGGCGTCCACGGCCCACCCGTGAACCTCGAAACGCACAATGTCGCGCATGGACAATGTCCGTATTGGGAGGGCACTACTCCAGTGCACACGTGGTTCCTTCGGCCGATCGCGGCGATCGATCCAAGAGGCCGCCCTCGAGGAGACACTGTGTGCCCTTGCACCTGCTGAGATGGCAGCGATCGGCATATTTAGAAAAAAAGTTAGAAACCTTTTTTTTTTCTTTGGTGTGTGTGCACTCATAGGGCTGCTTTTATCATCTATACAAATCAATAGCAAGTGGAAGAGTGCACATTTCAAGAATTGGTTTTCAAGTATTCCGCTGACCTCGAACGAGCGCCCAAATTCAGGAGTGGCAACCCCAGGAAATCCCGCAAGTGCCGACTTTCAGGGGGAGGACTCCTGAGTCCTGACCCAGCTTGCCAGCCTGCCAGGTTGTCAAGGCAGGCATGATTAAACAGCCTTGACATCATTTGGGCAGAATGGAGGCACTCTATCTTTGAAACGCTTTCCGCGGTTTGCCTTTGGGCCGGCAAACTTAAAATGAGACCAAGAAAATTCTTTCCCGCATCCCGCAATTGTGTTTATTGTTGTTTCCCGAAACATGTCGCAAGTTCGTATCTTGGATCCAAACCCAACGACACACTGGGTGATACAGTACCAGTCTGATGTTGCGTCTCTTGTTGCCCTTTCTTGAGTCGTCTACAACAGCCGCAGAATCGGATGAATCAGACTACAAAGTCATCCGGGGGACGGAGAAGGAGAGAAAAGAAGGAGGTCGGATCGATATCGGAGACCGGAATTAGGGCCCTCGGGGCTCGACCGGAGCGGGTCTAGCGCCAAGCTAGTATCCGATAGGTTGTCCACCGGGAGGCAAATACTGAGTGTAGTGACCTACAGGTGTAATTTAAGGTACCCGGCCTATGTATGGCTGCCAGCCCATAGTCTAAGGTAGTGTAGGTCCCAGGTTTCGAGGTTCCAGCTTTCAGCTTCCATTCCTTATCACACGAGTCATATAGCTTGAAGCAGACTCATATAACCCCCACGGCGGCATCCCGACATCAAATCATCCAGACTGCACGAGCTGGAAGGATGCAAACTCAAATTCCTCCCGGCCTTGCTTGCTCGGGTCAAATTAGATTGAGGTTGCTCGTGTCGGTCGGTGTCGCGGTCGAATGGGTATTCTACGTCCGAGGCCGCCCTGATGCCTGGCCATTCCAAGGTTATGCAGGGATGCTGACCGTGGCGCTGCTGCAACTCTGTTGCTAAGCGGCGCATCGCATCGATGGCGTGCACAAGATCTTATCGCTTCCAATGAAGCCCGTCGGCTGAAAGCTCTCCCTCCCACCGCGCATTGCATCAGTTGATCTCGAGAAGGGTGGACTGTACTTATACTTCGCTACTGCTTATGCTGCTTGCAGTGGTCTTATCGATTCTCTTGCCCCTTAGTGCACCCACCAAAGTAGAACAAAACAACACGATTCATCACTGATCCGATGTCGCATAGCGACCCAGTAGAGGTCAGCCCATACTTCCCACATTCAAAACCATCTTGACACCCCAAGGACTGAGTCACCATGTCCTTGCCAAAAAACCGAGACATGGCTTGGCGGCATCCTTGTCGTCGCAATCTGATCAACCCATCTTTACCAGTCGGGTATATTCGACGAACAGAAGGGTTTATCTGATGCCCATCGATCGATTGGCTAACAATTAACCTTGAGGTTAACATTATAAGAATCCTGCTGTCATGCCAGTGGCCAGTGAGGCGCGTCCGTCCCGACTTACCCCAACCCCCGCCCCACACCGCGTTCAGGTTCCCGAGGCTCTTTGCCTACCTTGGTGGATTCGCCAAATGATTCCCGTTCAGATGGCAACGAGCGATTGCCAAGATGAGGTTTATAGACGGTGTATATGGATGCACCAGACTTGCATACTATACTTGAGACACGTTTGAATTGAAGTTCATGCGCAGAAGACTGGGCATAATGCACTGCGCTGTGCGGGATCTCCATCTTAATGAGCGAGGTTATGATCCACGGGTAGTGGATGTTGTTCTTCCAAGGTGGATACGGGATCAGCGCTCACAGGTTTCTTTAAGATTGATAATAATAACTCAGGCAGTGCGCTGTTTTGTGTATGCATGTGCTGCAGGGATCAGCAGTCTTGTCAGTCTTGCCAACACGTACTTGTGGTTATGGATGTTTTGAAGAATGACTCGACTAGTTTGTTGACTAATGCATGCACTGCTGCTGACTAAACATGCACAATCCGCTGTGCGCAGTATGCGCAGTATACAATACGCGGGACTTCCAATGTACCCCACGAACCTTTCCAGAAGCTATCTACACACCGTCTCTGAGGCTATGTACTTCCCAGAACCTTATTCGAATCGAAAGCAAGACAACGGCTCGGGCTTTGTTCGGAGAAGGAATACCGGAGAAGGATTACCGGCCAATGACCATATTCATCCTTTGCTCCGTGCTGAAGGATTCGGGTGGATCTCCGACCTCGTGAAGAAAAAGGAGTATCAAGGTGGGTGTAGGTTTTCCGGAGGTTTTCCGGCGCAAGAGCCTCAATGAACTTTCTGGAATAGTGTTTGCTGAGCTAGGTAGTATGTATGAGTAGTTCAGGGTTCGGTGCAGAGGGGACTGACGGGGTTGGAGGGGGTGGTTGGTGGAATGCGGCGTGTTCGGATACGAGGCGTGGGGTGGGTAAGGTCCAAGAGGGGGGCTATTGCTTCTATCTGGGTTAGTCATTTGAGGTTAGTATTGTGGTTTGAATACAGGGCAGAAATTCATTGTCTTATAGTTGATCCAATCATCTGTATTCGTGGGGTGTTGGCTTGAATGTTACCCGGTTGATGCTGCAGCTTCAGACCTGAAGGAGTGCAGAGAAGCTCGGGATATTGGGATTAATATAGATCTGTCGGGGAAGATAGATCCGAGAGGGAAGAAGCCTATAGCTGCAGGTATAGTTTCTAGCCAAAGGAAGAATTGTGAACGTTGCTTCTTCAACTAACCTGGTTATGACTCATCAGCCATGTTGTGGCTGGTACAGTTTGCTTGCTTGTGGCGGTGCATGGAGCTGAGTTTCCCCTGTGCAGGAGAGTACAGTGATGAACAATATAAGACCTTCATGATGTGGTTGACCCGTCATCTAGTCATTTTGAGATTTGGTTCCATTATCTTTTCAGTGCCTTATTATTGGCATCGACCGTGGCATTATGAGTATTTATCGACCATCACTTTTGTCCCAAGTCTACCTACTCACATACACTCCCTGACCAGCTGGGTTATAGCTTGGTGAGGAATGTATTTGGTTAAATGAAGGCCAAGATATCGGAAAAATAGCCCGAATAACTATATCTTATTAGCGAGAGGGACTTTACAAGTTGGACTTCTGCGCCAGAATAGTTTATGTATTGCTTGCTTTGAAGTCAATGCACCGAGTTCTGAGTTTTAACTTAGGTGACCAAGGAGTGTGCATGTCACGAACCATACTCGAAGAACCCTAAGCATCCAGTCTCGAAGCGACATTCATAGCTCATATATGTCGACCACCCGATGCCAATAGTATGACTAGTATGGGAAGCTGAGGAAGGAGTTCACACAGTCAGTTATCTTGATTGTTTTTGTGCAGCTTGCATGGCTAGATTCATAACACAGGTAAATAAGAACTACAACCTCGGCGCAATGCTGTACTTGACCGACTTAACGGTGGTCCAACAGTCCAACGCCTCCTCGCCCATGTCCCGACCGAACCCACTCTCCTTGACGCCACCGAACGGGGCGTTGGCGCTCAGCAGCGACCATGCGTTGACCGTGACCTGGCCCGTCTCCAGGGCGGCGGTGACCCGATGCGCGCAGTTGATGTCATTGGTGAACACCGCCGCGCTCAGTCCGTGCAGGGAATCGTTAGCCAGGCGGATAGCGTCTTCCTCCGTGTCGAAGGGGGCGATGCTCTGTTCTCACCATGTTAGATTCAGTCACAACACACAGATTATGAAAACCATACAGGCGACAAAAATGAAAAGGAAGGTCAGGACAAGTGACAGAACATACCGCAACCGGCCCAAAGATCTCCTCCTGCATGATTTTATCCGTCTGCCCGACATCCGCGAACGCCGTGTTTTGCACGAAATACCCTTTATCCCCGATCTGCTCGCCACCGAACAACAACCGCCGCCCCGAGCTCTTCCCCTCGGCAATGTACCCGAGGATCTTCTCGAACTGCGCCTTACTCGCCACAGGCCCCTTGGTGGTCGTCTCCTCCAGCGGGTTGCCAGTGACGGGTTGGTTCTCCGCCGCGGCCTGCGCGTACGCCTCGAGGAACTGCTCGTAGATGGGCCGCTGGACGTAGATGCGCGACCCGGCGGCGCAGATCTGCCCGTTGTTGGCGGTGATACCGATGCGCGTCCAGAGGAGGGCGTTGGCCAGGTCGCAGTCCGCGAAGACGAGGCTTGGGCCCTTGCCGCCGAGTTCCAGCGAGACTTGCTTGAGGTTGCTGGCGGCGGAGGCGCGGAGGATTGCGCGACCCGCGGCGGTGGAGCCGGTGAAGGAAAGTTTGCGGATGTTCGGGTGGTGGGAGAGGGCGGCCCCGGCGGAGGGGCCGTCGCCGGGCACGATGTTGACCACGCCCGCGGGCAATCCGGCCTCGCGGATCAGTTGGGCGAGCTTGAGGGCGTTGAGAGGGGTCAGTTCGGAGGGTTTGATGATAAGGGTGTTGCCGGTGGCGAGGGCGGGGGCGAGTTTCCAGGCTGTTATCATTCTGGAGCAGGTTTTTAGTATGTGATTTCAGGTTTCGGGGGCGTGAAGGGGAAAGGGGATTGGATGAGGTCAGGGTAGTGACGAATGGCCAGCAATGCCGTGAAGAAGATCATCACACATACAGTGGCCCATTCCAAGGCACAATGGCCGCACAGACCCCCAAGGGCTCGCGGAAGGTATAGCCCACGCCCCCCGGGATATGCAGCGTTTTGCCGTCAATCTTGTCCGCCCACCCAGCGTAATACCGAATAGTCGACACGGCCTGTGGCACATTCAGACCTAAACTGTCGGTGTACAGAATGCCGCCCTCCAGCGCCTCAATAGATGCAAATTCCTCTGCGTCTCGTTCGATCAGATCCGCCAGTTTGTGGAGCAGTGCGGCGCGCTCGGGCCCCGGGGTGGCTTTCCATGCGGGGAAGGCTGCCGTCGCTGCCTTGACTGCGCGGTCGATGTCCTCCGGGCTAGCCGCGGAAACATCTGCGAGAGTCTCACCGGTGGTGGGATTCTCGACGGCCAGAGTGGCATTGTTGGTTGCGGGGGTGAATTCGTTGTTGATGAAGAGGGTGGTTGGGACTGGAGGGGGTTCCTGTCAGATGGGCATGTCGACGATGTGAGTTAATTGTGGGATAGGGATATATCGGCGGTACCTTCGATTTGACGACCTTTGGAGCCGGTGAGTGTGATGGAGGCCATTGTGCTTGAGTTGTAACAGAGAAAGTATCCGAAGCAGACTCGATGCAAGCTGTGGTGCTGGAGGATATAGTTATCTTATAGCATGGCAACGATGGAGCATAAGGCTGCCCCGCACCGATTCCGTGGGCATTCCGCACCTCGGAATGTGTTCCGGCCGGGAGATGCGGGGAACAACTGATCCGAGCAGAGAGATAAGTAAATGTCAGCTTCGTCTTTGATAACTGGAAACTCACTGCCGATCCGGCTTATGCTGATGACTGATATGCCCGACAGCGCACTTGTGAGACTCTCTGACTTAGCAGGATGGCGCATCAACATCACTCACTGGACCCCTCGTTCTTGCAAAGTGGCATAAGCCGGACAAGTACGAGTTTCCTGGATTGGCTTCTGCGTCAACAGTTTCAGCCACCTAGATGATCCTGTCAGAGCTGCAATCCTCCGCCTAAGCCTAGCTAAATTGAGTGTGCCCCCAGTCTCTGTTCTGATGGTCGAAATGCCGCATGTCGTCATATTGAAATTGCAACGGGGTCGCACAGCATCCCATCATCACGTACATCCACCACCGTACCAGTTCACAATTGTCTGCTGAAAGATGCGGCAATTGACTGCCCAAGTTCTTGCACGGCCCCCCCAAAGCACTGCCCATCCTAGCATGGTGAACCTCTATCCCGAAAGTCGGTCAGCTTACCGTCCACCCTGGACCGAGATTGTCATCTGACCGTTTACCAAGGGGCATATTGCACGAAGAGCCAATCCAACTCCTCTTCTGACCAGATCACTATGCGGGTCGGACATGGGTTGTCCTCAGAGTCGATCCTCATTTGAGGGAAGACAGAATTGTCGGAGTGATTTGGGCCCATCAGGATCGTGCATGTTTGCGGCTTCATCACACGGCATCCCGTTACTCAGCAGGCAAAGACATACAGCGGGGGCGCGGGTCGGATAAATTGATTGTGGTCGTTGGAAGACAAAGAGTTGGAATAACAGCCAGACTAGACTCCTATTCAATAATACTCGCAGGTTGACCATGTTTGGTGTTTGGTTGAAGGGCCCAAGGATCTCTGCGCATTGACACCAAGGACGGGATGGAGGCAGATATAAATAGGTCATGGCAGACTGCCGAAGTAGTTGTTGTGTCTGTCGCAGCGGACACTAGGCGTCTTCGAGTTAATCAATTCTTCAACTTTCCTACACCATGTTGGTGGTTCTCCTGTTGCTATACCATTTTATCACTAGCACTGTAATTAGTGCCAGCCCTAATGGCACCCATTACTCCTATCACGAGCTGTGGATGCTGCAGAACTATTTCTGGCAGAATTTCCTCTATCCCACTAACCGGGGTCACATCGAAGCCAATGACTCCTCTATCTTCGCAGCCGATGTAGGTGTTTATTTTGCTATTTTCAGGTGCAATGGATCGTATTCCCAATCTATCTCTATTCCTGTTTTTCACCATCTCCGCCAATGACGGATAACACGGCCAACACGGCCAACACCCCGTTTTGTATTTACTCAGACCCGTCCCGCTTTCTCCAAACTCCAACTCCTGCCTTCCCCGCCCAACTTCCTTCCACATCTTCATCTCTAATCTCCTCTTCCATCGCAGGTCCAAGGACGTGTTCACGCAACTCGCACCTTCGACGGTCGCGAACTCAACAACGAGTATATCTTCGGCCTCTTCTCGCAGCCTGACCACCCCGGGATCTTCGGGCCTCCTATCGCGTACAACATCACCCAGTTCGCGGCCACCGACAATATCGCCGCGGCCACCACTCTCATCACCTTCAACATCACCACCTTCCAGCTGGTAGTCCCCGCCGCGATTGACACCTGGTTCCAGTACGACTCCTCCGGCAAGATCACACAGTATGATGCCGTCTTCCGTTGGCTGGATTATCTCTTCGTTCCTCTCATGCAGGCAGCCGGAAAGATGTTTCATCTGAATGATTCAGTCCAGATTCAGAACAAAGTGGCTGCTCTGCTTGCAGACACCATCTGCCAGACACATCAGGATCACTGTCACGGGCCCAACCAGCAGTACGCCTCCAAGGAGGATTGCGTGGTGTTCCTGACCCAGAGAGTCCGCTTCGGCTTGCCATACGAGATGGGTCAGAACACTTTGCTGTGCCGCGAAGTGCATGACAACATGGTGCGATTCAACCCGCCCGTACATTGTCCCCATATTGGACCCGGCGGTGGCGGGTATTGTGTCGACGACATGACCTACCAGCAGGTGGTGCTGGAGAAATACTTTCGATACTCCTGGGTGCCATACGGATATGCGGATCACAACCCGTGGGTGGCTGTAGGGACATAATGACGGTCAGAACAAATGCAAAACTCACCCTGTTGAGAAAACCTCAGATTGATCGTGCTGCGAACCTACCTTCCTTAGCCCCAAGACGGAGCATGAGAGCTGGTTGACTAACTCGTCACGGATCTGACTTGCTGCCTACGATACTGACGACTGGCACATTTCAGAGCCATTCCTCGACATGTGCGGTCGGATTTGACCCAGTCGAGTCCAAATTTTGTCTCTGAAGGGGGATGCAACGGTGACAAGCGAGGTGGCACGTTCATCGCCACCAAGAATGCTCAGGGTCCTCTTGGCAGTCGTGAGTAAAATTGTCGATCACGCGCAACACGACCTGGCCTTTTCCGCCCACCATATTGTAGTCCAGAAAATGAATGATTAGGCGCCCCGCGCTGGAAACCACTGTTCGTCACGGAGAATGATTGAGACGCCGCACGCCATGTCAAACACGCATGGGCAATTGAGGTCCGGACCAGCTGAGAGCAGTAATCGACGGATTTGTGCTTTTCCGAACCCCTCTCGCTTCATCACTCCGAAGATGCCTAGCGGGTCATGTTGGCTTGTGCGGAAGCAAGTATCGGGCCAAGGTGCAATCGATACTGCAGAATGCTAAGCCCCACTGCGGACCCTTCGCCCTCCCCAGACGATGCTGTCGGCCTAGTTCGTGGAGAAGTTTTCAAGTTGTCCCAAGGCTGAGCAGTGTCTCTCCCGCTTTTCTCCTACCATGTGGTGGATTTGACTATGAGCAAGGTGAGATGAGCTGAGCTGAGCATGACTGTGGTGAACCAGAAGATAGGCAACGGGTCCTGCCGCGGAGGTTTAGCGATAGCTTCAGGGCGGCCAAGCCGGACAAATACGGAGTTGAGCGGAACAGCTGGCTTCGGCCAATCTACGCTAAATGGCCAATCGGGTGATTTGCGCGCGACGTCCATCGTGGTCCGAACCTACCACTCACTCTACTCCTCCTCCTTTCTCGTCCCCTATAGCTCTATGGAATATCGTCGATAGTCATTGTATGATCATCAGCCTTGCACGGCGACACATTCGCAATTTTTGCATCCACGCACTGAGTCATCCACTACCCAACCGAAACAGGCCGTTCTTCGACGCCGCATCGGGCACTTGGTTCCTGCGCAAGACCAAGTCTCCGGATCGAACCCCTTGCGAGGTTTTGCGATCCAGTCCGTTACACAAATTGGTCACAGACAGACAACACACGGAGTGTATACCACCAGCAATAGCACAAGAAGAGAAGTGATCGGCGAGCGCATGGCGTCAGGTCGAGACTGACACGACCAACGTGCCAAGCTACTTGGCCCCTGCGCGTGAATGCAGTCTAATCTCGGCGATGATAGTACCCAGTGCAGCTATCCAGTGAGATTTCGGCTCTGCCGTGGGATTTCTGTGTAGCTATCAGCACGCATCCACCATCCTTCACCCCCCTTCATCCTGACTGATTACCTCCGACACTACTGCTGGCCGGATTCTCCGCCAACCATGGGTCCACGTCCTTCACGGCAAGACTGCCCCCCGGCTCCGTAGTGGGATGCCGTTTAACTTCCGGTGCATCAGCCGAGCCGCTTACGACTCTATTCGTGCAGATCAGCGTGGCCAGTCACCAATCAACTCCACGAGCTAACGACGCAGAAAAGGTGGAGGAGAGGGGGCAGCGATACACTTCTCTGAAGACGGGAGCTCTGTGCGTGATCAATGTCTGACATGCATCCTAGTCTGGTTGGGAACTAGTGCTCTGTCTCCACCCCCTCGGTGGCCCTCCCCCTGTACCACCCCCGGCACGACCAAACTTCCCCGGCGCAGGATTCAGAACGAACATAGGAAGGCATTATCGGAGCCTTTGAGGCGCGTATCTGATCCTGAGAACCTATCAGCCTTCTACCCGTATTATGTTCTTCCAGTTCAGCCAGTTGTTGAGAGGGCCTCAACGAAGTATTCAGAGCTTATCTGCTATCTTGTCGGATCACAGTTAGGCGTGCTCGGCTCATCACAAGAACAAATCACGATCATTGGCGAACTGGATGGGGGTGTCCAGCTGCAATAGCGGCCAAGAATGCCTAGTATCGATATCTGGTCGGAGTTGACGACGATATTCGTCGGCCAAGGCCTTGAGTTACAACAAGTATGATCCGAGAGGGGGTTGCAGGAAACGGATGCCGGTTCTAGACAGCGATATGACACTGTCCTCATGGCAATCAATTATTGCCTCGCGGACAGACATTGCCCCGAGACCAAAGGCAGATGAATAGATATAAAGCCCCTCGATAAACCCGTCCATTGATCTCAATCATCATCAGCTCATTTCCTTTTCTTCCTCATCACATCTTGAATATCTCTAATAACAATGAAAGTAGCTGATACCCCTGACTCCGCCTCCACCATCAGCATGACGAACACAATCACCATCACCGTCGAGCAGGACGGCTACTACGATATCAACGGCTCGCGGCAGGAGCCTATTGTCAACCTCCAGCTGGTGACGGGCGCGTCCAAGCTGCGCAGGCAATTAAAAGAAACCAACGAATTGATCATTTGCCCCGGTGTATACGATGGATTGTCCGCCCGAATTGCAATGAATCTTGGCTTCAAAGCCATGTACATGGTAACTTGGCTTCCCCTCTCTCTCCCCCGGACTGGTGCTACAGATTCCCCAGTCCGATCCCCATAATTATCCCGACGGATGCGCTGACGACCCGCTTTAGACCGGAGCCGGCACTACTGCCTCCCGGCTCGGACAGGCAGATCTTGGTCTGGCCCATCTGTACGAGATGCGAACCAACGCCGAGATGATAGCCAATCTGGATCCTTACGGCCCCCCACTCATTGCTGATATGGATACCGGATACGGAGGTAGGCAGTTTCTTTCCACCATCCACCCATTGACACCTCCACAGACCCAAATAACTAACACGAAGGATTTCAGGTCCCCTCTTCGTTGCCAAGTCGGTGCAGCAGTACATCCAAGCCGGCGTCGCCGGCTTCCACATCGAGGACCAGATTGCCAACAAGCGCTGCGGCCATCTGGCCGGCAAGCGCGTCGTCTCCCAGGAGGAGTGGCTGACGCGCCTGCGGGCGGCGAAGATCACCAAGGACCGGCTGCGCTCGGACATCGTGCTCATCGCGCGCACAGACGCCCTGCAGCAGCACGGCTACGACGAGTGTATCAAGCGCCTGAAAGCTGCGCGCGACCTGGGCTGCGACGTCGGCCTGCTCGAGGGGTTCACCTCCAAGGAGATGGCCCGCCAGGCGGTCAAGGACCTGGCCCCCTGGCCCCTGCTGCTGAACATGGTCGAGAACGGCGCCGGGCCCGTCATCTCCACCGAGGAGGCCAAGGAGATGGGCTTCCGCATCATGATCTTCTCCTTCTGCTGCATCACCCCGGCCTACATGGGCATCAAGGCGGCGCTGGAGCGGTTGAAGAAGGACGGCGTCGTGGGGTTGCCCGAGGGAATGGGCCCCAAGAAGTTGTTTGAGGTTTGTGGACTGATGGATGCGATGCGCATTGATACCGAGGCTGGTGGTGATGGGTTCTCCAATGGTGTCTAGACTTGGTTTTCCTTTTTTCCTTTTCTTCTTTTGTCTCTAGCATATTGCTTTTCCGGTGTCATTTTCTTTCCCTACCTCGTACCCGTCTAATATCTCCCATTTGGGAGATCATTCTCTTTTCTTTTTTTTTTTTTTTTCCTTTACTTACATATATCCCCTTTTCTATCCTTGATGGATGTGGATGTGGGAATTTGTACCTAGAAGGTTCCGGGGCATCACGCACAGATACACACCCTACTATATGGGATATATATTATCGTCTGCTCAAGCAAAATGAATACATCGAATGAAAGAAACACTGGTCCTGATCGAGAAGCTTTACAAACTCGACTAATCTTTATCTCCTAGCATTTTCAACCTTCTGCCTGAATTCTTGATTGCTTCTTTGTTTTGGTTTTTCTTTCTCGGCCCGTCTCTCGCGATCTCCGTTCCATTCCTTATTTTTTTTTTTTTTTTTTTTTTTTGGAGTGAAATAAATATCGGGATTTGACTATCGCAGCGATCCTCTCGAAAATCAACCAAACTATGAGAATAGTGCGGATGGAACACTTCCAACCGAATGAGGCGGTTACCTTGCTTATAGCCCCATTTTCGGGGGTTGTTATGCAGCCTTGTAGGGAAAGAGTGGGACTATCTTGTACGTTCATGTATCCCGTGTCGATCATTAGACTGACTACATAGCTGGGGGCTGGTTCTTTGATGGACTATTGGTCTTATTATTTTATTTTTGGGATCCTCGGCGGAGGCGGAGTACAATCATTCAGATTTTTTTTTTCGGGGGATATGCTTGCTTTTCTTCTCTTGTATAGTCTTTAATAATGGGCAGCTACTAGCCGGATATGGTGTTTACATGCCAAGGGGGTAAGAATATGGTGGGGTTTATACGTTGAGCTGTGGAAGGAAAAGACGAATTATCGAATGAGACTTTCATCACACATGACACATACACGTAAGGACATCGAAAGGGGAAGTATGTAACATGAATGAGACTGGGGGGGCGGCGAGAATGAAATGGTCGAAGAAGGAAAGAAAACAAAAAGGAAAAAAGAGGTAAATCCGCCCAACGACGCTGGCTTCATCAAGAACACCTCAACTCAGAGAAAATAATAGGTTCGGTAAAACAGTAAAGAGTATCAATCATGAAGCGAAATCAAAACAGTAGGCATGCATTGCCCTTGTCCTCCTCCTCACTTTCCCCCCACTTATTGCACGGAAGTCTTGCTGAGAGGGGGGAGGAGGAATCTACTCCAACGACGTCTCCTGATGCACCACGATCCGCCACTCGCCGTCGGACCCCTGGCTCCACGTCGTCGACCCCGTGCCGTTGAAGTGGATCTTGCCGCGCAGCCGCGCGTTGATCTTGTAGGTGACTGTGCCCGCCATCAAATCGATGATGAGCACGCGCACGTCCTTGAGCTCGTACTCCTCGAAGTGGTGGAAGGGCGGCTTCAGCGCCTCCGACAGGGACGGGTCCTTGCTCTGCAGCGTGAGGATGTCGCGCTTCGGGAAGAGGAAGTTGGCGTCGTCGTTCGACATCTTCTTGATCTCCGGGCCGGGGTCCGCCGAGGTCAGCGCCGTCCAGAGTCGGCGTTCCATGGCCAGGAGGTCGTCGCGGATGCGTTCGTGGATTGGGGCCATTTTGGTTGGACTTTGTGTTAGGGTCGGCGGTGGGGTGGAGGTGTTGCTGGGCTTTGAAGGTGAGTTTGGGTGTAGTTTAGGAGAGAGGATTGGGTTGAGGTCTGGTTGTTTGGTTAGTCAGTTGTTTCTCACTCAAGTTGAAGGAGGGGCGGGGATGCGACGTACTGAGGTAGGCTCTCGATATCTCAACGCAGCGCACGCGCAGGTTTAGTTAGATGGCGGGTATAGAGGCAGACGTAACGTTGTCCAGAGTATAAAAGGAAAACAGAACCAGAAGGTTGCGATGCCAGGAATAAGACGGAAAGATGAGGGTCGACGGGGGTGCAGCAGAGCGGTGACGTCATGGGCGTTGTACCCCACGTGGATGACGTCGCGACACTCTCTTTTCGTGTCCTCAGTATATGTAATACTCCCCCCTCCCCTCCCGGTCCCCGTGATGGCAGAGGAAGACTCAGCCGTGTCATGTCATGCGATGACCGTCTGGCTCTCCTGTGGACCATAATTTGGCGAGATCTGCGTTACCGGATGACGCAGGTGAGGATAGAGGGGTGGTGACGCAGTAGGAGAGACTCAGGGAGGACATGACTGCACGGGGTGACTTTAGAAGGGGGAAAGGAAATAAAGGATGAGATAGAACAAGAATATGGATTAGAGTTGGAATGCTGAGTGTAGGTGTAGTTGTTCTGGACTGTGTTTTGGCAGGTGTCAATTGAGGGGAGAGGCTGGGGTGGTGTTGCGCCATGGTGTTGCTGGTGTTGCTGGTGGTGCTGGTGGTGCACCGTATGCAATGGTTGTCATGTTTGCATGCATCGGTGCAAACAATGCATTATCCAGGTCATGTGCTTGTTCCGGTACGACACAAAAGATGTTTATCTATGCCTGAGGCATCAGCACGGGCCGCTATCTCTAGCCTTCTACTCATAGTTTCACCTTCCATCGCTACATCGTGCATAAACCCGTGACAGACCTGACTGCTACCAATCACACATCTTTGGCTAATCACTATCGAAAATTACTTCTATAACTCTACACAGAGATCTGCTAGTCTCTATCGCCTCAGGAAAGCATCCCGGGGAAAAAGCATACCTCCCAACAATCCAACTACACTCAATCACAAGCTAGCAAAAAAAACTTCCTAAGCTCTGACTCACCTCGTCCAGAGTCTCAATTACAACTTGAACCCACTTTCAAAATCCGGACGAGCCAAGGAGTATCCGCATCCAACCGGTATACCAGAAGCAGCCCGCGAGGCTGGGTCAGACACAGACACAGTGACAGCCTCAATAAGACTTTCGTGACGGCGGTTAGCCAAGGGACAGTCTTCAGCCAGGTCTCCACCAATGGAACGATTTAGCATAATCTGGAAAGCGTTTAGTCGAGATGTGGACCTCTAGCTTTGGCGCGGTGGCCGAGCTAGTCTCATCCCTCGGATTTTTAGAGATGGCTTATCTCTCGCCATGATGGTGCGGGATCGCAACACATCACAACCGATGAGACAAGCAGTACACGAATCTGCGCCATATCTTCGTTCATACCTCGGAGGACAATGGTTGTTGAGCAGCAATTTGGCTTCACTGAATTGTCGGGGTGGCGGGATCGCATTGAGACAGGGAGTCATTGCAGGCGCATGCAGCCTGGTATGCTGTAGTAGATAAAGCACAACAAGGTAGCATTGGCAGAAGGCTTGCAATGCCCTCAATCAACAAAAAGCCACTCGGAATAATCAGCTTTGAAGAGCTGTCTGCCTAGTGCCCACTGCCAGCCCCAACAGCTGGTCACGGACCTTCCAGTAGCATTGGGTTGAGCGATTTTCAGCCACTGGCGACCAGGTCTGGATTTGTCCGGCTCATTGGTACTTATCAGTCTCGGATGCCTTGGGAAGTTGGGAGGTGGTGTCCCCATCTCTGAAAAAGGCCTCATATTTTTTTTTATTTTCTTTTTTGTTTAGCATGGTTCCAGCTTCCTCAAATCGCAGTCACGTGTCATGGCGGCAAGAAGCTTTCGAGAAAGAATTCTTCGAAGCTTCCCCTCAACTCTTTTCCCCGTCTACTCCGGCTGATTTATCCACTTCCCCGCCTTTTAGCTATATTTTTTGACTTCATCGCTGGCTGTCATGCAGGGAGCGGCCATCTCCGACGAAGGCAGACGGTGATAGTGACCCCTTCGCCATGCTGGGTGTCTTGCCCTGTCTGGGAAGATGGAGAGTCAACAGGAGTCCGGTGGGCCGCCGATAACTGACCCTCCTTCTGACTGGAGGGCGAGGGCGCGATAAGAACCAGATAAATAAAGCTCCACCGCACAAGACGGGTGCCCTTATCGCTGATTCTATCCTCCTCAATCTTGCGCTCTCATCTTATCACTGGCAGCCTTTCTATCTTTTCGGATGTCTCCGATCGGTTCCTGCGCTAGCTGTGAACTCATCGACTGTAACATGTCATCTTATGCAGCAAAATTGATCAGCTCAGGTGTTCATGCTTGTTCACGCTGGGAGTTTCGTTGTTGCTGGAGATCACCCAGCCATTTTCTGCACCATTGCAATAATAGTGGAACCACGGAGAACAAACCGTGGCCGGCCTTGGCTAAATCACGTTAGAAGTGGGGATTCTTCAGCCAGAAGGCTGGTTCGGTACCAATAAAACGACGATCATTGGCTGGCTGGATAAGCTGCTTCGACTGCCGATCGCTAGGTACTCCTAACTTATCAGCGCTGATCCTTCCTAATCAGCTCATCTATGGATAATGGATACCGATTTTTCCTGCAGGTGGACTTGCACATGGATCGGTGCTTGCCGACTGCTTCCCCATTGCTTCCCGCGCGAAGCCCAGAAAATTCTACCAATTGTGACTCTATATAAGAGGTGTTGCGCGGCCTCTCACTGGGAAGAAAGTGTGCTCTCTCACATTTCCAAACGCGTACAAGATGCAGCTCCTCCAATCCGTCACCGCGGGCCTCCTGCTCGCCGGCAGCTGCTTGTCTTCCCTGGCTGTGGCTCGCTCTGTTCCCGTGCAGCAGCCTCGCGATGTTGTCGTGAGCCACACGCCGGCTAAGATCACCCCTAAGGTGTTCATCGTGTCGATGGTAAGCCCAGCACCTTCTAGCACAGCATGATCCCAAGCTCACAATCCCTGCAGTTTGCGCCTGAGGCCGAGATCTGGTGGGGTATCCCGGAGTTCGATCTGTTGGCTCACAACATCACCATCCCTGGCGCTTCTCCCGCCTTCCCCGATGTCCACTGCACGGCGGACTACACCATCTGCCAGCTCATCACTGGTGAATCTGAGATCAACGCTGCCATCACCGTTGCGTCGGTCGTCTTCAACCCCATGTTCGATCTGACTAAGACCTACTTCCTCGTCGCTGGTATTGCCGGCGTCAACCCCGAGCGCGCGAGCATCTGCGACGTGACCTTCGCCCGCTTTGCCATCCAGGTGGCTCTGCAGTATGAGATTGACATGCGCGAGATGCCCGCCAACGCTACCACGGGCTACTTCCCCCAGGGCGGCTACTACGCCGACCAGTACCCCACCAGCATCTACGGTACGGAGGTGTTCGAGGTGAACGACGAGCTGCGCAAGATCGCCGCCGGCTTCGCCCGCAACGCTACCCTGGCCGACAGCGACGACGCCAAGGCCTACCGCGCCAAGTACGCCACCGAGGATGGTCTCTACAAGGCCGGCACCCAGGGCCCCTCCGTTCGCCTGTGCGACGTGACCACCAGCGACGTGTACTTCAGCGGCCGCCTGCTGGGCGAGGCCTTCGACAACACCACCAAGATCTGGACCAACGGCACCGGCGAGTACTGCACCACCGCCCAGGAGGACAACGCCACCCTGGAGGCCCTCGTCCGCGCCTCGAAGCACAACCTCACCGACTTCTCCCGCATCATCGTCATGCGCACCGCCTCGGACTTCGACCGCCCCTACCCCGGCGAGACTGCCCGCTACAACCTGCTCTACTCCACCCAGGGCGCCTTCGAGCCCGCCGTCGAGAACCTGTACAATGCCGGTATCAAGATCGTCGAGGGTATCCTGGCCAACTGGAACAGCACCTTCGCCGCCGGCATCAAGCCCCGCAACTACCTCGGTGACATCTTCGGCACTCTCGGTGCTACCCCCGACTACGGTCCGGGCCGTGCTCAGGCTCTCGAAGAGGCCGGCGCCATCCTCAAGAAGCGCAGCATGGGCAAGCGCTTTGTCCGTTTGTAAAGACCTAGAAATGTTTACGATCATGTGTGCGGATGTAATGATAGATTAGAACAATATAATGTTACACGTTAGTTAGGTATGCGACCAGTTTTCGCTCATTTGCCTACCTTCTATCAATCCTTACTCTGCGTAAGGTAAGGATAGCCATAGAGATTAAGCCATGTACGATGAATTAGCACTCCCGTCTGAGTGCACAACTAAGGATAGCATCAAGAGCTTGAACCTAACACCTCCGGCCCGACACTCTAAACTTCGCGCCGGATTTTAACGTGGTCCAGAAACAAGCTTTCCCTCCCCTCACAAAGTGAAGCAGCTCAAAGATGAATGCGCGAGTAGCCCAGAGGGTGGAATTCCTCACTCAGACAGAAATAGCCAGTGTCCAAATGCAAGCAGAAAATCCCCTAATTCCGATGCTGCCGACCTCGACACCTAATTCCAGTTAACGTTTACACCTCAAAATCATCGAAAGATACACAGTTATGTAGAGGGGCGAGATTTGATTAGGTGACGTCAATCGAGCCTAAAAGCCGTGCTTCGGCGATATGAGCAGCATATATGAGGTGCCGTTCGTCGCCTTGTGTACGTCAATCCTCACAGCAAAACTCTCGCCCTCTGAATAAACCTATTGACAGGTCTAGCTATGGTTTCTGACCGATACCCCGTCACGCCTCCGGCAGAAGGCACCTACGCCCGGAGCGCGCTTCGCAATAACGCCAAGGGCACCGATCTCGGCCGCGAGGCGCTGGAGCGCTTCAAAATCCGCGAGATCTGCGAGGGATGGGCAGCTACCGGAATGCTGCGGAGTGCGTTTCCCATCTTGTGAACCCTAATGTGAATTATACCTAACGGTGTTGGCATGGTACAGATGGCAGAACTACCTCGCCATCTTCTTCGATGCCGCCTACGTCGCCACCTCCTGGAAGCAGGGCACCATTGACGAGTTCATCGAGGCCTCCAAGGCCGGTTTCGCCGCGGGATTGAGCTTCATGGATATCCTGCACTGGACCTGCGGTTCGCCCGTCGAGGTCGATCCGACGCTGACCCGCGCGGTGTGCAAGATGAAGACCACCATCACCTGCCGCTTTACGTTTAGTGGTGTGGAAATGGACAACGAGGCCGACTGCCGGGTTTTCTTCCTGCTGAAGAAGCGCGCGGGTCGCTGGGGCGTCTGCTTCTACACTCTTCTCTTCGATAAGGACAAGTTCGTCCCTGTCCACCCCGCTAAGCTAAGGCCTTCGAGATTCCCGAGGAGGAGGTCGAGCGGTTCCCCTCGGGATACCGGTATCTCGCTTGGGCGGAGGAGAGAATTGGGCATCCTTCCAAGCTGAACTTGAACAGTCATGGCCCCGAGCGGGATATTTTGTATGGCAAGTGTAGGGATTGGCTTGAGGACAGGGCGGTTGAGCCTGATCTTCCTGGGGCTGATATGCCGGGACTGGAAGACCTGGGTTATCCAGAACAAGACGAATTGGTGGGGCCGAGGATGACCATCGAATCAAGGATGACACATTCCTTCAGGTTATGTTGAAGGGAGACTCCTGCGCAGTTTACCACCGCCTCATTCTCATGTTGAACAGCTGTGGCTGTTCCGTTGTTGCCTGTATTTTTTAATTCAACAACAGAAATAGTATTATCCAGGTCGCGGAGCTGGTCATACTGTAACCTTTTGATATGATACAGATCTAGTATATTGCTATGATCTAAATATACGGCAAGAAATCGGCATCTGAAAGGGTACAGCAAACATAGCTAGGTAGGTAGCAGTGTTCCATGGAAGGTGGTATTTCAGTCACTGGCCCGTGTGAACCCCAATCCCAAGCAGACATTGTATAGATACAACGAAGGATTCAACGCGCCGGCTTTGCACTGGCCTCCGCCTCAAGATCTGGATATGGAATATGGTTTAAAATTCTACCTATCAGTCAGGTAAAGATTCCCCCTCGATGATTTTACATAAACCACCGCTTCCACGTGCCGAAATAACAAATTCGTGGTGGATGACAACCACGCCCAAACGTCGAACTCACATATAGGCTGATTAGGGCACAAGGTCCGGCCGGTGCTCACCCGGCGTGGATTGACTTTGTGGTGGTAAAGCTTACTTTGCGGCGCGGAGGTTGGCCTCCATCGTGACGTACGCAAGCATACTATGATCTCACATTGCACGCTGTTGGAATCAGGTTATTTCAATCAGTCCAAGAGGAATTGTAGAGTGGCACATGCCGCGAAGACCAGCCGGTCTTTGAATGCGGGGAACATCGAGGGAATTGCGGGTTCTCGGGACCACATTCGGGATGCCCGGGCGTAGGGCATATAGCTACAAAGCATATATACAATACAAGGTGACGGGTCTTCTTAAAATGACAGCGGAAGAGGAAGAGAGACTTATAACGACTCATATAGGCGGCACAGTTGGCCACGAATATAAATTCAGAGATTCTTGCTACGCATGCACCGGTCTATGATCGTTATCAGATTGCGCCCTAATCTCGTGGTAATCACCTTCTCCCCCCTCCACTCAATCTGGCAGGACGCGAAGGGAGCAAAAGAAAACCAGCCCCAAGAACCCCAAAACAGAACCGGGTATTCTGCAAAACTAGAAATGTCCGCTTCCCATTTTTTCGACTCAATCCGACCTCAACTCCTGCACCAACCCCACCACATCCACAAACCTCCTCGCCACGAAATCCCCAACGACCTTAGGAATATAGCCCGGAAAGCCCCGCACGATCTGCCCCAACGTCCCCCACGACTGCTCCCCATCAGTATCGTACGGCAGCGTCCCCGCCAGCCCCGTCGTATTGAACGAAGCATACACCAACGGCACCTCCTCAAACGACACCCCAGCCCCGACAACCACCTCATCCAACCCCTCGGCGCTCAACAGCCTGGCATTCCCCACCGCCGCCATCGCCAGCGGCGCCCCGGCGTTGACCGCGTACGTCCGCGCCGCGGCCACGTTGATCTCGTTCGATTCCCAGTACTCTGCTGCCGGGGTATTTTCGTCTGGCATGTCTATTTTGATCGAACGATTTGTTAGCCGTTGAGCAGCTGTGAGGTGAGAAAAAATAGGGCAAGCACGAACAAGGCCAAGACGCAATATGCAACGTCTCCTGCTGCGCCTGGACATTGAACGTCATCGCGGGGTGAAAGTGCTCCCAGCACTCTAGCAGCCCCCAGCGACCGTACGGCGTCGCAATCACCTGCAACCTATCCAAGGTCCCGTCCGACCAGATGGTGCGCTCGCCGCCGGAGGGGCGGAGTTTATGCCGCAGCAGCAGCGTCTCCCCGGCCGGGGAGATCAGGGCCTGGGCCATGAAGATGTGGTTGTCGACGCGGTGGGAGAAGGCGGGGACGATGTAGATGCCGTGGGTCTGGGCGGCGGCGAGGAGGCGGGTCCATTGCGGGCTGGGGATGGTCAGGGAGTTGGTTAGGTAGGAGGTGAGTTGGGCGGGGGTTATGCTGGTGTTGCTGGCTAGGCCTTTGGGATATCTATTGCGTTTCAGGTGGTGGTTAGTGGTTAGTGGTGCATGGTTGATGGGTGGGTTTGGGGATGGAGGGAGGGGGTGGGGGGCTCACCCTGGGAACCAGAGTTCGGGAAACACGATCAGGTTGGCGCCGTTGGAGGCGGCCTCGGCGATGTAGTCGACTGCTTTGGCGACGGTGGCGTTCAGGTCGAAGGGAATGTCCGTCCAGTTCTTGTTCATCACTGGGAGGGGCCAGTTGGCTGGTGGAGCACGGACTACCGCTACCGTGAGGTTGGTGTAGTCTTCGTGGTGGGTGGAGGTGGCATGGCAGGTGCTGAGGAGGCCGAGGGCGAGAAGACGGAGGGCACGCATTTTCATCTTTGGGTAGATTTTGTTAGGTTGAGGAGATGAAGATGTGTTGTGTATATCTGTACTTATACCTCCTCACTTCTAATCTGGTGCTGTGCGATCTTGCCATCGTGCCTCTCCTGATATCTCGCTATCACCAGCTTCCTGATACCCAAGTGGACCAACAAGATAAGGATCATCGGCATCCCGGGGTTTGTGACGCTTTCCTCACACATTCAAATCCCGTGCCGGTGTCGGAGGCTCTGGGATCTGGAGTTTCTGATAGTCAATACCCGAAGAGCCGGTTGGTCTCAGTACCGGAAGATGGAGCACTACGATAAGCGTAACCAGTCCCTGAGTACCTTTCTGGTACTATGACTGAGCGAAAGCACCATTGTGTGGCCTGGATAACCCTTTCGTGCTCCGGATAACTTATTTCCCGAGCCCGTCTTCAATCCCGCTTACACTGAGACTACTGGGCCTTTGGCTTCAGCGGCTATTTGGTCTTTGTTTTTCCATCTGGCAGGGTTTCTGGAAAAGGCAAAGGTCATTGTGGTATGGTCACGCACTCTTGAATTACGTCTGGTTATATGTGCCAATAATTGTGGCTCATATAGTAAGTAGAATATAGATGGCGATGAACCAACCAAAAGCCGCCGGGCTGAGATTCTGCAGTTCCGCTGCCGAACCCAGGGCTCGAGCTGCAGGCTCGTGCATAAATCATCCGTTTTAGGTTTGTTGCAGAACTCCGATACCCGAACCAGGCTTTAAACATCGATTAATCTTGTTTCAAGAGTCTACCATGCACTAGAGTCGGATTTCCCTGTGGAGTTGCATCATCGGGGTCGATATTTCCTGCTTTTTTGATGTGTGCCAAGCTGCTTCTTATGGAGAGACAGTCCAGGTGACCGTAGGTGCAGCGCCATTTCATTGCCGGTACGCGGAACTAGGCCATCGGACAGCCTTCTGAGCCTGGCGACGTGCATGTTCATGAATGTAAACAGGAATCTCTGCAAAGTGGACTGCAGAACACATCACTTGACCTGATACTTCCTGGAGAAGGTATATATAAGTTGAGTCAATATCACTGGGAAAAACCTATCTTTGGACCACGGCTTCCATTCCGAAAACTATACAAAACCATCCCTCTCTTATCAGACCTACCACAGAAACGTCACGGACAACACCCACAGCCATGGCCAACACCGCCACCCCAGAAGCCTGGCGCATCAAGACCGTCGAATGGATCCGCTCCTCCACCCCCGAGCAACGGAAACAATGGATCCAAGAAGCGGGGTACAACCTCTTCGCCCTCCCCAGCGACCGGGTCTTCATCGACCTCCTCACCGACAGCGGCACGGGGGCGATGAGCGACCGACAATGGGGCGCGATCATGACGGGCGACGAGTCCTACGCCGGCTCGTCGTCCTTCCATCGCCTCCAGCGCACGGTACAAGACCTCTGCGGGCTGGAGTACATCCTGCCGGTGCACCAGGGCCGCGCCGCGGAGAACGCACTCTTCTCCGTCCTCGTGCACGAGGGCCAGCTCGTCCCGGCCAACGCGCACTTCGACACCACGCGCGCGCACATCGAGTTCCGCAAGGCCACCGCCGTCGACTGTCTCCCGGAAGGCGCGTACGATGTGACCGACCGCGACAACCCGTTCAAGGGCAACATGGACCTGAACAGGCTGCGCAATCTCCTCGAAGACCGCCACCAGGATATCCCCTTCGTTCTGATGACCATCACCTGCAACACGAACGGCGGCCAGCCCGTGAGCCTGGCCAACCTCACCGCGGTCAAGGAACTCGCTGACCGCTACGGCAAACCCCTTGTCATCGACGCGGCCCGCTTCGCCGAGAACGCGTGGTTCATCCAGCAGCGCGAGCCACAATACCACGATGTGTCCATCCGTGAAATCACCCAGAGGGTCTTCGCGCTGGCGGACGCGATGCTCATGAGCGCCAAGAAGGACGGCCTGGTCAACATCGGCGGGTTCCTGGCCACCCGGCACCGTGAGTGGTGCGACCAGGCGCTGCAGTACGTGATCCTGTTCGAGGGGTTCCGCACGTACGGCGGCCTGGCGGGCAGGGATCTGGGGGCGTTGGCCGTTGGGCTGGATGAGGTTACGTCCGCGGAGTATCTGCGCTCGCGCATCGGGCAGGTCCAGCGGTTTGGGCGGCGCTTGGTCGAGGCGGGGATTCCGATTCAGTTGCCGGTTGGCGGGCATGCGATTCTCATTGATGCGGGCAGGTTCCTCCCGCAGGTGCCGCGCGAGGAGTATGTGGCGCAGACGCTGGCGGTGGAGCTGTATGTCGAGGGTGGAGTGCGAGGGGTGGAGATTGGGACGTTGCTGCAGGGCCGTGACCCTGAGACGGGCGAGGAGCGCTTCGCGGAGACGGAGTGGGTGCGGTTAGCGGTGCCGCGGAGGGTGTATAGCGATGCGCAGCTGGAGTATGTGGCGCAGGCGTTGATTGCGGTGTATCATCGGAGGTCGGAGATTACGCGGGGGTTACGGATTGTGGAGGAGAAGCCGGTGTTAAGGCACTTTACGGTGCGGTTGGAGCGGAGGGAATAGTATAGATATAGATAGGTATTGTCCTACAGGAAAGTGGACGCTATGTTTTGAGGCAAGTATGACGTTTGATTGTGGAAAGAAACAGGAATGAAGGGAGGCGAGAGTATGAAGCAGACGCTTTATATCACAGGACAGTTGTTACCCCCAAGGGCACAACCCGCACAGCTAGAATGTGATCGAACAGTTCACAGGTCCAGGCCAACGCTTCCGCCCTGTGAAAGTACATCATATCCTTCCAACTAGTGCCGATCTCCCTTGCGGCATCTCCCCATCCTTCCAGTGAGATATCCCGGGCGAATTCTACACACCAGTGCTCTTCGCCGGTTATCTGGTCCCCGTGGTCAGGCAGCTCATTCACGACCACGACCAGGTCAGTCAACCGCGGTCCGAACCGTGTATCCGGGCACTGCCACTGCAAGACATTCTTCAACGAGTTCGGATGCCTCCCCAGCAGTCAAACGGCACCGCCAAAGCCACCCTTGGCTCCTCTATTGCCGGCAGATAGAACTGTCGATGCCACCGTTTAGCACACTGCTCCTCTCGAGGCCACCAAACCGCCCCAGGAGGGCTCCAGCGCCACTCGGTCCCCCACCGCACCGTCTGCTGCTGGTGCTGCTGCTGTTGCTCCTGTTCGGATCCATCGGTGCTGGTGCTGCGACCGGCCGGAGGGGATTCGCAGTACCGCTGGTACTCCGCAAGCGACAAGAACAGCGCATCGCCCACCAGCCCGTCTAGGGGCTGTGGAGCGGTGAGGGCCTTCCGCTCCCAGTCAAAGAAGAGAGCGCAGCGGCGCGGGTTTCCGCAACGCGAGTGCTCGTCCCGCCAGACCCCTCGTCGTTCCTGCTTGGTGATATAGGCGCTTGCAGCGGCGCGAGTCTCCCGACTCACCTGAAAGTGGCGGACGGGGTATCGCACCTTGAGGTTCGTCAGTGCGCGCTCCCTTTCCTCGTCTTCGAGGCCGGGTCTTGCGACAGCGCGAGGCTGCTAGTGGTGTCGCTGGATGGGGTACAGGACACTCCTATCCGGACCGATAGCTCCCGAGTAGACTGAGGGATGTCGTCCAGGGAGACTTTCCAGATCATGTGGCGGAGGTCGAAGGGAAGATAAGGGAAGAGGGTGAAGGACGCCGAGGAAGACATTGTTGGCTGATGGGGCGGTGCACGGGGATTATACGACTGGGACTACTTTGTTTCTGTTGGATAGGTCTTTTTGGTCGTGGATTGAAGATCGGACGTGACTGCTCTGTATGATGGGAGATCGAGTACCAGAGCCGGTCGGCAGGGCGAGTTGACTGCTTAAGTATTTTGTATTTGTCTTTCCTTCGTGCATGATGAAAGGGCTTGTGGGTATAGAGAGTCGGGAAGCTTCACCTATCCTTTGAAGCTAGAGTTATGATCCTCGTCAACGTAGCCTGTTCATCACAAAGGGTTTGAATGCCCATTGTTCTATACAATGACGGCCCTTGGCTGGAGACGCGAAGACAGGTCACGTGCACGGACACCCTATACTTTCCAAAGGACCAATCAGAACACATCAATCGCTCCTCCTAGGAATTTAAATTGGATGAGGGAGACCCTGCAATTCAGGAGAGGGCTGTCAGTTTGGATTAGGCGAGGAGCGCTTCGCGGGGACGGATTGAAATGTAGCTGAAGATTTGGTAAAAGGTAACTATATGGCAAGAAGTAAGTAATTCAAGCAACAGGAAAACAGCTCAGCCGCTCATCTTTTCGTGGTACATACTTGTCTTCTTATGTTTTATGGTTGATGTTAGGAATGTAAGGTATTGCTCATGAAAAGTCACAGAGAGATAGGAGCAGGTCTCATAATCTTTCCGCAGAACTTGTGAAAGCTGAATACACATCACACAAGCCTTAATTAAGATGTTAAGATATGAGTCAGAACTTACACAAGGGCATGAGATCATAAAGAAGCAACCAGTATTATCTATTACTATTCAGCCTAAATCAGAAAAGGGGTAGTTAATTCAGTGTTACACACGCCTTCAGAGCTATGTGAAGATAGTATACTTAGGTCCCAGTCAACTACTCAATCTGTACCGACAGCCTTATCAGCAGATTCAAGATCATATACGAAGTGCCTAGGTGGTTTAACAGGTTCGTCGTGCCGCACAGCATACATAGGTAGAATCGTCCTTATCCGGCCATGTTCCACGGGGTGCAGCCGGGAAACCGCGTGCTCGATCACGCTCCAAGCGTCAGCACCGATGGCAGAGCTCCATCACCCAAACTTGAAACCCCTCATCCTCACCGGTCGAATCTCAAAGTCTCTACCACCACCACCACCACTACCAATCGCATACTCAACCGCCCGCTCAATCACCTCATAGACATCCGCATCAAATAATCTCTCCCCAGCAGTCCAGTGAATCTTGAGGCAACTCCGATCGACAGTCATCGCCCTACCCCTGTCCCGGTAAGCAGGGTCCACCATCCACCGCTGTGTTCCATCCATTCGGGCGGGTAGTGCATCCGGCCCATCGACAACCACGAGAATCAGTTGCGGACTGCTCATGTCATCCAGGATCATTGCTAGGGTGGTTACATCGCGGAACAGTGCTTGCAACAGGACGAGCAGGGGGATAGACACTTTGCTGTTTGCATCTTCCCGGGACTTGGGTATTGGGTAACCATTCTGCCCCTTGGGTAGGCTCAGGCTACCGTGCTGGATTGCTTCGGAGTGGCTGTTGTTCTTCCCTCGGGCGGGGTAGTTGGAGAATGGCCAGGTCTTTTTGGGCGAGGAGACGTTCTCACTGCGTGGTAAAGGGAGATTGTGGGTGGGAAGTCCTGTGATGGAAGGAAAAAGAAGACCAGGGTTCGACTTGGGAGGCTTCTTCGTGAGGTTTGTGAGTTGCCGGGGGATTGGTGTTGTTAGCATCGTGCTGGATTTGTCTTCGTTTATCTGGGTCAGAGCTGTCTTTTCTGTAGGGGTTATTCTTCCCGACTTTTCACTGGCTTCAGGTCTTAAATAGGTTCTTGGAGAAGAGTTCATTTGTTCGTGGATGGTGGTCAACGGGGTAGGCACTGAGACTTGAGCCAGGTCAAACAATCAACTTTGAGAGACATTCCGGGATATCGGGAGTGTGTAGGGGGTGGTCGGGTTCGAACTGAGTGAGTCAATGGGCTCAAGCATGGCGCGAGTGATTTCTTTCATGATCATGACCATGCACGCTTCTTTGCTGGATCCGGTCTAATGGCATCCTACTCTTGGTGTCAAGTACAAAGGAGTGCACGGGAAGCCCTAACTCTCCGAACATGCCATCTACTCATTCAGCGCCCCAAACAAGCCCCACCACAGGCCATCCCAATCAGCTAGAAAAAATTCCCAAGTCCACCGAGCCCGCCAAAGCCTCATACCCCTTAGCGTTTGGATGCAAATGATCCCCCGAATCGAACTCCGCCCGCAGCACCTCCGGATCCTCCGGATCCCTGAGCACGGCATCAAAATCCAGCACCGCATCGAACACCCCACCGTCCCGGATGAACGTGTTCACCCGCTGTCGCGTCCGCTCCCGTTCCGGATCGGAATACGGCTGCACCACCGACGCATTCGCCGGGGTCCCAAACGGCGTGATCGTCGCTCCGAAGACTGGGATCCCGACGGCGTGGAGCCGGGTCACGATCTGCCGGTAGGCGCGGATGAGTTGGTCGCCGGTGATGGTTTGGTTGGTGGGCGACATGTCTGCTGTGCCGATGTCGTTGACACCCTCGAAGAGGATGGCCCAGTGGACTTGGGTGTGGGCGAGGACGTCGCGGTCAATGCGCGAGAGGAGGGAGGGGCCGAGGCTGTCGTGGAGGATGCGGTTGCCGCCGGCGGCTTGGTTGAGGAGGGGGATCTGGGAGAGGGCTGCGTTGGATTTTGAGGATTGCATGCGGGTGAGGAGCAGGTCGGGCCATCTGGTTTCGGTTAGTTCTGGGGTTGGGCTTGAGGTTGTGTGGGTGTGGTGATGGACGGAGAGGAAGAGGGTTACCGATTGTTCTTGTTGTTGTCACTACCCCTCCCGTCGGTGATGCTATCGCCCAGAAGGGCGCAGGCTTTGACTGTATTCGGTAGATAGGCCTCGACGGTACTTATGAAGTACCTGCTCATGGTCAGTTGGGGTTTTCCGAGAGGATCGGGTTAAGTACCAATGCTCCACGCTGGCTACGGATGCTTCGGTGAAGTTGGTTGTCCCGACTGAGTTTCCAAACTGCATCCACGAAGTTGTGCGACTGCCCGGGTGGGAAGTGATGGCTCCGCCTGATTGACCATCTGCCAGATAGACGTCGACTGTGATGGTCGTGTTCGGCTGAGTGGAGGGTAGTCGGATAGGGTCAGATACAGCCAAACTACCAGGCGGGATGATAATGCTGTGAAAACCATCAAACAGGATAGGTTGGACAGTGTTTGGAACGATGACGCTTGTACCAAGTTCATTCTGCAAAGGAAGGGCAAGAGACACATTGGCGACGTCGAGATCATCCACGCCAAAAGCGTTTGAAAGACGAAGACGAATTGTCGAGGCGGGATGAGTGAGTCGAAGGGTCTGTCGAATTGTTGTGTTGAAGAAGATGGCAGAACTTAAATTCTTTATGGCAATGAGTTGCAAGAAGCGTAACTGCAACAGCAACGGATACACTTACAAATGGCTGCGGTGGAAGATTGGCCGGCTCGGTCAACTGCGGCATGGCAGTCCAGATATCGACCCAGTGTGAGGACTGGGCGGCTGTGAGGCCCGAAACGAGTGCGGCTGCTGCCGTATAGCAGAGAATGTGCATGGTAATACTTTCTTGGAGGGGCGATGCTGTGATGTTCTTCACTCCGCGTCCATGACATATTTATACATTTGCGACACCAAACATGCATTCTGGCTAAATGGGTAAATGGAAGGGGGAAAAGCTTGACATTCCACCAAATCCATGCAGATCACTCACAAAATGCGGGGAAACAGAAAATATGCCCATTCAGGCAATATGTGAGTAACTGGGTTAGGCACTACAGGCATGATCGTTCATCTGTGTTGGAGCAGAGTTGTGGAAGGATCCCTAAGTTGACCTTTGCTTCATCCCTATATTAAGAAACCTAAGGAAGTAGCAACTCCTCACCTTTTCAGTCCAATTTTCATGTCAAGGGTAGAGGATTTCTCTCGATACTCATTTTGATCTTCACGTAATATACTCTTGAGATCTACTTGAACCACAATGTGAGCCTGTCACTGTGAGTTGCCTCCAATGGCCTGGCTGGCTGGGTCTTGAATTTGAATCCTTGTGTCGGAAGCGACATCTCGAACAAAAGCATTCAAGAAACGTATCAGTTTCATAAAATATTTAGGCTTGAAACGGAAAGGAGAAGTGACAAGTCACTTGCTACTGTGCTCAAGGAGTGTATGATGTTGCCAATGAGCTGCAGATTGTCATGTCGGCGTCTTTATGGTTAGGCGTACGACACGCGCGGTAAGGAAACACTAACCATAGAAATGGCCGGGTGGCGCAATGGTAGCGCGCTGCCTTCCGGTTAGGGATGTGGCAGTGGTTGCGCGTTCGAGTCGCGTCTCGGTCGTTCCTTTTTTGCGTATTCCACAGAATCTGCGGACTACTCGGATTCATTCTTCCTTTGACTACATCCACCTGGCACACTGGCAATATCCTATGAATCTGCTTTTTCGCTTCCTCAATGTCTCATTGCCTACCTACACCTGAGGCATCCTACCTGCCGACGCCAAGCATCCTCTCAGCGGCCACCGTTATTGCACTCAAATAAGGCAATCATATACAGTCATAGAAACCATTTACTCGGTCCCAAGCAAAACCTCCATCACCATAAATCTTGGAAAGCCCCTTCATGGCGAACCGGGCTTCCTGGTAACTTCCCTGACCCAACAGTAGCCTCGTTGCTGGTTCCCTCCACTCCCCCGGGAAAAACACCCTCTCGTTCTGACTAACCTTACTAAATAGGACACAGTTCTTCCAATTACAGGGCGAAGAACCTTTTATCTATACAGAGAGCCTCGACATGTTCCGCGCGACATTCCGGTAACCAATCTCTCCACCAAGCATCGTTACCAAGTATTGAAGAGACACATTCGCCCAGTGGTGGTATCTATAAGTACTCCCTGGCTTGCTTGGGATGCCCTCACATATCAAGCCACACAGGTACACCTCTGAGCATACACTGCTGCCTGTCAAACAGCAACCGACTTCAAAGGAAACTGAATCAATTTGCAGCCATGTCGAACTCATATTGGGACCAGCCTGGTCAGCGTACTTCGTCGAACTCGCGGGGTCATCGGGGTCAACAGGCCCAGCAGCCGACCCAGGCCCCTCTGCCGCAGCAGGCCTCACAGGCTCCTCCGACTCAGCAGCCTCCGCAGGTGCAAGTCGCGGCAGAGGACGAGGACGAAGAGGCAGACCCGAACGGGCAGGTGGCTCAGGGAGCTCAGCAAGCCCAAGGTGGCTCAAATGCGCCGCACGCGGGCAATGCGCCGAACGATGCGCTTCCGCCAAGCACACCAAACTTGCGGCCTCCGCCAAACACGCCGAATATAATGCTCGTAAATGGGGTAAACGGGGTTCATCAAATGAACGGGACTAATCCAGCGAACAGGGTAAATCCAGCAAACCGGGTCAACCGGGTTAATGGGGCGAACCCGGTCAATAGGGTCAACGTAGTAAACAGACTCAACTTCCCACGCCCTCTACGAGTACTCGGACCCTACCGTCGGTTCCCGAACTACCAGATCCGCTACATAATGCTCAACGAGACCACGGTCCTAACGGCCATCCAGTGGCTGGCCCCAGGCCCCATCACCTGGCACGGGGCCCCGGTGGATGCCCTCGACCTGGAATTCCTGATTCTGCGGGACCGGCTGCCCCGGGGAGTCACGCTGCATGGGAGCATCTCGCAGCCCCCGTGGCTGCTGCGTCTGTTCCGAGAGGCGCGGCCTTGGGCCGCCGGTGTTGACGTCCCCATCCGGGATACCCGGGTGGTGGCGGAGAGTTTGACCCTGAACATGCAGGATCGCGCCCATATAGTCCTAGTCCGTGACTGGCAGCGTGCCATCCCCACCAATCCGAGAATTTATCGGTGAGCTCTTGGCTGACTCGTAGTTCCTACTGGCACAGTTCCCTTGCGATGCTACAGTATGTGGTAGGCCTTTTGGTGGTAGAACAGCTAGCCGTTATGCTTACAAACCTATACAAAAAAAAAAATAAAAAATAAAAAGAAAAGATTTAAAAAAATCATAAGATAAGTTAACTAAAAAGAAAGTCTTAAGCACTGTAGGATTCAGCAACCGTAACGAAATTGCTATCAGTGTCCCGTAGTTCAGATTTCAATATAAACATTTCGATGTCTATACTCATACTGCTTCTTCTATTGAGAACTAGTATTGTCTTAGATATAGGATTACGAGGCTTATTTATAACAGAGATCTAAAGCTGTACTACCACCTGCTTCTATCTCGACGCTGATTCATTAGGGTTGATCTGGTCACACAACTTATTCCATTGTTAACCCCCCCTGTCATGAAGTTGTATATTAGGCTCTTGAGCCTTAGGTTCAGGACCCCAGGAATTGTCCTGCGATAAGATCGATACTACGTTTGCCTTGCCTGACCTGCAGTGCTCTACTCCGTTATAGTAACATCTAGTTTATATAAACCAACAACAGTGCTCTTTTATTAGAGCTAAAGAAGATATTACTGTAACACAAGTATAGAATAATGTACTTCTTATCTTGTACCTACTATCTATTACTATATCATAGGACAAGCCTGCCACCTTCCTATCTACTAGTTATAAATAGTGAGCCAGTACTGGCCAAGCAAATAGGTTGTACGATAGATGTTATTAAGATCAGCTTTCATTCTTCTAGAATAGCATATGCTTTTCTGAAAGTGATCTCAGTAGAGAAATAGATAAATACTCTGTGGTGTGGTGGTAGAGGTATGTTTGGTTGCGGGCGACTGTCCGTCAGTCCGCGTAATTTAACTGGATAAGCAATGACTTGAGGCTAACAGCCGGTGTCTGTCAATATACTTCTCTCAGAATAAATCAACGAAATAAAGACATATCGGCGTTATCCGTGAGACAGCCCGAAATTTTCCCTCGCTAGCAACTTTTGTCTCTATGAACTAAGAACCAAACAGGCACACTCGCTGGTACAGGCGTCTATAAGTACTTCCTTTATCGTCGTGGCTTAGGTCATGCATTATCCCTCGCAAATCCACATTATACGCTAGCTTCACACTTGAACGGCAAACAATTGCAAGAAGAAATGTCGAGTCCATACTGGAACGTACGTGGACAGCGCGCTACGCGCAACTCGCAGGGCGTGAGGGACCAACAAGCTCCTCAGCCTCCTCACGCACCTCCGGCGTCACAGGCTCCGGCGTCACAGGCTCCGGTGTCGCAGGCTTCTCAAGTGCATCAGCCTTCGCCAATTCAGCAGCTCCAGCAAATTAAGAATGGTATGCAGGCTATGCTGCAGGCTTCTCGGGCTTTTCAGGCTCGTCAGGCTCTTCAAGCTCCTCAAGCTTCTCAGGCTCAGCAGCCACGACAAGCTCCTGTTCTCCAGGCGCCCCCACAGGCTGAACAGCATGTACAGCTCCAACAGGTTCCGCAGGATACAATGCTGCTTATGGTGAAGGACGATGAAGACGCCGCAGCAGAGGACGAGGGGCAGGATGGACAAGACGGGCAGGATGGACAAGACGGGCAGGATGGACAAGACGAGCAGGATGGACGAGACGGGCAAGACAGGCAGGACGGGCAGGAGGCTGATGCTCCGCATGAGCCAGATGATGAAAATGTACCGTCGCCGCCGCCACCAGGTGAAGACTCGAAAGAGGAAGCCCGGTCGTTGATCTGGATCGACCAGATAATCAGGGAAGACGGGACTGTCTTCCCCGAGTCGGAAGTAGACTCGATGTTCCAGCGCCCCGGACACCCCGACTACATGGTGAGCTGGATGAAAGTCGGTTCGGCAACCGTTTGCCCGGTTGTGTACTGGGTCCAGCATCCATACCCCGACTGGGACGCGGCGCCGGTCGAGGCGCTGGACCTGGAATTCCGTCGGGTGCGGGCCTTGTATCCCCCCAACGTGACTCTTCACGGCATGATTTTCCGGGGCCGCTGGGCCCGTCTGTACCGCGAGTTGAGGCCCTGGGCAGTCGGTGTCGACGCCCCAATCCGCAACACCCTGGTGGTCCAAGAGAGCATGGACCTCAATATGAAGGAGGAGGCCGGGGTGCGGCACTTTGCTGCCTGGAGGTATTCCCTCCCCGAAAACACCCGCCGTGAGTGGAATGATTTTTCTGTGATTTATTGATGGCTTCTACTGACTTCTGCTTTAAGACACATTTATCCTTGCGATGCCAGAGATGTAGGCCCATTCATTTGGTAGGACAGTTAGCTGTCATGCCTACAAGCATAGCCAAAGGAAACCAAACCAAAAAAAAAGTAATAATAAGGGAAGATCAACCCACAAAGATAAAGCATTTTAACATGTGCAATTAAACAATATAAACCCAGGTATCGGTCTTCAGCATCTCAGATTTGCATATAAACAGTCTATCTTCAGTGGTATCTTTACTAACCCTCTCAGGAAGAAGCAGCACTACATAGGAGCAGGCTTACAGAACTCATCCACAGCTTCTCATTCACATCGACAGCAAGAATACTCTTCATAGATCTCTCTCGGAGCTAGAAGAAGATGCCATCTTGAAGTGAGCGGAAGACGCTCCGCCCTCATACCTTAAACTCTCTATTCACAACCACGACGCGGTGCAGGTCACGGACCTTTACATGGGTGGAAGGGCAGCTGGCCAGTACAGGCCAGGCAAAGAAGATAACACACAGTTGAGTCATGCTGTTTTAGAATGGCTGGACGCAGCTTTGTCGCGGTGAAACGGGCAATTGAGATACCACATCCTTTTTGACATGGATGACCCAGCTTCTTGTCGGTATGATATTAGAAAGTGGAACAAGCGGTTGCACTTGGCCAGAGAAGGGTATGATATCAAAACCATGCCAGAGAGCCGAGCTTCACCTTAAATAGCCAATTCTCAGAGATCGAGGACAAGCTTCGCATTTAAATTTCAGCCACACAGTTTGATACTAAAGCGGGAAAGCATCATCCTAAGAAGGGGCACCATTTCAAGGAGCTTTCCCCACGAGACCCGAATAGAATTTTACAACTCCCAAAATGTCTTCCGTCGAGGATGGCCAAAGTAAGCTGTCATAATTCATTCTCATCAGCGACGCAAGATACATTGGCTAAGATAATGGCAAATTCTCACGGGCCCAGACTCCCGCTCCCGCCCCCTCTTTTTACCAACTGCGAGGTACCTTGGATAAATAACAGACTACTAAGAGTAAATCGGCAAATCCAACGCTCAGTTCTGAGACTTCAGCATTCATCTCATCGGTTATTTCGTTGAGTGCATCGCTCTTTCTAGGTAGAACGGTACCAGTAGCGATAAAATCTTTGTATCTATTGATGCGACTCCACCGCGTAACGAACTATCAGTAGACACGGAATATACTCGCAAGGCATTGTGAGGAAAGGCGAAACTATAGGCATAGCGAGCGCTAAGTTCAAGAGGAGCTTATATTCCTAATTAAATAAAAAGTCGTCCCGATCATATCTCCACAACCTGAGAGTAATCCAGACCCCCTTTGATGACCGCCATGTCCGAGTTGTACGCAACCAGGATATTTCGCTGACTGAGAGCGCATAAAATATTCTGTATGCCCGAGAACCAGTCGTAGGGTAGGAAGAAATGCCTAGTATATGAGGCACGCTGCTCTCGAGGCTGATCGAGGTCGAAGCTGCTGACCCATGAATGGGTGTCTAGGAAAACGACTCTGGTTTGCGTAAGGACGCCAATGACATGGGTGATATGATGGCTGAGAGACGCCAGCTTAGCACTGAGTGGGTCGCTGTAGCTTGAATCCTCGTGACCAGCGTATATAGCCGGAGGACTAGTCTCCCCATTCTGCGGATTCCTGGTTTGCTCAGTTTCGAAACTCAAAGAGAGCTTTGTTGCTTTGTAGAGAAAAAGCCCGTGCGTCTTAGCTGGCCCATTCGGCTCCGATGCCTCGAGGAGGAGGCTTAGAGACCCTTGGCTCAAGCTTGGGTTGATACTTTTCCAGTGATGGCCTATCAGATTGATGTCAAGGCTGACAGTTGCAACCTCGGACCAGTCACTCCAGCAGTGGACTCGGGCTATCGCTCCCTCTACACAAATCAGATGATGTTCTGATTCTGGATGTTGAAGCCACTTCCGCGAGCCTTGTCCATCTGGGTGCGCCCTCATGGCCTCCTGTTGACCATCGATTGTCCACAGATAATCAGCCTGACGCGTAGATATAAGAAACTTTGCGGCTGTTTCCCCAACCAGAACCTGCGTGATTGCATGGTTGCTGTCGAGGCGAGTGTCAAGCAGTAGGGTTTCGAGGACCCAACCCTCCTGACGCCGGCGCTCCATCTTCCACGCGTGTATCTTATTCGACGTGTCAGTACTCATCAGAATCCCACGGTTGGGCCACCAGGTTAGGAGATGAACACTTGAATTATGCCGGTATAAGGTGCGGACGTAAGCACCAGTTTGGATGTTGTAGAGACATACAGAACCGTCTTCCTTACTGCAATAGAGTGCCTGTTGTTGTGTGTCGACAGAGATGGCTACGACTTTGGGTTTCGCATCCGTCGTGGTTGCTTCGACAAACGGAATGTGCATGTGTTCGCTGCTGCTATCACCCGCTGAGTCATGAACCAAAAGTGCAGGCTGCCAGACATTGCATTCTGAGCCCCTGACATCCGCAAGGTGGAGTCCATCTTGACCAAAGGCCAACTGTCGGATATGAAGCTTCGTTGATTTTACTTGGTACAGCAAGGTCAGTGTTTCGAACTCGTATATCTGAATTGTACCTGAACCGACAGCCCCTGCAAGTAAATGTCCATCTGGACTGGCTGTCAGGGTGTGACAATTTGCTCGAACACTTGAGATGGCTTCATCTTGGAACGGATTCATGAGAATAAGCTCCCCATCAAGGTAGGAAGCCACAAGTCGATCGATGGCAGAATTTGGGTTAAACACCACAGCTGTGACCAAGTGAGTGCTTGTTTCTCCATTGGATAATTTCTTTCCACAAGTGCCAAAGTAAGCATCCTCAAGCAGGTCCCATAGCACTATAGGTCTTCCGCTGTAGGCGACAGCCATCATTTTATGACCGACGGATATAGATAAAGCAGATGGTGCACGCTGCGCGTGCTTGCTCATATCAGCCGAGTCATTCCAAGGCTTTCTCGCATTGCTGGAAGCATCAGCATCAAGCTTCCAGGACGCGAGAAAGTTCTTCGCAGATGCAACCAGCAATACGTTGCCATCAACAACCATATCGATGGGCCGTTGAGGAGACGCGAAGCTCTGCAGGAGCTTGCGACTTCGAATCTCCCAAACTGCGATGATCTTCAGTCCACAAATGATAATGAGGTCTGATGGCGTGGTGATCTGGAGGAATCTTACACCCTCATTATGCTGTACCACACCCTGCTCTTGACATGTCGCAGTGTGGTATATCGCGACCATGCCTGAATTCAGACCCACGGCGAAAAAGTTCTCCCCGTAACAGATCGCGGTGGTCTGACCTTGTTGAAACTTCATGCACGAGAGCCTGTCATCCCAATTACTCTTGGCTAGTCCCGACACCTCAACCATTTTCCCGGGACTTGGTGTCTGATAGATCTTTGATTCACTGGGACAAAAAGGAAGAATAAGCGAGTAAATTGCACTAGGAGATGCAATGAGAGCATCCGCAAATTTTGCCGCTATCCGAGCCAGGTCCATTGCCCAACCTCTGATCATATGCAATTCGTGACAAAGCGGCGATCTCTGCAGAGTGGAGGAATCGGCATATTTTGAGAGATGTTTCGCCGTGCGAATGAGTTGAGTAAGGTCCTTTGTCTTGGCGATCACTTCTATCCAGGAAAGAATGTTTGCTCTGAGGAATCTCACTACGAGTTCCAGTACACTGTTATCCAGCGGATCCGCTCTTGACAAGTGGTAGCAAAAGGCCGCGCAGGCATATGTGGAGAACCTGCTCCGGACCCGGAAGGAAGACTTGGTGGCACCACGCCTACCCGTTCGAGGCGGTCTCATTTCATCGCTAGTCAGATATGAGAGGCAGGCTTTAGCAAGCTGCGTGTTGGCCTTGATTTTATCGATAGCAAACTCGGATTCGATGTCGTTACCGCAAAGATACTCACGGATACTTTCATGCGTTACCTGCACCCTTTGAAATTTGTCAATCGTCAATAACTGACCACACAACGCCATTACGCTTTCCTCGAGCTTAGGAAAACTATCACCGATATCCAGCTCCAATGCAGATCCCAGCTCTTCAACATGTAACGGCCGGATGGTAGATGTTACCCACGTCAGGATGGCTTTCCCTAGTCTTCGATTCCGCGGCTCTCGAGTCATCGAGTCCAGAGATCTTCGGTACAGGAGCTTGATTTCTCGTGGAACATCATCAAGGACTTGGCGCATCTCCTGATCTGTGTAGGTCTTGGTCAATTCGTTGAGAACGAGCACTGTCCACAGAAAAGACCCTTGCGACTTCTCCATGATCTTGCTAATGAGTAGGTCCCGATTGTCTGTCACATCAATCGCCAATGACTTCGCTCTTTCTTCCACAACAAGTTTGATGTCTGCCAGTGTGTCTGCGGTCATCATCCGCTCAACAGCACATCCAGATAGACCTGACATTGAGAGTTGATTTCCTAGTTCTGGAGTCTCTCGGCTAGTGATAAGAATTCTTAGAGGGATGGACGAATCGATTTTGGCCAGCATGGTGTCGAAGAAATGAGAGATTGACGCACACTCATCAAGGGCATCGATTACCCAGTAATGTGGCTGACGTTCGGCCTGGAAAGCACCCGATAGAAATAATTTTCTCCAGAGGATACGTGGATCTTCATTATCAACGCGGACGTTGTCATTCCGCATGGCTAGAATTATATCTCGTATCTCGGGCTTCATGCATGCCATCTGGAATGCTAGAGATCGCAAGCAAGCACTCAGTCGAGACTGATGTTTGTCTGCATGCTTGAAGAAATAGAAGCTGCAATTGGCTTTCGTTTGGCGCAGCTGGTTGATGACGTAGCCTGCAAGAACGGATTTTCCTGCTGCGGGCTTTCCGGTCACCAGCAGTATCATCGGAGCATTCTTGTCGAAATCCTTCCACCTTTCGTAGGACGGTTTCATCTCGAACCACGCGCAAGTCCCAGGCATGCGTGTATCATCGACCAGAATGAGGTCATCGTCGGCCTGGTCGCAAACGCCAATATATTCTCCCAAAGCTTTGATCTGCTCCTTTCGAAGCCCGTCTTTCGAGCTGCGTTCTGTCACTATTAGTGCCTTGTTCCATTTATGTCGCTGTAGAGCCTACCAGAGCTAGATATTTTCGCCACTGTAGAAGCCAAGGCATTCCGTACAGTGACATATTTAGGGTCCTTTAGGCCTTCGAACTTGCAGATCGATCGATGATCCGCACCTAAAGGGATCTGCTGCTCGTCCGGATATCCTAGTGTCGCCGAGTTGGGATCGACAATTAGTGCTTTGAATAGACCCACGTTGAGCTTATATGTCTCGTAGAATGACCAAAGCTCTATCTTTCCGGCGTGCTGTCGAAAGTCTTCATTGATTAATTGCAGAGTATGAGAGCCGCGCTTGAGGTCCGAGACATAGGCCCGGCGAGAATAGGTTATGTGCAGTATATTTTCTAACAGCCTGGCCGAATCGGAGCCTCTGTGTGGCGTGGCAAAGAAGTACATGGCATAGAACCGTTTCAACAATGCATGGTATTGGGTATCTTGACTCGCGAGCAGGTAGGTCTTCTTGATGACCAGTCCTCCCATGCTGTGCCCCAAAAGTACCATGGCGGTTTGCTTGGAGCCCAAATGAGGAGACGTGCTCAGCTCCCCAAGGAGAGACTTTGCAAAGTGGAAAATGTCTAGACAATTGTCCTTTCCTTTCGACCAGTCTGAGTCATAGCCAAAACTGTGAACTCGCACATGTTTGAAGGCAGGGTCCTTCGGGAGCCATTCTTGCGGCCAGTAGTGCGAGATCGACCCTGTCTTGCTCCATGTCTTCCTCGATCCACCCCCAAGACCATGTACAAAAATGAAGTCGATAAGAGGCTCTGCTGGAGAATGAAGCAGATTCAACCCAAGAGGTCCTTTGGGGTCATCGTTACCGCTTTCCGTGGTGAAGAATGACTTCCCGGAGGAACTATCACCAGGGCTGCTTCGACCGTATTGAGTCACAGAAGATGGATCGGCCTCTTTACTGAGGAAGCTCTTGATTGACTAATCATAATTGGGGGTCACATAAGCAGTGTTGCAAGGTAAAGTTACGCCTGTTCGGAGACTGCACACTTACCATGATGTTTGCCGCATCCTGTTTCCCTTCTTCTGGAAAGGGCACAGGATCAGGGAACAAACTCACTTCTTCGTTTTCTTGTCGCAGAGCTTGTTGTATGAGGGGGGACAGCCATGGCTCCGCGCCATTTGAATGGAATGTGCTGAAATCTCGACGCAGTGGAGGTGGGGAACATCACGAGGTGACAAGGTGACTGACTGGCCACCTAAGCGCCCCTAATGGAACCGGTCGAAATGATGGCGGGCCGGACCGGCAGCAACCCCGCCGCCATACCTTGCCCACGAAGGGCGAGACCACGCTTTGTTATCTTCCCTCTTCCCCCAATCACCACGTATTTAGACTACCATAGGCTTTCGACCTTTTCACTATTGACCATCTTGCTTGTCATCATCCTCTAGTCGTACTTCCACTGTGGCGTCAAAATCTTGCCACACCGAGACACCGACACACACACACACACACACACACACACAACACTCTCCCTGTTTTCCCAGACCATACTACAATGGGCTCGACGACCGCGTACCCGTGCCTACCAGCCGGCGACCACAAAGCCTATATGGAATACGCCCTTGACCAAGCGCGACTGTCCCCGCCAGCACCCACCAAATTCTGTGTTGGGGCTGTTCTAGTTGATGCCGATAAGAACGAGATCCTATCCACAGGGTATTCCATGGAATTACCCGGGGATCGAACCGGCGATCCGGGCAACACCCACGCAGAACACTGCTGCTTCATCAAAATCGCCGACCGGCACAATGTGCCCGAAGAGAGGATTGGGGAAGTGCTCCCGAGGAACACCGTCTTGTATACCACCATGGAGCCCTGCAATAGGAGGCTGAGTGGCAATCGGACTTGCTGTGACAGGATCATCGGACTGGGGAGCGCGATCAAGGTGGTCTACGTCGGCATCACGGAGCCGGAAAAGTTCATCGGCGAGAACACGGGACGGAAGCGGTTAGAGGATGCAGGTGTGCGAGTGGAATTGATCGAGGGGATGGAGGACCGTATAACCGAGGTCTCGACTGCGGGGCATGATAGCTGAAGTTGTTTTGCATATGAATGCATGTACCGTACCAGTTGCTAGTGGACGGTCCTAACAGGTGAAGTATCACTTGAGATCTCAAGTGACAACCTACGCTTGTTGCGCTCACAGTGGCGCATTGATAGATACAACAATAAATCTTCGTGCTGAATTAGATAGCATCATCATCATATTTCGTTCTGCAGGCGACAAAAAAGAAATTGAGTAATCAAAAGAAAGAGATGCTCACACTCGGACTCGAACCGAGGATCTCAGCATTACTAGTGCTGCGCTTTACCATCTAAGCCATGCGAGCCTCGTGATGACGTAGGCAGCAGAATAGTACAATATCCACTCAAAATTCAGCGCATACAAATTCTCTAGCTCGGTAAATTCTCTAGCTCGGTAAATTCGAAGAGTAGGGGAAGAAAGGTCAGTTACGTGAGAGATGTCGCGAGCCTCGAAACTACTTGTGTATTTCACCCAAGTTCAATGCTAGGCTTTCAGGCGGTAACTACCTAGTTACTACTCTAGGTAGCATACTTGTCACTAAAGGGTAAGGGCAGCCTATCATAGCTTCCCCGTGCGGCGCGCAACTCCACCATGGCGCTTGCCGCTGGTGTGCCCCCCGTCGAACGCGGGACTAGTAAACTAGCAATGCGATTTCTTTGACAATGTACTGCTGACCTGTCGCTAATTCATGAAATAAGAGGAAAGATTCTTGTAACTCATCGCCCTGTGCGCGCGAAGAGTTTCCAGCTCAGAACAAGCTACCCAGCGTCAAGCGGCAGTCCACAATACTACACCCACATTTCCCGAGTCAGATTCTGAACCCCCGAGCCAAGCACCTCAGGTGTCATCCAAGGCACAATTCGACAACATGAGTCATGTTACAGGCGATGAAAACAGCTCAAGCAGCGAGAACGGCTCAATTGACCACAATGTGCTTCAGAGTCAGTAATCAAGATCCGACCATTCCCCCAGAAAACTCCACTGACAGACTTTCCCCTCAAGAACTACCTAAAGGCAGCCGCGTACTCAGAATCCAAAGCCACGGCATCAGTTTCTGGGGCTCCACCTACCGGATTGACACCGAGCTCGCCGACGGGCGCCTTCTTTCCTTCTTCACGAAGGTTCTCCCCGGCGGCGAGCGAGCCCGGGACATGGTGCGCGGCGAATTCGAGTCCATGAAAGCGATCTACGCCGTTACGCCCGACTTCGCCCCCGAGCCGCTCGGTTGGGGACCCCTGCAATCTGATCCCGACCAGCACTTCTTCCTCTGCGAGTACCGCGACATGATCAGCGAGATGCCGGATCCCGACCAATTCGCCGCGCGTCTCGCCGCCCTCCACAACAGTAGCGTCTCCCCGACGGGCCGATTCGGGTTCCATGTGGTCACGCACAATGGCAACCTGCCGCAGATGACGGAGTGGGAGGACAGCTGGGAGGTGTTCTTCGCGAAGAGCCTGCGGCATGCGCTTGACCTGGAGATCCAGGCCAAGGGTTCCGACCCGGAACTCGAACGCCTCGCGCCCGTGATCTTCGAGCGGGTGATCCCCCGTTTGCTGCGACCGTTGGAAAGTGAGGGTCGGTCGGTGAAGCCAGCGCTCGTGCATGGGGATCTCTGGTATGCCAACTCCGGGGTGGATGTGGAGACGAACCTGTCTCTGGTTTATGATGCTTGCTGCTTCTATGCGCACAATGAATGTGAGGGCCCCATATTCATTCGTATTTTGTTCGGGTGCCACTGGTGTCCATACTTGCAGGGATGATGGGTGAGATGCTAACAGAGACATTGTGCAGATGAGTTCGGTCAATGGCGCCCGATCTGCAATCGGTTTGGAGAAGAGTACCTCGCCGCATATCGGTCTTATATCCAGGTTTCCGAACCCGAAGAGGATTATGAGGGACGTCTCGACTTGTATAAGTTGTGAGTTGGCGGTTTATTCTGGATTCCCCTAGCGGCAACATGACACTAACGAGAGCAAGGCGATTTAACACCCACGTATCTGCCCTCTTTACAGATAACGAAGGGCTTAGAGTGCAGTAAGACCGCCTTTTCCTTTTTCTTCTCTTTTTTTTTTTTTTTTTTTTTTTTAACGAAGATTAGATTTACGACAGAAAAGACTGACCAAATGACAGGATGTTAGGCGACATGAAAGATTTGATTCAGAGGTATGGTCAAGACCTCGAGACTACGCCACTAACTTGAGCCCAGCCTATTAATGAGAGCTAATTGAGGTCAATGATAAATAAGAGAGAAGCGACGGAACACAATTGTAAACCGGTTCTAGGACCAGACATGGACAAAATTGACATGACACGACAAGAACATGATTTGTTTTGGTTTTCAAATTGTTATTGATTTCGTAGTAGGAATGACAGGGGTTTAAACTTGGTGTCGGAGTCGCAGGGCGATTTAGTGTCCGCCATACACCAGACTTCCAATTTACTGGGATAAATGATAAAGAATCCAGGAAGCAACCAGTTGTAATGTCGGAACCACATTATTTTCTCTGTAAGGACCCGTGGATGTTATCAATCTATCCTATAAATGCTCTAAAAGTATACAGAGACCCACTTGGTGGCGTAGAAAGCCCCATATTAGTGCCTGAGGCGGTACGAAAAGTGGGGCTATATTTTAGTGTCGAGTGCTACTGTACAACAAACCGCCGCGGTGGTGTAGTGGTATTAACATTGCAGAGCCCCCGTACTAGCCTTATGCTAGCGGTGTGGAGTGCAGATTCTGGGTTCGAGTCCCAGTCGCGGCATTCTTTCTCTCTTTTTGCTCAGTTGAGCGAGGCGTGGGCGTCATCAGGGCGTCATGCAGTTGGGAAGTGGTGATGGTGGCAGGGGGAAGGGTTGGGGGGCGTCGTTTGAGGGTATATGCCCGTTGTGGTGGAGGCTGTGCGAGAAAATGCCTTTGAGGACTGAGATGTATGGCAAATGCGGAACTTGGATGATATACGATGGGCAGGGAATACGTGGTGCTGAGAAACAGCTACAGCAGGTCTTGGGGTTATGGATGAGATGGTGAGAATCATATAGAAGCATGGCACGACAAATTGCGGCTACGGGAGTACTACTGGCTGCATTGTTTGATCTCCTAGACATTGTGTTCGACATTAAAGACATTCCTCGCATGCAGTGTCAGTCAATCCTGACAGTGCACATCCTTCCACTCTTCCACCTCTCGAACCTCCACCCTGAGCATCCGATCAAGATACGCATCCGCCTCTGCAGCGTAGAAGCACCGCGCCCGAATCAGCGCCCCATATCTATACAACACAAACGGAATCGGAACACACGCCAAAGCCAAGAACGCCGGGACTGACGCCGCCCACTGCGACCCCAAGCCCTGATACATCTGATCCGTAAACAAAGGGAATGCAGCCGCAAAGACAGAGTTCATGAGGGTGCATGCAGCCATGACGGACGCTGCATAAATTGTATACGAATCGACCAGATAATTGTAGCAGGGCAGAAAGATCATCAACAAGCCGTACCCAACCGGGACACTCCCCAGAACGGGAACGATCCAGGGAATGCTCACAGGAACTATTGTCCACGCGAACCAAAACAAACCCACCGGGAGGGCAATGCTGGCGGGGAAAGCGTCAAGCAGACGTACTTCTGGTGGTAAGCGGGCTGTGTCCCGGTAGCGAGTCCGGGACATCTTCTTGACATATTGCGTGTGGGAGACAAGGACGTGGGGTATTGCACACAGAACCCCAGCCAGCATCCCGATGAAGGTCAACCCGGTGTCCAGTGAGTTCCAGCCCCGGATCTGCTGAAATACGATTGGGTAGGCAGCGAAAGACATGTACGTGATCCCACTGAGGATGGAGCTGTAGATAGAGAGAAGCAGAACGATCGGCTCGCGGAAGAGAAGCACCCAGGGCCGGAGGAGAAGCGTGCGCAGCTCGTCCCCGACGACGTGCTCACGGCTGTGGCCGATGTCCATTATACTGCGGTAGACGCGGCCGGTGGTTTCTGTCAACCGCCTGGCGCGACTGGCCAGCAGCACGGGCGCATATGTCTCCGGCAGCAGCCAGAACAGGGCCAGGGTGACTGTTCCCGCGAGGATAGCCATGGCCCCCTGAATCCAACGCCAACCACCACCAACCTCGACTGCAGCACCGATTACCGGACCTAGCACGGCAAGGAAGGGAACTGCCGCGTAAAGCCCCATAGGCGCCCCTCTGGCCTTGGCCGAAAACAAGTCGGCTATTACGCCTCCGGAGACCGCCACGGGCGCGGACCCCAGGCTGCCCGCGAGAAAGAGGAGAATTATCACCGTCGCGATGTTGGGGGATGCTGCAGCGCCCGCGCTGAATGCCGTCAGGAACACGCCGCTCACCAGCATGATCATCCGACGTCCGTAGGCCTCACTCAGAGCACCCAAAAGCAACGGGCCCAGCGCAAACCCGAGGACGAAAGACGAGGATCCCAGGAGTGCGACCTCTGCCGAGACATGGAATTCGTTGGTGATGTCGACCAGTCCGGCGGAGTACGCCGAGGAGCAGAACGCCACGACCAGGCTCGCCAGGGTGGAAAGCACGGCGACGGCCCACTTCGTGGCGTCGCGGAAATTCATCGGATCGCGGGGGTCGTCAGCCAGCCAGGTGACGATGTATGGGTGAGCATCGGTGCCAGAGCCTTCGTAACGGTGGTTCGTGATGTCGTGGTTGATGAAGCCATCGTCGAAGATCAGGCGGAGGAATGGGACTTTCCTATTCAGGACAGCGTACTCTCCGGAAGGCGCCATCTACACAGAGGTATATATTGATACTACTAACAATCGCTGTCAGCTATGGGTATACTCAGGGAGAGATCGGATATACTTACTATGATTCAATTCCAACATAGATCCCAGTATCTTAGAGCATGGTAATCAACAAACCTCATTTCCGTGTCGGTAAACAGCAATATAAAGCCCCGTCTCCACGATCGGCTTCACAGTTGTCGTCACCAAAAGATCGACTCGAAAGAGAATACAGATTGAACGACAGGGAAACTACAGTAGCAAAACTTAATCCTCAAATCTGCCGAGCTTACAGCAGAATCGCTATCTCGTGATACCTTCTGTGCTCCAGGATCTCCACAGCAGCGTAGCCAATAACCGCTCCGTCTATATGCAGTGAAAGATTATCCACTCACTGCTCGCGCCAAGCAAGCGGCACGATAAGCTTCTATAGCAGATCGTCTTCCATCTACCCTTGACGTTGACCCACTGTAGGACTAGGAAAAGCCGGTGGCACGATGCACGGCTGATCTCAAATGCATACTGTACTCTTTGGGCAACTCATCCTTATGATAAGGGCCTTGGAGTCTGCAACACAAGCTCTCGATTATCTGTCAATAGAATACGCCTGGCCTCCGGATCCAAGGTTGTGATACTGACCTGTCTGTCCTACGGCGGGCACATGATGCGGCAAAAGCTCGATCGCTTTACCAAGCCAGGGTTATTGCGGTGCATTTACCCAACATGGCAGAAGATGGAGACTGAAAAGAAGACGAGCACCGTGCAGGTAGATCTATCTACCATCCGTGGCAATGGATTTCGCAATTCCCCGGCACCGTAGCCGAACGTTCAACAACTGCAAATCGGCTATATGTAGTTTTTGACTACACGCAAATAACTTGAGAGAGACACTACTTTGAACTATATTAGATAGAATTGTTTGTCTTCAGAATTAAGAATGCCGTCTAGTCTTGGACGAAAGCTTATGTTTACAATCCTGTAGATCGCAGAGCACATCAATATCTAACTGCATAAAAATCTCTGGAAATATAAAATCTGTGGCCATACAGGATAACACCGCATGACATTCGCATCTGCAATGACGGTCAATACTTCATAGAAGCAACCAAGGTAGATCACCCAACCCTCCAATCACAAAAGCTGGAATAGAATCTCACCTGGCGGATCCAGGAAGAGCTTACGATGATCTGCGAGAGTATGCTTGGCCAACTTCATCTTTCCCCTCTCCATGCCCCCAGTTCAAGCATAGGACAGGCAGTCCTCCTCAACAGCAGTTCGCTGTGTGAACATATTACCATAAGCAACTACAAACGACCTAGTAAATACCTGCCCAAAGCAAAATCATCATCCCTTACTACGGCACAGCACAACACATCTAATTTGTTAACCACTTATCTGGGAAGATCCCCGACCGGTTTAGTTACGTACTTGTTATGTAGACAGGTTAGTCCTTGTTTTATTCTCCGGTCGGGCCAAGTATATGCTAACTTACCATGTAAATGTCAAGGTTTGTTGCCACATCAGCTCATTCCACTTTGTCTTTTCTTATCAATTCAAGTTTACTTTGCCGCCTGGACGATCTTGGGGTCTCATCAATTTACCTTTTTTTTTTTCTCTTGGCCAGTATAACAACCCAACATCATTCTCAGCTATGGCAAGAGAGAACTTCGACTCGGGGTATGATATTTTGCTGAACTACTTGAGTTGAGTTGGAGAATGAAAGGCGATCAAAGGTCTAAACAGCCTTGCTAGCAAGCTTCTCCATTAGTACGGGGAGGCTCTTTCTCTTATAATTTAACATATGAGTCCGCCTAGCTGCTGCTCAATCACTTAGGGTAGAGCTGCGAGACTTGTAGTCGGCAATGTATCCCATGGCTTACAATCTAACACTTTGTCAAAACACGAATTGTGTCGGCTGGGGAGCCCTAGTGTTAATGATTGGTGATGACGTGACGGGACCATCACACTACGGCTCGAGACTACTTGTATGACTGAAGCCGATGACAGGTAGCATACACGCTATTACCGCTGCGATTATACAAGAGGTATCCCATAGTGCAGATTCAAGTAGAGCTGTGATATTTATGTTATTCCTGTTATTCTCAATCTGTGAAAGAGTCTTGCTATGCAGTTCTGGTATGATTGTGAGCGCAAAAAGTAGACATGAACGCCGGTTCAAGAATGGTCATGGTTCATGAGATGCAGGCATGGAATCAGTGCTATCAAGAGTTAGTCTCGATTATAATCAAACCCAAAGAACACCACATACCGTAACATCCTCCCACTTCTCCCAACCGCGTCCCTTCACAGCGGCCAGCTCCTCCATCGTGTACTGTTTGCCGGTAGTAAAGTAGCCTGCGTTGATTTTGGCATCGATCTCGACGCGAGAGTCGTTGGGGATCATATCCTCTGGGATAGGAACACGCTCCAAGATCTTAATTCCGGAGTCAACAATGGCGTCATGCTTCATGTTAGACATGGACAGCATTCGGTCAATCTTTTTTATGCCCAGCCAGTGGAGAATGTCGGGCATGAGGGCTTGGAAGCGCATCTAGACATCGCGTTAGTAGTGACCGACCGGATATCTGGGCAACACCTACGTCTCGAACACCAGCAATATTTTCCGTGCGAGTGAAGTACTTGTCCGCAGTATCACCACCGCGCTTGCGAGCATTATACACCAGGTACTTGATGACTTCACCGAGAGCTCGACCTTCCTTGCGGAAGTAGATCACCACACCACTGCCGCCGTTCTGCGCCTCCCGGATCGCCTCCGCGATACCAAACGCCAAATACGGACGACACGTACAAATATCCGACTGGAAGACATCGCTGCCATTGCACTCGTCGTGGATCCGCAACGCCAAGCGGACATTCTCATCTGAAACTCGCTCCGGAGGCCCGAAGATGTAAACAGTCAACCCACCAATCGGAGGCAGGAAGACCTTCAAATCTGGGCGCGTGATGAGTTCAGGGTAACTTCCGCCCGTGTGCTCGAACAGCGTGCGCCGCAGCGTCCCCTCATCCACGCCGAACCGCTCCGCAACTCCGGGAAGGTACCAGACGGGCTCCACGGCGACCTTGGTGACACGAACCTCACCGCCGGAGTCCATCACAATCGACCCGTCGACATCGAGCTTGCCCTCACGTACGGCCTCGCCAATCTCCGCCAGTTTCATGTTCGCGCGCGTGACAGCCATGGTGGGCCGGATGTCCCAGCCGGCCTCCAACTCGTCCCGGTACTGGTTGACAACATCATGACCGTAAGGGTCCATGGACACGATCTTGGTCTTGTCGCCCCAGGCGGGCTGCGGGGGGAATTTGAAGGTAGGTTCGCTGTTGCGGAGGTCCGGGCGAAAATCCGGGTCCAGGTCACCTGCCGCGATGGCGAGGGCGTTGTAGATGCTGTAGCTTCCGCCGTGAGCGCCCATAGCATTGCGGCGCTTGAGGAGGTTCGGGCTACGGGAGACGATCACCGGACCGCGGGATTTGGCATCGGGGGCGCCCCATTCGAGAGGGACGGGGTCGATCCCGCTTTGGCCGGGGTAGGTAGTTAACTATGGGGAGTGTGGGTCAGTGGGTTACTCTGTAAGAGTCAGTAACAGGGAAACAGCACGTACGACAATGTGCTTGCTGTAACGAGAAGTAGAAGTCGGCGACTGAACGACGGTCGTCGCCGCTTCAGCGGGCTTGGGGGATGTATCGAGCTGCGGGGTACTGGCAGTCATGGTGAAACGGGAGGAGATTAGAGGATATGGAAAGGAGAGAGAGAAAAGAAAGGGAGGGATCAAGCGACATAAATAGGGGAAGGAAGAGGATGAAGAAGTGGGTAAAGGGGAAGAGAAGATGACGATGGGGATTGGAGAATGGCGAGGGAGAGGGGGAGAAGTTGTAGCTTGTTCCGACCGATCAGGCTGCTGTCACCCAGTGAATGACAGTGAATGAAATGCTACAGCTGTTGCTGGGCATACCAGGGTGCATGTGACTTGGGCCTCAATGCTTGCTTTGCCTGGTTGGATCCAGGCTTTCTCTCATTCTTGGGTTTCCTCTTTCTCAACAGTAGTAGTCTCTCCCCGCACTGCCTACATTTTGATTATTATCTTATCCTACCTGGGTTGCTGCTTATCATGGCTGCGGACCTTTCCTTATCTTCTCCACCCCGGACGATCAGGGCTCACTGATAAGCACTGATACTACTCCGTACATAGTGTACCTTTATCCCCCCCTCCTGTTAATCTCTTTATCGGCCAAGCCCATGGCTATCCTTGAGATGAGATTCAGCAAATCATTTTGGGTGTGGGGGGAAGTCGGTGAGAGGCGCGATCCGGGCTGGTCCATGCAGCTGGATCAATCAATGAATTGCCGCTGCACGATGACGATGGGGAGGGACAGCAGGGCGGATGACCAGCCCCTCATTCCAAGCTTCCCTCCCCTCAAAAACCAGTCAGTTGGTCGCCTCAAACTTTCAACCAGAACTGGTAGCAATAGTAGATTTGAATGCTTAAGACTATCCCTTCAGCATCATTGTTTGCATTTACGACTACGATCAAAAAGTAATTTCAGAATATCTCCAGTGACTAACATTTGAGTAACTTTCAGTTCTGTTGGCGGTGACTAATTCATGTCTAACATAGTTTCCATCTTCTATAGCTGGTATACAAACTAAATTTTGACTACTTTTTGAGCTTAGAATATGAATTTTAAATTAAAGATGCCCTGGAAGTGTATATTATGAAAATCGCAAGCGATATGACCGATCAGTGCATGTGGGAAGTGTGTTCGTTGTGCGGAGGTTTGGATGGCCCCTGCACAGCTATAGCCAATGATACGGCAGACCGTAAACACCAAGAAAGCAGCACACGTGACAGCCGGGAACATTACTGTTTGCATCGATAACCACATACAGTGAAATAAGCTTAAAAATGACAACGTTAACAAACTGGGTGCGATGTCTGTAGGTAAGTACAAAGCCTTTGTACTGTATAAGACGCTCTCTGATAGACTCTGCTGACTCTGCTTCTAATAATGTTCTATCAATTATTGCAATATACAGCTACGAAATGCATTTTAATTCAAACAATACAGGACAATGGTTTGAACCAACTAGATCTAATACCTCGAACTGGGGACAGGATGGTAATCAGCCGGTGATTGATGATGGAGCTCGCAGTCGGACTCGCATTCAGTGTCACAGTTAATCTCGTGACGTCGAAGACTCCATACACCTCGGGCATTGAGATAGGTACAGTACTATATACCACTGGGGATGTTCCTGGGTATAGCCCGAACCAGCATAGCCGATACCAGTGACCAACCCGGCCTTCATTCCCAGATTATCGGCCTCGATAGACGGGCTAAACCTGGATTTATTGATCAGATCCCCGATCCCGTGCTGAATGGACCCCGTCCATGGGAACCGGGAGCGTATCCATGACCGCGGGAAGATCCACCATCCGCGTGAAGGAGTCCTGTTTTCCATCTAGCAGGTAGAGATGTCGGTACACCACCATCTTCGTAGATTTCTCCCATTCGGCTGCCAGGCCTCGGGCTTCAATTTCATCGATTTGATTTTGGATGAACTTCCGTTTGCTGCGGTCATTCTTGTGCGGAACCGCTCCAGAGCTTGCTGCATGGTTTGTTTCGCGTCCATGGAAGACGTGACCGTTGAACAGAAGGCTTTTTTGCTGGGGAGGTAAACTATCCCTATAGAGATGTTGGGTTGCTGTGTTGTGTTTCTCTAAGTTGGGAGAAACCTGCAGGTTTCCGCAGGAACTTTGTCTTGGGGAGAAATTCTGGGAGCAAACAAACAGGGAAGGGGCGCACGATCACCTTGTGTTTATACTGATTCAGGGAATACTTAACCTCTAGATTGTGCCGTATCTTACTTAATTCACTGGACTATCACTTCGTCTGTTTGGTCTAAGTTTATCTGTCATTTTCTTCTTCTTCTATTCTTTCTGTTTGTTTACTGGGTGCTATAGAAGACATTCAAAAGGGGTGGTTCCAAGTTCTCCGATTCATTTCCCTGATTCCGATGCTATGCACATGCAATCACTCTGCGGGGCTCAGCTTTGAATCCACAAATTCCCAAGAAACTACTGTGAAGTCGCCCCCGCACCGCGAGTGAACGAAACTGTTTATCTAGTCGATCTTTGAAGCTGAACTTGAAAGCTGATCAGCGATCCCTCTTTGAAGGAGCGGCTGCTGTTACTCCACCCACATTCCTAGGTATGGGGCATCGACTCAACCAGGTGGAGCTCTTCTTTTTGAATGTGAACAAAAGAGTACTGACACTGCATACATTCTATAGCTCGCAATAGCTCGACTTAAAGGACGCACGACAAAAGGTTTCAATTGAGATCTAGTTCAATGTGTCAGTCGCTCAACTCGTGGAAATGGCCAGTCAAAGCTCCCTGAACATCCCCACTTCTTCGTCAACGGTTCAAGTGTCGATCATCGACCTCACATACGACCCTTTGGTGCCAACAGGGCTATTCATGGGACCTCCACTCAAGGGCTTGGGGAAGCGGACTGCTGTCACCTATTCATTCCTTGTCCATCATACGGACGCCTCGGGTAGAGGGAGCAATGTCATCTTTGATCTGGGAATGTCCAAAAACATGTACGACTATCCCCCAAATACTATGCAAGCCATCCATGCCTTAGGCGGCGATATGCACGTTGACAAGTGTGTTGATCAAGTTCTCAAGGAGCATGGCGTGGCGCTCGACACGATTAACGCGGTTATCTGGAGGTAGGGATCCATTTAGCCTTCGACATTCTTCCTTTCGATAGCATACAATTTGGACAGGCTCTGATGATTATCTTACTGCCAGTCACGCACATCCTGATCATGTCGGAAAATTCTCCCGTTTCCATGACCGTACCAAACTGGTTGTTGGGCCCGGAATCAAGAAGGCCTTCTTCGCCGGTTGGCCCGTTTTGTTGGAAGCCCCTGTTATGAGGGGCGAGTTCTTCGGTCGAAAAGTGGAGGAACTGGCACTGTCTCAATTCAACCTGGAGATCGGAGGCCTCAAAGCGCTCGACTACTTCGGCGACGGTAGTTTTTATCTCCTCTCCGCGCCAGGCCATGCCCTCGGTCATCTGAACGCCCTCGCCCGCACCACCGAGGATACCTTCATCTATTTCGCAGGTGACAGCGTCGACCAACTTTCGGTACTGCGGACCCTTTCACCCTCTGACCTTTCCCTATATGTGCACGTGCCGAGTCGCAGTTGCCCCGGTGCCGCGCTCCACGCAAGGTCAAATTATCCCATACATCACAGTGAGGCTCCGTCGCCAGAGAAAGAGGCTGCTGCTCGCGAGACACTCGCGGCCGTTCAGAGGTTCGATGCGGATGGCCGTGTGTTCGTGGTGGCGGCCCACGACACGAGTATACATGGAATACTGGATTTGTTCCCGAAAACATCAAATGACTGGCATGCTAAAGACTTGAAGAAGAAGGGTCGTTATTTGTTCCTGGAGGAACCGAAGCAGCAGGAAACTGGAAGTTCAGGGATGGGGCACAGCCTGAGAGCTGTGTGATGCATCTGGAACAAAATCCAAGCAGAGGCTATCGGGTTGAATATGCGTCTGTAACAAGTAGGTAAATAGAGTCTCTTAGCTGAATAGAACATCACTAGCCCTAGTCATCTTAATACATCTGCTTCAATTCGTATTAGTTTTGCTTCCTCAGTATAACCAGGAGTCGCAAATGCGACACCTGGGTTGATTGGTTTCGGAGTGCATCTTATGTGTCCACATCTCCTCAGTTGGTGATCTTGCTCCAAGTCCTCAAGTCCAAACCCATTTCCCCTCTTCCTCATCAGATAACCATCGCTGTGACGCAACAGCTCCTCAGGGGGAGAGCAACTTCGGCCGTCAGCTTCCTCTCGCCACAAACCTACAAGTCCATTTTACCAGCACATCCAGACCAGATCTATATATGTAGCAAGACAAGAGAATGCTGAGATGGTTTGATTCTATAAATCTGAATGAGTGAGCATTCCTCCCAAGCATAGCTCTCCCTCACCACCACCACCAGCAAGTCACCTCAACAACTTCCCCCCCTCCGAATGAACCAACGTCCCCGTCACGAAGCGATCCTTCATGAAATAGAGATACGCTTCAGCCACCTCCTCCGGCCGCCCAATCTCCCGCACCAGCGTCTCATCAGCGTACCGCGTCACCGCAGCCTGCTTAGCCGCCTCATCCCCGAAATTATCAAACAACTCAGTCAACACCGCGCCGGGACTGACCGTGTTCACGCGGATGGGCGCCAAATCCACCGCCAGCCCGCGTGCCATCGCTTCCACCGCACCTCCATTAGTCGCCGCCAGCGTCCACCCCGGCGCCGGTCGGTGGCCATTCACGCCACTGGTGAAGGTGATCGACGAGCGGGACGACGCGTGCATGTAGGTCTGCGCGTGTTTGGCGACCATCAGCGCCCCGAGCACGCGCACCGTTCCCGCGGCGTGGATGTCGGCCACCGTCAGCGTCGGGTCCGTCACAGGCTTCAGGGCCAGCGCATCGCCGGCCGTGTACACTATGTGGTTGAGAAGAGTCTTTTCTGTGGTAGTCGTGGTGGTGGCCTGCTCGAGGAGGTGGAGCACGTTGGTCTCCAGGGTGGCGGGATCGCCGAGGTTGCAGGCGCACCCGGCCATGCGCGCGTGGTATTCTGGATCCGGGTAGAAGGTTCTCAGGCGGTTAAGCGCGTCGTCCACTTTCTTGGTCTGCGAGCTGGCGAGGAAGACACTCGCCCCGTGCTCGAGCGCCGCGCGCGCCACCGCGAATCCGATCCCGGAGGTCCCTCCGATTACCAGCACCCGTGTGCCTGCGAGCTTGTTCACGGAGATTGTGTTGGGAGTGCTCATGGTTGCTTGGGTGGGATGCTGCTTCTATCGAAGGTGATTGTGTGTCAATAGTCGAAGTCCACCTGGGAAAGGGAATGTGAGGGAAGGGTTGAAGAGATTTGAGAAGCCTTTCAGAATGGATCGGTACTGGAACAGTTGCTGGTCGGCTGGATCATGCCACCTTCTTATACCATGCCATCAGAGCCATGGAGACACATCGACGCCGAGTGTTAACTCCGGGGCGTAGATCACAAAGCCATGCGTAGTAGTTACCTCAATCTGTATCTACCAGAAGGATCCATCTCGTGCGGCTAACCCCTTTTGATTTAGCTTCAGTCCGAAGTGCCCAGGCTGCTGAATGGCACCTACACTGGAAGGATGTCCATTTAGTCGGTCGATATCTTTAACATGCTCCATTGTTGGAGAAAGTGTACCTGAAAAGAAGATATAGCCTTAGTAACAGTGAATCTTCCAGCTACGGTAGGCTCTTATCGCCGTTATCTCCGGGTGATGTTAACTCCGTCAAAGGGCATGAGTGTTCTTTCACTGAGCAAGCTTTGGGCGCAGTGGTCAAAAATACTAATGGTGTAGCCCTAGAACGCTGGATATAAGCTTAGAAATTTATAATCGGTTTTGAGGTCATGGTAGTTCGATCAAGCTCTGCCGTCAATTATGTAGAGTATTTCTACTTAATATAGTTGATATCCAGCAAGGTCAAACTGCGATTTAGGTTGTGCCTGGAATCAACCTAATCGGAAAGAGGTTAGCATACGGTACAGTACTCCAAGGAACGCGCGAGCATCGGTGAGATAGCCAGATTATACATAACTTTGGTCAGCATCCGTCGAATGCGATGATCCCTTCCTGTCGGATCCTGACCACCGATCCTAACAGATCATTCATTACATGGAACAGGCTTTCTCAATTAGGCTTGCAGAAAGCATCTCTGTCAACGTCGCGCTTGCCGGGGTTCGTGCTCGACTGGTCGTACTACTACAGACGGAGGGTGAACTAGACAACAGACCACCTACGTAGAAACGTTCAAGTCCTGGAAATCTATACGGGGTTGTTTGTTTTCAGCGACTCAAATATGAACTGGTATCTATTAATATGTGTGGTGTGCAATTTTCAGCCATCATGGAAAGATTCATAAAACTCATCCGCATCCCATACTGCAGTACAGCCCCGGCGTTAAACCAACAATTTGCTCCAACCGACTAGCAATCCGCGGCGATCGAACGGTGGTTATCAAACAGCAAAGGGGAGGCAGGACAATCACCGGAAGGCGGCCTGGGCACGGGTGTTCCTGAGCGTCTTCTTGATGATATCCTCCACCTCATCCCAATCCTTGGTGTCGATCCGCTGGATGCTGGTGTTGAAATACTTCTGGATCTGGTTGAGCATCTCCCACTCGTCGCGGTTGGAGATGAACGAGATCGAGACACCCACACGACCGAACCGACCGGTACGACCGATACGGTGAAGATAGGTCTGGAAGTCCGCTTGGCGCGGGGCGCGAGGGTTGGTCTGGTGGATTTCAGGGATGTCCTGGTCACGGGAGTTAGCGTGCGAAAATTAAGATCACATCAAAGAATGCTTACATAGTTGATGACCATGGAAACCGTCGACACATCGATACCTCTGGCGAGGACGTTGGTGGTGATCAGAACCTTGGCTTGTCCCGCACGAAACTGGTCAATGACGGCATCACGTTGCGAGCCTTCGATACCACCCGTCAGGGAGGCAACGGTATGACCTTCGGCCACCATGCGCCTTTCGATTTCGACGGCAGAGGCACGGGTCTAGTCAGAGATTAGCAGAAGCCCTGTGACGAGAGTCCAAATCAACCAACCTTGACGAAGATAATGGAAGAGCCAACGGTAAGAAGACCATAGAGCTGAACAAGAGTCTGGTACTTCTCTTCCTCGTTGGCGCAGTCTAGATACAATTGCTTGATGCCCTCGACGGTCAATTCCTCGTGCTGAAGGGTAATCTCGTTCGCATTCGGGGCGAACTTGGAAGCGTATTCGTGGACATGCGTAGGGAAAGTGGCCGAAAAGAGCACAACCTGAATGTCCCGGGGCAACAGACTGCGAAGCTGTTAGTCATCGACAATATCCGGAAGGGGGATGGCGAGACTGACGCCTTGACACGGATGCACTGATCGCCAAGACCCTGCTGATCAAGCATATTATCTGCCTCGTCGAGAACCAACACCTTGAGCTTGTTGGCTGTGATGGTACGCCTCTTGATCATATCCGTAACCGTTCCCGGCGTACCAACAACAACGGAGCACTCCAATTTGGTCGGGCGCGCATTGCTATCCGCAGGAACAGCAGTTCCAATGAGGAGATTCGGGAGGAATTGGCCCATGACCTGGATGACACCCACGATCTGACGCGCCAACTCGCGCGTAGGTGCCAAAATCAGGGCTTGCGGGGTCTTCTGCAGTTGCTCCGTGCTGAGGTCGATGCGGCTGAGCACATTGAGCGTGAATGCGGCAGTCTTTCCGGTACCCGACTGGGACTGGCCGACGAGGTTCTTTGCTGGGTTGCCGAGCAGAAGAGGAAGAGCTCTTTCCTGGATCTTGGACGGTTTGCGGAAGTTCATAGCCGATAATCCTTGCAAGATACGGGGATCGCTGTGGAGCGGACGGTGTTAGCCTCCAGAGATCATTCAGTAATTGGATGGGCAGGTGACCTACAGGCCAAGGTCCTCGAAGTTCTTGACTGAGAAAAGAGGGTTGTTCGGGTCGGCCTGAAGATCGCTGAGCTTGACCTCCACGGTGTACTCGGGTTCCTGAAGGTCGGAGCCACCCAAAGCGGCGGGCGCACCATCCGTTTGATCGATCTCTTTGGAGGTTTCGGTAGGCTCTGCGTAAGAGGGCTGAATTAGCGTGGTTCTGGATGCGATCGACCGCGATGGAGGGTGACACAGTCGCCGGGTCGAAGGAAGGTATGCCGCGCGCTGTCCATACCTGCAGGCTGAGGTTCTTCGGGCTTGGAAATGCGGTCGGCGAGAGAGCCGCCAGCAGGCTGTTCGTCGGAGGCCATGATAAACTCGTGATCCGACAAAGGCAAATTGGGGAAAGTGTGTGTGTTGTGAGAAAGGAAAAGAGCTGCTTGATTCCAGACGGAAGAGGGAGGGGAGCAGCGGGGTAATAATTCTATTTAAACCGGACGCGCGACGAAGGGCTCCAAACAATGACTCAACGGAACAAGTCAGAGGTAGTTTTCCTTTGAAGGATGGAGAAGAAAGAGAAGGAGAGAGAAAGATTTACTCGGGACCAACTCGGGACTCAGAGCAATCACAGTAGCAATAAGCAGCAATGGTTCACAGTGGGTGTTGCTATGCTCATTTGCTCATTTGCTCATCAGTAGACAATGACGGCGGAAAAACCAGTCCGGACCGCCTTTGAGCTGCGCTAATCCGGAGTAGGAAGGAGGACCGGCCAGCGTTGTGGTGCTCAATATGGTAGGCGGTGACTGCGAATCGACGGTACGGTACCTTACTCTAGTGGCATCCGGCTAAATGACGTAGTGCTCCAACGTGGCCTGACAGCCTCGTTCGGTATTGTCATTCCGTTGCTTTACTGCATCCAGCCTAAGCTGGGCTCTTCCCCGCTTCCTTCCTTCGCCGTGATTGCCTGCCTGCGTCTCTCCTCTCCAAACTACTTATCCTTAATTCTTACTGATTGCTGTCCACTTCGGCTTCTTCCGCTGCTGCTCCGATCCCTTGCCATTGCCACCGGTCGCGCAACAGGCTTTCTTTCTGCGGGTGGTTGGTGGTCTCAACGTGCGCCTGCTTCGGTCATCTTAGGCCGACACATTCCGGATTCCCCTGTTTTCGCATCCCCGTCGTCAGTCTTCTGCGCCGTGGTCTTCGGGCAGCGGAGTAGCCGTCAGCATGGCAACCCCAGATGTCGCCCCTCATTTTGGGGCAGAACTGAAGGTATGGGATGTTTGCAGTCAGGAAGAACAATCAAGTATTCTCGCTGACAGCAGGATTGAATAGGATGCTTTTAAGCCAGTCAACAATTGGGTATGTCCTCCCCGCATGTTCGTCCGCGCGCATTTCTCCGACCACGACGACAGCCGATCCAAAGTTCCGTGCTAAGCCATCGCTCCCCAGGTTTCCCATGGCATCGGGTGGTTGGATGAAGTACAGCAATTCTACCGAGAGCGCAGTGTTATCGAGAAGGAATATGCGGCCAAAATGACGGCGCTGTGCAGAAAGTACAACGACCGCAAGGCGAAGAAGATTAGCACGTTGAGTGTAGGAGATACTCCGAGTATGACCCCGGGCTCGCTCGAAAGCGCCTCGCTCACGACATGGACGACGCAATTGACCGCGATCGAGGCGCACGCCGCCGAACGCGACCAATTCGGCACGGATCTGGTGGTACAAATAGCGGAGCCGCTCAAACAAGCCGCTGCCCAGTATGAGGAACTCCGGAAGTGCCACGTCGACTTTCATGCTAAATTGGAGAAGGAAAGGGACTCTTCTTACAGTGAGCTCAAGAAGGTCAAGGGGAAATATGACGGCGCATGTCAGGAAGTGGAGGCGCGACGGAAGAAAATGGAGAGTTCATTTGACCACAGCAAGTCCAAGGCCCAAGCGGCCTATCAGCAGCAGATCCTTGAAATGAACAACGTCAAGGTAGGTAGCCAATCACGTCTCTTGTCGCATACTAACAGAAGCAGAATACCTACCTCATCAGCATCAACGTGACGAACAAGCTCAAGGAGCGCTTTTACCACGAATACGTTCCCGAGCTACTCGATGTAGGTTTCTTTCGCCCTGCCTCGGCTATGACACTGACATTTGCAGGGGCTGCAAGACCTCAACGAAACCCGTGTAGCGAAGCTGAATTCAATCTGGGCGCAGGCAGCTCAGTTGGACAAGAATTACCTGACAAAAAGTATGGAGCACATGTCCAATCTCCTTCACGAGATCCCCCGCAATCTCCCTCATCTCGACTCGCTCATGTTCTTGCGCCACAACACTACGCCTCTCCAAGAACCCGCTAATGTAGGCTTCGAGGCCAGCCCCGTCTGGCACGATGACGAAGCCCTTGTAACCGATGAGACCGCCAAGGTCTTCCTGCGCAATCTTCTCAGCAAGAGTAAAACACAGGTGCGCGATCTGCGAGTGGAGACCGATCAGAAGCGACGAGAGGTAGAGGCGGCCAAGAAGGTTCGCGAAGCCATCCAGCAGGGCAGGGACAAACGGAGCGAGGTGGAAGTAGTCCGGTCCATCTTCTTCCTGCAAGAGACGTTGCATGAGCTCGACCGCAAACGCCTGACGGCCGAAGTCGAGACGTCAACAATCATGTCCGTGGTAGGCGACCTGTCGCTGGGGGCGCGCAATCACAACTTCAAGTCGCAGACATTCAAGATCCCCACCAACTGCGACCTTTGCGGTGAGCGCATCTGGGGTCTATCAGCCAAGGGCTTCGACTGCCGCGACTGTGGTTATACGTGCCACAGCAAGTGCGAGATGAAGGTGCCGGCAGAATGTCCGGGCGAGCAGACCAAGGAGGAGAAGAAGAAGCTTAAAGCAGAGCGACAGGAGCTGGCCAACTCGACCCCGACTCTAGACTTGGAGCCGTCGTCATCCAGCGGCCCAACGGGGGCGCCCTCGCTCACGCGCAAAGACACCATGAACTCGCTCAGTTCCGGTTACGCCGTCAGTGCCAACCGCTCCTTATCCACCGCCACCAGTCTCTCCCCGTCCACTGCCGAGTTACCTGCCTCGACCCCAACACCACCGGCCACAGAAACCAAACCCGCTGCCGCAGCTGCCTCCAAGCGGAATCGCGTTCTTGCCCCGCCGCCGGCGCAATACATCAACAGTCCTCCATCCACCCCAACCCTCAGTTCCAGACCGGCTTCTTCCGAACCCCGCGGGAAGATGCTGTATCCGTATCAAGCACAGGGAGATGACGAAGCCACCGTCCAGGAAGGGGACGATATCGTCATTCTAGAGCCCGATGGTAAGCCACTCATGTCGTTCTCACTTTCTCGCATCCTTCACGTCCCTTCTCACCTCCTTGATTTTGTATTTTCCAAGCTAATCACCACATGAAAAGACGGATCAGGCTGGCTTCGTGTCCGAACCCCCGCAACCGGAAACGAGGGCCTCGTCCCAGCCTCCTACGTCGAAGTCCTCCCCATGGAACGCCCAGCATCAACCTACTCAACCAACTCCTCGGCCTCGGCCTCGACCTCTACCTTGCCCGTCGGGGCCGGAGCAGGGGGCAGCAAACGCATCGGCCCTGCCGTGGCCCCGCGGCGCGGCGCCAAGAAACTGGCCTACGTGGAAGCGTTGTACGACTACGAGGCCCGCAGCGACATGGAATGGAGTATGAGCGAGGGGGATCGGTTCGTGCTGGTGAATCGGGATAGTGGGGACGGGTGGGCGGATGTGGAGCGGGGAGGTGTGACGAAGAGCGTGCCGGCGAACTATATTCAGGATGTTTAGACGGTTGGTGAAAAAGGGTTTTGGGATTCCCGGTGCAGAAAGTCTACGGGGAAGGAATTTGGGAGGTCGCATGTGGCTTTAGGGCACCAGATAAAGCTCATGGATAGGTAGCAGTCGATTGGGTTAGTTAAGAGAGGTGCAGTACAGTACATATACCACAATACATACGTTGCTCCTTGCTGTTATACTGTACATAATCTAGTATAGATATGATTCTACTTGTGTTCTAGAAACTTGCTTATGGATAGCTGGTCGGTAGCAGAGATGCTTCGCTTACTGAACACAGCCCTGAGGTGTCAAGTATCTATGTCAGTGTGCTACAATCAACAGCGTACCGGTCTTATTTAATTATTTCCCGGCCCTTTCTCCCTAACTCCTTTACTACTTCTCATAGATGATCTCCTGGTCTGTACTTTAGAGAATACCTCAATAACCCCTCCACTCCTCTCCTATCGTACTATACTAGTACCCGAATTCGTGGTATCATAGCCCTCGATTCTGACTGCTAAGTTACACTCCTCAGCCTCGTCCTCCCCACTGGTAGCAGTGTACTCCAGATCTCTATCGTTTTCACCACTCGCCTCGCAATTCCCTCCAATCCATCAAAGCATGTCTCGGTTAGTAGATCAGGTCGATATATTTCGCAAGTCTACCATCGCTTTACCCTCTGTCCTCATCATAGCCTTCTGCCCGAGGCTGATGCCCCATTAGCGAGATGGTATGTCCATCAAACCAGTGGGGATGGGGTGTGACTCTATCTAGTATCACGCTTTGCATATTCTCCTCTCTCTCTTCTCTCTATTCGACACACACACACACACACACACACACACACACGCACGCACCAAACCCTCGAGTCGAGTCAACACATATCCCCCCTCGTACCACAGAAGAAATACCGTCTTCTGATGGATTGTCAATCCCCAGTGCATACCTGAATACAGTATATAGTAATTCGAAATCCGAGTTGGTCACATCGAGAGGAGCTTAGAGGAGGTAAGTGGATTAAGGAAAGAAAGGTCATTGTCCCGGGCACAGCCCAGTACCTGTTTCCATTTCCATAGTGAGGGCTATCTCCTTTGTACCGTCGTAAGGAGTATGGTATGCCCGGGTGAATCTTCTCTCTGTTGCCCTAAGAGAATCTGCTCAATGTATACCGTATTGCTATATATACCCTGCCGTAAATACTGCGCAGAACCTATATACAAATCCTACCATCCGAAGGTGAGAACAAACCCACCAAACGCTCAGCAGAACCCCTCCCACACGGCTATATCGACGGGTCACCAACGACCACCGGTTCTGTGCTCCCAGACAACAAGATAAAACCCTCTCCCTCCCCCCTAAAGCCATCGCAGCCATCGCTATGTCACGCTCAAACAACAACAACAACAACAACAACAACAACAACAGCATCATCATTCTCGTATACATCATGACTCATAACATTTGCACAATCGCTTACTTTCTCGGATTCTTTTTCTTGTGTGGATATAGACGGGCCAGTCACGCGTCCAGCCCGCCTGCAAATGTTATACCGCATCCCGCAGCGCCGCCTCATCCGCCAACCACGACCAATCCCCCTGAAAGACATCCACCGGCAGAGAATTGACGTCCAGGTCCTCGAGGGCGTAGATGGCGGCGGCGGACGCGCTGTCCGCGAAGGAAACCCCAATCCCGCCCTCGAAATCGAGCGGATTGACCATGCTCAGCGAGCCGGGCATGCCGTCGCCGATCGTGCAGTACGTCGGGGACGGCGGGTAGGCGGAGGCAGGGCCGGGCAGGTACAGGGGACTGTCGCCGGGGGTACCGGGGATGAGACCGTGACCTTGACCGTGACCCGGTGCCTGCGGCTGCTGTTGGTACAGCTGAGATTGGGGGGGTGGTGGTGGTGGGCTGGCGGAGAGGGTGGATCGAGGGCGATGATCCCCTGTCGGAGGCGAGTGGGAAGCGCGTCTGAGTCCGGCGGCAGCACCACCCGCACCACCACTGCTGCTACCGCAGCCGCCCGTGGACGACGGCGCAGGACGCGGCGCAATCGGCTTCAATGAGCCCACCGATGTGGAACGAGGAGATCTGCCAGCGGCTCTCTGGAACGAAGAGCAAGACGCGAAACGCAAAGCCACATCAGCCTTAGACTGGTCTCTGGAAACAATGGAAGGAGGATGTGTATAGATGTGTATAGATGTGTATAGATGTGTAAACATGCAGCTGTGATGAGAGAGTGGGTTTGGGAATTCTCCTTGTTGCCCATATTCCTGCGGGGGGGGGGGGGGGGGAAGGGGGGTTGCAATGCTGTGTGTTGGTGCTGGGGGTGGCTCTACTTTTGATGCTTGACATTTGGCGTCGGCCTCACGTTTGAGCTTGGCGTGCTCCTCGGGCGCCTCGCACGGGGTGCAGTTGCAGACCGAGCAGGTTGCAAAGGGCCGGCCTTTTCGGTTGATGTGAATCAACGGTCGATCTATACATGAAGTCAAAATTAGCCCAGATGGCACAACAGCCGAACGGTGGTCTATGTGATGAAGGTATCGTATATTTACCATGGTGCTTGCAGGTCGTCACTCGGTGACCGCGAACGCAAGCTTCACAGGCCCACTTTTCACCGTCGATGAGCATCCCTTGGAGGAAGATTGGAGTGGAATAGAGGCGGCCATGATTTCCCAGGCGGATCGGGGCAGAGGATTTATAGGGTAAGAGCAAACAATCAAAAGTTATGGCCGGGAAAAACCAGCGCGAGGAAAAAAAAAAAAAGCGAGACAGAGACCGACACAGACGGGGGAAATGAACCTGCTACAGATTACTTCAGAAAAAGGCAAAGCCGCATGGGGATGGGGAACGGGCACAGCCACGGATCGACTACATGGATGGCAAGGACTGTATACTGTGGGTGTGTACGGCGCAAAAAGGAAGCTCGGTAGAGAAAGTACAGTACAGTCGGTACTCTCTAGTAAGAGAGGGGGTAGGGTCCTGAGCTTCGTGTGCAAGGGAAATGATTGCATGCGCGGTTTTTGGCTCTCATTTTGCCGCATATGGGGGGGATTGGGGGAATGGGGGGATTGAGGGAGGGTCCGTTCCTGGATGGACCCAAAAGTCCCAAGGACTGCTGCTGTACATACAGTCCTGTACTTAGAGAGAAAGAGGTAATCCGAAGGGAGTGCCAGGTGCGTCAGGGCCAACTCCTCCTCCTTAGCCGATTCCTCCTCCCTCGACCACCATCACCTCCACCTCCTCTCTCTCCCGCTGGCCGCGAAGTCCATGATGATATAATTGCCCTAACAAAAAAACCAAGCGATTAGCATGCGGGATTTTCCTTAGCGAAATATCACCCTCAACATCGTTGGTAACGAGATGCCGGATCCGTCTTAGTTGCGGGCAAAACCGAATGGTGCAGCAAATTCCCGCATACAATAACACATCGAAAACCACAGCTAGAAGACTCCTCGCGGGACTAGCTATAGTGACAATCCATATTCCTGCTGCCTTGGATCGAAGGCAATAAGCAGATGAGACAGAGGATATGGGTCTCGCAGCGACAGGGGGGTCCAGGGGCACTCCCGGCGATGTGACTCCTGAACTCCTGAATTGCGAAGAAGACGATTGATTACTCTCTGTACGAGCTGATTGATGATCGGAGGGATAGGGTTTGGACTTGGAGATCGAAAATTCGAGACCCTGCTTGCGCGCAGCTTACCGTCTGTACGGGGACGCGTTAACGTTGCCAGCTTGCAGACCCATAAGCCCAAGTCCCTAGGAGTCTAGGACCAGGGTGGAAGAAAAGCTCGAGCCATGGCGGGATGGAGGTGGCTGAGCAGCTTTCTTCCATTAACCAAGTTGAAGGAAAGCTTGGAGCACGAGCCAATCTGGGCCTGCGGGATTAAAAAAAATTTGACATTTGGAAGTGGTTGCTTATTTGTCAAGTGCAGTCAGAGGTCAGTCCTCCCCCGGTCGGAGCTTTTCAGCATCGGTTCCCTCATCGAACTAAGGAGCTCTTTTGCTTTTTCTTGTTTTGTTTTGTTTTGTTTTTTTGCTTTTTTTTGCCTTTTTTTTTTTTTTTTTTTTTTTTTTTTTTTTTTTTTTTTTTTTTTTTTTTTTTTTTTTTTTTTTTTCCGGGTTTCGTGGTGTTGCTCCGTGCT